TCCGCGAGAGGCGGCTATTGCGATTCATTGGGCGCTTCGCCGCAAACAAGCTGGGAAGCTGGCTACGCGAACCGGCCAGCTTTGACCGGCTGGCGATGCGCGCCAACTCTGTTGGCCGATCGGGAAAACACTATTCTTCCAATATTCACTCGTCTTGGTGATGTGGGGGTGGGAGGACTTTTGATCGTGGCAGCGGCGGCTAGCAGGAAAATAAAAAAAAATAAAAAAACAATGCTAAAAGATATTAAAATAAGCATAGTCAAAGTCTTGTCGGACTGTCGCAGGCACTATCAGTTTGTGCCACATAGCCATCTTAAGCGGACAAGACGTTCAAGGGGAAGAAAAAAAGACCGGCGTGACTTGGCCCGATTCAAGCCCGTCTCTGCATGCAACAGAACAGCCAACTCGTGTTTCGCCGCCAGCGCCCTGTGTATGTAAACGCCGCCTGTCAATTCCTCCCGGCTAAACCCATACGCTCGGAACCAAAGATGCGTGCCTGGCGTCGCTCGCCGTCATGAGCATCTCTGACCCTTTTTGACAGCTGTTCCAGCAACCCGTACTCCGTACTCGTATATACTCGCCAGCACCCAGCTCAGCGGGCCTCTCAGCCCGTTTGGTACCAACAGACGAAAATGACCGAACAAACATTGGGAAAGGCGCAACTCAAAATTAGTTCCCTCCATAGTTAGCGAGAAAGCAGTCCAAGCGCTAGACAGATTTCATGCAAGTGTGGCAATCTCAGGATTGATTAGCGGGAGATCCAAACTCGCCCGTCCCACGGAGTTAACCACAACTCTTTTTTCTGCGCAATAATGGTCTGCAACAGTAGCAGCCGACGACGGTTTTTATCGCCGTTTTGCAAATCAAACGCGCAGCTCCAGATCACGAATTACTACTGCCTACATACCTGCCTGCAGCTGCTGCAGCTGCATGACGGGACGGGCAATGGTTCACGCTCAATAGAACCGGTGATTGGAGTCTCGCCTGGTTTGCGTTGAAATGCCACCACATCGCCCACTCCACGTTTTTCTGCCTCTTCTTTCCTCCTCCCGCTCCGGGCCTTTTTCCGCTCCGGGCCTTTTTCCTCTCCCCAACCGCCATGCTTAGGAGGGGATGGCAGGAAGCAGGAGGAATCAGAGGAGGGGGTACGTGCTGATCGGCCCAGGCCTCCAAGCGAATTAAAAATAACAGCCCGGCACCATCGTCGCTCCTTTTCGCTCCAGCTCGTTCTTGAGTGGACATGAACCAAAACGGCCCATGTGTTTGCGCTAATGCATGAAATTCGCACGCCTGACACACCTGCCTAGCGGCATGATTGGCAGCAGGACGTTTGGCGAGTTAGCGTGCCGTTGGCTCTTCTTATTTTTGAAATTTTTTTTTAATTAATGATCAGACGGTGCCTCAGCGCCTATGATTGGGGCTGATCGCGCCTGATGATGGACAGAGATGCCACAGCGAATGGGGCTGACAACGACGGTGACAACAACGGGCGTTTGTCGACGCGGCCAGACAGCACTCTCCGCACACAGCCAGACAGCCCCCCCATGTCCCGTCTACGAAAAGGAAAATGGGGCATCCCCTGCGTCGATCGCTCGCCAGCAACAAACGCGCCCTTTTCTGAGCTCTGCACGCCGCTGCTTCGGGCAACGCGGCATCCTGGTCAATAGCAGGCGGCGGCGCTATCGCTGGCTGAAACCCGCTTGTTGAGCTTGACGGCTTCTGGTGCTGCTGCTGCTTGTTCTCCTTGTTATTTGGAATGCCCTGCCTGCACTCGACAGACACACGTGTCGTCGCTGGCTCTTTGTTCTGACGACCCGGCCAAAACACAAAGATCGGCCTCGACGACCTGACCTGCTGGGACCGCCCAGCATCCCCGGCCGCGGATGCACTCTCTCGCTGCCTGTCGCGTCGCTTCCCAGGCGATCGAGCCCCCGGTGGCTCTGAGCGCTCACTCTGGCCCGCCCGCCCGGGGACTGCTCTTCTCCCGTGTCCGCGGCGTCATTCCCCCGCAAACCGACTCTATGTGTGCTGCGCAGATGCTTGTCGCTGAGCCGTCTTTGTAACCCGACGGAGCAGATTCGTATTGGAAACATTTCGCTCCTCGGGGTAATTACTGGTGCTGGGGTGGATTCGCAGACATCGCGAGCTTCAATGCAGCTCTGCCGCCCCCAGCAGTGTATGCGTGCCACCCTCTGTAGACCATTGTAGCACCCTCTCCTATCCCGAGCTGCCCCTTTGCAGTCACAACTACCACAAGACCCGCCGGTTGTTCGCCGTCGTCTCTCTGCTGTCCGACTGTGCGAATCCAGAACAGGACAATGGTGCTCCGCGGTGTGACGGGCGTAATTTACCAGCCAAAAGACTACGCGGCTGTGCGCCGATACCAACTCGCTCATGCCTGGTCCTCTGTACAGGATACATCTGCCTTTGTAATGGGCGATGCAGGCGGGACGGCAACGCGGCATTTTTCCCAGCCTCGCTGGTCTGTAGCAGGTTTAGTTTTGTGCAGCTGTTGGTCCGGAAGATGATGACGCTTCTCTTTGCTCTCTGATTCTCTCCCTCATTCCCCCCCCTGGCAGCTTGCAGGATGGTTTATTAATACCGTTGTTATTAATATCATTCTTGCTGTTAAATCCCCTTCCCCTCTCCCAATCCAACTCGCAGCAGCTCCGCGGATTGAATCAGGTTTTGTCCCCCCCCCTGCGAATTGGCGTATGCAAGCACGGAGTGAAGAGAGAGAGAGAGAGAGATTGTGTGTGTGTGCGCGTTCTGTATATACCTGGTCTGCTCCGGACGTGAAACCAGGCCGTGAGCCCAGATTCGCACGCCTCGTCCGGCTCGGAATGAAATCTCGCCCTTTTTTTGGTTTTCTTTTCTTTTCTTGTCTTGTCTTCTTGCCTTCCAACAGGTTTGCGTGCCACATGTATGGATGTAACCTCTGACGCCAGCAGTGCGAGGCCTGGCGGAAGGCGGGAGGCGGAGGGCGCCGGGTAGCCTCGTTGAAACAGCTCGAACCGCCCTTGAAATGCATGCTTACAGTACATACAAGGCGGAGGTGCGTTTCTCCAAGGGTCCAGAGCTTCGTCCGCCGTTACCTCTTGTGCGATGACGCTCTGCGACGTTGATTCTCACCATGTCTCAAGGCGTCCTCTTCCCCCCTCCCCTCATTTCCCCCCCCAGTCTGACAATCGTACCACAGCCTGCTTTTACCCGAGAGTGTTCCCATCTCTGCTGAAAGCCCAGCTAGTTCTGGTATCAATCACTGCCAACCCTTTTTTTTTCCTTCGGGGACATCCTTTCTATTGCATATACTTTTTGCATTTGTGCTTCGTTGTGGTTTCAACTTTGCCCCCTCAAGCACAATTATCACAGAGCACATATTGAAGAAGGCTACTTTTCGGATGCACCTGGTAACACTGTGGAGAGTAGAGTGTCCTACTTGCACTTACCAAGCTTGTTTCCCCGACACATATTTCCATTGCCCTACATGAGGGATCATACTTAGCAACAATGCTGTATTGACCCCCACAGTGTTTGACCTGTGATTTATTGTTACTGCAAGCAAATATGCTAAGACATGCCCGCTAGCATTGCTAGATTTCCTCTTGAAAAGAAAAACTCAATACAAACACCCCAAGGCCCAATGTCTGCAGCCAGAGCATGCTGCGGTGTAACCAGGCTTATGATTGGAGATCTCCGGCCGGATCGCGTCAGAAGCTCATTGTCCCAACGGTCTGATGGTCAGATGGCCAGATGTAAATCCAATCTACTGGCTCCTCGACCGTACTGATATTTTCTTCTTCTCTTCGGGGTATTTGACGTCAGTCGAGCGAGTAGAACATTGGCGACAGAAAGGCTACCCTGCAGGGAGTGGATGATCCCGTCGCTGCATATGGGCGTGGGCTTTTGCGCCCATCAGTATTTTTCGGAACGTACGACTTGACTACGTGTCCATGGCGGTGTTGGCTGGGACACTGTGATTATGGATTCCTGATTATTACGCAAGTTTGTATTGATATGAGCAATCAGCCACACCCCTCCTCCTGCTCGTCCATCTAGGCCAATCGGATCCTAAGGCTACCCGCAGACAGAAAGGCTGCACAAGACGATACTGGCCTTTTTGCCTCTTTTGCTTCCACCCCATCCTTGTCAGGTCTTGTGCCTGTGAAACATCTACTTGCGAAATAACGGCCAACAAATGCTGGCAGGCGTTAGGGTTTATTATTATTTTGTCGCTGGGTGCTGTGGCTGTCAGCCCAACTCTCCCGTACCAGCTTTTTTCCCTCCCTCTCTTTTCCAAAGAAGTGGCGCGAAGATGTGGTGTCGACGTTTTCTTGCGTACACTGTACTCAGGTTGGTGTATTGGAGCTCCATCCGAATCCCTCTGGGGGGTGTTTTGATGTCAATTGTCAAACCACAAATGCAGTCTCAGAAAAAATTTAAAGAATCAGTGTGTTGGACAAATCTCGGTAGAAGCAAGCTTGCCACATCATCTGCAAGAACCAAATGAAATGCCATTATTGAATGTATTGATGCTAGACACTCCATAGATGAACGTCATTTCAGATTCAGGTTGCATTGGCTGCAGTTACCCCACAGAAGATATCTATTTTCATAGTTCGGCAAAAATCGAATCTGCAGTTGCTTTGCTTTCATATTCTCTCTATTGGATACATAGAGTCTTCTTCCCAGTTTTGACCCCTGCCTCCGCAGACCTCCGTTACTGGAGCCATCTCAGTGTGTGGGAGCAAAGACCACAATTTCTGCTGCCCAATCCGCAATCCATTTGATGTTCTCAAAACGATTGGACCAGAAGGTCTGGACAGTGCTCCACAACAATATTCCAAGCCCGTTCGTGCGTCAGCAGAATCTGACGCAAGAAGATGAAACAGAACATATAGGGCTCAGGGCCAGTAAATGACAAGGAGGCAAAAAAAGCAAAAGTGTAAAAAATGAAAAAAAAAATAAGGAAATAGACCAATGATAGCGTTAAAGACTCGTCACTCCATTCCTGCGAACGGAACAAAATTTTCCAGAGCTTCAGTTAAGATCTTCTCCTTCTTGGGCACAAATCTGACCTTGTATTTCTTCGGAATGGCAACGAGGCTAGTGGGATCGGAGTTGCCACTGACCGGGTCCCAGTCGATCTTGCCGTCGGGCTCGATCCGGAAGCAATTTAGCATACGCAAGAAGACGAGATACAGCTCTCGGTTGGCTAGAAGAGAGCCAGCGCACATTCGGTAGCCAACGCCGTACGTGAACATGGGTGCGTCCGGCTGTTCCAGCCAGCGCTCGGGACGGAATGTTTCAGGGTCGGCCCACACGTCGGGATCTATGGTGTTTTCATTATTATTTCGTTAGAGGGCCTGAAGGAAGTTCTAAAAACAAAAATCTGGACTATCGACGTGGTGCCGGCTTACCCATGTTGCAGGCCCATGCGTTGAGGAAGAATACGCTGCCCTTGGGGATGGTTTTCCCTTGGTAAATGACATCCTTGATGGATGTACGGGGCAAAGCGAGGCGGAGTACGGTGTAGTATCTTGAAAATTTAATAAGCAACTGAATATGCCTGCAAGACCACATACAGTGAGGTGAGAGGCATGCCACGACTTACCTTAGAAATTCTCTTACGAGAGCGGCAATATACTCGCAGCTCTGGTCATCTGAAGCATCACAGAGAGGCTTGTTCACGGAGTGATATTTCTCAATGGCCTCAGAAGCTCTGTCTTGAATGTCTGGTCTCCCAGCAAGCAAAGCGATACTCCAGGCTACAAGTGTGGTCACAGTGTCCAGCCCGCCAGAGAGCATGGTTAGACTAATGGAGGTTAATTCAGCAGGATTCAGTCTCGCCTCTTCGTCCAGCATAATATTGGCTTGAATGCACGGCTTGTGTTCATTCTTCGCCATTCTCTCATCCAAGCCCCGATTTAAGTAGCCTAAATACTTATCTCGACGGTCACGCATCTCAGCTGCCTTTCTGGACCCGCCACTGAAGGGATTCAAACGCAAGAGAGGGATATAATCTTGCAAATTGCCAGTTGTGCTTCTAAACCGGCTGATCTCATCCTCGACATGGGTGATTTCGGCAAAAAGGTCTTCTTCCTGAGAAGCCATTCGAACACCCCAGTTCAAAGTGAGAGCTAAGCTTAGACTGAGTCGCTGAACCATAGGCATTGGATCTACAGCCACCCGTCCAGCTTTACCGTACTTCATAAGTTCAGCAACGAAGTCCTTGGATTCGAGGTCCAAGTGGCTAATGTAGGTGTGCACAGACGGCCGATTCAAAGCAGAAGCGGCACCCTTTCTGCGTCGTTTCAGCGATTCGCTAAACGGAGAAGTCCCAATGGTTGTTCCAGCAGTGTTGGAAACAACCTAGTCATAAGGGAAACACTGTCAGCACATTCCATACTCATGTTAGGCTCTCTAGAAGAAAGAAGAGACCCCAAACCTTGTGGAAAGTATAGAACTCCGGACGTGAACTTAAAGCCTGTGCATTCTGACCAAATAAGACTTTAGCTGCAGCCGCTGAGTTCACGATAATAACGGGAATGTTCCCCAGCTGGATCTGATACACCGGGCCGTATTTCTTCGACCACTTGCGATACTGCTCAGCAGCATTGACGCGAATCTGCGCTAGATTCCCAATCAAGGGCAGGCCTTTTGGTCCGTCGAAGCCCGGCACACGGGCAGCAGCCCGAATGAACTCATTGACAAGGACGTACACCCCGGGAACCAACAGCACCAAGGCAGCCAACGCCTCCAGCGGACGAGCCACTGCCCCGGAGACGAGCTCAGAGAGAATAGATGCTATCGCCATGGTGGAATCCGCGTCCCTCCCGATTGTAGGAAAACGGAAACGCCGAGGCTGTCGCTCATCTGTAGGAGTAACGCGTTTTGCCAGCGTGCAGATTGGCCATTCTCTTATACCTGGGCGCCATGGCAACTACCTGGGGCGGCCAAATTGTGGAATTTGTTCCGCCGTGCGGTTCTCCCGGCAAGCGGCTTCCCCCACACTGAGCGGGAGCGACCGCAGCCGCTCCGCTGGCACAAACAGTGCAAACTGCGGCTGATGAGTCATCCGCGATCGGCGGAAGCATTCCGCATGCCGCTGGTGGCCGTGTTGTCAACATGTAGACTGGAGCATTATTATTGCTGCGGATTGAAGATGGAGTGGAGGACTGTTTGAACAATAGAAGCGCAAGATTGTATCTGCAGTGAGTTAACTATGTGGATAGTCATCAAACTAGCTGGTAACTTGGGCTGTACGGAGTGCTCCGTGTCTTATTTAGGAAGCTCACAGGTTGACTAGAAAAGGAGTTTAGACTGAATGTACCCCAATGAAGAGCCTGAAGGCCTTTGATGAGTGGTTTGGTCCTCAATTTTGGAGAATCGGTAGATTCGGTACTCCGTACTCCGTAGCTTTTTCGTTTGCTGTTCAGGGACGCCTGAAACGCCGAAAGTGAAGAAATCACATGCCAGGCAAATAGGGCAAACAAATCGGCTCGGATATTCATATCTCCAGTTACGCGCTAGCCACTTTAGGCTGGCCCGCATGTTAGAGCCGCTTGCGTTGATTGGCCGAAGTGGGCCCCTGAAAGGGTGATGACGTGACTGGCTGTGGCTACTTGGAAGTACCTACTGCCAGGCAAATATTTGCGTGGCGAAAAGGTACCATGAGGTATCCCAGCCCTGCTCGTTCGAGCTTTTTCATCGCCTTTTTTTCCGTGCGACGACTCTTCCCGCCGCGAGATTCTTTGTCTGCAGTATCAGGGCCATTGTGCATCGTTCACGGCTCATTGTCATATCAGGTTGACACCTTCTCTCATTTCGCGCTCGCTGCTGCGGGGTCGTTCAACGCTGGCTGCTGGTCAAAGTGCTATTCACATGTCAGGGCATGCTTATCGTCCGAACATTTAGTTAAGTCCGGTCTCGCGGGTCCATCTTTCGAAATACCAGGCGAAATCGACTCACGCCAGCAATCCCCTCTTTTCCAACAGACTCTGACGCGGGACAATGGCTGCAAGTCCACCCAGGCGGTTCTTGAAACCGTTTTTGTATACCGTCGCGACCATTGCTGGTGTTGGTGGGACTTTGTATATCACCTACCGGCCGCGCAATATCCCCGGTTCTGACCCCGCTGCTGTCCCTCCTCCACGATACGGTGCTAGTGGGAAGCTCCAGCCTCCCCGGTTCCCCTATATCAAGAGCCGTGATGAACAGATTCAAGACCTAAAGCGAAGCTGTACGGAAAACGTCCTAGATTCGATCAAAGGAAAGCTAAAGAATACAATTGTTGCAACTAAGGCTGGAGAGGAAGATGACAGTGGAGAGATATATGATCTTCTTGTCATTGGTGGCGGAGCAACTGGCTCGGGAATCGCTCTTGATGCTGCCACTCGGGGCCTCAAAGTTGCTGTTGTTGAACGGGATGATTTCAGCGCTGGCACAAGTAGCAAGAGTACAAAGCTGGTGCACGGGGGTGTCCGATACTTAGAGAAGGCTGTTTGGGAGTTGGACTACAATCAGTATGTTTTCGAATTGTAATGGTGGTTTTTGAAGTGATTTTTGATGCTAACCAGGTCGTTTCAAGATATGCTCTAGTCAAAGAAGCCTTACGTGAAAGGAAATATTTTCTCCATACCGCTCCACATCTTTCGATGTGGCTTCCAATCATGGTTCCGGTCCAAAAATGGTGGCAGGTGCCTTATTTCTGGGCTGGCACAAAGTTCTATGATCTCCTCGCCGGCTCTGAGGGAATTGAGAGCTCTTACTTTCTTCCTAAAAGTAAAGCACTCGCTGCCTTTCCTATGCTGAAGAAAGACAACTTGTTTGGTGCCTTGGTATACTACGGTAAGGCTGCACACCTTCTAAATTGTTTATTTGTACACTGTCTAACTTCTCCTAGATGGTGCCCACAACGATTCACGCATGAATGTATCCATTGCCATGACGGCTGCCATATATGGCTGTACAGTGGTGAATCACATGGAAGTAACTGATCTGATTAAGGATGCAGATGGCAAGCTTACTGGTGCGCGCTTGAAGGATTTGATTGCTGACAAAAATGGACGTGGTGATGAGTTCACTGTGAGAGCAAGGGGCATCATTAACGCAACTGGCCCCTTTACAGATTCTATCCGGAGAATGGACGATTCCAGTATTGCTGAAATTGTTGCCCCTAGCTCAGGTGCCCATATTGTCTTGCCTGGCTACTATAGTCCAGCCAAGATGGGACTCATCGACCCAGCAACTTCTGATGGACGAGTGATATTCTTTTTACCATGGCAAGGAAACACAATTGCAGGCACCACTGATAACCCAACAACCATCACTTACGACCCTATTCCTTCAGAAGAGGACATTGACTGGATTCTTCGTGAAATTCGGGGATATTTGGCTCCAGATATCACAGTTCGACGCGATGACGTCCTTGCCGCTTGGTCTGGCATCCGACCACTAGTGCGCGATCCAAAAGCCAAAAACACTGAATCCCTCGTTCGAAGCCACTTGGTAAATATATCAAAGTCTGGCCTATTGACTTGTGCTGGCGGTAAATGGACTACCTATCGACAGATGGCAGAAGAAGCCGTGGACGAAGCTATTAAACAATTCAACCTTAAACCACAAGGCCTAGGTGAAAACCCGGATATCAGTGGTACTGGTTTCTACGACGACAAGGCTATTCTCGACGGCTCCTGTCAAACGCATCAAGTCCGCTTGATTGGTGCCCATGGCTTCTCCAGGACTCTTTTTATCAACTTGATCCAGCATTTTGGACTAGCCACTGATGTTGCTCGCCACCTTACGGAATCATACGGTGATCGTGCCTGGGAGGTGGCCGCCATGTCTTCTCCCACAAATATGCGTTTCCCCATATGTGGAGTTCGACTCTCTCCGCTGTACCCTTTCATCGATGGCGAGGTTCGATTCGCCGTTCGCCGCGAATACGCCCAGACACCTGTAGATGTCCTTGCCCGGAGAACTAGATTGGCCTTTTTAAATGCCCGGGCAGCTCTGGATGCCCTCCCTACCGTTGTGGATATCATGGCAGAGGAACTCAATTGGGACTCGAAGCGCAAGCAACGCGAGTGGGATGATGCTGTGAAATTTTTAGTATCCATGGGCCTTCCTAAGTCACGAGCTGGTGCTACGAGGAAGGATGTTGAGAAGGGCAGGTTGGCTGGTGTCGACATTCCTAGGAGCAGCCATTGAATGGTATGTCTCACATCTATTTTATGTCTAGGGGAGGCCCAATACGATAACATCGCTAATGTTTATAGATCTCAACTAAAGAATCTTGGTTATACTCTAAAGTTTGCTTATAAACTGTGTGCTCTGATATAGGGTTTGATTTTAACATTTTCCTAATATAATCACATTCAGGCCGGAAACAACATTTTGCGTGGGTACACATTCTACACGAATGCAAGTACGTATATATCGCACTAAAGTATGGACAGCACGGCAAACTCAAAGGATTGCATCAAGGGATACGGAGTAGATAGGTAAAATATAGAAGCATACACCAGCATACTGTGGCGGATTTATCCGCTGGTCTTGCATCAAAAAACAGATCCCCTAATAAATAGATCGTACTTCCTCACCTGTCGGACCTGCTTCTTCCTGCAATACTGCATAGAGTTGTATTAGAAGTTTACTCTCACTAAATATAGCGATTGTCATAGTACTCTGGGCAGCCGTATGCCATATGCAAGAGTTCGAAAATCCCCCTCGCCCTTGTCTACTGTATTAGTAAGGAGCAAAACTCTTGATGATATCCTCCACCGAGACAAGCGATCACCCGCTCAAACTCGCTACGGCCGGGCTGCTAGCAGGGAGTGTGGTTAAGCCTAGGCTTTCGGGCGTGGGGACACCTAATATTAGTGGTGGCCAGGGGGAAGGATTGCGGATTGCTTGGCACCAATACTATCTTGTGTCCAGCAAATTCCTCCAGCGTTCTAGAAATCCCAATCAACATATACATGGCAGGCATACTTGCATGCTCTTGAAATTTTGTAATTGCTAATACCAGTTTCTAAACATACCACCACACGAATCCGGTGGCTCTATCTTTAGGCATAATATAGTTAATACTGCCAGGCATTGACTTGCGTAAACTGCGCGATCCTAGGTCACACCGCCATATCCAATTGTTATCATTTTTCTTATTCTTCTTTTTATATTCCTTGGGACCAGAGGTCTCAGCGGTGAAGCTCCAGAGTTATTTATTTCCCTTTTAAGGCTTCGTCAAGAACGCCTCTCTATCATCTCGGTGTTTTGTAAATTACAGTGAAGTATGATGCTATACGCAAGAAGCTACAAGTAGCTTCGGTTACATCATGCTCATGCCAGCTAGGATGCCAGCCCACGTCTCCTCACCAGTAGGTATAATTTGCTGTGGTGGCAGGAGGAAACCCTGAGGCACAGCGCCTAATCTCTTTCGAGTGGGACGCAACTCAGCGATGAAAGAATATTCAAAATTCTTAGCATCATACGCCCAGTCAGAACTGGCTCCACCGGCTTCATACAGAACTGAGCACATTGGCCCAGCATCGTAGATTTCACCATGTGTAGCTTTGACTACCTCAGCGAACTTAGTTGCAAACTTCATTTGCTGCTCATGATTCGAAGGTTTTTTTGTGCAATTATGGCCATATGCTAAAAAAAGATTCAGTGGCTGTGGTTAACATGATGTCGATGTTTAACTTACGTGTCATGAACATGCCACCAAATGAATGAGTGTCAACAAACATCTTCCCTTTGCCATTTACAGTTATTCTATCCACAAACTGGCTCACGGATTGAATCTCTGGTGCATAACCCTGTGCCTGGCCTGTTGCTATTAGCTTCAGATTTAGGTCAGCTAGGTAGATTATCAATACCTTGATAGCTATCGGAACATGGGTCTTTGGAGGAACGCCCTTTACCCCATTGCCATGGGTAATTGCGGTTTAAATCAGTCCCAATACACTTGGGATTTCCAGTGGGCTGACGGTTCTTACGCCAAAATCGTGGTGGGAAATCCATCGATGATGTAAAATCTTCCTGTGTATAGGCAAAGCCTAATTAACTAGTGTTAGTTGAACCAAGGACAACAAAATATCACATCATACTTACCGTCAGGATTGGCAACTGGAACAAGATAAAAATCATATTGATCAAGAAGGCGTTTGATCTTGGCCTCATCTTTGCTCTTCAACAGCATCCATGCTATATATTCGACAACCTAATCGAACGGTAAGCTACGGTGAGATACAGGTACTGAAACAGACGGGACAATAAGGGTGATGGAGTTTTAAGCTAGGGGGTGGGCTTACCATTGTGCTAATCCATTCGCGCGCATGAATTGTCCCCAGAAACAAGATAGGAGGCTTTTTATGCTTGCTGTTGTCACCAAAGATATGGATTGCTTTTATTGTACGTCTTTCATATGACGGGCCAACATCCACAATTTTTGAATTCTGGCTAAACTGGCTTTGTAGATCTGTGAGAAACGTCAAGTGTTCAGCAGGGGAGTGGTAGCTCATGAACCAAGTTCTGAGATTCGATGCTAGTAGCAGACAAAAATTGTCAGTGAGGCTCTTTCATAGTTGATTCTACTCAGGTGGTGGCTCGAAAACCTACACTGATATCTCTCCAGCACAACCCGTTCGGCTGCAAGGGCACCGGCAAGACTTGCGTACAAGAGCCTTATATCCATGCCCTTCGTAGCCTTTTGAAAGGCAGCAAGCTGACGGGGTGCTACAGCGATACTTGCTGTAGATCCTGCTATTTCTGGAAGATCCCAGGCAGTAAGACCCAGGTCTTTGACAATGATAGCCAGCTTCTCATGGTTTGAAGTAGTGGTTTTGACAGTGAAAACCTTTTTGTCTTCATAGGGAGCATATTGCGATGGTGCAACTGCAGCAAGAGTCAGAGCCAACAGAGTTGACGTCACAAAAACTGCCTTCATGATGCCAGAAATGCACATGAACTGATATACAAGTTTTTCTCAAGCAAGGAGAAACATAGCATAGTTATATAGGCGCACCTAGGAGTCACCGTTGTTTTAGTCCATCCTAAAAAAGCTTTTTCCAAGGCATTGTTAGCATTGGATATGGGCCCAGACACCCTGAATTTGTAAAGGGTTTACAACTAATAAAGTCAATGAGAAGTAGATGGTGGAGCATGCAATGGAGATGCGCATGGGGAGAGGGTTTTGTGTCCTCACAAGTAATATTAGTATTATTGTTTTTTGGCGTTGTAGAAAAGTCTGATGTAGGGAGTAAACCCTTCATTATCGCCTTTCAGAGACGTGTATTTGGCACCCATGGAGAAAGAGAGAAGCATGTGAAAAGTCTTCCGGAGGGAATAACAATGAGGCAAGCTCGAGCGTATACATCCTCTGTGCTTTGTACTATTATGAGATAGGCGGTGGGCTTTCTTAGCGACCCCACAAGGTGAGATCTTACTACTAATATTAATAGTGCAGTAGTCGTAAGTGCATAGAATGATCAAGCAAGGAAGTTCGGAGAATAGTTGTAAAGGTTTTCCTCTGAGTGAGGGCTCTTTCAACGATAGCCTACCAACCTGGGATTATCTGCTTGATTAACCAAATACACAGCCATGTCAAATAGAGGCGTTCAACGACAGGTGGTTGAACAATATTATAACGAAAGAACAGAAAGGCAAGCAGTGACCGAACCCATGATGTTCGGGCGTTGTAGGGAAACACTCGGCTTTTGCAGCCAAGCGGCGCTAGAACACTCCAAACAGGCTCGCTGATGGAGTTCTGAGTATGCACGGGCGTAACTATGGAAAGGCTCTGCTGGGAAATCGGCAGAATTGAGTGCGTGTGCATGTCTGGATGGAAAGCTGCTTGAGAGCAGGAAAATGTGAATGTGTGCCAGCTATGTACTCTGTACAGACTGTTAAATAAAACCGATGGTGAGGAGTGCGGCTGGACCACTTTCAGAGATTCGTGCAAACGGCCATAGGCAACCGAGCTTCTTGAAAACCATCATTAGCAGAAGTCAGTATATCCTCGGGTACTCGGGGGTACCTCTGCCCCGCCTCCTTTGAAACCAATCTTAGCTTGTGCCCTCTGCCCTATGGAAGGAGCGAGGCCTTGTAGGATCTACTTTTTCTGGGCGTCGAGCTGCGCCCTGTGGCTCACAGTCAGTTGATCCTCCTCTAATAAAAATGCGATACAGAGTATGGAGTAAATGGAAAGCGTTTTATAGAGAAGAGTCAGTCAAGTTTAGCAGTGCTGAGCTAGTTGACCAACCTGATGGTGGGAAAGTGGTTTTGATCAGATGTGGTACGGAATACGCCGGCGGTTAAACAAGCTTCCATAGAGAAGAGTAATTACTCCGTAGTTCGTGCCTACTGACTTTGCCACCCACATTTCCCAGTAGATGTTTGGATTGCCTGTGGTTCCATAGCCTTTTGAATTAGTATTCGCTAGCTCACTACTCCGTAGTAGTTAGATAGCTGCACCATCCACCCAGCGGCATCCGACGAACCTAAAGGCGGGCTCGGAAGGAGAGCCCCGAAGTCCGGCCGTGACATGGCTGCGCCATTCCGAAAGAGACGCCTGGCGGCTGGGGATCGAGCATCAAGCGTCTCGAGAGTCTCGCTTTCCTGGCCTTTAGGCTCTACTCTGGCTCAAGGGTCATGGATGTGGCGTCTTGAACGTTCTTTGATATGCATGCACGCCAGCCACCCCTGGGCACTCGCCGCGCCGTGATGCAGCGCACTTGAAGGGGCAGGCCGATCGATGCCGGCCACAATATTCCTTTAATCAAAGAGTGCCACAATACTTCCGCGGGCAGAAGAGAATGGGCGTTCTCAATCAACCCTATTTACGAAAGTCCGTACTGGCCCGTGGGTGCAGGCATTGTTGATTACATTTGCTTGTGGCAGTCCCTCCCTGTCCTTCGTGTATTCCTAGCATTTTCACCTGGATACTCAGTGTCCAGTGCTTCGGAAGGACCCGTGAATGGTGTGCTATCTACTCAAAAAGCTGTCGATTGGTATATCTCTTGTGACACCGCCACTCAAGTCCCAAGATATCCCTTCAACGTGACACCAGTTGAGGAGAAAGAGGCCCATGATCAAAGTGTATATTGCTGACTTTGTATTTTGTTGCTGAAGGTAAAAATGGGATGTTACCTGGTATCTGCAATTCCTGCTGCGAGATGGTATATTCGAGCAACATATAGCACTCTATACCCTACATGTATGTATGCTAGTATGACTTTAAATACATACATACTAACTGGCATTCGACTTAGGCGCTAGAGTGCAGGTGACTTCGACCAATTCTCGGCCTTGCTGAGCCTTATACCCGGGGCGGATGTTTGGATGTGAATGCACCTATCTTAACATGTTAGACACACTTTCCACGTAAAATTTCAAGGCCATGTAACGTCAGATTTGGTCAGGACTCTAGCCCGAGTAATTTCTCACGGGAGGTGTTGGTCTTGGTGAAAGAAGCCGACCTGGGTTTTAAGTGTAATGATTGATGCTGATTTTGAATATGGACGCTATACGTTCCTTTGAGGGCGTTAGGCCCCGTGTGTACGTAACAACAATAAAAGTCTAGGGCACCATAGTAGCTTCTGTAATGAGAAAAGAGGTCGTATTATTTATTTTAAATGCTCGTCCTGTATGTATGTTTAACTGTAAGTTGGACGTCTCGGGGATAGGCGGAATAGAAGAGTGCAAAGTTAGTTACCACCAAGAAACAAGGGGGGAAATAGAGTATCGACGCCAGCCGGATTTCCGTAAACACGATAAAGACACCGATTAAAAGAAGCATCCTCCGGTGGGGAAAAGAAGAATCGAATTATTGAAAATAAGACTGCTGTTGACGGCAAATGGAGATCTGGAGAAAGTCGGTGCCCCGTGCTCAGTTTTATCGGCGCCGGCGCCGGAGCTCTATAATTAGGCATCGCGTGTTTGCTATTTGTTATACATCAGGCAGGCTTATGCTGTCAAAATGGTCCATAGACGAAGCAGTCCAGACACTAGTACACTATTAGAAAGCAAAACGATGTGATATGTGGTTTAGACTTAGCGGCTCGCCACTTCCAACTGCACCATGTATGAAATCGGCCGAAATTTGGACGCAACATTTGTTGTTCAAGGGCTCATATCATGGCAATATGCTGATGACAAGGAGTAAAGAGTTTGGAGGCTCGTATTAGCGATCCATCTTCACCTGCACAGTACATATAACGGGACAAAAGCCACCGTGTCATCTAACGATCCTTGCGTGCTCTCGCCAGGCTCTTCTTCTTCGATTTGGTCGGAAGACAGACAACAGAGCAAGATCGCCCTCGGATTCGGGTACAGGAAATTGCGAAGAAGATACGGGTGGCAGCAGCTCAAATGTTATTTCGTAAGCAGCTCTATCAGCTGCCAGTAGAGGGGAAACGAGGAATTTGGGACTGTGACACCGTTGTGTGAGGGCCAAACAGAAACCCGGGGCTTCAAAATAAGAGTTCACAATTCTTCTTGTGGCATGGGTGGTTGGCAAGTGTATGCAGCCAGTAAAGCGTCTAGCCTGGGTTTTGTGGGTCGGTGCTATCCCAACCGTTCAGGGATAAAACTCAAGAGTGTCCACAACTTCACACACCTTCCAGGAAACCATCGCTGAACTTTCTCAGGAGATTTCTCCGTAGTTGGCGCCCGAAGATAGAGCAGAAACGAAAAAGAAAAAAGCCAATATCGGAGCTAGTCTGTCACCTAGCTAGCCGAACCTGGCAGTTGAACTTGCTGTTGGTTCAAAAGACAACGGCTCCCGCATCCCCGTAAAGTTACGGGAGCACAAACTGGGTTCGCTCAGCATATTCCAGAGCTAAATTTCTCGAATTTGTTGTCGAGTCTCAATATCGATATTCCATTTACGGCGGGCCCCACGAATTTATCACGCCTTTAGCTCACTAATAGTTAATTGGCTGCGGCTGATACTAGGATACTCGCGATCAATCCTCGGCAAATACTGGGGGCGGTCCATACAAATGCAGCCCGAAAGCAGGGTTTTAAGACTTGAGGGGGAAAGAGCGGCGCCAACCCTCTTGAAAGGCTCTAAGAATTGGGTTGGGAGTTGCATGAATTCCTAGTGTCCACAGAGCCGATGCGGTTTTCAAGTATGCCGTTCAGGGATTTCGTACACCAAAAAACATGAGGGCGCCATTGCGATTATGCAACCCAATTTTTGGGACCCCCCTCGGTGTAATATGTATGTACCTGCAACATATTGCCATAGAAGCCCAGATTTGCTAGGAAATCAAGCCGCCCGGCAGAATAAACAAAGGCCTCCTGACTTTTTCTAGTAAAAAAAGCAATATCCTCATTCACAAGCGCCGTATGTAGTCTGCGACGAGTCCTGTGAATAGTTTCTATTTTCAAAGAGTCAATTTTTTTTTCTTCCACCATACTTTAGAGAGAGATCAGTGGGCATGGTGCGTGTTGTACGGAGTAGTGATAGAGGATCCAGGGGCAGGCTTGCCTGATTAGTTACCCCGTACAATCACCCTAGAAAACAAAGACTTATTTGCGTAAATAGTAGCTTTGGAGGGAACACAAACACGAAAAAATGCAGGGTACTCCGTACAGATTTCCATACACGCCCACCATATGGAGGAGATATGTTGCAGCAGCAAAATGACCCACCCATAAAGAGGAAGTTGACAGACAGTGAGGGGCTGGGAACATTGACTTTCTGTGGTTCAAAAATCTCAAAAAAATAAAACTAAGGACAAAATATTAAGACCAAAATAACATCCGATATACTCCGTATGGAACTGAACCCAACAGCTCCGATCAACGCCATTCGAAATCCAAATTTCAGCCATTATTCGCGTGTTGGGCACTGGTGGTTGTTAACTAACTAGTTAACAGATGAATTAGGTTCGGGATACCCGGTACAAAACACAATTTTTTATGGCCTGCAAAATTCCTCTTCGCAGGACACGGCGTTCGGGAAAGCGCACACGCGCTTAGACAGCTTGACAAGACCTAGAAATCGGGTATGGAAGTCGAATACTAGGAACCTAGGTGTTCATAGAATTGCAAACAAAAGCTGGTAGAGAAGGAAATTATCTGTACCACGCTGGAGGGGAAGAGCCCGAGAAATAACGATCAAGTGCCCCTTTAAAATAAATATGGGGATAACCATGAACATCTCATAAAGCGGTTTGACGAGGAGGTAGCAATGGGGAAGAGGGCTAATTCAAGGGTGCCCGTTGATTTGGGGAACTCGAGGCTTGATCTATCCCTTTTCCATAAAAAATGGGCCGTAAAGATGCGGATGGGCCATCAGAGCTTCTGCAAAGGAATGCTTGCCAAACTGGGTCAGTTTCGACTGGTGCAATTGAGGTAAGCGTCGATATCAAAAGGCGTTCCACGGAAATTGTTCCAAAACCGTTCCACTGCACGCTGAGCTATTGAAGAATCCCTGAATCGATCTCGAAAATAGTTGAAGAGCGCAAACTCGTCACGGCTCAAAACGTACGTATCGGGTTGCGTCTGTACTTTCCTCCAGAGCTCACCAATGGCGATTTCTAGGATTGCGCTCACTCGGGGGTCTATTTGGCCATCTTCGCTAGATCTGGCGGACTCCAAAGCACGTCGGACTGCTTCGTTGTTCGGCATAGCAGCGCTGTTTGCCATTCTGACACTCGACCCAAGTTCGTTAAACAACCGTTGCTTTTTTCCGTGAAAGTCGGAATGAAGATATCAGGGTCTTTGTATTGGTCCGAGGTTTGCGATCGTTTCTGAATCTAAGAGATAGGACTCACGTAACTGCTTCAAAAGAAATGAAAACAGTGCTCACATGGACGACTCCCGCAAGAAAAGCAGTCTAGGGAAATGAGAAGCTGCGTAGGCACCAATGCACCCCCTCTTGCTGAGAAGTACAAGGTACTTTACCACAAACATAATAGGTGACCACTATTTAACAGTCGCTCCTTCACATATCGTTGGCTGAAATCCCCTGCCTTCGGCCCCGCTATCCCGCTTCAGAGAGCGATCTAGCCCAATAGAAATAATTTGATATACTTCGTAGAGAACTATGAATAGGTAATAGACTCGCAAGTTTAAACAACCATGCGGTTCGTCGGCGGGCCACGCCCTGGCGTACCATAGCTCTTTGTACCTGATTCAGATTGGGATGCGAGCGGCTCGAGTCACGCTGCCGTTCACGAGCTAAACAGGTATGCACCTTGAACTAGGGGTTCCCATCCCTGGGGGTCAAAGCTGATCATGACCACATCGGAATAGTAGCTAGGCTATACGGTGCATAAAATGACTCGATAACGTGACATCAGCGTGAGACTGGAAAATAAGAGCCTCATTTTTCCCCTTCAAAGTGAGAGCAAAAAGGGCACAATAATCGGCGTTTGTGCATCACCCAGAGGGCCAGTGTTTGCTTGAGGTCAAAGTTATTGAGAATAAACGACTACCTAAGCCACACAGGGAAATCTATGTAACTTGCGCATTAGTTATTTGTCGTTCTGAGTTTTTCGAATCCAACGAGAAAGATATCCGGTTCAGTCACACATCACGACCAAGGTTTGAGCGCCGTGTTACTTCGGTGCACGAAGATTTGCAGAACACTGCTCCGACTTTAAGTTTGGCTCCAAAGTACTCCGTATGTAGGTATACAGTACAGACATACATATTTTATTTCGGTAACACTCTTATCACCATTTTCGGCGCACGTCGGTCATGCTTTTCGGTATATCTACATCTTCCCCAGTTTGCAGGTCTATACCCGGCAAAATCTGCCTCTCTATAGTGACATATTCCTTGTGAGGGCTAGATATGCATTGCCAAGTTAGGGAGAATGCACGCAATGGATCCAGCAATCGAAATGGAGCTTTCATCTTTCGGTAACCACACCGACGAGAGCTATGGCAAATGCGCAGTAGTTTCGCTGGTTATTCCCCAGGTATCATCTCGACCCTGAGAGATTCTGCGAGAGTGTACCATCTAGGACACACAATGACGCCTTCTCTGATTGATCTGTTCTTGGGCATCTAGAAGTCCACTTTGCCAGTCCGCGTTATAAAGGAGCTAAATTGTCGAATGCCACGAGAGTGTGGCATAATCCAAAGTGCAAAACCACCGTACACCAACGGTGTGCTATCAACTTTCAGATGATAGAGCCGGGAGGAAAAGCATATGGATTCTCGAGTGATAGAGATACGGAAGAATGTGTGAAACACTAGAATCACAGCGTTAGCCTGATTCTTCCTTAAGAGACGAACACGAGGTGTGGAAGCTACCTTTGTGTGTTTGATGACAAAAGCGCGACGCTGAAATAGAACGCGTCGTTGGCAAAGATCTTTGGCTCTTTCGGAAATAGAGTTACCTCTCACACTACCATTCAAGATATGACATGTTCAAAAAGAACCACAACATCTTCTAAGACTTCGCACTATTCCGCTGAGCGAAGGCTGCTTCAGGAGACGTCAAAGGGGACGTTGCAGGGAGAAAGGAGATGCGGTTGGGATAAACTCTATCTTCAGGTGATCGAAGCGCTCGTCCCTCCCACAAGCCTGTGACTCAGCCAAGCACGTCTTAGCATGGCCGCAAGGACCAGCTTGACCTGTCTGCGGCCTGGGAATGAGTTATTGAGTAGGCATACCTGGAAGTCTTTGATTGGTGCTCGGCACGCCTATGCTCGTGGATATGGAGTTCGAAGATAACAAGGAGCTATACAACCTGGGGTATCTCGATAACCTGTGACAAACAGAGCATGCTTTGTACAGAAAGCAGGGCAATATTACTTCAACCTACAACAAAAATTCAAAATAAGTGAAATACAGTATATCATATGATTGTTTCCTGAGACGGTATTCTGGGAAGTATGCAACACTCCCCCGTATACGTAACTAATACAGCTTATATCTCGGACGACTTATAAATATCACCCAGACATTCTAAGAAACCGATACAAATGTGTACAATTAGCCTGCGAGGTGCACATCATGATACATATCATATCAGTTGAATGCATGATTCTATCCTCGGCCACCAATCACATGGATGTTATTCTCGGCGACTAACATAGGGTACATAGGTGAGGCAAACAGCTAGCTACTGGCATGGAACTCCCAAATCAGCCCTTCATCCGCCCCGAACCGCTCAGCAACGGCTCATGAACGGTGTCTTCAACGGTTGCCCCTCGAGGGTGTTCGGAATAGCCTTTTTGCTGGCGCCGATCCAATCCCAGGCGTTTGGTGTGGGCTGAGTCATCGGATAAAAAGCTTGGCTCACGTGCGCGGTATATCGATAAGCAGAACAAACACGAGGGGAAGCTTCGAGGGGCATAGCCATAATATTGCGGGCGTCGTAGAGGCTTGCTGTTCAGAATCCTGGTGCTGTATTTTTTGTGGGTGTTCATCATGGTGTTTTATTTTACCTCGGATGTTGTTGATCCCCCGGCGTTCATCTATGTCGGAAAAGACAAGGAGGAAAGTTCGTCAACTCAAAAGTACCTACCTACTCCTATTGCTGCCTTGAAACTGATACAGTGGCTCTTCGTAGACGAGGATTTGATCAAGTATGGACTAGAAAATGACGTTTGGTATGTTTTTCTTGGGCACTTGTATCTGCCAAATCCTGTCTGGACTGACCACCCAGGGTTCGTGAAATGCGGCACGGCAAAACGCAATTGGTAGCCTTGTCTTTCTGATTGCCTGTAGTTCCATGTCGATAATCTTTCGAGCGCGCACGTCTATCTTCGACTAAATGAGGGGCAAACCTGGGAAGACATTCCTCCAAAGCTGCTTGAAGATTGCGCCCAACTTACAAAGGCGAACTCCATCGAAGGTGGGTGGTTTTTTCATGGACGCTCTACATCACCAAGTATTGTTTTCTAATATGGGTATCTTTGCAAATATAGGAAATAAAAAGGATAACGTTAGTATAATATATACACCATGGTCGAACCTATTGAAGTCGGCATCAATGGCAACTGGGCAGGTCTCGTTCCATAGCACCAAGCAGACCAAGAAAATATTCGTTCCGGCTCGCCAAAACCCCATAGTCAACAGGTTGAACAAAACTAAGGTCGAGAAGCACCCGGACCTGAAAGCTGAAAAGGAAGAACATCTGGCTAAAATCCGGAAAGAGCAGCGAAAAGTGAGGGAGGAAAAGCGCACGGCCGAGAAAAAAGAGCGAAAGGAACGGGAAGAATTGAAATGGCAAAAGGAACATGCTTACGATGACCTGATGAGTGAGGAGAACGTAGTCCAGAGCAACAATCAGGATCGTGATGAAAGCTACTTGGATGATTTCATGTGATCAGCCTTGGATACCTGGGACCTCCAGATCGACCGGGTCGTGTGCCAGCAGCCTAGAGACATCGATCTCTTTATTACATAGAGTTTTAGAGGACTGATCCACCAGGGAATAAACATTATAAATTTATTTGATATACAGAAAGAGAGCAAATCATGTATTGGCATCCCGATGCGCCACGAATCATTAAAAACGGAAAACCCCCATATCATGCAAGAGTCTATCATTTCACGGTATAGCCCGTCTTGAATGTTTTTATAGCTACCACTGCATTCAGGAGCTCAGCCACTCCAAGAACTCCGGGGTAAAGTAGCTCACAACAATACCAGCACCAGCCCGTAAGATACCTTGGGTGCTTTCCGTGGCCATGGTCTTCAAATCAAACACGCCAGCTTTGGCACCGGCATGGATCATCGCAAATTCGCCACTGACCTGGTATGCCGCAACGGGCATATCCTTGCCCAGCTCTTTCGCATCGCTGATGATATCCAGATAGCTACTGGCAGGCTTCACCATGATGATATCAGCGCCCTCGGCGATATCTCGCTGGATGGCACGGCGCGCCAGCCCGCGTCCGCCGGGCGGGAGCTGGTAGCACCTCCGGTCGCCGAACGAGGGCGTGGAGCAGGCCGCGTCGCGGAAGGGCCCGTACAGACAGCCGCTGAACTTGGCGCTGTACGACATGAGCAAGACACGGTGGGCAAGGCCGGCCTCGATGAGTTTGAGCTTGATGGCGCGCACGCGGCCGTCGTTCATGTCGGAGGGGGCGACGCAGTGGGCGCCGGCTTCGGCGTAGGCAAGAGCGACATCAGAGATGCGGTCGATGGAGAGGGCGTTGTTGAGGGTGCCGTCTTCGCGCAGGATGCCGCAGTGGCCGTGTGAGGTGTACTCGCAGAGACAGACATCCGTGACGATGTACAGGCTGGGGAAGTGGCTGCGCAGGAGGCGGATGGCTTGGATGACAGGGCCGCATGGGTCGTCGGCGGAGGTGCCGAGGGCGTCTTTGGCGTTCGGCGCGAGGGGTACGCCGAAGAGAATGACAGAGCTGAGGCCTTTGTTGACGAGGGGCGTGAGGAAGGGGATGAGACGGTTGACGCCGCGGCGGTATTGGTTTGGCAGCGAGGGAACGGGGGTTTCTTCGTCTGGATCGTCGGTGATGAAGAGCGGGTAGATGAGCATAGACTGCGAGTGCCTGGGTCAGTGGGACATGGGCAGGTAAGGGGCTGCAGCGGTGCTGACCTTGGTTAGCTGCCTCTCAGCCTGCCATGTCCGGTTCAGCGGATGGCTGTAGCCAGCATGCAATTGACTGCCAATGTCGCCGGAGATGCTCACGCTGGTCGCTGTGGTGCTGACATGCGACCGCGAGAAGACCCGGGACACGACGGAGCTGCGGTCGTCGGGGTGCGAGTCTCTGAAGGCAATGTCCTGGACGAGGGAGGAGAACGACATGACGGACGAGAGGGCGAGGGCGAGGGCGCTGGACAGTGTGAAGGCAGAATGGTGGCAGGAGAGACGATTCGCGAAAAACTCGAGTAGTGCAGACGAGACTGCAGACGGCGGCGGGCTGAGCGAGGCGTCGAGACGGCCGAGACAGCCCAAACGCAGCGGAGTTTCAAGTTGAGTTTTCTCCGCCGAGACGCCGCGACCCCAATCACCGCCCACCGATTACGAGGATCGCAGGCCGAGCCGGCCGGGGTTTATCAGCAGCACAAGAAATAATATATAAATAGTCTGTGATCCATCGGCGACGTCCAGCCGCGGCACAACGCCTTCTCGCTTTTAATTAACAAACTAGTTATGAACAACACCACAGATCCCACAGATCCCACAGATCAGCCACTAGTTGATCAACTACACGGACCTCACAGCTGCACGTCGTTGTTGAGCAGCCGCACCTCCTCGCCCGGCTTGAACGGCGGCAGCCCAATATACGGGCACCCATCGCACCGGAATGCATCGCCCAGCGCGCAGTTGCCACAGCTGCCCACCTTGCCCTGCACCGTGAAATCCACCTCTGCGAGGTCGCTGGCGCCCAGCTTCATGGTCTCCAGAGCCGCGTCGGCGTTGGCTCGTTTCGCCCGGTCTTCCTCCTGTAGTCTCTCTGCCAGACCGCAAGTGCAGTCTTTACACGCTCGACGACGTTTTCCAGCTTTGGGGCGACATTCCGGAGCTAAAGTGGTAAAGCACGCGCGCGTTAGAATTGATTCCGTAGATGGGCACGTGAGGCATAGAGTGCGATGATACTTACGCTGCACAATTGGCCGTCGCATATCCTCTTCGTCCAATAGTGTATCTTCATCAATCAGCTCCTCGTCATCTTCTAGTCCGTCCTCATCGCCCAGGACCGTAAAATCGTCGCTGAAATCAACAAATCCCATTCCCGACACTGCACTATCTCCATTTGTCTTCTTAACAGTTGTAACCTCCGTCGCCTCAGGGGATGTGTCATTCACCACCCCGTTTGTAACCTTTTTCTTGCCCAGCCTCAACGGCACCGCAGCCTGCGAGCCGTAATCCGGCTTCATAAGACCCCCAGTGTCATCGAACACCAGCCCTGCAAGTATAAGTTCCGTACGTTCCGATGCCGCAGGGGACGCGAACGCGCCGCTGTCGCTTTTTAACTTGCCGGCGGGACGGAGTGTGCGGACAATCGACTGGAGGACCCCGCGATCCATCAGCGGGGTGGGGCTTGTTCGCCCATCGGCATCGGCCAGGAGCATCACGATGTCGTACGTGGATTCAGGAAGAGCCACGAGGCCGGCGGCCAGGCGGTCAAGCATCTGCAGGTCTGTGGCATATCGGCTATAGGTGGTAAGTGATGATTCAAGCATGTCAGGGCGGGCGGCGAGCGATGGCGGGGAGAGGAGAAGCATGCGCTCCATCTTAGCCATAGGGGGCCCTCTCGGCGAATCAGTAATATAGCTAAGATCTCCTGGGGATTCAGCCTTAGATGAAAGAGACCACAGTGGAATAGCTGAGTTTTTTTTTTTTTATGTTTTCGCTTCCCCAGAGAGGCAAAGAAGCGGCTTCGGAGCCAAAAAAGGCATGGATTAATAATCCACCGACATGTCGTCATTGCCTGCACATAGGTGCTGCAGGGCTGAGTTCAATCTATAGAGTGCTCTGACGGATATATGCCTACACTAGAGCAAAATATTTGCAGGAACACTTTTAGATTATTGCAAACTGCAGGGAAGAATGGTAGCTGCGCCAAACTGTCGCTCCTATTGTTGATACATGCCACCAGAATCTCACTGGCAACCACAGCCAAATAAATTGTTGCTATGCTCCATACTCCAACGCCATCAAAATTCTCCCTACAAGTGCTGACGCCGTGCCAAAATCAAGAATTGGTCCCAAACCTCACGAACTAGAACTGGGGCTTTGTGGAGCAGAGGGCTCCGCTTTGCCCCGGAGTGACTTGACAAACCACGAAAACCAGTCCTCTAGTTTGCCCTCTTCAATGTAGCTGTCCAGCAAATCGGTTTCTGCCTTGAGATCGTCCAGCAAGTGAGCCTGCTGCTCTGGGAGAAGCCGCGAAGCAAGCTTACGCGGGAAGATGCCCGGGTCCGTAACATCGGAGGGGGGGTATAGTCGGTAAGTAGAGTTCGACGCAGCTTCAGAGCCTGTAACGCTGTTAGCAAACATGTAAACAATCTCTGAAGAGAAATCTGAAAGACAGCAGCCAAATACCTTCTAATGTGTCCTCCAACGTTCTGAATAAAGCGCTTGATTGCATCGCAGCCTCTACTTCGCTATCCCCTCTCTGCATTGTCTTGCAAATAGTATTCCAATCGTCACGAATCATGCAGCGACGCCAAATAATCTTTTCAAGAATTTCATAGTACTCGTTATCTTCACGGCCTATATCGCTCAGGCTCAAGACTCTGAGGGCCAGACTAAATTCATGCCCAACTATCTCATTGTCTTCGTCATCCGTTGTTGCTTGGACAGGGTCCATCAAAGTCAAAACATCAATTAGCTCATCAGCATCAAGCGGAAACTGGGCGATGATCTTTGCTAAACCACGTGCGAGAGCTTCGCGAAGAGCTGGCTTTGAGCTCACAATTATTCTCCCAAATTGCTCGTTCGCCAGCTGCAATTCCGCGCTCCTGTCAATTGCACCATGGATTGCAGGGGATATGTGCTCGTAGATCATTTCTTGAATCCGGGCAAGCTCTGAAATGTCATCAAACCGCTTGACGTCTGCCTGTAGCGTCGTTAGATCTAGAGGCTCCGATGTCTCGAGCGTAGAAAGTCTGGAAAGTTTTCCTATCGCAAGCTCCACTTGTTTACTCCACAGATCCGTTTCATGGTTTATAGCAAACTCCCCCAGAGATTTTGAAGCCCTGTCATAATCATTTTCTCCCAGAATTTCATTCATCCAGCCTAATTTAGCGTAACCTGGTCGTTTTCGTAAAAAGCGAGTAACGTGCTCCTGATATGGTGTCCCCAACAACATCTGCGGATGACCAGCGAGAATCTGCCGGGTATAGAATGGCGTGGCCCATGCTTCACCAAATTTCTGAAAATATCCGTCGATTTTGGCCTGGCAAATTTCCATCTCTGCATCATACTCTGCGTCACCAGTTTCCGCTGGATGGCGCTCCCGGACTTGATCCTCCTTTTCAATCATGAGTTCAACTAACGCATCCATATCCTGGAACTCTTCGGCTAATTGCATTGATTCTTCTAGGAGCCCCGTTGCCGCCATTTTATAAAGATGAGTCTTGCGACGCACGATATATGATTCCTGAAAATCTTTGGCGGCATCTTGGCCATCGGTTGATGTTTCAGAAAGTAGGCGACGATAGCGATCCATGTACAGGTGTGATAGAACTTTGAAAGCTTTGGGAGTGTTCTGCTTAATTCTCTCTATTATTGAAGTCGTATGAGAATCAGAATTTCTACCTGTAGGTGCAAATTGCCTCACCCACTGCAGACAGGTATTTAGCTCGGCGTCAAGTAGTCGTTCACTTTCTGAAAAATTAACCTTTTCTGCCGTCCATAATGCTGAGATCTCGCTGTAATCAGGTGTAACGGGTCCATCTCCATAGGGGCTGGAGCCTTCCAGTCCATATAATTGTTGATTTTCTTCTCGAAACTGGTATACTGTCTGTAAAACGGCTAGGGACAGCTCGCTTGCTTGCCAAACTTGCCAAGCAAGTGTTTTATCTACTCGGATGGATTCGCCGGATGTATCTCGGATGCCATGTAGAACCCAGGGTATAAGTAGCTCCATTCGCCATGTGTCGCGGATAAACCAATGTCTGACGGGGTCCTTTTCCTTAGCATCACAATCCAACACAGTTTTAAACCCTTCTCCCATCTGCCCTAAAATATATTCCAAGCGTGATTTACCATTCGGCGAAGACTTGGATATAGTCTCTTGGGCTTTCCATACCGCCTTATGGGCGGCCATTTTTTCCGCGTGTGATAACAAAGTCCATTTTGCAGTATGAGAAAGCGGCAAGTCCCGCTTATTAAGAAAGAAAGCTAAGGCATGCAGTGCGGTTGAACGAAGTTTCATTTGGTCCTCAAGGCTTGGTACCACCGTTGGAACGAATTTCGAATCTGAGTGGAGTATACTCTGGCTAATCTGCAGAGCGGCATCTTCGAGAGTTGACACTGGCGACTGAAGTTCCTCATAGCACGTGAGGTCCACCGGGTTGGCCGCTGTTTCATAGAAAACTAGCTGTTCAAGTCGAGATCTGGTTGATACTTGGGTTCCGTCGATATCTTCATGAGGTACTGACTGGGGGCGGGCGGAAATACGAATCAGACCACAATTCTGAACCATCAATACACAAGACGGATGTTTGCTATCGGACTCGGCTCCGCTACCAGCAATAACGTAGCCAGAATTGTCTCTGAATTTGACATAATCTTGAAACGGGGTTGGTTTACTAGTATTTGGTTGGAGTAGTTGCGAAGATGGGGACCCTTCCACTGACACCAAGGACAATATAGTGACACCACCGGGGAATACAATAAATCCAGTATCTCCAGGCTGAGGAACATATAATCGGGGCTTCCAAGTAATATCAGAGTCATTTGAGACGTGTTCATGATGAACAGGGTAAACTTGGTCAACTGACGTGTTGGAGCCATGAAGGCTCGCTTCAACCACAAAATAAGATGTCAGCGCCTGGCGAGTCAGAGATGCTAGTACCCAAAGGGAGTATGTGCTGTCCACGTCGTCGGGAATTTCAGAGTCACCTTCTGAATATTCACGAAACGCGAAGTCAACGATCTCATAAGAATCGATCTCGTCATCGAACAGATTTCGCTGCTGTACCGCTTCAACTATCTCTTTTGCGACGGCTGCGTGCGATTTGAGAGCGGCACCGGTCATCCAATGAGTATCCCAGGCTTCAATTAACCCAGAATTTGTAGCAACCAAGAGGGCACGCTGGCCTCGACGATGAGATTTGCCAGCTTTCGCAGCCACCACTTTTCTCCGCCAAGAAGCAGTTGAAAAAACGTTCTTTAACCCTTCAAAGAAGCCACTTGCGGCTGACCGTAAGGAAGCATTCGGAAATTGAAAGCTGATGGTGGGTTTTCCTTGTAAATCACGAGTAGAAACATGGCAAAGTCGACCAGTAGATAGGATGAGAACAACACCAGCTGGTTCAATATTAACAATGTCCGTTACACATTCACCCGATAATAAATGGGGAATTGAGTCTTGAATCCCGCTTTCCTTTTGTTTGATCAATCCCAATATCGTCGGGTTCGAAACCGTTTCCCAAAAAACGATGGTTCCAGCACAAGGGAGGACGATAATCAAGCCAGGCTCTGAATGGGTAGAGGCGGAGATTAAAGTGCCAAGAGGAAGCGGATCATTGGAAGAAGCTAATGTTTCTGGCAGCGAGAGGATAGCCACCTCTTCGGTGCCGACTGATGCATATGGTATGGGGCATACGATGGCGTGCTTGCGCGTCAAAAAGAGGTAGTGGCCAGTGTTTGGAAAGATATTACATCGGAACGGCACTAAAAAAATTAGACTTGAGGGAGCCAGAACTTTTTGAAAGGCACCCACCTTGTAAATTATCTCTGACCTTGGTTGGGAGAGAAGGTAGAAGAGTAACGGAATAGTAGTCATTGTTTGCCTATCAACAGCCGCAATTAGCACTCGAAACAGAAGCGCAAAGTTATGCTGCATACTAAAATACTCGAAATATCCAGGCGATCAACACTATCAACTTTTTTCGATCCTCGAAAAGGAATCTCTTTTAGATCTATGGCGCCCGAAGAGGTCGATTCGTCCTCGCCTTCTGAGTCGGAGGGTGTATCTATAGGGCGATTGATAATATCGGCTTCGAGCGCACGCTCCTGTAGTAAAGGTCGCTGTTTTTTTGCTTTGGGAGGCGTCGCAACATCATCTGAAGGGCGCTGTCGCCGGCGAGAGTTTCTCTGAATTGTAGGATACTGAGATGCGGCATTCGTGGAGAACATGATGGCAAATGAACACCACCGAGAAAATCAGCATTGAAGCGCAAGGTGTCTCAGCTTGACAGAATAACAGCCCGGATTCCAGACAGACTGGGTCTGTTCGCGCTCAGCCGCTTCACTCCGCCGTTTTTGTTGTTTTGAAGCTCAACCTCGAAAGCTTCATACGAGCTTACATAAGCAGGGCCACGTTACTAGTGGTAACTTTCCGGAGCTTGAATACTGAATCCATACAAGCATCAATACCCCGCACAACCACCAATAGAGCCTATACATGTGGTGTCGATGGTGGGTGAATTGCCCAAGGGCGCTCGAATGCATTTTCTATACTGCTCTGTCGATAGAAGGTAGCAAAGTCTTAGATATACTGTGATCACAGGAATCCTATTATTATTGCTGCCGCTAGCCAGAACGGTGTTCTATGTGATAGTTAAGCCCTCGCAGAGCCATGCTAGTCGGCTTGTGTGGAGGTTATTACTGTTTTCTTTTTTGTCTTATCTTATTACAGACTCATTGACAGATGTGTCTTAGGTATTTGTGCAGGGAAGCACTCAGTTGCAAAATACCTGATTCAAAAGCATGGCTTCAAATTGCTTCGATTGACTACGGAACCCCGTCGGTCTTCTCAAGCCGAAGCTAGTGACCAGCTACAACTTCCTCCCAGTAGCTATATTTCGGAACCCGCTGCACACTCATTCCAGTCAGCTGATGATCTAGTGCACTTTGTTACAACCAGATGGCGGGAACAATGGGTCATCACTGATATGTCCAATGAAGCTCTTCTTGAAAAGTTACTACTGCGGCCGTTTTTCCTTCTTGTCAGTGTCGATGCCCCTATAAGCCTGCGTTGGTGGCGGTTTACAGATAGGTTGCTCACCTGTGATGTTTTATAATATACATATATTAACAGCCCATGCAGATGTTGGAGGAAACAGTTAGAGCCACCAGATCTAGAAAAATTTGTGCTTTTGAATGATCAATGTCAATATGGACAGAAAAATGGAGTTATGTATTTGGAGAGCAGGGCCCATGTCCGGTTATTCAATGCATCGTCATCAATGCAAGATCTATACGCAGCGTTAGATCAGTTGGACCTAATGAACCAGCAGCGACTGCGACCCTGCTGGGATCAGTATTTCATGCAGCTTGCCTCTTTAGCTGCACAACGAAGCAATTGCATGAAACGACGTGTCGGCTGCGTCCTTGTGAAAAACCGACGAGTCATGAGTACAGGCTACAATGGTACGCCTCGCAATACTAAAAATTGCAACGACGGAGGATGTGTGTTTTACCTTGAGTTCTATCTGATATTTATTTCTGCTAATATTTCGAAGGCCCTCGTTGCAATCTTGATCAAGGGAGCGGGACCGCATTATCGACATGTCTTTGCCTTCATGCTGAAGAAAATGCACTTCTAGAAGCCGGACGGGAAAGAATCGGGGACGGAAGCGTCCTCTACTGCGACACGTTTGTTTTCCTTCTTACAAGTATATTTTGCTATTCAGATACTAACTATTCATACCAGTTGCCCCTGTCTTACCTGTAGCGTGAAAATAGCACAGATGGGTATATCCGAAGTCGTTTACTCCGTGGGGTATAATATGGACTTGGAAGTCTGTCTTTCCACATCCAAGATATATGCACCATGTCTAACTTTCTTCAGACAGCTGCGATCCTGAACGAGGCTGGCGTGAAGCTTCGCCAATTTCTGCCCGTGAGCCATCTTATCCTGTTTCCATTCCAGCGGCTAATTTTAAGGGTAGCCGCCTAACAATTTAATTGACCTTCGGGATGCATCTAAGAACTCTGATATCCAAGAATCATCAGAATAGGGTATGGGTTAGCCTACAAGGCCGGACGCGCGCCCAGGACACGATATTTGCCTAGTTACCTGGCCTTCTGCATAGTCTAGAAAAACAAATTCTCTTACCAGAAATACCTTCAATGTTTACACCGGCTTTATTGTTTTTAAAGAAACTATTAACCCAACAACTGTTTTATAAAGTTAATCAGAAGATTTTCGCCACTTGAATTGTTGCGCTTTGTAAAAAAGGGCGACTTGGATGCTTCTGATAAGCACCGTTGATAGCACTTCGTACTCTATGGAAATATTAGACATTTATAATAGATTGTCTTTAAGTATGTGTTCTGAATCCAAAAATGCGCATATTCCCTTGCACCAATACCAACAAGAAACCCCGCGATTATAAGTCAAAAGATAAATGGCAACTTAAATCAAATCCGAATCACTTTCAAAGGAAGAGTCCTCCAACTCTAAAGAAGCGATTGCCTCTTCAGCTTGCCGTTGAACCTGAAAACAGTCAGCATTTTGATACCAAATGCTAGAGTGTAGTTTTTACCTCCTTCAACCCACTAACTTCTTCTATATATCCACTCTCATTTATTGCTCTCTGAACGAATTCCCAGCCATGTGCTCTATATGCATTAAGAACGGTATTTGAGCAAGCACTACAGAACTCATAGCTTCGACCAGTGACATTCATAAATGAAAATGTAGATAAAAACCCTCGTATTTGATGTGGAACAATGCCCAAGGGATTTGGAGATTCAACCCCATTTTCTGAAGTAGTAGGAGCTGCCACCCCCTCCGGTTGTTGGAGGAGTGAGATAAAAAGTTCGACTAACAGGGAAGAAGCCATCATAGAGCCTCCTGGTCTTGTTACTGTGCACTGTTGGTCGAGTGTCTGTGCTTTTGCCGACTGAAACTCGGGATTAGAAGCAGGGGAAACTGGAGATAACGAGAATGACTTACGTTTGCTGGTGCTACAATATCGTTGCAAAAGTAACAGCCGAGACTGGGCTCTACTTTTGAATCACCGTGACGCATAACGAGGAAGGTGTCAAATCCCAAGGCAGCATTCATGACAACCTTTCCAGCAGCTTTTCCCATTACAGTAGGGAGCCAGCGAGATTCTCTAGTGTCCATCAATAGAAATACAGCATCATGTTCGTCAACGAGACGTTTTAAAGTTTCGTAATCAGTCTTTGCTTGATCGGGGTTTACCATAGGATGTCCAGCCATGGGAATGGATAGAACATAGCCTGTAGAAGAGACCCCAGGATAAATCTCTTGGAGAGATTCTGCTGCACGTAGGGCTTTCTTGACACCGCCATCCAGGCAATCGGTAAAAGCGAATAAGGGTTGCCTTACAGGATTAGAAAACGACACAGAGCCATTATCCACAAATGTGATTGTTTTTACACCCCAAGCCTTACTTCGTGTCAGCACACAGGTATTTGTTGCTTTTATGGGAACCATACCAGTAGACATCTTGCAACATAACACCCCAGGGTTCCTGCGCCGAGAAGCAAGCATTTAGTATTCTTAATTTTTTGCAAGTCAAGACCAGGGCTAATTCTCCATTTCATTAGTGTCAAATTGAGATCTACAGATTGGTCTGCCAATCTATAATAGAAAATTCATCAGTTGTTTTTCGTAATTCTTCTCTTTAACTTGAAGCCATACCTTTGAGGATCCATATATTCCGTAAGATTCACTACACGACCAGATAACTTGCCGGAAGCATTTCGCTCCCATCCACTGACCTTTGGCATTGTCAGGTCGGCATTGCTCACATTCTCCACAGACTCGGATATCAAGTCAACAATGATGCTCTGGACTTCCATGTTCGTTGCCAGAATGTCACGGTAGCGAATTATTCGCACTCGATTAAGTCTCCACTTATACCGGATTAGAATGAGTAAATTCCTTAACATCCAGCCGGGAGTATCACGATAATTCGATGGATCAGCAAAACACACAAAGCAATCCTCTGTAGCAGAATCTTGAAAGAACCCTGTCTCATAAGCAGAAAGTGACGAAACAACCCAGGATAACCCATGCTCCTTATTGCCCGAAAGTGCTGTGGGTTGACTTCTTTTGGCAAGGAAAAAACCGTGTTGGCATACATCTGCCTTGTGCCGCCAATTTTGCACAGCGGTCACCAAAGCATTTCTACCATCAATAGTCAACTGTTCTAAGGAGGGTTGAGATGAAGTGCCTATTCTGATAGCAGAGTCCTTAGGCTCAGAAGCGTTTACCAAAGACCATGGCGGGATTGAATGGATGGCTGGAAATGCAAACCAGTATGAAAACCTATACTTCTTGAGATCTGCAAACGAAAGTGCTAAGAATGATGCGAGAATGGAGGGCTGAGAATAGACAGTTTCGTCCATTATCGAGTCCCAAATCTGGAAAATAACAATCAGCCAGTTGCCAGATGAATTATGTCAGGATCAGCAACTTACTCGCTGTCCTGCTTCTTGGAGCAGTGCGCTCTTGTCGGAATTTTGGTAATCTTCAGCAGTATTGAAGTTTTTTATTATACCGTCGGCCCTAAAGGAGCCAGTAGGGACCCTATAAGGGCTTAGTAGAATGCCATAGTAGTCTTAGACGTAGACCCACTCGTCTATTACTAGAGCATTTCCGTTGATCTGCATTCGGCAAGATGCCTGAGGTAGATCGGACGGCCGGAGTTCATAGAAACCCAGGAGCTTGCGAGCCGAGTCATCGAGCTTATCATGGTTCAGCTTCCGTGAGGCAAGAGATGAGTAGAAAGGGATTTCTATATCAGAGATGAATGGTGTGTACTGCATTTTGAATGTCTCAAAGTATAGGTTTGAGAAAGTCTACATATTAACCTAGGGTGATTGTCAGAGGGAAAACTTGCAACATTTCAAGTTGCGTTGCCTCCATATAGATAGAGTTGACATTGCCCGCCCCATAGTTACCTAGTCACCGGGCCTGTAAAATACGGCATGGAATTAATGCCAGATACGAAGCTCTCTTTCGTCCTCCGTATAAAGCGACCATTGAGCTTACTACATTGAGGCTCACCTGAGATGGATGGGTTCCCATGACCTTCCTCAGCCGTACGGTTTTGGAGTATTTACTGATTCAAGGAGAATTTAATACATTAGCATTCGCGCGCGTGCTACACACAAGAAGTACGCCCTCAGCTGCTCCAGGCCGGTGGAATGGGAACCCCATCCATAGCATGCATCGGTGTCATTGGCAAATCGGTATTGGTCCTGCATTCCTTCACCGAAAGCCAAGGAGTATTTCACTGAAATCTATTAAATGTAGGATAACCTCCTTCACCTTTCGATATTTCCACCCCATCAAAGTGCCCAGTTAGAGTTCTCTTTAATTCTCAATTCCTCTCTCGACATACTCGATTTGCGACAACGCCAGACCTCTGTCAACCAGGACTTTGGCTTGTTGCACTCATTAGATGAGAGATTTGCAGTGCACGGTTGGTTGACAAACACGGGAGTGAAATTTCTGATAATCGTTGATCTTGAGGGGAAACCAGCTACGTCTGACAAGTCAAATCTGCTAGTTGGTCTTCGCGACTCTGATCTAAAGCCAGTGAGGAGCAGAGTCATTCGCGCATGAACCGGAGTCTTGTCTAATTATTTTTTTCAGGCTTTTCGTGCATTGCAGACAGCATATGTGAGGCTTTTGCAAAACCCTTTCTATAATCCAGATGAACACAATCTCGACAGTGGGGACTCATCGGCGGGGACCACGAGGATAAAAAATAGGCAGTTCATAACTCAAGTTAACCAAATTGGCGAAACATGGGCTCCTGGGGTGTTGAACTTTCAGGGTTTGACGTAACGCATAATTTATCTGTCTCTGGAAGAAAAAAACCTTTTTAGAAACATATAGAACTGGATTCTATCGTATTTCTACCCTTTGATATATGTTCTGCAATTATCCGTTTCGTCCCTCAATCCAACATTTCACTTGTGTCTATGTAGTGCTCCGTATGTATAGATAAGGTTTACAGCGCTCCACAGAGCCCAGTTATGTGTATATTGCCGCTATCCTAATTAGGCTTAGTGTAGGGTTTCGCACACACTCCGCCTCCAAAATCTTTTGAGCGAAAACCACGACGAGCAATATTGGACTCCACGGTGGTGCAAAAGGACAACCACGGTTTTTCACAGCAGCCATGGGTGAGTATTGACGCTGAGGAAAACGGACACTGTTTTGTCTCTTCTTCTGCGTACGAAGCCAATACTGATAATTTTTGAATATCGCAGGTATCGATTTAGACCGTCACCATGTGCGCGGCACCCACCGCACCGCGCCCAAGAGCGATAACGTCTACCTTCAGCTCTTGGTGAAGCTGTATCGCTTCCTTGCTCGTATGGCACATCCTTTCCCTTGATAGAGATGGGTCCGGGGTTTACTAATATGGAGGGAAACAACAGGCCGCACGGATTCGAACTTCAACAAGGTCATTTTGCGCCGCCTCTTCATGTCCCGTATCAACCGCCCTCCAATTTCCCTTTCTCGCCTGGTGCAAATCATCAAGAAGGACAATTCGGAAGAGTCGATTAGCAACAAGACCATTGTCATTGTCGGCACCATTACCGATGATGAGCGCCTGCTCACTGTTCCCAAGATGTCGGTTGCCGCGCTCCGGGTCACTGCTACTGCCAGAGCCAGAATCGAAAAAGCCGGTGGTGAGATCTTGACTCTGGATCAGCTCGCTCTTCGCGCTCCTACTGGCGCAAACACCATTCTGCTCCGAGGAAAGAAAAACTCTCGGGAAGCTGTCAAGCACTTTGGATTCGGCCCTCACAGCGGAAAGGTATGTCTTCCCGGGCCCTTCTATACGACTTTCTTGTCTAACTATGAAAATAGAAACCCAAGGTTGCCAGCAAAGGCCGAAAATTCGAAAGAGCTCGTGGACGGAGACGATCGCGTGGCTTCAAGGTCTAATTTATCGCATTATGTTTTTCTACAATCATCGACCTGTGTTATTCACTTAGCTAGTCGGGTTTTTGAGTCAATCGAAACGAGTTTCTTATTCTCTAACTCATCGAATGCTAAGGGAAACATGTGTACGCGGCGAACGAGTATTCAAGGTGTTGTGAGGAAATTCAATTACCGCTTTATGGAAGGTTCAAGCATGATGTACACACAAGCTGGGTTGACAAAATTGAACAAATCAAACTACTTAAATACAGCCTATTCATCTTCAGTAGGCAACTCTTTGTGTTTCCATTGCTTTCCTCCATCACCTTGGAATTCTCCAGCAGTATGGCCATTGCCTCTGATGAGATACTTGTAGATTGTTAGTCCTTCGAGGCCAACTGGTCCACGAGAATGAATTTTGTTTGTGCTTATTCCAACCTCCGTACCAAAGCCGTACCTCATTCCATCCGCCATTCTTGAGCTAGCATTCCAGTACACACCTGCACTATCAACACCAAGCAGAAATCGTTCAGCCACCTCCTTTGAAGATGTCAAAATAACGTCAGTATGCTTTGATGAATGTGCATTGATGTGGGACATCGCTACATCTAGCGTTGACAAGGAGGCGGTGGCTGATATTGTTTTGACTGCTATAATCAAATCCAAAAATTCGGTATCATAGTCCGAATCTTTTGCCTGTTGTAAATAGGCTGCTTGAGCAGGTGAAATTCTCCCTTGGAGAGCATCGTTGGATAGTTTATCACAGCGTAGAGTCACACCTTCAGCGATCAATGCCTCGGCAACAGGTGGTAGCAAGGTGTGCAACGCTTCTTCATCTACGAGAAGAGTCTCGACCGCGTTACAAGCCGCGGGGTAGTTCGTCTTTGCATCGACTATGACACTCCTCGCCATAGAAACGTCTGCATCCCCACGAAGATATATTGAACACAAGCCATCAGCGTGCCCAAGCACTGGAATTTTTGTATTGGCCTTTATGAAGCGAACCAGCTCATTGGACCCCCGAGGTATAACAAGGTCTATCTCCCTATCTTGAGCCAGAAGAGGTAGAATAACATCTCTCGACTCTACGAGCTGAATGGCAGCGTTGGGCACGTCCGTGGATGAGAGAGCGTCTGAAACGACGTGCGCTATTGCTTTGAAAGACTCAATAGATTCCTTCCCACCTAGGAGTTCGGATTAGAAAATGGCCTCCCACAAAAACTTCAACACGGGTTGTACCTTTAAGTATAGCTGCATTTCCAGACTTGATGGAGAGCGCGGCAATGTTCGCGATTACCTCCGGCCGGGCTTCGAATATGATCAGCAAAACGCCGATGGGGCAGCTCACTCTTTCAAGGATCAGCCCATCATCCAGCAGAGTCCGTAACGACAATTTTCCCACTATGGATGTTGAATGAGGATTATGTCAGTGGGACTTGCAGGATAGAATTTGAGGTGACAAGGCTTACATGGGTCTTCGAGGTCTCGAACATCAAGGATCCCGCGTAGCATTTCATCGTATTTTCCTGGGCGGCTCAAGTCCAGTCTCTTCAATACACTCTGGCTTAACTTCCCTTCATTGACAGCTTTTGTTGCATGTTGGACATCTTCGGCATTTGCGCGCAAGATGCGCTCCTTACTTTGGCTGAGAGCAGAGTGAATTGCGGTCAATGCATTGTTTCGGGCCACGACGGGTAGAGTGCCAAGCTGCCTCGAGACAACAGAAGCAAGGCAGGCTATTTCTGACGGACTGGACACCGTCAGGGACATTGTATACAGGTATGTTAGGCAATTTTTCCCATATAGGCAATCCAGTCACTTTTTTGCCTCATGGTGCCCCGCCTGGCCTTCTGCCCCTATCACGTGCTTCCCTCGCCCCGCAACGATTTTGGTTAAGGTTCCGCAAAGCCAAAATTTCAACAACTTTCTGACAATGTCTTCCTTTGGTTTAATTAGTCTAAGGAATTCAACACTTAATGTTAATGGTTAACTAGTTGACTACGGAGTATGTAAATTGCTACTAATCTCAAAGCTGCAGGGTGCACAGAGCCTTTCAACATGAGTACCACGGATAATTTAGAATTCTTGCTTTGCTTGCAGAGAGTGCTATAGCACTATTTACTCCACCCTCCGTTCGAATTTTGTCTGCACATGTTTGTACTCCGTATATTGAGTGTACAGACATATCTATAGGTATGTAGCATATTGATCAAGTGGGCATAAAGCCTAAAGAACCAACTGACGAGAAATAGTTACATCAGAATAACATTGATTTACAAATACCTTCTTCTCACATTTCTAACTATGAATGAAGAGTGGAAAGCCTACCACCCAAGTAACCTGCTTCACACACAGGAATGGATAGCAAGATACAAACCTGGCGGGTACCACCCTGTAATCCTTGGTGACTGCCTCAATGATAGCCGCTATACCATATACCACAAATTGGGATGGGGTGGCTACTCGACAGTCTGGCTTGCTCGCGATCACAGGTATGCCTGGTAATGAAACATCATGGCAAACCAAGCGTGCTAACATTTATAGACTTCGCCGGTGGGTGTCAATTAAGATTATTACGGCAGATAGCTCGCAAAAGTCCAAGGAGCTTGAAAATTTGGAAATCTTAGCCAAGAAATCTCAAAGTGGACTTTTGAAAAACTACATCGTTGAAGTTTTTGATCACTTTTTTCATAAAGGGCCCAATGGAAACCATCTCTGTATTGTTTTTGAATTACTTGGGCCCACAATCAGCACAGTTCTTCAGGACTACAGTGATGGTGGAGACCGCCTGGACGAAGACACTATTTTAAAATTGACAAAGCAATTGTTAATTGCTCTTGCTTTTATACATAAGTCTGGCTTAGTGCATGGTGGTAGGCCCCCGGCATTGCTATTTTTATTTGTTGACATTCATCTGAAAAGCGAACAGATATCAGCGGTAGAAACATTGCATTCAGCTGTAATCGCCTCTCACAACTATCTGAAAAGGATCTTTTTGAGGTTCTTGGAGCACCTAGAGTGGAGGATCTTGTCAGAATTGATGGGGCGCCGCTAGCAGATGGCATGCCTCATCAAATGGTTGAAGCTGCAAAATGGGATGATTGGATAGATGAAGATGATGAGGACCTGCGAATACTTGATTTTGGAGAGGCATTTCATCAAGGTAGTGCGCCTAGCAAGCTTTCCCAACCAGGAAACTTGCAAGTGCCGGAGTCGATAATGACAGATCACCTCGATTACAGGCTTGATTTATGGCGTGCTGGCTTGATGGTGATTTTTTTCTTCTTTTGTTTAGCTAACCTCCAACTTGCTGACTTCAAACTAGATCTATTCCTTTGTGTTTACATCAATTCCATTTTTTTACCTTGGTGATAATACCGCCTTAATCATGCGGATGGTCCAGTTTGTGGGCGGCGAGCTACCGAATGAATGGAGGGACAAATGGGAACGATTGGTTGCTGAGAGGGCCCAGGACAGCTTGGCTCGTACGTGTAATATCTAGTGGATAACTACCATCTTTGAATTTACCATTAACACTGCCTGTTTACAGAGAATGGCCACCAATCCGAGTCAGAGCTCGATATGAGATTTGATGGAGTACACGAACCAGCGCTCAAGGGACTATCAGAAACCGTAAAGAGCCTATTAAGACTCAACCCTTCCGATCGAGTTTCTGCACAAGACGCCCTGGACCTACTTCCTACTAACACTACTTGAAATATGTAGGCAAATGATAACAGGTTTCTACTTTCTAAGGGTGGCTATACCTGTGTCGCTGCGATACATGGTAATAAATGAGTGATCTCCCTGTTCGAAACATCTTGGTTCCAACAAGCAAGCTGCAGTACAAAATTAAAAACAAGTTACAAAAAAAAAGAAAATGGTGAAACCAAAATTGAAAATGCAAACATCTCATACCCCTCTACCATAAACCCTTTCGGGTTATATAAGGATCAAGGTTTGAACACCGCACCAAAATACCAATACGGTGATGTGTAGATGTGAAGAAAGTCATGGAGTCTGTGATTGAGGCCCATGTTTATTGGATTTCGCTTTGATGTCCTGCGTATGTCTGTTCAAGCGGCTTCCAGCTAGGAGCCTCAGAATTCGGTATTGATTTGGCAGGTTGTCGAAAACCCTTCGACGTTTTCGAGGAATAGTCGCACATCTCCCTTGACCTGTTGCTTCTTATTGGGCTCGATAGTGACCCGAGATAGCTCTTGGGACATATTCGGCGTTTCCGACTTCCCGGTTTTACCCCATCCTTCTTTTCTATTGACAAGGGCATGGACTTGCCAACCAAAGGGCATACTCTTCCATCCCCCCTGATTGACCTGCACGCCCTGGAGTTCGAAGAAAAGCATGTATACTTCGCCACGGAATTTGGCACAAAGGCGATATTTTGATTTGAACAGCTCACTGTTGCAGTCTGTCCAGGGTGAACACCATGTCTGGTTTCTGACGGCGTTCGATGGTCGTCGGAACTTCATTGGGGGTCGGATTGGCAAGAGCACAGGGCACAGCTAAAAGAGCAACAGAAAAGATATTCTTGAGCAACATTGTAGTGGGTTGGAAAGAGAAATGCAGTATTCAGCTTGAAGATGAAGGGATGTATTCAAGTCGATTGGGGAATGAAGCAGAAGAGCATAGGAACGGCCTACTCTTTATACCCTTGGGATCTGGAGAATCTCAGTGTGAGGTACTCTATAGGGAATGCAAATTCTTGGTTATCATCCTAATGGTACAAGAAGCTGTCTTCGTCGCAGATCTCCGCGGGGGTCTGTGTGGCCTTTTCCTAGGAAGGATCTGTGTACTCCGTATGGACAGCAGAATCGTAATAGGACTACGAAGAGCATTGAAATCTGCCCTCCAGGACTCTTTCAATCTGACGTCACACGAAGTACCCTTGTGAGGAGGCATGAGCTGGGGGGTGGGGGTATACGCCGCCGGGTGGTGACTTCCAGGCTGCACCGGCAGCTAGTAAATTAGCAGCCCGTGGTTTTCCGCTCTTGAAAGCATTTTAGCCATTCGGAAGCCCAGGCCCTGACGCATACCTAGTCAATCAAGGACGCAAAGTTTATGGAACTCGGGTTTATGTAATTCAGGGATATACATACACATATAGTAGTGAGGTTGTTCTGAGAAGTTTCATCTGATGCATTCTGGTTATGGTTAAACATATCAGCCTGGAGTCAATAACACTCCATTAACTAGTTAATTGTTAGGGCAGGTTGCAGCGCGAGCCGCTCTGGAGCCCGGCGAAACATCGTCTGAAGGCCTGAGCCGGCACAGCTGCCTCAGCTTCCATGACCAGGCCCTTCTCAGCTTCTTGTCACAACAAACATGCATGCTTGCAACGTCAGCGCCCAGTCAACAGCAATCCCTAGACTAAGGCAGCGGTATGGAGTGATTTGGGAGATCATGTGTTGAGGAACCTCCACGGCGGGCGCCGAGTCTCTGGTTGTTCGCCGAGTTATATGCCGCTCAGCTCAAAGGATGATTACGGTTTGGGTCCTTGTGTTAAGGCCGCCGGCTTACGCTGCACGGGCCACCTTGGGCTGCTGCCTGCGAAGTGACACCCCTGGCGTTCGCGCGCCCTACTGCTTGGGAGCCCAGAGAGACTGGCCTGGGGTGGATAGCGTTCGCCTCGTGTTTCAAAACACCCTGCCCAGAGGTGACTACGGAGTAGTTAACAGCTTATTGACTGCAAGCCGACCGAAGTCCAGTCATTACGGAGTAAATACTTCTGGATCTTAAATACAGCCGCCTTTTGCCCTTTTCTTCTTGCATCCTACTACTGGGAATAGTGCATGCAACCCAGATCCTGCCTCGTCCATAACTAATCGCTAGCCATCAAGATAAATGGCAAGGGGTTTTGATTCTTTTGAATGGTACTTTCGAGTCCAGAGGGTGTGATGAAGTTCTACCATGACTCTCAACTGGGTACGGAGTAGTTAACTAGCTACTTCGCACAGCAGCACCAACATAGAAATATCCACATCTCTGTCTTCTAAAACACGTTTTCGCCGGATTTATTGAAAGAATACGAGTATGATGAGCGACCCTCATCGCCATCTGGCTATTTCTTCTTTCTTAGGTAGGGTCCCTACCCTGGTTCTCTTCAAGTGTATACCAAGTCTAAATATTCTAGTTACATATTCTAAGGCCGATAGCGCACTCTTCGTATATAGGCACTGAAAACAACAACCGGAAACTGTTGGAGGGGAAAACTCCCAAATCTTTATGACATCGTTGAAAGAACGCCTTGATTAATCTCATCTGCCCAGTACAGAAAGAAGCCGTCATTGTCCCCGGGGGCCGATGCAACATACAGACAGATCCATCTTTCCCGTAAAACGAATCCCCCTTCCCATGCTCCTTCCTCAACATTATATCCGCGTGTTTTAGAACTCAGCATTCAGCTGGCATGATCGTAACGGAGTGTCACCAAACTCAATGGCGAATTCACCGGTGACCTTTTGCTTGCCGGCCACGGGAGCTACTGGAACAAAGCTTTCACGGAAGCTTCTGTACGCTGTGAAATCGGTGATATTATTAAGTCTCTTGTCGTTAAAGGTGACTGTTAGGACATATTTATACGACCCATTTTGATGAAAGGGCTTCCATTGCTTCAACTTTTCCCAGTATGTAATCGTATCCTTCACTTCGTAGTCCAACCAGGAGTCGCCATCTTCGGTCGTGAGGCAGAACCGATATTGTAGTTTTACTTTATCACCGCTATTGCACTCCTGGTACTGTGAACAAATTGGATTGGCGACGATGCAAGGCGTAGCCAAAAGAGCAAGAGGCAAGACCCCCTTGAGCAACATTATGGTGGCTTGGAAACTGGGCTTTGAGAAACTTGATTCGGAGATGGAAGTTCAGGATGCACAAGGCCGAAGGTTGGATGGGGATGCAGCATACAAGGGGAAGAAGCCATTGTCTATATGTTTGTCCTGGTGAGTCAGGTATAACGGTTGAGTTTGATCTAGTTGTACGAGATGTAGATCATTGAATACCCATGGACAACCATAAAACCTCCGTGGAATGCCTTAGATTCTCATCGTGGAGCCCTAAGAAAACATTTCTCCGCCCCCTCCTGTTCCTCCCAGAAGGATTTGCAGAAGAAAATCTTGATATTTTTTGGGTCTGATAATCGAGCTGATCCTGTGGGATTCCTGAACCCCTTTACCAACACAGAGCACGGGGGATTGTACCTCCTATAATACTGCCCTTTCGCTTATTAATATTTTCAGCAGTTTTCCAGACGCGAACATCCCTGATTAAAGGATGTACTCCGTAGTGACTTCTCCTTTCTTCTGCAAAAAACGCCGCTGAGAGAATCCAGCATCCTCAGCCAAGGGACACGTCTAATGACCAAACTGCGTCTACCATGGTACAGTATGGATGTACGGATAAAGTCCATCTCCATGCCTCCTTAGCAATTGTGTCTTAGTAGTAGTATTGAGCAACATTAACGAGCTGGGATGTGGGGCAAGTCTCCACAAACAAAACATTCGCGGCTGTGGAAACCTGGTATGGTTCCGGGCGGTTTTATATTCCCGCAGATCTAAGACTTCGGCCAGCCATTTTTAGCATCTATACCCAATTATTAAGGCCCGTGTCTCTCCACGACTGTCAAAGCGTCCTACTCAGTAAAACAGGTAGTGGCCCTTGTAAGAGCTGTATGTACCTTGAGAGAACAGCCACGGTCTTTAAAGTGGACCAGTTGTGGTTTTGCAAGTTAGCACACTACTATCCAAGACAATTGATATTGAAATAGTAACCACCAGCAAAAAGTGTTTGTTTCCCTATTTGCATGTGTCATACACGCAATATGTTGTTGGAGACCCCTAGGCATCAAATAGGTCACTAACTGCTAGCCATGAAGTTAAATGATTAAAGAGAATGCCTAGAAACACTTGCAACGGAGGCGGCTGTGGTGTACGTTTAAAAGCATATAGACTGGTGCGTCAGAGCTATAGGAATTGTTTCCCATGTCACATCTCCTGGAGAGTTCCACAAATATAGCTGCCTAAGCTTAGGGAAAGCAAGGCTGCGTTTGGTAACGCGTCTTAGGAGGCCCAGATGCGAAGTGGAAACGAAATAGAGTTAGGAGTTGTAGTCCAGAGTAGTAGCAGCTTGAGCTCCTGAATAGTTTTGGGGGTGATTTCTCGTTGTTCCTCAACAGGGGCATAGGCAATCATAAGACGAATTCGCCGCTAGGTAACCTTCTGTGAAAATCATGTGGTAGTTATTTATCAACTGTTCACCATATAAATGTAGATAACATTATTTTCTGGTAGATAGCTAGGCGAGCCCAGTCGTAATTCGAGAACTATGTGGGTGATAAGTAGTAGGTATGTGCGAATACTCATACAGTAGATCATATTGGCCTTCGACGGCATTTATGATGACCTTGAACCATTTCCGCTATAATGATCTACGAATCTCATATGAACTAGTAGTATTCGGTTAGCATTAAGCTCAAGTGTTTATTATGGAATACTTTTCTGTCAAAAAAACACGAGGGCTGAAGCCGTTGGTTCTCCTCTGCTGTCCACGCCTTGCTTCATTGGGAGGGAAAGTCACAAGTTGTTGATGTTGTTACATCGGTTGAGAGAAACGAAACTTTCAAAAATCATTAATTTTCTTGAGTGCCTCCTTTACGCATTGATATTCTCCAAGACACCAACAAGTCGCCGGCGAAGAAAGCCGTCATAGCTCGTACTACTCCGTATTAGGCTAGTCAAATCTTAAAGTTCAAAGCGTTGTGTGGAAAATCCACATTCGACTGATTGGTGCTAGCGTTGGAATCGGTCTCTTAGGGCGGGGCAAACGGGCCGACAACTGTTAACTGGTTGCCATAGTGGGGTCTATGCTGCCCCGTAGTTACTTGGAGCTCCTTGAAAGATATCCAAGCAACAGCTTTGCACAACAAGCCATTGTCTTCTCTCTATACAGGAAACTCTTCTCACCGAAAGGCTTCTGTTTTTCAGAATATTTTCAGGAATTAATCTGCATGTTATTGGGGCCAGAAAGTTTATGAGAGCAGAGGCTTATTTCTTTCGGCAGCCGAAGTGTAGGACGAGTTTCAAGCCTGCCCGCTGGGGCCTTACTTTGTCCACTTGCACAAGACATTTTCAATAGCCGCGAATTTAGGTGTGAAAAGGTGCAATCTCTTTAGTCCCAGGCCGGCGGCGTTGTCCTGCCGCTTTGATCGAGCAGAGATGGCGGACTTGTTTGGCCTGTTGACCTCCTTCCCCCCACACTCGACGCCGGGAAACACATCGGAAACGGAGATTGAGCAGAAGGCACATGAATTCGTATCCCATCTTCGCAAGATTAGCCCCAGTGATTTTACCAGGGCAATTCCTAACCTTCAAACTCTTGATGTAAGCTTCCTGAGTACTGCCATGGCAGCCAAGCAGTTTTCACTAATATTCTCGAAATAAGAGCGTCTTAGATCCTAGTACCCGTTCCATAAGCTATTTGTTTCTTCTACTTGCCCACCATCAAGCGGCTCAAAGCTCAACGGCCCAATCTTTTGCCGCTATCGTGCGGCCTGGTGGAGGATTATGGTGCAAAATTGCGGCGTTCTTACAGGTGTTTGATACTGTTCAAGTGAGATATGCTGGGCATGAATTTAATAAATTGGTTGAACTTTTTGCAAAAGAGAGTGAAGTTGGGCTAAAGGTATCTCTGTAGATTTTCCTCCCTTTATGGAGTTTGTTATTAACATCCACAAGCCGCTCTCAGCCATTACCTCAATCCAACAAGCAATGCTTCGATTAGACCCTTCAGGTTCTACCTTCACATCTATCCACACAATATTTGTCCGCCTATGCCTGCTTGCGCAATGTTATCTACCTGCCACACGGGTCCTGGACCGGAATATATGCCACTTCCCAACAACCGCCGATAAAACCTTTATCAAATGGTCTAAGGCTCTCCCAAGTCATAGGCAGGTACCTAGTGTGTCTTACATTACCGCCTCCTCGGGGCTACCTGGGCGAATCACACACAGAACCTATCTCGAATACTTCCTGTATGGAGCCATGATATATATTGGCTTAAAGCAATGGGAAAGAGCCCGCCACTTCTTGCAAATTGTAATATCAGCGCCGGCTAAGTCGACTATAAGCATGGTCATGGTGGAAGCATACAAAAAATGGGTTCTTGTTACGCTTTTGGAAAAGGGTAGTGTAAGATGCTTGTGATCTTGATATTAAATATCCGGCGAAAAGGGCTAAATAAATGATACAGGTACCATCCATACCTCATACCGTCAGTATTTCAGTGGCGAAAATATACAGAGCATTAGCGAAACAGTATGATGCGCTTGCAGTTATTTTCAAAACTGGCTCAATTGCAAGACTGAAAAGCGAAATCATCGCAGGAAAAGAGTTTTGGCGTAAGGTAGGCCGTTCACTAATCATCATATGTCGGATAAGCATGGTAAACTAACTGCCAGTAGGATAACAACACGGGTCTTGTTATCCAAATCCTCGATGCTTGTCGACGTCATTCTATCCGTAAACTTGAGCAGACATTTGTGGCGCTTCCTGTACCAGATACGGCCCAACGACTTGGCCTAGAAAATCGAAGTGATCGAGATGTTGAATTACATATCGTAAAACTTCTTTCAACCGCCCAACTGAGTGCTCGTCTCTTTCAATCTTCGAATCCTGCAGACCCGACAATACTCCGTTTTGACCACTTTTCTCCCGCATTGAGGGGTGCGGCGGAAAGTAAGTTATGGGACCAGCTACTCGAACAGAAGAAGCGGGTGGACCAGTTAGTGCATGACATATATGGAACTGATATCAAACTGGAGCTGGGCCGAGATTATATTGATGGATTAAAGAAGGCCAAGTGGCGGAAGAATGGCAGCGAAGCTGTCATGATGACAGGGGAGGGTAATAACAGTATGGCTGACTTTGAGGAGGATATTATGGCCGATTTGCATTAGCATAGTAGCGTCACACAAGTCCGGTACATCATGCGACTAATGATATTTTCAAATAGAATACTTGCATATTTACAGAATGATAGAAGCATTCAAACGTGGTAGGTCGTGAACGCCGTTTCACAGCGAGGATTGAAGCCGAAATTTAGATCAGCATCAATTAAACTTCAAAAATATATATAACAAGAGGAATCGAACATAACAATTTTGAGCAATGAGAAAAAACTTGGGATTGAAATTCAGTTTGTTTGGGTTATTCAACCAATAGCAGCTTCACTACCACGATCTGCATGGGACTGGGCCTCCACGCGAGGAATAGGCGAGCCGGTGCCCGAGAGATCTGTCGCTGATGCCTTAGGATTTTTAGTGTAATAGTTAGAAATAGCAGATTTGATGGCATCTTCTGCGAGCATCGAGCAGTGGACTAAGGGAAAGAAAAGGAAAAATTAGTCACTGATATCAATGTCAACTCGGTCAGCACTCACGTTTCACAGGCGGCAAACATAATTCCTTTGCTATCTCTGTATTTCTGATCTTCGCAGCCTCCTCCAAAGTCATACCCCTCACCAATTCTGTTAAATAGCTTGAACTGGCAATAGCACTTCCACAGCCAAACGTCTTGAACTTTACGTCACTAATGGTATTGCTGTCTTTGTCCACGCGAATCTGGAGTTTCATCACGTCGCCGCATGCAGGAGCACCAACTAGACCAGTTCCAACATCCTGGTCTGTCTTTGGCATCGATCCTACATTTCGTGGATTGCTGTAGTGCTCAAGCAGTGCTTAGAATGTTAGCCGGGAGAAGGTCGCTTCGGCAGCCGGCCGTATGGAGTGAAACTTATCTTTTTCGTGATAGCTTCTGCGGACAGGTTGCAAAACAATGGGGGCATGTATTTTGGAAGCAAGAGCTGGGCGGACTGGATGCCGCATCAGCTGCCCAGCAGCAACCCTTGACACATTTATTACTGCTCGTCGGAACATTATGAAAAAAAAGTAACGAGAATTGGGGTATTTAAGCGGACGAAGAGAGGACCTGACGTGTTGATGACTCAAACCAGGGATAAAAAGTGAGATGATGGGGATACGAAGGAGGATGAAATAATAGACAAGCAGTTGGTTTCGGGATAGTTTTGTCTGCTTGCTCTTTGCCACGGACTTACGGGCGTCTTAATGCGGATTTGACGGCATTTGGAGATGGCGTATTTATTAATCAGCAACTGCTTGTTCTGGAACAGATCTAGCTAGCCGTATGAAGTCTAGTGCGGGACATACAAATTAGTAATAGGGTTTGGTGGGGAGCTCGCTGAGGTAACTGCGATCGTCGGCGAGCTATGGCCATCCATATAAAACAGGAACCCTGCCTTCCAACTGCAACTCCTCTGGCCACATCTCTCGGGCTCCATACTCTATCGATACTCCTCCATATACTCTGCTGCTGAAGGAACATGGCGTGTCTTCACACTGCCTCGGAAGCTCTTCACCCCCCAACCCCTAGCCAATCTGTGTATCGCGTTGATTGTACCCAGTGTTTTGATTCAATAGTAAGCTGTGTTCAGCTCTTCTTTCGAGTATATGCGCTAATAATCCTCAAGGACGATGTATCTGGGCTGAATGTGTGTCTCTATTGTTTCAACGGGGGCTGCACTGGAGACAGAGACCATGCGAAGCTTCACCGTGCCCTTTCGGGCCATCCGTTGGCATTGAATATCAAGAGAAGCCGCAAGCCGGTACAGGTTTAGCATCACTCTTCATTCTACCTCTTTTGCGATACAGTCTGTAGCAACGTCAAACTGACCAAATTTTCATAGAGGGACGAACCTCCGCCCAAGATGTCAAAGCTAGCAATTGCCCCTGTGACCGAAGAAGATCGCTATAATACTGTGACAAAAGTAATATGCTACGATTGTGAAATTGATAATATCGATCCTTCTACTTCTCCAAGACTCGCGGAGGTGGTAGACGGGGTCATGTCAGCGTTGACATTTTCTAGGAAGGAGGAAGTCAAAGCCTGGGAACTCGAACTTACGTCCTGCGAGCATGTTTTATGTCTGAACCAAGAAAAAAATGATTCAGTAAAAGCCGAACGTATGTAATTTTGCTCATTTTATTATGCTACTGTCCGCTTTCTAACATACTCTAGAACTAGCCCATTGTTCCCAGTGCGACCTACGAGAAAATCTCTGGCTTTGCCTACAATGCGGAAATGTCGGCTGCGGTCGCAGTCAGTTCGGGGGTGTGGGAGGTAACTCGCATGCACTAGCACACGCTCAAGACTCAAGTCATACTGCCGCAGTCAAGCTTAATTCCATCACACCAGAAGGATCTGCTGACATATTCTGCTATTCGTGCAACGAAGAAAGAATCGATCCAGATCTTGGAGACCATTTAGCTCACTGGGGAATCATGATTGCTGATCAAAAGAAAACTGAAAAGAGCCTTACAGAGATGCAGATAGAACAGAATCTTAGCTGGGAGTTCACGATGACTTCCAATGATGGCAAGGACCTGAAACCTATATTTGGGCCTAGATTCACTGGTCTACGGAATCTTGGGAATAGTTGTTATCTTGCTAGTGTTCTACAATGCTTGCTTTCGCTACAAGAATTTGAGACACGGTATTTTAGACCCAGAGAACAGCCGCCAAGCGCATCTCTGCCAGCAGAAGATCTTGAGACTCAGTTAAGAAAAATTGCAGATGGCCTTATCTCTGGCCGCTATTCTGTTCCAGATTCGGATGTGGTAGCACACACAAGCTCCGAAGATCTACCTTATCAGTCAGGGTTATCTCCAGCAATGTTCAAGCACCTTATTGGTAGAGGTCACGACGAATTCTCAACAATGCGTCAGCAAGATGCCTTTGAGCTCCTTCTCCACCTTTTCAAACTTATTAGCCTTAGCAATAATTCGGACTCTTTGAATCCTGTGGCTTCTTTCCGCTTTGCATTAGAGCAGCGACTGCAATGTCTATCTTGCCAAAAGGTAAGATACAAGGTTGATGAACAGGATAACATTTCTGTACACGTTCCAATTCGTCGCTTAAAAGAAGCCAATGAAACGGGAGAAAACACTCGCCGATCCGGAGCAAACCAGGCTTCCAACTTCCAACGCGTGTCGCTCACAGAATGTCTTGATATTTTTACCGGAGAAGAAATCGTTGAACTAACATGCTCCGGATGTGCAAGTAAGAAAGGATTTCGAAAGCGATCTCTTTTTAAGACATTTCCACAAAACCTCATAGTAAATGCCAGGCGATTTGAACTGGTCAATTGGGTGCCCACTAAGCTTGATATACCCGTTGACGTGAGTGACGAGCCCCTTGATTTCAGCAAATATCTATCCTTGGGCCACCAAGAAGGCGAAATACTACTTAAAGATGAACCTTCACCGCCGAAGGTCGAGTTCACACCCAATTCCGAGGCGGCTAATATGCTTCTCGGCATGGGGTTCCCGGAAGTTCGTGTCACAAAAGCGCTCCATGCCACAGGTAACACCGATGCTGATGCAGCTTTGAATTGGTTGCTCTCGCATATGGATGACCCGGATATTGATACTCCGGTCGTTCTTGAACAGTCTGCCAAACCAACTGAGGATGAGGCGAAAATTTGCCAGTTGACAGATATGGGGATCGGCCGAGCCACTGCCCGGAAGGCTCTCCGCGAAACATCTGGAGACATTGGCAGAGCCGTAGATTGGGTATTTAGTCATCCAGAAGAGGCCGACGATAATGAAGAGGATTCTGTTGGAAGTAAACCAGCAGAACTTCCAGGCTCTAACGACATTACCCCTGTATTTCAATTGCGTTCGATAATTTGTCATAAAGGGCCTTCGGTTCACGCAGGGTAGGTAGGAAAATTTGCGGCGCATAGAATATATACTAATTCTTTTCTAGGCACTATGTTGCGTTTGTACGAAAACAAGTTTCTTCCGAAATGGGTGACAGCTGGGTCCTCTTCAATGATGAAAAGGTCGTGGAGGCAGGCGATATCGAGGAAATGAAACAGTTTGCGTATATCTACTTCTTTCGACGAATGTAACTGGGCACCATACTATAGCATATATTCCATGCATATAGACTTCCCTGCGTTAGGGCATTCTTCACTTCCATGAGTTTGCCACTGTTATAGAATAGCATATTTCAAGCCTCCTAAGACTCGGTTATTTACAATATAAACATCACATCACTTCCGTTGTGCCTACATAACTCGCCTGATGAAGGTGGGATGGCACAAATGCACGTTCGCCGTTTAGGATTTAGTCTATGGTGATCACATTATTCCGCTGGGAAGAAGTCTGAGGTTGTGGGATGTGTGGTTTCGCATTGGATATACTCTTTTCGGGTTGATTGTCTGCCGCGGAATTAAGCTTAGGGCTATCGCGTAAGCTTGTCTGCGATATTTGCGAGATGTAGGCTTTAATTAAGTAGTGAATATTAAAAATGAGATCGCAGGCATTCTCTGCATGTGCGATGCCGCCCTGATTGATGCCTCTCCATCCTGTGCCCTGGCAAGTGTAGATTTTATCTTTCAAACGAAGTTCCAAAGCGGTATGATCTGACTTCACAACTGTCGGCGTGCAATTTTGCAGGATCCAAATAACATGGCCCCTTCGTTGGTTAACACTAAGATAGAAATGATATCTGAGGTATGGGTAACGGATTTGATACTGTTTTGCGCTTCGTGCCGCGAATTGCGTCCAAAAACACCGCGGATTATTTTCACCTGACTCGGAGCAAATTTTCTCTAGTGCACGCAATACGGGTAACGTTAGTGTGAGCAGTTCAGTGGTTAATCTCAGACCACCTTGGTTGAGATTCAGGGTGGCAGAGAGAGACTCCCTGATACGATAATGTGGATTTCGGATATTAAAGTCGATGCCCATTTGAGGTCGCCGCATCAAACTTGCCTGTGTTGAGGTCTTTTCAGGCAAATGTTGAGCGTTATTGCGTTCGTACGAGAACTTGATGCTGCCGCGAAGTTCTTTGTCGTCAGGGTAAATGAAATTTAATCGAGAAGGGCCAAGAGAAAAAGAGTCGAACCCTTGATCTTTCATCAATTCAATCGTAGCAACAGTGTCGCTGATTTCTTGTAGCTTCTCAAGAAAGGACGGGATAATAGGAGCTCCGACTGGAACGCGCAACATTATGGCGAAACGACGTCCGCCCGGCTGGAATGTTACGTCCCCTGGCATATTCGCATATAGTTTAGCCATGTCGGCGGCGGCCGTCTTCAGCTGGCCGAAAATGACCATGATAGCATAACCAGAATGCTGCTCGATCCCTTTGAATGATATCCTAAACGTTTCACCTATGGGAGACCGTTTTGGACTCATGGTCGTAAGATAAAGGTGGGATCGGAACGCACCATCACCGAAACGGAGGTACATGCTTGGTACACGCAGATAGGGTTGTATTGCCAAATTTTTGGCGGCTGGAAAATAACGAATCCCATCGAAAGAATCAAGAAAATCAACGCTCGATTGAAGCATAATCATACCGGAGAGAGCGGTAGCGAGATTTTGAAAGTGAGCATTGTTTAATGGCCTGGACGAGGTACTAAACCAACCGGAAATAGCTTTGGCGCTCGCCAATTCCAGCAACCCCGTATGGCTGGGGACAGTAGAAGCATGTTGAACGTGAAGGCTCACAATCCACCAGGTGTCCCCATCCATGGTGCTGGTGAAAGCAATGAGAAGCGGCAACTCCCAGGATTTGTGGCGAAAAAAAAGCATGGAGCGGAGGGCTTGCGGCGAGAAGACGCGCCTAAGGTGCTCTGGATGGATACGTCTCATGTTAAAGGGCATCCATCCAACGATCTTTGCTTGACGCTCAACTTCCTCTAGGGCGGTTAGACAGCGAATTCTAGAAACTCGTCCAACGAGACTATCAGCAACCCCTTTATCTGATTTTAGATCACTGTCATATCGACTTAAAGTTAACGGCACTATTCGCAGGACGACGTTGCCGGATATCGCGTCCATCATTACCTTCAAGTGGTTCGCCTGTGTGAGTTGCATTTGTAGGTAACCAGGGCTCCTGGATGAACCGTACATTCCTATATAAAGTTCACCCAAGCGATACAAGCGGCTCTCGCGAACACTATCGAAGGCAAGGCGAAGTATGTGAGTAATATGCAAAGATATGACGCTTAGAAGTATTGACTCCATATTAAGTGACTCCAAATTGAATTGTATTTTACTTCCGTCAACTTCTTGGTTATCACGCATCCAGCGAACATGCAAGGATGAATCCGAGGTATTGCCGGGAGTATCGTAGCTAGATCCTTTTCGAACCCCAATTTCAATCCAACTCTTTTTTCCAGCTTGTTTAGTCCAGTATTGTACAACCAGTGTACGACGGAGCAATTCCACGCGTAAATTCTCAGCCCAGGAGTTGCGGGCAAGCTCTACGGCTTGCCTGAAAAGAATGGTGATTTTGTGCGTTAACACAATGTTATGCAATAAGTTGAAACACCCAATGAGCCCGGAGTTCATCAAAGTGGTATTGACCTTTTGGTCCAGGAGCGTACGCAGTCTTTTTTTCGGGTTTGACGAGGGTGAGAATAAAAATCTAATATCCACCAAAAAAAACTGGGCTGTATGGGCTTCAAATGCGACGGATAGATCAATTTCAAACTCAGTAGGGACAGTGAACGTCACTCTTCCATCATGAACTAAGTAATTCGAAAAAATATTTGGAACGTGTTCGAAGAGCGTCAGGCGCATGTTAATTAATTTATTAATTCTCCGAAGAGTTGCTAGCATCGCATGAGGGGTTAACACATCTGGTGAGAAGAACTTGAGCTAGATATGTAGAGTCCTATCAGCATTGTCCTTGACCCAGTTTAAAGCAAAACTTAGTTAGCTGACCGTTGAGCTCGTGCCATTTTCTTCCCCAGATAGAACGTCCAGAGCAATTTCTAGGTCAGGGTTCGCAAACTGGGCTCCGACAAGATCATGCTTCATATCTCCAATCCGTTGTAGCGCTATCGCATAGGATGTATATCGATGGCGAACGAATGCATGAATGTCAATGAGCCTGCTGACTTCACTCGCTTGCCGACCCCACTGTGAAAGTACAAGCAGTTTAATGAATTCTGCCCGCCTTGACTGTGCGAAATCTAGAATACGAATCTTCTTCAAAGTATCTTCCGCCGCTTGGTCCGCGCGCCCTCTTCCGCCCATCGTATTTTTAGCTAAGGCTAATTGCGCCGGCGCATTATCCTGTGTCGCGTGAGCACTCCCTAAGTCAACAAGCAGTTCGTTCAACGTATTCCATGTTTGCTGCGTAACTCGGCTGATAAGCTGCGAGAAAGGGAAGAATCCGATGGTAATATGGGCGAGCTCAGGAGGCAGTCCATCCAGCGACACTGTGGGACCATCGCGCTGCCGCGGTTGTTCGTGGGTAGGCGATCGCTGCCTCTTCGTGAGACCATTCGAGTGAGATTTTTTATGCGGTTCTGCTGAGTCTGTCTCGCATTCTATGTCGAAATCCGATGCTCTATTAGTGGCATTAGTACGCTCCATGGCAAAACCGGGCATCGCTGGAACTGTGGGGATCAGAGGGTCTGGCGGGTGGGGATATCATCTCCAAAAGCTTCAGAACTGGAATCACAATTCCAAACCTATCATTACTGACACCAACCACGATTGCGAGAGAAGAGCGCGAAGGAAGTGGGCATTCGGGACTGAAGATTGTCGTTTTCCTGGCGCTGCGAGCAGCACTTTCACGTGACTCGGCGTTTGCGGAAGCTCCGGGCGAAGTTTGTTATTCAACGCGACTGTTAGCTTATCAGCTTCACTTCGTCCACGCGACTACCGGCTCATTTCTGCTCCCCTGCCCGCAGCCTCGAACACGCTCATTCACCCTTCAGAAATTCTCCAATAATGGATGCCTCGCAGTCTAAAGAGGACCGCCTGGCGGAACTATCAAGCCTCGCCTCCGCAAAAGCCGCGATCAAAGACTACAATACTGCAGCTGATCTATACTCACAGGCCGCCGAATTACAGGCAGACGTCAATGGTGAAATGGCCGTTGAAAACGCAGACTTACTATATCTGTATGGGAAGTGCTTGTACTACGTTGCAGTGAGCAATAGCGACGTTCTTGGTTCCAAAGCCGCCGTTCAAACCGCAGTGGACTCGGGAAAGCCGCCTGGGAAGGAATCCGCCACTACACTGTGTCCTGATAACTTACCAGGACCCCAGAAAACTTCAGCGCCGACAGATACAACCTCAACAACAGATGTGGAAAAGTCGGCGAATACCGCTTTTTTTCAATTTACCGGAGACGAGAACTTCGAAGATGATGAGGAGGAAGATGAAGGAAATGACGAAGCGGAGGGACCTGCAGAAGAAGATGATGATTTTGAAAACGCATTTGAGACTCTTGATATGTCGCGCGTGCTGTCACTTCGCAAATTAGAGATACTCTCGCAGTCTTCGGAGGATCAGGGTGATGATGATGTTAGGTTGGCTGAGGTCCGGAAGGTAAAACTGCGACTTTCAGACATTTATGATTTACAAGCGGAGATATCTTTGGAAGGCGAAAGATTCAAGGACGCAGTTGCTGACCTTCGGGCGGCACTGGATCTTAAGCGCGAACTCTGCGCCCCCGAAGATTCTGCAATTGCTGAGTGCCATTACAAACTATCACTAGCTCTGGAGTTTTCTTCCATTACCCGAACAAGCGACGACAACGAATCGGGACCTTCGCAGATTGATCTCAATGTCAGGGAAGAAGCGGTAGAACAGATGAAAGCGGCAATACAATGCTGCAAACTCAGAATTTCTATCGAAGAGAAGAAGTTGGCAGACTTGGACAGTACAGAGTCACAGGAAGCAGCCAAACTCAACCGCTACCTCGATGATGTGAAGGACATTGTATCTGATATGGAACAGAGAGTATGTTTTTGCCGCGTATACTAATATCAAGCTGCTAACTCCTCCCTCAGCTTATAGAGTTGCGTCGCCCACCCCAAAAAGACGAGGATGACACGGTGAATAAAGAGAGTATTATTGTTCAAAGCCAAATGACGGGTAGTAAGGTATCTCTGGGTGAGGCAATGAAAAGCGCGAATGACTTGAGCTCGCTTGTCCGGAAAAGGAAACGGGTTTCCGCAGCAACTGAAGCCCAGCCATCTGAGGGGGAATCGGCTCCTAGTAAACAGACCAAGCAAGATCCGGCATGAAACCCCTTACTAAAAGCATTGCACGATTCTTTCCTAGGTTTGCCGTGAAACATGGAGGCAGCTTATCTTATTATATGGAGTTCTGGTTTAGGCCTAACAAAATACGAACACTGGAGGCTCCTATGAGCTTAAATGGACCGGAGTATGGGATATATGGAGTTCAGATAGATGCGAAAAATAACGAAAATACCCAAATTGGTTTCCCTCGGCCTCTTAACTGCCGCGATAATTCTGGAATATGAATTTTTGATGTAAATATTTATCCTGATAGAGCCGTGCCTCATGGTTATTGTTGATGATCCTCTGCGACAATTAATCGTGTTAGGCGAATCAACGATACACGTATGTAGAAAAACGGGGCCTAGAGAGGCCTGTTCTGTGTATGTATGGCGACCAGCGCTGAAGCCTGAAAGTTTAGGCATGTAACTACTCCGTAAACACTCCGTAGATATGCATGTAGTACTCTGTACGGAGAGTAGTTAAGTTACTATGGGAATTAGTCAGCTGCTACTGTAACCAACTACCTCTACCTTCAACGTCCTGAGATAACAGGTAACTAGTTGTCTTTATCATGCAGAAATTGTTTCTATGACCTCGCGTGCATTGCGCTATGACGTATATGTGTACATACTTACGGAGGACATATAAGCATACTGGGAATCTCTTCTGACGCCGTACTTAGTCGACTCTAAACAGCATGCCCTAATTCAGGCAATTGATTTTCATCTGAGATATCTGTGACATGGCAAGGCTCGCAACCTCCAGTGTTGCTTACCTTGTTGGAATTCAGCTCTTCTCTCGGGCTGTAACGTTTGCCGCCAACCAAATCCTACTATCCCATATTTCTCCGAAAGAATTGGGGATTGCAGCCCAGCTAGAGCTATATTCCATTACGGTGCTCTATTTTTCTCGGGAAAGCATAAGAGTTGCGGTCCAGACAAATGCCTCTAGTGAATATGAAGCTACAGAATTACATAAAAAAGTCGAAAAGTCGGACAGTCGACGGAATTCCTCACGCAATTCTTGTCAAGCGGTGGTGAATGTGTCTTACGTCGCGCTTATTTTAGGTCTTTTATTACTGCAGATCTTTAGTATTTTATATACCCGATCTGCCTTGGAAGAGGTTCTGCGTACGTCGCACTTTCAGGCGAGCCTCACCTTGATCGGTGTTGCTACTGCCTTAGAACTTTTTGCCGAGCCTTGCTTCGCCGCGGTTCAGTACTACATGCAGCTCCGGTCACGGGCAATCATTGAAACTTCCGCGTCTTTTGCTAAAGGTGTATTAAGCTGCGGCACTGTTCTGTTTATGCGCCGCATGGGCTCAGAGGTTGGCCCTCTGGCGTTTGCGGTTGGCCAAGTTAGTTATAGCATTGTCATATTTTGTGGCTATTTTGCGGTGGCAAAAGGGATTTCTATCCAGCATGGACTCTCCCTATTTCCAGCTGACATTTCCGAATCGTGGGTAATATTTTTCATTCTTTTGAGGGTATGATTTACTAACCTAAATATAAGGACGGATTCATCTTTCCTATTCCGCTTCCTATCTCCCACCTTACTCTATAGAAGTGCAAACCTTTTTTTCCAATCAGTTGTGAAACACATTCTCACTCAGGGTGACTCGATGATACTTGCAGCTCTTTCGACCCTCGAGGATCAAGGCCTTTTTGCCCTAGCGTCAAATTATGGTGGTCTCATCGCCCGGATTATCTTCCAACCTATCGAAGAAAGCAGTCGATCTATTTTTGGCCAACGGCTTCCTAAAAATGGCGAAAAAACAAGCCTAGAGGATTTGGCTTTTGCAAAGAGATATTTGCGAGATGTTCTTTATGCCTACTCTCTCTTGGCTGTTATACTTTGGTTCATCGGCCCCTTGCTTCTTCCGATGGTGTTGGAGCTTCTTCTTAGCCATCGTTGGTCATCAGCAAATGTGCAGGGAGTGCTTCTTACATACTGCTATTATATCCCAATTCTTGCATTCAATGGAATGACTGAAGCTTTTGTCTCATCTGCCGCGACAAATTCGGAGCTTCGAGTCCAAGCAATTTGGATGGCAATATGCTCATTTGTCTTCGTACTTACTGCATATGTTCTTCTTAAGATGCTGGCTTTAGGTGTTCAAGGTCTCGTATGGGCAAACATGGTGAACATGAGCCTCCGCATTGGGTGGAGCCTCTGGTTCATCCTCAAGTATTTTTCCAAAAATAAGCAGGACTTAAGATTGCGTGAATTCTTTCCACGAAACGAAACTTGTGCCTTCGCTGCTGCTGTCTTTGCATGGAGTAATACGTTTGTCAAGCAGGGGGTAGCTTTCACCACCAAACACTTCATCAAAATGTTTCTTGTCGCAGCAGCGATTGGAAGCACTATGTGAGTCATGATATAAAGGCTATATTTACAGAAAATACTTCTAATGCCGTATAGTCTATACCTTGAACGATACTATCTAAAGCAGCAGATGTTAAACTTTTGGCCTGGAAATCTCAGATCAAATCGCCGAACGCCTCCAATCAAACTTTAATATCGATCAATCATCAAACGTAATCTTTGAGGCAACTTTGGTGGTATCTACGTCGCGGAAGAAAGCCCCATAAGAATCGTGTTGTTTCTTCTTAACAGTAGCGCCGAACTTAAGGAGGGACTCGGGTACACCCTGTTTCGCTGCTCGTAGGACATTGATTAAACTTTGGCAAAAATTAGTTAATGAATTGCATGGTGTGATTTGACGAGGCACTTACGGTCCTGACAGGCCTTTATCGTGTTCTGTAAAGAGGGTAATCGCCAATCCTTCAGCACCAGCACGACCAGTTCTAAGGAGCAGTCAGACTTAAATGTAGCGGAGTGCTTAGGGATGTACATACCTTCCAATACGATGTACATAGTCCTCTACTGTTAGGGGAAATGTGACATTCAATACGAGTTTCACAGCAGGGATGTCCAAACCTCGGGCTGCTACATCCGTTGCAACCAAGAGACTTGTAGAGCCACTCTTGAAGGCTTCAAGGCTACTGAATCGATCGGTCTGGTTCATATCACCATGTATACCAGCAACTTTGAACCCTTTAGAACGAATGAAACGTTCAACCCGCATCGCCTCCTTTTTGTAAAGACAGAAAACCAGAATCCTATCATTACTCTTCTTGCCTCCATTATACTTACGCAAGAGTTCTATCAGGCGATTATCTTTCTCATGTGGTTTCAAAACTTCCACAACCTGTTTGATACGCTCGTTTGCGCGGATATCTGATGAATCGCTTTCCCCAACAGTGATAGTAATTGGGTGTTTGGTAAAAGCAGTTGCTAGGTTCCTCACACTAGTAGGCCAGGTCGCAGTGAACATAATCGTTTGACGTTTCTTTGTAGAGGGCATCGCGCCGATAATATCTCGGATATCTTGCTCAAAGCCCTTGTCCAACATCCTGTCTGCTTCGTCTAACACAAGAAATTTGACCTTTGACAGATCAATAGATTGGTCGCTCTGCAAATCCTTTAGCCTTCCGGGAGTTGCCACAACAATTGACGCAGCTTTAATCTCCTGGCGTTGTCGTTCTTTAGGCGCTCCGCCATAGATGCAGGCAATGCCCAGTTCTGTAGTGGCCGTAAATTTCCGCAGTTCATCGTAGATCTGCATCGCAAGCTCTCTGGTAGGAGTGATTATAACTGAGGATGGCCTTCGAGGTTTCCGCGTACGCTTCAACTCCAGGACTTTGCGCAAGCATGGCAAGCCAAAGGCGAGGGTCTTCCCACTGCCTGTTTCCGCGACACCTATAACATCCCGGCCGGAAAATGCGAAAGGCCAGGAAACGGCCTGGATAGGAGTTGGCTTTGAGAAATTTTCCAAAGGGCGATATAGGCTATCCGATCGCTTCGGAAGGTATGAGAAGGATAGAATCGGACGAGCATTCTGTTCTTCGCTTGAGCTTGCGACTTTGATGGAATTCGTGCTAAGAAATTCGTCTATAGAAGACTGAGGGAGAGAAAGAAGATCCGCAGAGGGGACATAGCCAGAAATTGAAGTACTGTCGCCATCATTGTCACCATTGAGCGAACATTCTTGAGTTTCGTCTCGCGGCGTCGCGGTCTTCTCCTGGTCGGACTTGTGCTGCTTCTTCTTCCTTTTTTTCTGTGGTTGCTGAGCGACGGATTCCGTGTCTGGATCGACGGGTAGCAGATGCTTTGCCATGGTCGATTGCAAGCGGTTGTTTGGTACTCCGGAGTTCGGATGTAATAAATTTGTCGCCAGCAAAAAATAATTTGATGGCTTGAAGGTTCCTGCCAAGCCCTGGTCACGATGTGCCGCGAAGTTAACACGTCGAGTGCAATTCATTGCTTAAGCTGCCCGCCGTGCTTTGCAGAACCAGCAAAGCTGCCAATTGATTCGAAATGCAGCTCTCACGGGGACTCATTCTTCTTGCATCTTGTGGCTTGGGTTTTTTTGGGGCTGCTAGTGCAGCAACGGGGAAAGCCGACAAATTCCAGCGCTTCTACTCGTCGTCACCCATTGACTTGGACGATTCGACTTATAATGATATGACATCGAAGCCTCGAGACTACTATGCCGCAGTTATACTTACAGCAATGGATGCACGTTATGGATGCCAGCTTTGTCGAGACCTGCAACCGGAATGGAACTTGTTGGCGAAGAGCTGGAGCAAGGCAACGCCTGATACAAGACTGCTTTTTGGTACATTGGACTTTGACAGGGGCAAGATGGCTTTTCAACAGGTATGAAAGATCTCCCAGGTGACTATACATCAAAACTAATCTGATATGTTTTATAGTTGAAACTCCATTCGGCTCCTGTTCTTCTTGTCTTCCCTCCAACGGTTGGGAGGCATGCCAAACCCGACGGCCCTCCAAGTCAATACGAATTTACCTCGTGAGTACATATACGACGATTTACCATGGAACCACTCTACTAATCATACTTGTCGCTCCCATAGACCAATGATCGCTGAGCATCTTTACAAGACCATTAGCCGGCACCTCCACGACGCTCCGGCGCTTCGAATTTCTCACCCTATCAACTACGCGCGGATCATCGGCATTACGACGCTGCTGTTAGGCTCAATATCTATCTTTACCGTGGCATTGCCTTATTTGTTACCTCTTTTGCAAAGCCGAAATCTATGGGCTGCCTTGAGCTTGATTGCTGTCCTTCTCTTCACGAGTGGACACATGTTCAACCACATTCGCAAAGCTCCATACGTAGCTGGCGACGGTAAGGGCGGTATCACATATTTTGCCGGCGGGTTTTCGAACCAATTTGGGCTGGAAAGCCAGATTATTGCCGCCATGTGTAAGTTACTTGTATCGAAGCTTATTTTGGCTCAATTGCTAATATTAAGGAAGATGGAACCTTATCCTTTGCCGCAATAGCACTGGCTATGAAAGTGCCGCGGATTTCGGATGTCAAGACACAACAAATAAGTGTCGTTGTCTGGAGCCTTGTGCTACTTGGAATGTACAGTTTTTTGTTGAGTGTTTTCCGAGCTAAAAATGGAGGATATCCTTTTTTCCTCCCCCCTTTCTAAGAGACTTGTAATTGCTTTTCTCGTTTTCTCACACATGTGTCCCGGCGTAAGCTACTCAGCTTTCGACAATGCAAAACAATGTGCATATACTCCATACATTACTGAAATAAATATTCTCGTATTGGCCCATTATCCGGGATTGGGTTTCCCACAGGCCGGCACTTTCATGATTACATCATAGACTTCTTTCCCAGTTTCGACAAGATTACGTTGAGTAATATATATACCGAGTAGAACGAGGATGTGAAGCAATGCCAAAATAATTCAGTAAAAATTCAGTACAAAATCTACATCGAAATGGCTTCTCCGCGATATGTCCGACTCGATAAAGAGGATTGTGTCTTCCTTTTTGTTGACCATCAAGCGAGTCTCTCCAACTACACAGGTCTCAGGATTATGCAGAGCTGACCCAGCACTTTTTCTAGGCTGGCCTTATTCAATTAGTTCGAGATTTTGGAGCAGACGAATTTAAGAACAATGTAGTGGCTTTGGTTGATGTTGCGAAATTCTTCAAAGTCCCGTCTATCCTCACTACGTCCTTTGATACTGGGCCGAACGGCCCTATGGTGAAGGAAATACGAGACGCACTCCCCGACGCCCCCCTTATTCGTCGTCCAGGGCAAATTAATGCCATGGACAACGAGGAATTTGTCAATGCAGTCAAGAAAACAGGCAAAAAGCAAGTGGTTATTAGGTATCACCAGCTCCTCCCCGGCCCTTCTCTGGCTGAACAATTCTGATTTGCCAATAGCGGTGTTTTGACTGAAGTATGCGCCACTTTCCCAGCACTTAGTCTGAGAGAGCAAGGGTACGAGGTTTTTGTTGTCACCGATTGCTCGGGTACCTTCTCGGAACACACGCGGGAGGCAGCCCATAAGCGGCTGGTACAGCATGGCGTCCAGTTGATGAACTGGGCAGCAATTTCGTCTGAGTTGCATCGGGATTGGCGCAATGATATTCAAGGATTTGGCAAACTTTGGCTGGATCATGTCCCTGGGTATTGGTGTTTGATGCAAAGCTATCAAACTGCGAAATCGGAGAAATAATGAAAGTTATGAATATTGTGTATATGGGTTTGTTGTATGTAATGACAAAGACATCTCGAAATGCCAGACTAAAAGATAATTTTGCAAAAGCCAATTTTAGTCAATTTCTAGTATTAAGATGAACTGATCCTGTACTCACTGGCATTTAAACTGCTGAATATATCAGTTTCTCTCTCTCCCCTAGAAAAATTTCAGGTAAAATCATTCCGCTTTTTCTAAATCCTTGGGGCTTGGGTCGCCTATTCCGTCCTCGTTGATTGCAAACAAACAATCACTTTCTGGTAAACAGGGACTATCATAAATCTTACAAATTCTGGTTTCTCCTCTTCCTTTTTTAAGGCTTAATCGCGTTGTGCTAGCATGTGCAATTATATTTCCCCCAATGGGCTTTTTCGGGTCAGGGTTGAACATGGCACTTGGACCACCGTCGACTTGAGCAACCACCTGATTGGTGATGACAACAGCAATGCCAAACTCATCAGCAAGCCGCTGCAAAGTACGCATGAATCGAGCTAGGTGGGTTTGCCGCGACGAAAGTTCTCCTCGGCCACTAAAATCCGTTCGATAGAGCGAGGTGGCCGAGTCCACAATTAAGAGGGAAAATCTAGTCTCGCACATCATTTGGGAAGCTTGATTGAGTAATTGAAGCTGGTGGTCGGAATTGTATGCTCGAGCATAGGCGACATTATCCAGGACCTCGTCACCGGCTAAGCCATACCGCTGGGCGACCGCCAAAAGTCTCACAGGTCGGAATGTTCCTTCGGTGTCAATATATAAACATTTTCCCTCCCCCCCACCCATATCAAAGGGTAACTGGCAAGTGACTGCTAGTGTATGGCAAATCTGGCTTTTCCCAGTCCGGAACTCGCCGAAAATCTCCGTTATGGAGCCTGTCTCGATTCCCCCCGCAAGTAAAGTGTCCAGCTGTTTTGACCCAGTAGTAATACATATCAAATCAGCTCTTCGAGCATGCATTTCCGTTGCGGTTGTGAATCCCATTGGGACTATCTTGAGAGCTACAAAAGGTACCTGATCAGCAAAGATGGCCTTCAAACGTCAGGATGGGTAAGTAGATACCTTCAGTAAGCACCTTAGAGGCTTTTTGCTCAGATATGCCTTTGATTTGTTCTAACATCCGTTTTGGCCTAAGATATATTCAGTTAACTGGGTAATCATGAAGTATCGCCCCAGAGAGGGCACACAATCTAATTGTTTGCATACGTATAGGCCACAGCCTCCACGGTGTGGTAACCTCCATCTACCAGAAGTTTTATATCCCGAGCAGTGAGACCATTGACTCCCTATTGGAACAGTTTGATATAAACATTCGATGCCGAACAGTAGCCATGAATTTTGCGTACCTCAAGAGCAGACAGTGGGGTGGGTGCTCCAGGGCCAGCAGAGTTCACATCTTCATAGCTTTCTTCGGGCTCGTCTGCTATTCCCATTTCCTGTATGTTTTTGGTATGATATACGTGCACGGAGAAGATAGGGTGTTAGTGCTGTAGTATCAACGCCTGTTGTTCTTCGCAAAGCGACTTGTTGATCCCGACGCGTCCCTAGGCAGACGCGGTGTTTACTAAGCAAGGCGCTAACATAAATGGAACTCTAACCGCCGCTGAGTCAGCTTCCAAATATAGATCTGTTGAATGAGGTGGCAGGCGCCAAATGAGACAAGAAGATGCAGTTGCTGGTTACCGCGCTGAACTCATCGTATTCTTGTGGAAAGCTCAGTATGTAGCGCTTCCTCCCCCGGAAGCTTGATTTATAGGTGCATTCCTTCACCTTTCCAAGTTTGCGCGGAAAACTTACCCTACACCCTCTGAGCTAGGGTCGATTACTTGAGATTTGTCTCCGTAACATCATACCGCCAGAAACATGGGGTTCTGGGTTGATTGGCAGCTATGGGAGAAGATGTGCTTTGTACGTACAGTTTTTCCCTCAAAAACATGTTTCTCAATACTGACATTCCACATAGGTTCTGGGATGCCTTATCGTAAATAAACTCTGTTCTTATGCTGGCGAATGCATATCCTTACACCTGGAGTAGGCCATTGTCCTCGTATATGGAACTTGTGTACAATTATACAACCGATGGAGAATAAAAAAAATGGCAGCGAAGGAAAAAGAGCTGAAATTACAGCAAGAACCTACCAGTGAAGCCGTCAAAGACGACGATATACCGTTTGGAACACGAGCTATGGAGAGCGGTATCGAAATAGAAGGCATTTGGATATCTAACCCCAATAGCCCCTTGCCGAGCCCTCATCCCCCAGGCACACCTGCGCAAACGCGGCCGCCATCAACAAGATCTACGGAGATGCGTTGATTTGATCGACTATACCCACTGGAATGATAATGATGATGACGATGACAATGCCCCGAGTGTTATTTGCAATACTTACGCGATTGGAAAACCAAGACGACCACAAAGATAGAAGAGAGCAGTTTGTGTTTATTTGGCTTGGAGGCCGGCACTGTGCGCCTGCAGTTTGGTATTCAACGACCTATTAGTGGTAAATTGGAATATCTTGAAACAAAATTCGAATTCTATTGCTTACTGATGAAATACACTTCTTTCCTGCCTCTAAAGTAAACACTAATGTTAGGTTCTGCCCTTGGCCCGTTCACCGCCTTTCGACCACCCAATGTTATGTAATCATTCCTTATGTAATCAAACCCCTGCGATGAGCTCTCAAACTCTCCATCTCATTGTTTTGCTTTGAGCTTACAGACAGCTCTCAAAAGATCAAATTGTACCACCTAGCAAGTAGAGCAGGTGTGCCATGAGCTCCTAGTGCTAGTCCGATACAACAAACAAGATGTTGAAGGTTCTCAAAGAGACTAAGGTTAGCATTCAACCAGACTCAACGGAGTCGATCGTGAACATATCAGTCCCATCGCCGCAACAGCCAGCCGGCCACGTTGAATTCGCAGTCCAACACCATTCACCTATAGAGGACGGTACATCTACAGACAAATTTCTAGCTACACAGGCCTCGGTTTATTTCCGCAAACGAAAAACCTACCCTCGTTGCATTCTATGGCGGGTTGTTGGGTCTGATCGCGTCCTTGAACTTCGTTCAGCAGATCTTACTCGGAGCGTCCACGAACCTCAAGAAGCAGATTTAACCCTACGCTTGAACTTTCCAGACGTGATTTTGCCACATGGTGTTGGCTTATCCGACGAGGAAGATGACGACGCAATCAGTATATTTGTTATCACGGCCTCGCGGCAGCTATACACACTCGATCTGCAGTCGCATTGTTTTCTTAATGTCGATGCCATAAAGAAAAATGTAGCCGACTGGTGTAAGGCTTATCGTCCGCCACCGCTGAGTTTCACACATCCATATCTTCTATGCGCCAGCACTCCTTTGGAAGTATTCATATCACTCCATAGTGGAGCTTTACTTCGCCTAACAAGAAAGAGTGGCACCGACGGTAATTCATATTTACCCTCGCATCCCAAACTGCAAACCAACAATATGACTGATTTCTGGTATATTCACAGGTTCCAGCTGGTCTCTAATTACCTTTGACGAACGGCCGTGGAGTGCTTCGTTGCGTGGGTTTGTGAAAAGGGGCAACTCGAACTCCGTTCAAAATAATGGCAAATCTTTAGACCCAAATACCCCTACCGCTATCGCCATCACCCCCGATCAGGCGTTTGTTGTCATCATTTGTCTAAATCATTCCTTGAAGATTTGGAATTTGGCTAGCCATCGATTGGTTGCATCGAAAGATCTATTGGCCTCGACATCTCGTTCGGATGCGCTGCCTAATCCCACCGAATTTGCATTGATTCGAGTTTTCACCGCTGAGACCACCGCCGGAGCCATGTACTATATGATAACATTTACACCACATGACGATAGTCAATTCAAAGTCTGGGCCGTAAAGGGAAGCTTGACAAGTCACCTAGAAATTGAGAATATGTTTCCCGATTCCAAATTAAAGGCTATAGAACCGAACTCTCCGGGGCATCTCCTTTGGAATATCACAGATTTTGAAGTTGTGCCGAGCTATGGGGGAAAAACTTTAACATTGTGGGTGTTATGGAGGGGAAACGGACTATATCAACTTCACAGCATTCGGTTTGATCTACAAAATCTGCCAAATGTTTGGCAGAGTAATTGGACTCGAACAGCATTAGAGATACATAGCGACCTTCCACCCACACTGTTACGGCCTGGCATGGTGGATCCAACTTCAGAGTGGTTGGAATTTATATTTTCTCCTGGAAGATACCCTTTAACTGTCATACAAGCTTCTCTATCCATTTTCCTGCAACCTATCAAGCCTAATGAAGTGAATATCAATCGGAAGAAACCTAGTGAGTTACAACAACAAGCATGTCAGGCAATTCAAGATTCTTTGGAACTGCAGAGGTGTGCAGATGGTACCATTGACTTCTCACGCTACTGTAAGGCGTTGGACGGGAAATGGCGCCGACTTTGGCACATCATTGAAGGGGTTAATAGAAAGAGATTTGAAACCCTATCACTCGCATACGATCGATACTCTGATTCCCCTTGGGTATTATTCACTGATGGTTGTGCCTTATTTCGAGAATGCAGTAGCACGGAAGTTCTTTTCCACAACGACGCGTCCTCCCTACGTGAAAACTTACCTATAGCATCAAGGGATTGGCTCCACCCGAACTCGATCGTCGAGTTAGGAGACCATCCGGATGAATCAGCAAAATTGGTGAGCCTAGCTGCCTCCTTTCGCAAGATGTTGAATCCGGAACTTTCTCGGGCTTGTCGCTCTGCATTACATACAGAACTTTTTATGGAGATTTCACTGTCCGCTGAGGAGCGCCTATTAGCCTTTCATGAGCGCTGTGGGTTTTCAGATCTCCTGACAGATAACGTGTATGAAATTGCGTCTGCGAATATCGACCAGTCACTTCAAATAGACAAATTATCGACTGACATGTTTTTTGCCGTCCTTGATACAATCCCCTCTGGATTTTCTGGCAGAGACTCCAACCTTCTGTCCACAAAATTTGGATACAGCGTTGTTATGGAGGGAGTTATGGAAACCATCTATCTCATCAAACAGACATTCTACGACCTGCTACTATTGATTGTTTTTATCGATGTGGAGTTGAAACCCGAAAACTCTTTTGATCTCAATGGTCCCGAGTTATTTGCTACTATTGTTAGTTTACTCAAAGAGTATGAACTTTTAGATTGGCTAGGATCGAATACCCGTTTAAGTCCTAAAGGGCAGAATAGCGGCATTATCGACGCGAAATCCGATCATGCTTCAAGAACTTGTGCGTTTGATCGTGCGAATAGCCTCTCAATTTTAGAGGACCTCTTTGCATCTCACATTAAATCAAACCCCACTGTTGGTGTTTCGCAACTGCATACGCTAACCCGCCAGATTCGAGATGTTATCTCTTGGGCTACGAGACAAGGAGGAGTGTCATTAGAAAACGTTTTGGTTTATATTCAGTGTGATTTGATTTCTTCCGGTAACATAGATCTTGCGACGAATTTCTTTCGTTTCCAACCAAATACAAGTTGGTCTACTTATGTCAAAGGACGACTCTATCTTGCAAAGTGCGATTTCGATGCGGCTGCAGCCAGCTTTCAGAGATCATCCTATACGCTATGTACGTATAATCGTCAGCTAATTTGATCGAGCCTAATGCTAATATCAGCAGCGTACGGAAAACCCATCGGAGATCTACAAGAAATGTCATCCAACCTTATTGACAGTATCGCAAAAAATAGCTTCTACAATGGTCTTCCCCAATACCTTCTTCACGTTGCTGGCCTTTTCGAACAAGCAAAGTCACCAACGCATGCTGCTCATTTTCTCGAACTTGCTCTTCAAGCTTCTGGACCAAACGACCCGGATTTTGACCTGATGCCTCACCTGTTCCGTGCATATCTCAAAACAAATCACATCGATAAGGCTTATGCCACTCTCTTACAACACCCAGACGGCAGTGTTAGCCGATCAGATCTCGAAGCTCTTGTTGAAACTAGCTTTGCCGTGCACGGTTCAAATGCAGCGAGCTTTAGGAAATTTTTACGTCTCCCGTTATACTCTAACTCTAACATATGTAACCAATTGGATGAGATTCTTGCTTCACTCGCCGAAAAGCAAAAATTATCTCCACCCCCAGGCTCTCAACGCGCTATCACTCCTTCCTCAATGGAATATCTCACTACGCTGAAAGCGATCCATATTGCGCGAAGCGATTTTGAGAATGCTGCGAGAACATCATACCAGATCCTCTGTCGATTGCGTGAAACAAAGAAAGACCTCCCGACAAACATCTATAGCGCGGAATTAGCGCAAGAAGATGCAGATCCCATCATGAATGAACTACTCGAACTCATAAATTTGCTCGAGCTGATGGAAAGTGATGAAGCCTATGTACTTGTTGATCCAAGCCAATACCGCACTAGCTCTGTCAAGCCTGATGAGATCGAAAGTGGGCCCGGTACAGGTCAAGTTAAATCCCCACCAGACAATGATATCACGATGTATACCCCGGATGCCTCAGTGTCTGATTTGGCCAGCCCGAATGTCAAAGCTGAAACGCCCAAAAAGGCTAAACCCTCAGCATACGTGGTTCTGACTTTAGACAGCCTACGACGAGAGTACCAGACGGAGTTAGATAGAATGTGTAAAATTCAAGCAGGGGACTGGGAGTATGGAGACGTTCAGACGTGGCCTGTTACCGGCGACAATAATGGCACTATATGATCTAGCGAAAAGTTGTGAATTGGGTTTAATATACGGAGTATTTTCAATGGAATGTTGGGTTTACCAGTTGTGGGTGGAGGCTTTCGCGTATTATTGCATTCTATTCACAAGTCTAACGCAGCATTTAATTCAATTTGACTGGACATTCAATATATGACTTCAAACGTCATGATACGCTATACAAAGCGTCCCATTTTTGTACAGTGGCCTCTGCCATTGCAATTTTTAGCCCTATGCGAGCATCCAACTCAAAGGATTCCCACCGCGCAGCTTTTTCAAGCCACTTCTTACATTCGTCAACCTTCTCCCTATCTTCTTCGCAAGGAAGGTCTTTCTCCATGTTATCATCCCCGCTCTCAAAAGTACCATCTCCATTTCTTCTGCCCATAGAGTGCGCATCAAAAGGAACAAAGGAACGCCGTTCCATCCATAGATTAGCAGCCATCTCATAATGAGCTGATGGGGACGTCCAGTCGTCTTTGAGATGGCCTTTGAAGATGGCTTTATCATGACAAAGAACATGCGACTGTAATATATCTTTGGCTTCCTCATGTTTACCCAGCGAGCGGAGAATCGATGCTCGAAGGAGAGCAAGAATACATTGCTCATCATGATCTTCCCGATCCCAGGTCTTGTTTTCTGGGCCCTCTGACCATTTAAGGTTCTTCAAGGAGCTCTCCAGCTGGATTTCAGACATGCGGCTGTGGCCGTTCCAGAAATAAATCATTTCCTCTATCGGGTCCACTCCGATAGCATCAATGAAATCAATGTTCCATTGCTTCGCACGCAGCTGCCATTTGGACACTTTGCGCACGACTAAAGCATCAAAGGGAAGCTGGGATGCCAGCAACCGTTTCTTACCAGCAAACTGTGGGGCCATACGAAAAAGCTCTGTTGCTTTTGACGCATGGTGAGCTGCTACGGTAGGAGAACGGCTGGCGTTTTGCCGGTAAATGGCAAGATGTGAAGACGCTGCGATGTAATAGTATAAGGCTTGCGACCAGGAGTTTAATTCGACGCACTCAAAGGATGTCAGTATGAGGAATGAGACGAAACAAGGGGCCTGTGGGATGGGCTATTGGCATACTTGTAAAAAAGATTCGGCGCAAAGCTCATACTTATGGAGATACATAGCATCTAAGCTTCTTTCAAAAACACATAATGCCTCTACTTGTTTGAGAGGACTTTTCGTAGGTGATGTAAGCAGGTTTAAGGCATCTTCTAGCTTTTTATGGGCTCCTTTCATCCTTGATTCTTCCAGAATCCACAGTTGGCTCTGAGGAAAACGACCACGCATATCCGATAATAGTTCTCCTAGTCTGTGCAGAGGGTACCCTTCAATATCATCATGGCTTTCAGAAGATCGGTCAGGAAGAATATCACAACAACGCACAAAGCCATTGTAGAAAGCAAGAAGGGTGACAGCGGCAATTGCTCCAGTTAAGGTTTGGGATTTGCTTGCATTCCATAGCATCTGTAATCCTCTTGGGCGGTCGCCCTTGAAACCGGCAATGTAAAGGAACTTGTTGAAGGTGGGTGGGACCATAGAAATAAGAAGAAGCAATAGTCCAAAACAGAGACTCGCTCCAGAGTGAATAAATTGGTCGACAGGATGAGCCAGAACATCAGCGTTCAAATGGGGAAATATTTGAACGGTATTGCTATTTCTTGATGACTCCACACCCAGTTTTGTTTCGGCAACGTCACCCTGATTACTAGGATTTGTGGGCATCCCTGGAATCCGAAAAGGAGTCGGCACCCTGGGGGAATTATGACTTTCCGTCCGTGTTTCAATAGTGCCAGATGGATGATGGTCCATTTCAACCTTGTCGGTTGCCTTGCTTTCCAAATACTTTGTTTCCATTTGCATAATCCCATCAAGTGCGATGTACGCCTTGCGGAGTTTGTAGAATGCCTTTATGCTTTCCGTTAAATTTTCACTTAGTACGCCCACGAGAGCGGCCATTAGCTGTGCCATGCTCTGACATAGCAAATATTCCGTACCAGGTTCATAAATAGCAGAGCGATAGGAATTGAGGGCGCTTGCTTTATGGTGCGATCTGCGTTGATCGTTATATGCACTGTTCTCGGCCTCTGTTAGCCTTTCAGCCGCTAGGAATTCAAAACGTCAGCAAATATAGTATAATACTAATGAAACGGAAGTAAATGACCTTCACGCATAATATCTTGCTCAAGGCCTAGTGTGGCTCTAATGAAAGTGACAATGCCTTTCCCTAGCTAGTTATTCCGGACACAATCAACAATCCGCGGCATTCTCGGGAAGCCAGAGGTTACGCAACAGACCTTGTGAAACGACGAATTGCCCCCCTCGAGGCCCTCTTCGGCGCCGGCTATATCATCATTCATTATAAGCGTAGCCGCTGAGTATAAAAGTCAGCCGTGGGCTCCCAAGGGCGGTGCGTGTTTGGCACGAGACCAAGAGCACGGAGAAGTCATGGATAATTCACCTTCCAGTGCATTCTCGACTAGCACATTTTCATATGGAGGTCAGCCCCGCATGCCTATAGGTACGTATGTATGTATGCATACAGACAAGGATCAAAAGGACCCGGGTACCAACTCACGTTCTTGTGACTCAGTCAGAGAATCTAGCGACTGCGTCGACACATTGGCGGGCGCGGTCCTGTTGTATAGCCAGGATCCCACCCGAAACATGATGCCGAGGTAGAGGCTTGCCGCCAGGTACGTTTAGCGATGGACGAAGAACATGCCCTTGGGCCTTCAAATGCGGAAGGATTTCTAGAATACGTATCCAGAAGCAACCCTTGGGGTGTCAATGCTGCCTCAAAGCTTGAACGAAGCTTCGTCAGCGGCCAAGGTGACTAGCGGAGGCTTTTCTGGCGAGTGTTGCCGCAGCCTTGTGGTGCCTGTGCTTTGCGAGCGGCAATATCCTGGTGGTCTACCGTAGGGGATGCGCTGCTACGATTATTGAAAGATGAAATTCACTGGTAGTTATTCCAGTTTCTTAAGAAATGTAATATAGAATGACTACCAGCCGACTGCACGGCTTCAATCCGTTTTCCTGTTTGCTCGTCGCAGAAAGGTCTAGATTCTCTGGAAAATGGTACGCTATAAATAGATACACGACGCCGCAGGAGAGGCAATTTCTTGGGCCAGCGAAATCCCTGTCAAACATACCGCAGCTCACTTCATTGCATCGAGCAGAAGTCGAGCTGCTTTCCTGTTGGCTTGCTGGGCCCCGGATTTTTCGTCTTCTTTTTTCGATAACGATTCAGTAAGTTTCGAAAGCTCTTTTTTGTGAGTGTTTAATGTTTTGATGAGCTCTTCTCTTTTCGTAAAGTCGTCCGCTTCCAACAAAGCAACAAGGACAAACGGGTTCGGCCCAACTAACCATGACAACACGTCCTTCTTGATTTCGTCGTAGAGCAATGCATCGAATTGCAAAGGAGGCTGGCTTTTTTCCACTGCTTTTAGGTCGGGGTTGTATCTGCCACCCTGCACCAGCGACTTCAGCATTCGTCCAGCAAATGGTGTCCCCATAGCCTCTGGCTCGGAATTAACAGTTGCAACAACAGCAGCCACGGCAGCAGCTTTATCTCCACTAGCACCTAGAACTACCTCTGTAATACACCGACAGCCGGAAGCAGTTTTTACAAGCGAGCCCGCTGACGAAGCGACGAATTCGAGCATCGTAGGTGATGCGGCGCTAATCAATTCATTGCGTCGCACTGTGGGATCTTTCTTTGAAGTGCTCGATCTGATGCTACGGACCTCGTCGAGGATCTTTTTGTCGGCTTCACTTAGAAGCCATGAGAGCTTGTCGCCTCCGAAAAGATAGAGTAGGGGAATACGATAGGAAGGATGCTCTACTTGCTGAAGCAGAACTTCGTGGCGTTGACTGCTGGAAGCCATGTCTCCAAATAGTTCGGAAAAAATCAGTTTCGCGGTGAGTTTCGTATCATCGACGACCTCGTATGCTGTCAGGAGAATGCTGTGGGCATGCGCGTCCTCCGCTATCATGGAAATTGTATCACGATACATCCGTAATAACAGCTTCCTGTCTTTAGCTGTCGAATATGCAAGGACAAGACACATCAATCTCGCGCCAGATTTTGTAAAAGCCAAGTTTTTTTCTAAATTTCCGTCCTCGTCGACTTTCAACAGCTCAATAAATTCACTAGCCTCAGTGCTGCCAGGTTTTGTATCCAAAAAGTATTGAAGCATTGCGTCGTGTAACATAGTAAACCCTGTAGTCTTCTTCTGGACGAGCAGGTTGATAAGCTCGAGAAGATGCTGCATGATCGGGGCCCTCTTTTCAGGAGCTTCCTCCAGAATTTTCGACAGTTCAGAGGTTTCATTCGCAGTTGGTGTCTTGAATATCGCAAACTCAGGGCCGTACCATTCGCGAAGCAGCGCACTCTTTTGCGTGGGTGTTAATGCCTGTCGGTAAATATCATCCAAAATCCAAGCCGCCTCTGGATGTCTCATCAATTTCCTAACGTGGCCATAAAACTCAGGCACAATCATGTCTCTGATCTCCTCATCGCCATGAACCACGAGTTTGGCAAGGAGAAATTTGCCATACTTGCTTTCCGCTAGATCGCGATAGGCTCCTTTTAACTCTAGGGCAATAGCCTTGCGTTGATCAGGTATGCCATACTTCAGAGCAGTTTGTATGACTCTCACGGAGTCATGCTTAAAAATAAAATCGTGCACCCTGCCAGTAATGATACTATAGAGTTCGGCTACGAGCTGTTTCCGTTCATCGCGAGGGACGTGGGATTTCAGGCGCAATCTTTCCCAGAGCTTTTTCGTTCTGACAATCAAGGGTGCATTTGGCTTGGCTAGTTTTCGTTCCTGGGCAACGGATTTCTGCTTTATATGGGTGTCCTTTGAAGTCACTATTTTACACGGGGCATTAGCTAGCTTCCCGACAAGGGGCAGAAAAATACATACTTTTAGCGAATTTATCACCACCTGCAGAGGCTTTCCCATTTGTCTTCCGCCATTCTCCCTTCGTAGCTTTGAACGAGTCTCGTTTCGCGGCAGGCTTCGGGGCATCCGAATCTTGATCCAGGTCAGAAGCGGCATCATTCTGAGTACCAACTTCGTTTTCAGGCAACTTCTTCAATTTGCTCTTTTTCCTAGCATTTCCCTCAGTAACATCAGATCTGCGTTTGGCCCCAGGCATGCTGGGCGGAATGATAAATCGTCTTGCTTTGAAAGGAAGAAGTATGGAGTACGGAGTACTTTGCGGTGAGTTTTTTTTTTTTTTTTGATCCGCTGAAAATCATTGGGAAAGTTCAAGATCTGTTTGTACTGTTTGCATCGCCACTTTCGTGTAAGCCGCTGTAGCTCCATGGCTTTGCATCTTCATGCAATCCTTCCCTATCGTCTCTCTTTACGTCAAAACAATTACACGATTCCATCATGTCTCAACTACCTGCAGGAGGTCCTGCATCTAATACTCCCTCTGACGAAAAGCCAGCACAAGCGACCAAAGCCCCAGCCGCTCTAGAAGAAGATGATGAATTTGAAGACTTTCCGGTAGAAGGTACGTTGTCTAGCTGACGATTCAAAATATATTCCTCTATACTTTTTCTAGATTTCAAAGCTAATATAACTGCTGCTCAGACTGGCCGCAAGAAGATGCGGAGGCCCTTGGTCCCGCTGGAACCAACGATCACTTATGGGAAGAGAGTTGGGATGACGACGATAATAACGAAGAGTTTTCGAAACAATTAAGGTGAGCTCCTATCAAGTCCATATTAAGCCTTTCCTATGTTAGCAATTATTGATAAACCTTTCTTCATTATAGGGAGGAATTAAAGAAAGTCGAAGCTGTGAAGCAATGACAAGGTCTGGTATCATGATAGGTGACAGGCGTACGTGGCGTACGTGCTTAGCTTCTCTTCTACTTGGACGCGTGCATTGGACTACGAAATTAAGGGGGGTTGTTAAGCGTTGCGGGGATAGTAAGCCCAACGGTGCCGGCCACGAGCGAAGGACATCTCTGAACGTCCCATCATACTGTGCGCCGAAGCTACACTGGCCCGCCATAACAACGATAAAAAAATATTTCGTTCGATGTGTTTTTCGGAGCAAATTACGTCAGGATCTTCCAAGCATTCTGTTTGATATACACAAGTTGATGAATACAAATTCTCGGAATATGAAGACGAAAGAATGTCCATCGTTGCAGAGCCAAGTCTAATGTATTTGCAAGTTATTCAATTCTTCTGGGTTGGTATTTTCAATCAATACATATTTACATACATACAGGTAGCTTCTTCGCGGTAAAGAGATGGAGGCACCTCTGTCACTTTTCTCGGTGCTCTCGTGGTGTTAAAACAATTGCGGTCTATTTGCTTGAGAGAGCTGAAACTCCAGGGAGGTCTTTGCCCTCAAGAAGCTCCAGGGAAGCACCACCGCCAGTAGAAACGTGGCTCAGGTCCTTCTCGACACCGTACTTGGCAGCCACCGTCGCCGTGTCGCCGCCACCAATAATAACCACTTTACCATCTTTTGCTGCTGCCACGGCGGCGTCAAGTGTCTTCTTTGTAGCATTTGCGAACGCATCCATTTCGAACACGCCAGGAGGACCGTTCCAAAGAATCGTCTTTGCTTCACCAATGGCTTCTTTGAAGAGTTCGATACTCTTTCCACCACAGTCAAGACCCATCCAGCCGTCTGGAATTCCATCTGCATCTGTTGCATAGCCAACTTCAGCATCAGCGGCAAATCTATCGCCCGTAATAAAGTCTTCTGGAAGAACAACCTTCACATTGTTCTTCTTCGCCTTTTCCATTATGTCATTGACGGTCTTACTTCCAGCTTCATCAAACAAGCTATTTCCGATCTTCATGTCGTTGATCACTTTCTTAAAGGTGAATGCCATACCACCGCAGATAATCAAGCTGTTGACTTTTCCAAGAAGATTGTCAATCAATTGAATTTTGTCAGAGACTTTGGCACCTCCGAGAATTGCCAAGAATGGTCGCTGAGGGTTCTCAAGGACCTTAGCGAAATATTCAAGTTCTTTCTTTACCAGGAACCCTGAAGCCTTCTGAGACAGATCAATTCCAACCATCGAACTGTGGGCTCTATGAGCAGTTCCAAATGCGTCATCTAGAAACATCCATACATCAGCGCCATACACACTTTTGTTTAGTACATCCAATGCAACTTACTAATATACACATCACCCAATGCTGTCAGCTGCTTGCGGAACTCTTCGACTTTGCCCTTATCGGCCTTCACTTTTTTACCTTCTTCATCTTTGTAACTTCCTTCTTCTTCAGGGTGAAAGCGAAGATTTTCAAGAAGAATAACCTGGCCATCCTTGGCTGCGGAAATGGCACCCTGAACTTCACTTCCAACACAATCGTTCACGAAGACAACGGGCTTGTTCAGGAGCTTTTCCAGCTCTGGCGCCACGGGGGCTAAGCTGTATTTTTCATTCGGCTTTCCGTCTGGCCGCCCAAGGTGAGACATTAAAATAACAGCCTTAGCGCCATTGTCGATGGCAAATTGAATTGTAGGCAATGCACCGGCAATCCGCTGGTTGTTTGTGATTTTTTTGTTGTTATCCAACGGTACGTTGAAGTCAACCTGGAATACGAATTCAGCCATTGTGCTATTCCCAGTCAGGAGTTCGAAGAGGTGCACATACGCGAATCAACACACGCTTCCCCTTGAGATCGACATCGGTGATGGCCAGCTTGTTGGACAAAGACATCTTGACGCAATCTGTGTACCGTTTCGTTCCTGGGGTGAAAAAGAATACAAGGGCGTCAATTGCAAGAAAACCGTCTCTGAGGTTGTTCTAAAATATCTGAACGTAGAGTCTTGGTGGGGTGATTGTTGGGTGGGGTGAGGAAAACGCCCGCAATGATGTAATCCCCACGGTATTCTTCGAAAACGACGGCAACACCATCATAATTACGTACCTGTTGAATTTACGATCATGCAAACGATACCAGCAATATGCAGTGGCTAAGGGCGACTTAAATATCATCATTATCGGATTAGAAACCCAACGCCATTCATCCCTTAGGATGATTGCTGTATTTCACTTCCATTGATACCTCTATACTCTATACGGAGTATGTAAATATGTAGATGATTGATGATTGGATAGTTATTACTATGTTGACACGAAGTTCCCAAATTCAACCGCTGTGGTATTGATGCCATTTGACACCTCTAGGTGGGGATCCTAAAGAAAATTTGTGTTGTGCGGATATGGACGGCTGAGAGAGCATTATACATAGGTTGTGATAAAAGAAAATATGCGCAGAATATGTATACGTGCTATACTAACCACACATTTATTACAGTTGTACGCCATTGAAATTAGCAAAAAATCCGAGTATAAAGCCAACAACTTACAGACGGGAGTAACGAAATCCGAAAAACATGACTGCGCCGCAATGAGCCCGCCAAAAATATATCAACGTCCGGCCCAAATAGATGCTTATTCCTCGTCCGACGAATTCGTGAGAGATAGGTAGGCTGTCCAGGCAATGCCAATCGACGAAACAAACGGCTGTTTTTGAGGCATTAGAGACCATTTCAGCCACAGCTGTGCTACAGGGGAATAAATAGTGTCACTTACTATCTGGAACTGAATTGGCATCAGCCTAAAATTAAGAATTTGCACTACTGGCCAGAGAATGAAGTTGGCCTTTAGAGTAGGAATGTAGACATCTTGTAGTTTTCTGCTGATCGCACGACGCCCGCCACCCTCTGCAACAGTCATAAATGTAAAGAAGCAAACGAGACCTAGTACTGATCAGTAAACCATCGGGGTCGATTAAACTGTCGGACATCGTACCAATCGGAGCGAAGATAAGTTGATCCATCGCCACGCGCTTCATCGCAGGAAGAGTTGCATGCTGCTTTGTAACTGGGAAGGCTCTCGAAAGGAAGCCAAACCATTGAAATTGGACTGGAGCCATAAAGAAACCGTATGCCATGAAGCGTGTAAGCCGCTCGAAATCAAATGGGGCTGGCATCCGGCCGGGGTATCCGAGCTCGCTGATCGGGGGTTTCTTTTCCTTTTGTAGATCTTGTATCTCTATAGACATAAGGTCGTCACCAGATCGGCGGTTACGGCGATTGTATTCTATCCGTGAACGGATTGCCGTTATCGACTGTGCAACGGTGTCCGCTATTCCGCCAAGAACCTGATATCCGCTGAGTTCAGTATTCCGGCCACGTAGGAAGTATTGGGAGAAATGATTTGGGTATGCTTACTGCGTTGGTTACCATTGTCGTTAGAACTAATAGAGACGGTATGATCAGTACTTGAGCTTCGAAGCCAGGCGGTGTAGCGAGTGTAATACCTGGTCTCTCGGCATAGTAAGAGTTGAATTTCGATGCCAACCTCATGGTGATTGCCATCTCGATAACGAAGAGTAACAAATGCAGTATGGGCTAGAGAAGATAAATCAGTATCGCTTCCAGAGCCTTTTTTCCATAGATAAAGAGCGCATCGTCGCCGCACACGACCTCGATCTTGGGTACGATGAACTGGAGATGACTTACAACATAGCCATATAGGTACCGTCTGTTTAAACTATCCAGTAGTTTAAGTCTCCCCATGCCAACCATAGTGAACGTGAGTGTATACGCCCGGAAGGGTGTAATAAGAGAAACGCAAAGAACGCTGAATGTCTGGCGGATGGTATATGACGCAAAAGGTGGTGAGTTCAGGTTCGCGGGCAACTCTTGGTTCTGGGCGGCGCTAGTAAGGGACACCTCGTTTTATCTCCGAGACATGGATGTGATCATTAAGACGCATGGATGATACAACACTACAGCTATTTTAATGACGACAGCTGGCCCTGGGAATGAAAATTTCTGGTTTTAGTGATCATTTACAGAGCAAATAAGCTAGAATTCCGGTATCCAGCCGGTACATCCAATTCTAGCATTGCTTCTTATTCGGGACAGTGACTATATCTGGCAAGTCTCTAATGTCGATCGATTCATTGCTGTTTAAATCTACAAACCTGATAGCAGCTACCTGGAGATTTCCTAGTGATAATGGAAGCATTGGAAGGTGTACCAGGCAACAGGCTCCTGGAAGGAGAGGCCTGCACGGAGGAGTCAGTAAGATCATTTTACACCAAAAGCACAAGGGACGCTTACCTGGATATGACTTCGGAACTGAGAAAGAGTAATTTTGTTTCATGGGGAACTGCTTTTTGTGTCATTATGAAGATGTCGCTTTCATCTACAACGGCTTCTGCCACATTACCCGCGGCAATGCTGGTATTGATAGAGGATGGGCTTTGTGGATTAGGGCTCTCGCTAGGCCTGGGGTCTTTAGGCATGACTGTGATGGCGAAATGCCGCATTTTATCGGATTTGTTAACAATGAAAGCACACCAGTCAAATGGCTGTCCAACTTCAACATATAATGGAGCGGAAAATGTCACAGTTAACCCGCATTCCCTTGGAGAAATGGGTGACCTTCTTGGTGGGGCCCCGCTAAATGATGTTCCTGTCGAATTCATAGTCATGGAAAGGCTACTGGGGCGATTGTTTCTTTGTAACGCTTGGCTGGCGCCACCAAAAGTAGGATTAAGAGGTATAGAAAAGTCGATACTTGTTTTCCATCTCATAGAAACTTCTGGCTGGCAGGTTTTCGACAACAAAACAACAGCCTTTATCGAAATATCCAGTGTAGAATAATGCCCGGCCTGACCCGCAACCAGCTTGTAAATGAACGTGAGGTCGTCTCGTGCACGGCAAAAAATAGGCAATTTAACATCAGATGAAGAACTGAAATCTTCCACTGTACCATGTAACAATGAAATCTCCACGGACTCCAAGTTCAGCTCGAGATTCATGAGAGGGGTCACTTCAAAGTCTAGACTAGCGATTACCGCAGGTTGAGTAGAATACGTGTTCGTTCGGGCGTACCGCACTCTTGCGCTCGCGGCGGGAATGATGCGAATAGGGACTGGCGCGGACTGCGATATGTCAAAAGATGGCTCCTCGGTCTTTGCGGCAGGTGCCACGCGCAAGAGTCGAGATGCTGGAAGATATGGTGGTGCAGTATTTTGTGCCTCGAATCCGATTAACGGCTGAAAGACATTCGCGGAAGCAGGAGTGAGACTTGGAAGATATTCGTCCTCAACAGCCCTCTGCAAGCGTTTCACCGGTCCGATCGTAGCGGAGGCGGAGAATATTACAGACGGATGTTGTATACGAGCCCTTGGGCGATCTTTCGACGCATTAGAATCACGGAAAAGCTAGAATGTTAACACTTACTCAAATATGCTTCTGATTTCCAAATCACGTATATATGATTCCGGGTGCCCTCGTCATCGCCCACGGCATTGACGATCACAAGGGGGTCATCAATGTCCCTGATAGAGCTAGAAAATATGACCTCCTTAGGTGACGCTGAAGCGTTTTCAGCTTCTGGTTTAGACTCCGCTACAGTTAAAGCATAGACGTCCAGCTGGAGCGCTATATTTTGTATTTGTGATTTCAAGGCAGCTTCTTCGCAGTCAACCAGCTGAAGAACAATATATGTAGTGACAAGCTCATCTAAAGGTTTTGGTCAGGACAAGCCATGCCCATGAATTGGACAGCGGCTTACCGAAGAAAAGAAGGTTGCGTTGTTGTATATTGGAAAACGGCCATGCACCGTCCTCGGAGCCATGCTGTACCGAAAGACTCAAAGCACTCTCAAAATCAATCTCTGGTTCATATGGGATAATAGTGTTAATTTTCGCGTTATTTAAAAAACAGCTGATAGCCATGATAGCCGGGAATTGAAGATAGTTAGAGGCTGGCCACACTGCGGCAAGCATGGAGTAGAGTTAACTCGCGCATGCATGTTGCCATCAAAGTCGCTGTCAGCGGTGTTATGCTGGTGGAATACTTTAGTGGTAATGTATTGAACATGACCTTAGCATTCGGAATAATTATTTTCCACAGCATTTGCTGAAGAAACTGAGAATCAGAGATAAACGAAGCTCTTCAGCCTAGAGTTCGCAGTTCCTTGTCGACCATATGGACCTGGATGCAACCGAAACCCCTGAGGAATACTTTCTAAAAACTCTTTAGCAAAGCGGCAGTATCAAAGCGGCTCCAGCCAGTCCTCCCGTCCCAGGCGCCTAACTGTTTCTTCCTCTCGTATCCACGCGCATTAAGCATCTGTCGAGGAATTTGCACTGATTAGCCTTGCACCATGGATACAATGAGCCCTATATCTAGCTCAGCTCCGCCTATGCTTTGGCAGGAGGCACGCAATGGTGAGGGACGCGTTTATTACTACAATGTCCAAACGAAGGCCACGCAATGGGCAAAGCCAATCGAACTTATGACCCCAATGGAGGTATGTGATGTTGCTTCTTCTTTAATACTTCTTTGAAGCTAATAATATGCTTCAGCGGGCTTTAGCAGACCAGCCGTGGAAAGAGTATACCGCTGACGGTGGCCGAAAATATTGGTATAATACCGAGACAAAAAAGAGCTCCTGGGAGATGCCGGATGCCTATAAAAATGCGCTTGCGCAAGCTCAAAATTCACCAATACCAGGACCTGCGTAAGTTTGAGCTTGTGGTGAGAATAGGAGTCTTTACTAATACATTTAGTGTGTCTGGTTTTGTCGCTGGCGGCGTAACATCCCTCCCTACATATCCAGCGCAACGCGAGCGGGAAGATCACGAACGCACCGGAGATCGTCGGCCACAATATGGCATATCAGATACCAATGGTACCCTTGGCTCTAGCCTCACTCAACAGCAAACCGATTTGGGCTATTCTACATTCGAAGATGCAGAGGCTGCATTTATGAAACTTCTCCGGCGAAATAATGTGCAGGCAGATTGGACCTGGGAACAAGCAATGCGCTCTGTGATAAAAGATCCCCAGTACCGCGCTCTGAAAGACCCGCGTGATCGCAAAGCCGCTTTTGATAAATACGTTGTCGATGTTCTCACTCAGGAAAAGGATAGAGCCAAAGAAAGAATAGCCAAATTACGAACAGATTTTGGCACTATGTTGAGAAGTCATCCTGAGATTAAGCACTATAGCCGATGGAAAACCATTCGACCTATTGTCGAAGGTGAAACAATCTTTAGGTCTACGAGTGATGAGAATGAACGACGACAATTCTTCGAGGAATATATTCTAGACCTCAAGCGGGAGCACGTCGAAACAGAGGCTAAGTCACGGAAGACGGCGAAGGAAGATCTTGCTGAAATTTTGAAAGCTTTGGATTTGGAGCCTTATACTCGCTGGGCAGAAGCACAAAATCTGATTCAGTCGAACGAACGTATTCAAAATGAGCAGCAATTCAAAGCTTTGACCCAGACAGATATTCTCACAGCTTTTGAGAATCATATCAAATCTTTGGAACGCACATTCAACGATGCCAGACAACAACAAAAAGCGATCAAGATCAGACGGGAGCGGCAAAACAGGGATAATTTCATCAATCTTTTACAGGAATTGAGAAACAAGGGCAAGATAAAAGCCGGGACCAAGTGGATGGATGTTCTTCCTCTCATGCAAGAAGACTCACGTTACAATGCGATTCTTGGCCAAACCGGCTCTACTCCTTTAGATCTTTTTCGGGACATGATTGAAGATGAAGAACGCTCGCTACGAGCTCCTCGGAATGATGTTCTAGATGTTTTGGATGTAAGACCCCAGTTTTAACCCAAAGGATGACAGAAGAGCTGATGATTTGCATAGGATAAACGATATGAAATTACTGTTAAGACAACATTTGATGAATTTGCATCAATCATGAAGACAGACGGCCGAACTGAGGGGATTAGCCGTGATACCCTTCAGCTCCTCTTTGATCGTCTTCGAGAAAAAGTGCTTCGTAGGACGGAAGATGAAAAACACGCGGCCAATCGTCAGCAACGTCGTGCTATCGATGCGTTGCGTTCAAGAATTAAACACCTTGATCCGCCCATTCACCCGTCAGATACGTGGGAACAAATTAAACCGAGAATAGAAACCACTGAAGAATATCGCGCAGTTGAATCAGACGAACTGCGTACGCTGGCTTTTGAAAAAGTAATCCGTCGGCTGAAAGAAAAGGAGGAGGATAATCAGAGAGATCGCGAGGCTCGAGACCGAGATCGTACTCTAAGGCGTGATTACTACGACCGCGTCGATCGCTCGGACCGTGTAGAACGCGGTCATCGCAGTACTCAGTCCTCATACCGGGCTGAAAGGAAGGGCTCTAGCCGTATGAGCCGCACACCGGAACCGGACGCTTACGAGGCTGATCGTCGAAAAGCTCAGGCCGACCGTGAAAGATCTTACAGGAAGGTTAGCGGGCTTTCTCCACCTCCCACGTTATATCGTGATAGGGGTAGAGATCGGGGCCGAGACCGAGATAGGGAACGAGGAAGTCACTACGATCGCGACCGTCGTGATTGGGAAGACGACCGCGACCGATTATATCCTAGCCGTGCCGATCCGAGAAGTAGTCGCGATGAGCTAGATTATGGCGTCGGTGACGTGAGTAGGAGTACTTCCGGCCAAGTCCCTTATGAACGGCGTCGACGACGAGATAGCGAAACTGAAAGTGTGGGAAGCCGAAGTGCCAAACGCTACAGACGTGATGGGCGAGACTCCGATCGGGCGTCTGATCGACCCAGAAGAGATAAAGAACGAGAGCGCGTGCGTCCTCGTAGCCCTCGCATGGATATCGATTCTGATAGAACGGCTGTCGAGAAGGAGGCTCCAGTTGTTCATTCGGGTAGTGAGGAAGGTGAAATTGAAGAAGATTAAGTGACAGATAGCTTTTCCCTGACTATGTACTAATAACTCTTATTCAAAGGCAATTCGGTTGAAATCTGCGCCTATTTTGGCCGTGGTTTCAGACTCGCCGTTGTACTAGACCGCATTTTTCAGACGAAGATCAAAATTGACGTTATTTACCAGTGTAGCTACAATTATCAATCCAAAAACAAAAAAGCTTTTTCCACATCAAGTTATCTCATGTTCAGTCGATGTCGCATCATGTATTCGTTGAAATTGCTGGCTTAAATCACTAGGAGCTTAGCTTATTTAAGATATAGAACCAGGATTGAGTCCAGTATTGACAGCATAGAACGAATACAGCTAATAAACTATTTGAGGAAAACCTCAAATCAAATCAAAAATCACAACATGCTGTCATATCGAGCAATCATATAATGCAAAAGGGCATTCAAAATTTTCACTGTAATTCAATTTGGGCAAATATGCTCAACGCAAAAATGCAGCTGCCAGGTATGCTAGTATCTTCAGCAATTCGGGAAAAAGGAATTGAACTGGGAGCCTATGATGAAATTAGTCTCACTGGTTGTAAGAAGATGATCGGGGGTTATTGAGTGGTCACATACAGTTTTTGGAGAACTTGTTTCGTATCAAAAATAGAAAGGTGTATCGAACACCTTCGGGCCTGGAACGCTTCACTGGCCAAACTATGTAACCCCGAGGGTAATATATGTCGAATTCCAAGGACATGTAGTACTTGCTGGGGTTGCCAGGCAGAAAACAAGTACCCGAAAAGTGACCGCAAATAAGGTCTTCTGAGGTTGGACTGCCCTTGTAGGGTGCCTCAACTTTCATCTTCAAGGAAGAACTGCAAATATGTTAAGAAGGATACATCTACAAAGCGAAGTGTAACTTACGTAATTTCCATTCAATTTCTGTTCCTGATCCAACTGACTCTTGTCTTTATTGATTCGTGGGCGGTAGCTGTTAGGGTCGCGTCGGAAAGTAACATCCAAATTCTTCAAGAATTTATTGCAGCCAGTTAAAAGGGATTCAGGCTGGTTTGCCCTAGCGTCCACAGATGGCTTGCCGTCGAAAACAATTACTCGGTCAGCAAGATAAGTAGCCATGATGAAATCGTGCTCAACGATAAATGCACTCTTCTTGGTGTGCATGATGAAGCGTTTGATGACTCGAGCAGCCACAATACGTTGCTCTGAATCGAGATAAGCGCTTGGCTCGTCGATTAGATAGATATCTGCAGGAATCCCCAATGCCAGAACGATAGCCACTCGCTGAAGTTCTCCTCCGGAAAGATTCTGGACTTCTTGGTCGATAAAATCGTCGAGTTTAAGAGGCTTGTAAACATCGGTTTGAAACTGAGGGGAAAGGAAGGCTGCCTTGATACGCTTGAAAAAGAGCTGCCGAACGGTACCTTGGAACTTTGGAGTGATCTTCTGTGGTTTCATGCTGATATTCATTGCTGGAACTGCTTTACCGCCGTCCGGCTTTTCGACTCCAGCAAGCATTTTGCAAAACGTCGTTTTACCCGTCCCATTTTCTCCCATCATGACGACAATTTCAGAATTTGTGAACTTGCCTGCTTCAATGCGAAGATGGAAAGAGCCAAGTGTCTTCTCCATTGCAGGATAGCTGAAAGCCCGGCCTTGATCAATAATAAAGTCGTCACCAGCCTCCGCAATTCTAAAAGTCAGGGATTCCTCCCGGAACCGAAGATTTTCAGTGGGGATATGGCCATCAAGGAAAATATTTATACCTTCACGAACGGAGGATGGTAAAGTGACGACACCATAGACAGCGGGGCGACCATAAAGTACACAGATGAAGTCGGAGAGATAATCCAGGACTGACAAATCGTGCTCAACGACAATGACATAATCGTCGGGGCGTAACAGCTCCCGAATGGTACGGGCGGCACTGAGACGCTGTTTAACGTCCAAATAAGAGGAAGGCTCATCAAACATGTAGCTAAAGTATTGGAAGTGAGCAATAATGGAAGTAAATGTAGATGGGCCGTGAGCTTACACATCAGCCTGCTGAACGCAAACAAGGCCAATTGCAAAACGCTGAAGTTCACCACCCGACAAGAGAGAAATATCGCGATCCTTCACTTGATTAAGCTCTGCAGGATGCATAATCAGCATAAGGAGTTAAGACCAGAAATGGCATCATAACACACCCAGGACCTCCATGATATGTTCCATATTGTCCATCTGAGATCTAGTCTTGATGAGAGGCCCTACTGATTTCACGGGTCCTTTAACAGCTTTGGGGATTTGGTCAACATATTGTGGTTTCACAACAGCTTTAAGGTCATCTTCAAGAACTTTTGTGAAATAGTCTGTCCTGATAGTTAGACGGAGCTCACATAGCGTTCTGGTAACATGAACATGCTTACTTTGAAGCTCAGATCCACGGAAATATTTAAGAATTTCCTCCCAGTCAGGAGGGTCATCATACCGGCCAAGGTTGGGTTTCAATTTGCCGCTAAGTATTTTAAGAGCAGTACTTTTCCCAATACCATTTGTTCCAACCAAACCAAGCACCTGGCCAGGCCGTGGCATAGGCAGACGATGAAGTTTGAAGCTATTTGCCGAATATCGGTGCGTTACCTGAGTCTCCAGGTTCGTTGGAAGATTGATAATATGGATTGCGCCGAAGGGGCATTTTTTTGGGCAAATACCACACCCAATGCACAGCCTCTCAGATATGAACGCAATTTTGGATTCAGATGTAACTTCAATACACAACTTTCCTGTTCGCACGACTGGGCATGACTTCTTACACTCTTGACGACATTTCTAGTGAAAAGTGGCTTAGTAGTTGACCCACAAACATACTATACGGTACAGGCTGAGCATTCTCAACAACTTACCTTTGGTTTGCACTATATAAAGTGAGTTCTTAGCATTAGCAACTGGAGCTTATGTTGAGATTCTGCATTTGCAACAACAGTTGATGGGTAGAGGGGTAGATTGCGGGGCATACTTTATCGCTGTTCACGATGGCAATTCTAAGGAAATGAAGTCATTAACATCATATCATTGAAAAAAGATATGCAAGGAAGAGCTATACCGAGTCAGCTTTTCCGACATGGTGACAGAGCTTGATCTCTCCTCTGGCGCAGATTCTGATTCTGGCGATGTACCCCGCGATAGAAGAACCGGACACGATTTGCTGCCTCTTGGTAGTCGTTTATCGAATCAGAGATTTGAACGAGTATATTGAGGAGTGTCCGGCAAGGAGTATTGAGGAGAGCGGCAGAGGCCCGTTGGAAGCGAGTGGGAAGCTGTTTGCTGGCGGCCGAGAACTACGGATATTGAAGTTTGTGCGATTTGAGTGAACGAACTGATGACAGACAGCTGTGCTGACTCAGCGACTCCAGCCAATGTGCGCCAGCGATTTGTCAGAAAACGCCCGTGTACAGCCCGGACAGGTCAAACGGGATTTCCGTGCAGCAGGAACTGTTCGGACCCGGCTTTATAAAGACCCGACATGGTGGGGCTCGTTTAGCCAACCAGGGGCTTTTCGCGTGATCAGGATGCGTGACGTAAGCCACACTACGTATACTCTGGGACTAGCGTAACAACGCCCACTAGGCCTGATTGGGGTCGCCCTCACTGGCGAGACTCCAACCATTCACTCTCTTCTCTCTCCCAAACTCTCAGTCCGGGCCTCATTCCTCACACTGTACCTTTTCACCACGACGTCCCCGTCGCTGATACTATTGAAATCGCGTGTATTCGGCTTGGGCCGTCCAAGCTATGGATCGTAAGTCCATTTTTTCTTTCTGATCTGTCTTTACCCGCCGCCAGCTCGCATTCTCTGCACGTCCTCTGCTGTAGTTCCTCTGGTTCACTCCTCGGGATGAACTGCTCCTTGGATGCTGCTGGCGCGCGTGATATTTTCTCTCTGCCTCTAGAATTTGGTGTCTGTGTTGTCTGGCCCTTGTTCTATCTCTCTGACTGCAAAAATGTGTCCACCCATTGGCCTTCCTTCGACCTCTGTGTCCATCAATCTTTCATCAACGCCTTGACCATGTCATCGAGTTTCATCGAGCTTTGCTATCTATGGCTATTTTAGCTCGAAATACCCCTAGTCTTTTGTACTTTGGGTCGCGTGTCGTCCCTCTATGCCCTTGACCCTGTTACAATGCCTCCATGCCCGTAATCCTCATGCAATGCTGACCCGACTGCCCTAGCCACCGCGTTGGTGATCCCAAGCAATGCAAGCTCCCATATCACACCAATCGAAGACGATATGGCCGCTATAGATCGTCTGTCCCATATGGGTCACTCGACTGTAGTGTCATGTCAAGAGAACAACAGCCCGCCCAGTGTTGCGAACGATATCGACTTCGAAACCGACGATCAAGATAGCCCAGTCGCATTGCAAAATGGTATCGGTCACTTGACGGAGCCTGGACCAAATTCGCGGCCCGCCTCAGAATACGATTCAAGTAATTCGATCCCGGATGGCCCGATACCCATTGACGAGGATGGCGATTCTCACATGGAGGATGTTTCCGATGCGGTAGACGGTGTATCCGCCTCCTCACGCACATCAGACAACGCATCAAGCAGAGGCATAAAGCGCAAGTCGCCTGTTGATGATAGTGATTTCATTCGCAATAACCCAAGCTTATATGGATTACGCCGAAGCGGCCGCACTCGTACTGTCCGCAAGACTACTCTGACGGATGCGGACTCCGATTCCGATGCCGTTGTAAGACCCGTCAAACGAAGGCGTCGCCAGTCTCTCCAGTCATCGAAGCAACCTTCAGTGTCACTCTCCCATGATTCAGATGCCGACTCTAGCGACGCTTACAATGAAACACATAGGCGTCGACATAACAATCGTCGTCGGTTGCTCCAGCCGAAACCTGATCTAACACCTACACATGGCGAAATTCGATTCTCTACCCGTCGTTCGAATAAAGTGTTGAACTATAATGAGGATGATGACGATGAATTGTTTGGGGAAGATTCGGAGAACGCGACTCCCCTTGAATGGACAAACGTTATCGACAACAACTGCCCTGCCATCGACGTTGTGTTGAACCATCGACTTATAGAAGGCAGTGACTTTACAAAAGTCGATATTGGACGCTCAGATTTTGAGTTTTGCATAAAATGGCAAGGAAAATCACATTATCATGCAACTTGGGAAACTGATGACTCGCTCACTGGATGTCGAAGTCTACGCCGTTTAGATAACTATGTACGAAAGATTCTCATGCAAGAGCTATATTTCCTCAAGGACCCAGATTTGATACCCGAGGAAAAAGAAAAGTGGAACCTAGACCGTGAGCGTGACGTTGAGGCTATCGAGGATTTTAAACAAGTTGAGCGTATTATTGGATCTCGTGAGATCGATGGCCAAACGGAATACTATGTTAAATGGAAACGCTTGTTTTATGAGTGCTGTACATGGGAAGCCGCAGAGCTGGTCAGCCACATCGCCCAGCAAGAAATTGATCGTTACCTTGATCGCTGTTCCCGTCCTCCACTTTCAAACAGACTGGAATCAAACCAATCGACTCGATCTGTCTTTGAACCTATCCATGGCACTCCGGACTTTATCTGTAACGGCCAATTAAAAGATTTTCAAGTGAAAGGGGTTAATTTTATGGCATATAACTGGGTTCGCGGGCGGAATGTCGTCCTTGCCGATGAAATGGGTTTGGGCAAAACTGTACAGACCGTCACATTTATCAACTGGCTCCGCCATGTGAGAAATCAACAAGGACCGTTCATTGTGGTGGTTCCTCTATCAACAATGCCTTCGTGGGCCGAAACTTTCGATTACTGGACGCCGGACCTAAATTATGTCGTTTACAGTGGAAATGAGACTTCACGTAATATTATCAAGGAGTATGAGCTTCTCGTCGATGGAAACATCAAGCGCCCTAGATTTCATGTTCTCCTAACAACATACGAATACGTATTGGTCGATGCCTCTTTCCTAAGTCAAATTAAATGGCAATTTCTCGCCGTTGATGAAGCCCACCGTCTCAAGAATCGGGATTCCCAGCTGTATGCGAAACTGAACGAATTCAGATCACCAAGTCGGCTTCTAATTACTGGCACTCCCGTCCAAAATAACCTTGGAGAGCTTTCCGCCCTGATGGACTTCCTAAATCCGGGAGTGATTGACATTGATGATGACATGGATTTGAGCTCAGAGCTTGCAAGCTATAAGCTAGCGGAGCTAACGAAGGCCATTCAGCCATATATGCTTCGTCGTACCAAATCCAAGGTTGAGAGCGACTTGCCGCCAAAATCGGAAAAAATAATACGAGTAGAGCTGTCAGATGTACAGTTAGAATATTATAAAAATATTCTGACTAAAAACTATGCTGCTCTTAATCAGGGTACTAAAGGCCAGAAGCAGTCTCTGCTCAACATCATGATGGAGTTAAAAAAAGCAAGCAATCACCCTTTCATGTTTGCGAGTGCAGAGGAGCGAATCCTACAAGGCAGCACTCGACGTGAGGATGCCCTTAGGGCTCTCATCACCAGCAGCGGTAAAATGATGCTACTTGATCAGTTGCTTGCAAAGCTAAAGAACGACGGCCACCGAGTCCTTATATTCAGTCAAATGGTTCGGATGCTTGACATACTTGCCGACTATATGGACGCCCGTGGGTTCACATATCAACGATTAGATGGTACCATTGCAGCTGGCCCTCGTCGATTGTCCATCGAGCACTTTAATGCTCCTGATAGCACCGACTTTGCCTTCCTTCTCTCGACTCGCGCTGGAGGTCTCGGCATCAATTTAATGACAGCGGATACTGTGATTTTATTCGATTCTGATTGGAATCCCCAGGCTGACCTACAGGCGATGGCCCGAGCGCACCGTATTGGACAGACAAAGCCGGTAAGTGTCTATCGACTAGTGTCGAAAGACACAGTTGAGGAAGAAGTTATCGAAAGAGCAAGAAACAAGCTGCTTCTTGAGTTTATCACAATTCAGCGAGGTGTGACCGATAAGGAGGCGACCGAGCTGAAGGATAAGATGGTCCGCGCCGGCCATCATGTCAACGAACCTACTTCCTCAGATGACATCTCCAGAATTTTAAAAAGGCGAGGCCAACGAATGTTTGAGCAATCCGGAAATCAGAAAAAACTTGAAGAACTTGACATCGATGCAGTTCTTGCCAATGCCGAAGAACACAAAACGGAGCAAGCGGAAGGCATGGAAGCTGACGGTGGTGAAGAATTCTTAAAGGCCTTTGAGTTTGTTGACGTCAAGGTTGACGATCTTACCTGGGAGGAGATCATACCAAAGGATGAACTCGAAAAAATCAAGGCTGAGGAGCAAAAAGAACTCGAGGACAAATATCTCGCCGAAGAGATTGAGCGAAGCAAGCCAAGGAAACGAAAGGTCCTTATGGACGAGCGCGAGGAAAGACAAGCGAAACGCCGAGCCCGTCAACAAGTTCATGTCGATGCTGGCGACGATTCTGATATACTGGCTCCACCAGACCCGAACCGACCTCTTAATGAGAAGGAGATTCGTAACCTCGTTCGTGCATATCTTCGATATGGCGACTTTAACGACCGGGAGGAAGATATCCTTAGGGAAGCAAAACTCCTGGACAGGAATTTGACGCTTGTGAAAACAGTTCTGACACAAATTATTCAATCTGCCACAGAACATGTTCAGATAGCAAATGAAGAATTACGTGCACTGGAGCGAGAAGGCAAGACTTTCACAAAAAAGGAGCGGAAAGCTGTTCTCTTTAATTATAATGGTGTTAAGCGGCTGAACGCTGAAACAATCGTTGAACGGCCTATCGAGATGCGACTTCTTAAACAAGCCACATCAGGTATCAGTGACCCAAAGAGTTTTCGACTTCCGGAGGCGACAAAAGCTGCGGACTATTCTTGCACTTGGGGGGCGCGAGAAGATGGAATGCTATGCATTGGTATTGCTCGGCATGGATATGGAGCTTGGACGCAAATTCGAGACGACGCCGACTTGGGACTTGCTGATAAATTTTTCTTGGAGGAGCACCGAGCTGATCGCAAGAATGAATTAAGCCGAAATGGCGAAGGCATGAAATCTCCAGGTGCGGTTCATTTAGTACGCCGTGCCGACTATTTGCTGTCTGTCCTGAGAGAAAAATCGAGCAACGGCAACAATGCTGCCACGAAGAAAGCGGTTGAAAATCACCAACGGCTTAATAAAAAGCATACTTTTTCACGACACCAGACCAGCGGCAGTGTCTCGGCCTCTCCTGCCCCATCGGCACACCGCAAGCGCAGAGAATCAGATTCTCTTAGACACCGTGTTCATGCTCGTGGCGGCCGTGGTAGTGATCGACAGCATACGCCAGCTACCGCTGAACCTCGAAAGCTCTCATCTGAAGTCGACAAAAGTCGCCATAGACATAGTAATAGTGACGCTCATTCTCGCCGTCGAAGTTATGACCAAGTCAACTCTATCCCTGATAAAGAAAATACTCTTAAGTTGGTATTTAAGCCCATTCGAGACAACCTAAGGCAGATTTCACAGTGCAATAAAGAAAGTATCCCAGACAAAGTCCAACGGGCTAAAGAGCTTCGTCGCCTTTTATCCTCAGTTGGCGGCTTCATCCATAAAACTCTTGAAGGTGAAGAAGAAACCCGTGAACTCCTTGAAACACGTTTATGGTAAGTTTCCTAGTCGAATCCCGTTAATGCTGTCTGCGAATACTTAATTTTGCTTAGGGATCACGTCGCACATTACTGGCCCAATAAAGGCACTCCCGGAAGCGCTCTTCTCGACATTTACAAACGGATGGTTCACTCAGACAAGACTGCACAATCCAAATCTACGTCCTAAGCTTTCACACAAAGAATCCATGAAAGCAAGCAAACCACTCCTATGTTTTGTTACCCTTCTCTCTCTGTCTCTTTCTCCCCACCTTCCTCTGCTGTCGACTATGAAAATTAAAGAAAAATGTTTTGGCTTGATGCATCTGGGTTGGTGCTATCAGGCGTTCATAAAAAAGAATTGGTGTTGGAGAGTTTTCTGATCATGGGGCCGCATTTTATGACGACCACGACTGTGATTGATTTTTATGGTTTTGAAGAGGTTTTTCTTCCGTTTTTTCATTTTCCGAGGCATCACAAGGATATGTGTTTCGAGGGGCATTTTCAGCGGATAGTGCTTTTCTTCTTGTCTACTCATGGCCTCGGTCCCGCTCATTTTGAGCTTGGTGACCGTTGTTTCCATGACCTTGTCCCTTTTGTGTTTTTTGTTCATTTCTACATTTTACGGATCTGACCCCGCTCATCTTGAGCCTGGCGGCCTACCGTTTTCTTGAGTTGGTTTTACATCTCTTCGGGTCTGATCTTGTCTATTTGGGTTGGGTGGCTACTTGCATATTTTCTCCTCTTTCACTTAAGCCAGATATTGTTTTCTTACAATGCAAGGTACCATACATTAGAGCTCTTTCAGCGGTCCGTTGTCACGTCTGTGTTTGGGAGATAATTTTATGTTTAAGCATGTACCTAAGAGCATTTTTGAATGGCAAAGCCAACTATGCCCACAACCTGTGCTTCCATGTGGTTGTTATATGAGATACAATGATTCAACCGAGCGTAGGAACCAGATTTACTGCATACAGATGACTTGACTAATATTCAACATCGCAAATACAACAACTCGGCCGTTATTTGTACAAACGAATTCAAAACATGTTCCCTGAATGGAAGGCTCAGTGTTGCCCCAGTAGGACCTAAAATTACACAGCAATTCTATCTTTGTATCACCATCCCGGAGCTGAAAGCGCCCTGGGGAGCCATGGCATTATACGGCCTGAAGCGCCAAATCTTCAGCAGTCAAAGCTGATTTGAATACCTTCAGCTCAGCGTAGATCACATCTTCAAAAATCGACTCCTTCTCTCGCCACACTTCTTTCCTTCGGCGCTTGATCACCTGCCACTCCGATTCCAGTCGCCTTGACTCTTGCTCGGCCCAATAGACCTGCCTGTGCAACAGAGCATATAGCTGATGCGGAGGTAAAGACAGTTCATGGCCGTCGAACCCAAATCCAGTATCAAAGCGATTTAATAGCGATTCCTTTTCTCTGAAATCACCGCCTTTGTCATTCTTTTCGCTTTCATGGCCGACTTCTTTGGAAAACTGGGATAATTTGAGCTTTAGTCGGGGTGGTTTATTCGAGGGCTGTCCCGGCGACCCCGATAGGGCGTTGGATTTGGCCATGTTGTCGACAAGCCTCAGCGCTTCCGTTTCATGGACTGTTCTCATATGTTTTGTCAGGGCGTCTGATCGGGTAAAGCTGCGGTCGCATTCTTCTGTCTGTTAGAATACCATATGATAAACATGAATGAGTGAAAACTGTACCAGGTAGGTTGCAATAGAACGGCTTTTCTTTGGTGTGACTTCTCATATGTGCTCGGAGCGCATAGCCGCTGGCATGCGATTGGCCTTTTCGTGGGCAGTCTTTCCATTCGCAGAGATATCTCTTCTGCTTGGATAAAATATGCGTGTTGTGTATATGTTTGACTAGAGCATCCATGTGTGCCAAATTTCGCACATTGCACCCTTCCCACCGGCACACGGTGACTTGATCTTTGCCAATACCGCTATAGTCATCATCAAGACCGCCGCCGATCAGCGATAGGAGGCTGGAGGCTTCTGGGAGTTCATTCGAACTATCGGAGGAAATGGACGCGGAAGGCGAGGGAGGTATTTCGTCGTGTATGGAGGACATGGGGGTATGATGGTCCCAGGATGCTATTCCTGTCTTGCGTCGCTTCGGGGGAGGCGCATGGGGTAGCGGAGGGGATTGAGCCCGGTCTTCGAACTGCAAATCCTCGGTGAATTCCTCCGATGCTAGCGAAGAAAGGGGTGAGCCTGGTGATTCCGCCATCGCGTAGAAATATGGTAAAGCCGGAGACGCTAAAAGGCCGAGTGTTGTGGATGCACAGGAAGGCTCGATCTTGCCGTCGACTGTCTGCTACCCGCACACTCGATGGGATTCGCAGTGGTTTCCGTCCTTTGTCTCACTCTCCCGCACACTCGCGAGTCTTCGGCGCTGCGCTTCGTCGTCGCCGTTCCTTGGAAGTCGGGCCTGCAGGCGCGTCACGTGCGGCGCCCATCAAAACTTCGACTTTTTGTGATCTGTCTCGACGACGTACGACGTTCGGGCTGACGGACAGTTTGGCCTCAACTCGCTACAGCGCACAGTAAGTCATGCTCTTTCATCTTATCAGTGGTATTCAAAGGATGAACAACAGAATTCTGCAATGCTGACAGTTCCCCTGCCTTGTGCTGGTGGAATTGTGTGTGGACAAATATTCTACACTTGATCTGACCTTCCAATTTCACACCTCGAAAACTTGTCGCGTGGCATCGTCAAACACATAGCTAACCATTCTAAAGGCTTTAGGTACATACATATGAGAATTCAATTCAACCACGGCCCGACTACCGCAAGTGGTATTCCAGGCACCAGCCAGCTCTTTCAAGGAGCGTTCAAACAACAGATTAGAACCAGGAACACAAGTCCGCCCCAAAAAGTTCTAAGCTGTCTATTTACACAAACATGGGAGCAGAAAGCTAGCCAAGATGCCCAATTACACGGTAATGATACCCTGCTAACACAATTCATCTATAATTGTAATCAACGGTGGCTTCGTAGGTGGTGAATATATTGTAAATACCTACTGGCTCCATAGAGTAATATTTTTAAAAAGTGAAATCAAGAAGTAGAACACGCAATAATTAGATGAAAATACCCCCTAATTCCCGATAAACCCTGTGATTTTGCTGTTGAAGGACAATCCCAATTTGTATTGAACACCCCAAATCTATGACTGTCAGAAAGGGTATCCTTCTTCATAACATCGTAGCTTTATGTTGAAAGACTAATGCGGCGCTTGTGTTGAGACCGCTGTGCATATTAGTAACATTAATGATATTTAGTATCGGTAGCTGAGAAAAAAAATTGTTAGCATATGACTATCAAAATGCCGGATCGCCTATATGAAAACTTACATTTCGCTCTTGAAAGGGCCCTCCACATCCAATCCTAGGTATTCCGCCTGGGTAGTAGTGAGTTTTGAGAGCTTGGCGTTAACGTGTTCCAAGTGGAAGAAAGCGACTTGCTCATCAAGGATTTTGGGAATGACGTAAACGCCGACCTCACGCTTGCCAGTGGCTCCGAATTCAACGTGCTTCTTGGCGAATGCTTCATCTTGGCACTTGTACAACATGATCTGGGCCAAGACCTGGTTGGAGAAAGAGCAGGACATGACAAAAGAGGAATGGCCAGTGGCACAACCAAGGTTGACAAGACGGCCTTCAGCAAGCAGGATGATATGTCGACCAGAGGGCATCAAGAAGCGGTCAACTTGGGGCTTGATGTTCTGAACAGACTTGGCGTTGGCCTTGAGCCAGGCAACGTCGATTTCGATATCAAAATGTCCGATATCTGCAGAGGTTAGAACCCCACAGAAAAACATGGGCTTGGCGTTACTTACTGCAAACAATAGCATCGTTCTTCATGACTTCAAAATGGGCGCCCGTCAAGATGTCACGGCAACCAGTGGTAGTAACGAAGATCTGGCCCAAAGATGCGGCCTCATCCATTGTGTTGACTTCATACCCAGCAACTGCGGCTTGCAGGGCATTGATAGGATCAATTTCAGTAACAATAACACGAGCACCCATGCTGTGAAGTGCCTGGGCACAGCCCTTGCCAACATCACCGAAACCAGCAACAACAGCGATTTTGCCAGCAATCATGACATCAGTTGCACGCTTGATGCCATCGATGAGAGATTCTCTGCACCCATAAAGATTATCAAATTTCGATTTGGTAACAGCGTCGTTGACATTGATAGCAGGAACCAGGAGTTCCTTGTTTTTCAACATGCGGTAGAGGTGGTGAACACCAGTCGTTGTCTCTTCCGATACACCGTAGCAGTCCTTGAGCATCTCTGGGTATTTTTTGTGAACCAACGACGTCAAGTCACCACCATCATCAAGGATGAGATTGAGCTTCTTTCCATCGTTGAAAGCGAACAATTGCTGTTCAATGCACCAGTTATATTCTTCTTCGGTCTCACCTTTCCAGGCAAAGCTATTGTTGGTTAGCTATAAGCTTCGCAATAAACCGGCAATGTTTAACATACACTGGGGTACCAGAAGCAGCGATAGCAGCTGCAGCATGGTCTTGGGTGGAAAAGATGTTGCAGCTTGACCAGGTAACTTCGGCGCCAAGGGCCTTAAGAGTCTCAATCAACACGGCGGTTTGAATAGCTAAAAGATCCAGTTAGTTCACAAACGACGCTGTTTATATACTTAGAACTGTTAACATACTCATGTGAAGGCAACCAGCAATACGGGCTCCCTTCAATGGCTGATCTTCCGCGTACTTTCGGCGGATAGCCATGAGACCTGGCATTTCGATCTCTGCAAGCTCAATTTCCCGGCGCCCAAAGGCAGCCAGCGACTAATCACAGAATTAGTATAATCAGGGGACCAAACACTATAGTGAGAGGAACGTACAATATCTGCAACCTTGAACTTGTTGGCGGGAGCACTCATGTTGACGGGAGGAAAGGAATTCAGCGGGGTAGACTATCGTCGAGTATGTTAGCTTTTTGGAAAGGAGATTCTTAATAAGGTTAATTCAATTGGAAAAAGTTATCATGGAGCAGCTTACTGGAGAATAAATGAATAGAATAGCAGGTAAATGATTCTAGGTGGGAGGGGAGGGGGTTGAGGATGGAAGAAGTTGCGGATTCGGAGAATTCTGTCCGTCAATTGTTTTGGCGGGGCAGGCCGGGTGGTGGCATTAGTTACGCGTATTGTACGGGAAATACGAGGCACCGTGCGGGCCGTGTAAGGATTTGTCAGCAGCGGCTTTATATGGGTTTACTCGTACTCAGCCCAGGAGACGTCGAACAGCCATGTTGGAGCCGGGCTGGCATGTAGTTGTCTCTGGTCGGGGTAAGAGAGACACCTAGCTATCATAAATCAAACGTGACAGCAGTCCCAATCATCAAACCGCCGCCCAAACCTTGCATTCCATTCTCCCCAAACGCCAGAAAATAAGGACAAAGCAGGGGGCTATAGAGGCCGAATAGAGTACAGAATATCATCAGTACCGTCATTGCTTTTTGAGCGGAGGAGGCGGAGGTCCCATTTTCCCGTCGCCAGTATTCAGTCGTTTGGTTGGGAGCGCTGGAACCTTAAATCCTCCCGTATCTGGTTGTTGACCGCCGCCGACCTGCGTGAACGTGCCGCTCCTAAACCACCTGTCTTCTTCTGCTTTGCGTTTGCGGCTAAGTTCAGCCTGTGCTTTGGGATCGACGAGCTCCAAGCCTTGAACTGGTGTAAATGCAATGGTACTCGCTGTCCCTGATCCCACGGACGGCCCCACCCCAGCGGCCCTGAGTCCTTGGCCGTTTAGCACAGATGCACTTCCAGCAGTCTGGCCAAAACCACGCAGCGACGACGCCGTTCCTCCCACTGTTGAAGCAGCACCCCACCCTTTGTTGGACTTGCTGAGCTTCGCCTTCGTTCTTTGATCAATTTGGGCAGCACGAATCCGTCCTAGGTTCTCTTGACCGAGCATACCAAGTCCTTTGGTACCTTCTCCCGCACCGTAGCCAACTTCCTTTTCTTCCTTACCAAAAGCCAGGCGATTCTGAGCCTTTCGCATATCCGTCATTGCAGTAGCCTCCTTGGCTTTTCGCGCCCTACGCCCACCGCGTTTTCTGGATGGTTTGTCGTCCGGAGCAGGGAGGGCCCGGGGACCTTTATTTGGTGGAGGCTCTGCTAGCTTTTCAAGCCGCTCTAAACATGCCTGTTTCAATTCTTCGCCTGTTGACCCATCCCGACTGCTGTGCACTCTATCGACGCGGGCTGCCAAGGCCACTTTGCCTGAAACGATACGCATCGCCTGGCGTTTTAAGTCATTTGGAATTTCTTGGATAATGGGTGAGTGGTATAAAAACCCCTGATGTCGAATACCAACGTTAGTAGCAAATCCCGCTTGAGTTTGCTTTTTCGAGCCTAATGGGGGTATATTGCACGATGGCATCTTGGCTAAGCCTGTAAGGCCTCCGGCGTAGTTGAGAAGTTGGGCCGCAGTAAGGGATCCAATAAGGGCTGTAAGGTTCGGTGCGAAGATGTTCATTCGCGATTGAACATAGTCTGTAAGAATAAATTTGGCCTTATCCAGGGAGAGCATCATTTCACACGCATCCAAAACCGTGCGTAGTTCAGATTCGGTTAGTTCTACACCCCTTGTGGTTGTCCCTTCGACGGCGACAACCATCAGCAGAGGTCCATCAAGAACGGATCTTAAAGTCGCGCCAACCATGTTGTGCACTGAAAGCGCCAGAGATTTAATATCGTTCAAAGGGCTGTTTCCCAAAATAGCCACCGTCTTCGCGTAGTCTAAGGGGTTTGTAACCAGAGTCTCAAGTTCCGGAAATCTAGCAGAGTAATGATCCCGAATAAATTTGTGTACTAGTATAATTTCGCTATCGATGGAGGTAGAGAGAGAGTTTGACTCTGTCAGAAGATGGTACTCTGGATTATCTTCAATAGAACCTGTGGATGTCGTTCGCTGTTCTGGCGGTAAGGATTGGTAATGGGAAATTTTCTTAAAATGCAAGAGAGATTAGTATATTTTTCTGTCAAAACTCTAGAATCCGAGATATTATATCTTGACTTACATCTAATATAGGCTGTAGGGTCTTCATCAGGCGTGCGACACTTCTTACATCGCTCACTCGGGAAAATCGCATATTCTCAATTTTAGCTTTAGCATCTTCTTCTTCCTCTTGCGACGGGGCAAAGTCGCCGTCGAGGGTGGCTCCCATATCGACATCACCATCCAAATCCTCGTCATCGCCGTTTCTTTTAGAAATTATCGAAGATGCTGCCTTTTTAACTGCTGGTTCGCCATCAGCACTCTCTGCAAGGTCGTCAGCCCCAGTCTCCTCGTTGGCTTCATTTTCTGATCCCGAGTCCTCAAAATCGTTCAGTAGCTCATCTGCTAAAGTCGCCATAGTTGACGAGCATTAAGACTAGCATATACAATGATGCGTCCTATCGTTCTAGAATGTTTTCTGAAGCTTGCTCAAGGTGTAAAGATATCCCCACGTGACCAACGTAATCCGCCAAGACCTGTGAAGTTTAAGCTATCATCATCTTTTGCTTGAGTCTCGAACACCTTCATTTTTGAACTGCGAATTCTCTATTGCCCTCTATTCTATAACCTTTCTTATACTACCAGAATCCATACCTTGCTTCGCCGATATGGATTCGTCACGAGGCCCTCCGCGGGTCAAAAACAAGGCGCCCGCTCCCCAGCAAATATCCGCAGAGCAGCTTCTCCGCGAAGCGGTAGACCGCCAGGAACCAGGCCTCCAGGCTCCAACACAGCGGTTTGCGGATCTTGAAGAACTTCATGAATATCAGGGCCGGAAAAGAAAGGAGTTCGAGGACTATGTACGACGAAACAGGATCAACATGAACAATTGGATGCGCTACGCGCAATGGGAACTAGAACAGAAGGAATTTCGACGGGCCCGATCGATTTTTGAGCGCGCGTTGGATGTAGATTCTACATCTGTCGTGCTATGGATTCGATATACTGAGGCGGAGATGAAGTCGCGCAATATCAACCATGCACGGAATCTCCTTGACCGTGCAGTGACTATACTACCCCGTGTGGATAAGCTGTGGTACAAATATGTGTACATGGAGGAAATGCTGGGCAATATTTCGGGCGCACGGCAGGTATTCGAGCGCTGGATGACTTGGGAGCCGGATGAAAATGCATGGAGCGCATATATTAAGCTTGAGAAACGATACAGCGAGTTTGATAGAGCTCGGGCTATATTTGAACGCTTTACAGTTGTGCACCCTGAGCCAAAGAACTGGATCAAATGGAGCCGGTTTGAAGAAGAGAATGGAACCTGTGAATTGGTCAGAGAGGTTTTTGGGATAGCTATTGAAACTTTGGGTGAAGATTTTATGGATGAGCGATTGTTCATCTCATATGCTCGCTATGAGACGAAGCTGAAAGAATATGAACGCGCGAGAGCCATATACAAGTATGCTCTGGATAGGCTACCACGCTCAAAATCTGTTGCTCTGCACAAGGCTTATACTACATTTGAAAAGCAATTCGGCGATCAAGAGGGAGTCGAGGATGTGATTCTCTCCAAGCGAAGAGTTCAATACGAGGAACAGGTGAAAGAAAACGCAAGGAACTACGATGCCTGGCTTGACTATATCCGACTTGAAGAAACGTCAGGTAACGTCGAACGGACTCGAGATGTTTATGAACGAGCCATTGCGCAAGTGCCACCTTCGCAGGAAAAACGTCACTGGCGTCGGTATATCTACCTGTGGATATTTTACGCACTGTGGGAAGAGATGGAGAATCGCGACTTTTCACGAACCCGTCAAATATACCAGGAGTGCTTAAAGTTAATTCCCCATAAGAAATTCACATTCTCCAAGGTATGGTTACTAAAAGCTCAATTTGAAATCCGGCAGATGGATCTTCAGAGTGCGAGGAAAACGCTCGGGCATGCCATTGGAGCTTGCCCGAAGGATAAGATATTCAGGGGCTACATTGAATTAGAAAAGCAACTTTTTGAATTCGTACGCTGTCGAACACTCTTTGAGAAGCAAATTGAGTGGAACCCAGCCCAGACAGAATCATGGACAAAATTTGCCGAGCTTGAAAGAGGACTCGACGACCTGGATCGAGCTCGCGCAATTTACGAATTGGGGATTAATCAGCCGACCCTGGACATGCCAGAACTATTGTGGAAGGCGTATATTGACTTTGAGGAATATGAAGGGGAGTATGAGCGCACGCGGCGGCTCTACGAGCGCTTACTTGAGAAAACGGACCACGTCAAGGTTTGGATCAATTACGCGCGATTCGAGATCAACATCCCGGAAGATGACGAAGGCGAAGACGAGGAAGAGAGACCTGTTTCTGACGAGGCAAAATCGCGCGCGCGAAAAATTTTCGAGCGGGCCCATAAGGTGATGAAGGAAAAGGAGCTAAAGGAAGACGTAAGTTTATCCCCGAGATTAAGATTTGGCGGCTGTTTGCGATCGACTCTGACTTGATAACAATAATAAATAACAGAGAGTGGCCCTGCTGAATGCTTGGAAGGCGTTCGAACAAACCCATGGGACGGCAAGCGACATTGCCTCTATCGAGAAACAAATGCCGCGCAAGGTGAAGAAGAGACGCAAGCTCGAGGAGGACCGGTACGAGGAGTACATGGACTACGTGTTCCCGGCGGACGACGAGTCGACGGCGAATCTGTCCCGGCTGTTGCAGAAGGCCTACCAGTGGAAACAAGAGCAGGGCAAGGCACCCGAATGAAGGGCGAGCAGCGGCAGATCGCAGCACCCAGGCCTCCACCGGTCCGTTGCACACCAGCGAGCGGCCTGGGCCAGGCAGAATTCTGTAAAATAATAATAATCATAAACAACAATCTGGTCCCCAGTGTGCGGGCTTCATTTAATTGTAGTGTTGAGCCTTGCCGATCGCCGCTACACGATACGAAGCAACAGACACAGCCCACCCAGCCAGCCAGCCAGCCAGCCGGGCCAGAAGTGTGTAATATAGAGTCGACGCCGTCACGATCGCCAACGCGAATGGCGGCGTTTGACAGTGAGTGGGCGCCGTCATCCTGCCAGCCACCAGGCTTGATACGGCCAGCGGAGCCGCTGGTTGGTGGTTCCCTGGTCGAGCCGGACGGGCTTAGCCTGGGGGCCTGTCACATTTGCTGTCTCTGCTGGGCATCGTGATGCGTGATGCGGTCGATCGATCTGCTGTAGTTATGTGGGCAGTTAGGCAGAGTACATAGTAGAAGGACGTGTAACTGTGCAGCGGCGATGCCGCCTCCTGCTGCTGCTCACCTCATCATCATCATCCTCATCGCCGGCGTGGGCAGACACAGTCCGCCTGCCGCGCCCTCCACCCGCATCCTCCGCTTCCAGCACGCCAGGGGTTCGTGCTGGGCCCGCCGGCTCGCGCGTTATTTGCTCGGCGGTTTCGGAGTTGATCAGCCCAGACAAGTGGAAACAGAGACGCCGTTGTTTCAGGCGCTGCGAGTCTCTCCCCTTCCCGCCCCCCCTCTCTTCGCCTAACCAACTAACTAACTGCCTTCTCTTTTGCAAAGAGAGACAGAGAGAGAGAGAGAGGGAGAGGTTGGATTCAATTCAGACTCTGTGGCCTAGAGGCACGCTCATTATTCGCTCCTTACCGTGCTCCGCCGGCCTTGATGCGGCCGCTTCTCTTCGCATCGTCCGATCGCTTGCTCTCCTGGGTTGAGAGACCGTTATTCCTCCTCCGAACCACCGCCGGCACCGCCCACACCCTCTGAGCTCTGGCATCTCGCGTCCGCCGTGCCGGCATCCTCACCCATCACCAGTCACTCGTTACGTTCGCACAGAATCCCCAGCAGCCCGTGCTATATCGCCCGCAATCGTGCTCATCCTCCTCCTTCCTCCTCGCCGGCAGATCACCACCACCCCCCCCCCCCGCGACATAAACCTCCCCAGGGATGCGACGAGTTTTATCCCCTCAGCATAAGCGATTGAGCCCGCGTTTCGCCAAAACCCCACAAAAAGTTCTCTTTGTTTTCTGGCTTTGCTGACGCGGTAACTATGCCCTGCCTTTCTTTTCTGCTCGCTGAGAGTTGCTCATTGACGCGGACCTGCAGTTCTCCTGCTGTAGTCGTCGATCGACGGCTTAATCGATGCCATGTCCCTCCCCGCGCCTCCGGTCGACCTCGTCGGCCATTGCTCTATCATCCATAATAATACCCTCTACGTCTATACCCCCGCTGCTTTCCTGTCCCTGCCGTTAAAGCGAGATGCGAAGTGGAAAACGCTGCCCATGGGCCAGGTGGTGGAGGGCGCTGCCTGTGTCAGGGGCAGTGTTGACGGCAACCCTAACAATCTAGGCCTCTACCTCGTGGGTGGGAAGAGCAAGTCTCCAGACTATCTCGGTCTACAGCGATATTCGTTTGCGGATCAGAAGTGGGAGTCCATCATTCCTGTCTCGAAAGACGTCCAAAACCGCGTCAACCACGCCGCCATTTATATCAACGCCTCCGCATCCCTTCTTGTCTATGCCGGTTCGCAAGCCGAAGATTCAAACCCCTCGACACAGTCGTTCCTGATATCCGTTACGCCTCCACACAACGTGCGGTCCTTTAACTCCTACGTGCCTCCCGCATTCCGTCCTATCCTTTTACCATGGAGTGAAGACAAAGCCGTTATGGTTGGTGGCGGTCCTGGAAATACAAAAGTTTTCTCCTTCAACGCAGAACAAGGGTGGCAGGATACAGGTGCCAACCTCGCGAAACCCTTACCTGAGATGTCCAAAGTGCGATGCGCCATGGTTTTAGGCAATGACGGCAGCAAGGTCCTGGAAGTGTTCGACATGAGCGTCTCTCCGAACGCCGTTAGTAGGTATACCATGGTAACACCGGGAGGCACCCCGGCGCCGCCTGGTCAAGAGGTCGGAATCGCCAGGCCGAAACGCCGCAAAAGGGAGCTTACTCTGGCCAGCTACCCTTCGTATAACGGCACGTTCGCCCCCAAGACGACGCGCAGTGAGTACTCGCTTGCGCAGGATGCAAACGGCCTTGTTGTCATCTCGGGAGGCAACAAACAGGATCCAATCGCGCTCTTCGACCAATCTCGAAACAGTTGGCTCAATACCACTGATTTCTTTGTAGATTCGGTCAAAGCAGCGCAGGTCACGCCCACGCCAACGGGCACCTCCGATGGACGCACGGGGATGATCACAGACATCGTGGTTCCAACGACAACAGGTTCCGCCGCCGCTGCTGGGTCCAACCGACGGACTCTAACGATAATCGGCGCGACTCTAGGGGCACTCCTAGGCCTGGCTGCTCTCCTGATCATCGTCCTTCTGCTGCTTGGGTGGAAGAGGCGCAGGGGCAAGTATCCTAGCGACGAGAAGAGTGAGCATCGGTTGAGTGATGGCGACCAGTTCGACTTCCAGGACCAAGGCATGCAACCCCTGACGCGGAGTGTGCAGCCCATGGCACGGGGCCCGGTTCCATCCTCCGATAGCTGGGCCCTTGTCACCGGCAAAGCAGACGACCTATCTAAACCGGCGACGACGTTCGATGACATGTTGACTGGCAAGCCTAGCAAGGGAGGCAGCCCGCTCCGAAACGTGGAAACGGTTCCAACGTCCGAGACCAAACCGACGTTAGGAGTGCCGCTCCCTAGTGACGGGAGCCAACGGCTCACGGACGAAGGGTGGAGCAAGTATTTCCAGAGCGACACGGCGTCGGGATACAACAATAACAACTACCCCAACGGGCTGCGGTCCACGACGTCGTCGCAGGACTCGAAATCCGACTACCACGGGACGTCGTGGGGTGGCGTGGGCGACTTCAAAGCCGGGCCGCCGCCGGGGCGAGAACAACCGCACCCGCTGGGCCAGGTGGCGTCGGGCAGCCCCAGCACGGAGCATGTGCCGACGTTCGGCAGCCTGGCGGCGACGAACAGCATGCGGGCGAAGATCTCGAGCGGCGACTCAATCAGCATCGCGTCGGACGAGTATGACTTTGAGCAGGCGGTGGCGGAGGTCGGGGGCCGCAGCACGGTCGACGACCGCGTGGCCAGCAGCACGTACTCGGCCAGCCTGTACGTGCCGCACGACTCGAGCTCGTTTGTGCTCCCGAGCGACACGGACCGCTGGACGCGCGACGGCGGCGAGTCGATGGTGTCCAACGCGCGCACGACCGGCCCGCCGCCGCTCATCAGCTCGGACATCAGCTGGCTGAACCTTGGGAAGAAACGGTGAACGACGGACGCGTTCTCTCTCGCGGGCCAAGCCAAGCGTGAGGTTCTGTGCAAGATCATCATCGTCAACTATCTCTCTTCTTCGTCTTCTTCCGCCTGGGCACACGAAGGGCAGCCTTGTGGACTGCTTTCGTCCGCCCCAGGCTTGCATCATGCTCGTGGTCTTCTCCTCTCGGCTATCCTGCCGTACTACATCGTATTTGCAGAGAGAGAAGCACCAAAAATAAAAATACCCTCGACACCCGCATTATTCCCCTCGTGGCCGTTCTTCGGCCTCGCGCATCGCCCTTGCACGGCATGCGCGCCCTTGTACACACATCAAAATGATATCGGTGCCATTTCGGAACGGAGCGAGTCAGAAAGAGACTCGGCCGTATCGTACTAATAATACCTACATTCTACGACCTGGTGCCACACGTTGGTATGCAGGTTTGTCGTGTGGACTGTGGTTTTTTGGCTGACTGTTCGAGCTGGTTGCCTCATCGCGTGTTTGTCCTGCTTTACATTAGCCTGTGCGGATTTGATCTCTCTTTTTTTATTTTTTTTTTAACTTTTTGATGGATGTCTTTGAAGCAGGCAATCAATCTCCGAGCGAATCACCCCCTTTTTTCTTTTTTCTTCTTTACTCTCTTTGACTCGATCTTGTAAGGCAAATAATTCGCAGCGCGATATGAAAGGATATACCCGGAAACGTTGGTCTGGCTAATAAATGGGGGGGTCATGGATGAGGGGACTCAGACTCAACGTTTCATGCATACAGTTCTAGGATTTGCGATTTCTTTTTTTTTTTTTCTTACTGTCTCTCTCGCTCTCTACATTATTGCTTCCCGTTGTGTATATCATTTCCTCCGGGCGAGACTAACTATCCCATCAGCTCCGTCCCCCCTCCCTTTTTTTCTTTTTCTTTTTTTTTTTTCTCTCATTTGCCGGCGCGACAGGCGAGTTGCTCCCGCCCGCATACTTCTAGCTCAGAGAAATCCAATCCCAGCGTGATGCACAACAGCTCTTGGGCCCTGCCCGACATGGGGCGTGTTCTTTCTTTTCTCCCCACGTAGTTAACTAGCCAACGAAGTAAATCTCGCCGGAGTAAAAGTAAAGCATTCCCGGGAGGTAACTCACTAGTCAGAGAAGGAAGGGCTCCGCGAGAACAAGCGCACGCAGCCTGTGTAGCAGGCAGGCCGAATTGGATTGGCGTTCGGGCAGACGGGGCGTGGCACGCGGGCGAGAACGCGTTCTCGTTGCGGACCGGGCCGGCCGGTCGAGCGAGCGTGGTTTGATTGTGTGTCTCGTCTTGTTCTTCTTCTGCTGCTTCGTCTTCTTCGTTGTGGACACGAAGGCCAGGCGCTGCCTCCAGCCGTTTCGTCGTCGGGCGGGCGTTAGACGCGACGGGGGGCTTAATAACTGGCTGGCTGGCTGGGCTTGGCCATGGCAGATGAGAAGAGACGTCCCTGCATCGAACCAGCCCGCAGAACCGGGCTGGCTGGCTCTCCCGCGCATCCGACGACGGGCTCAGGGCCTTGTTCTGTGCGTGCGTGCGTGCGCGCCGGCTGCGAGATCGCGATCCCGCCCGCGGGTTGCGGTGCCCGCCTTCAGCCTGACGCCGCCGCCCCCTGAGCCAGCGGGCACAGCTCCCACGACGACGACGACGACGACGACGACGACAGCGGCGACATGAGCACGACGGACATGGTAGTTAGTTAAGCATGCAGGGCCAGCGAGCTGTTTCGGCGGGTGCCGCCGTTTCGCAGCGTGGCCTGGCCCTGGACCGACTAACTACCTGGGTAATATCACACTCCCCCCCAGCCCGCCGCCAGTCGCAGCCCTGGGCCCTGCGCGCGCGATGATCGCCCGTCCCCCCCTCGTGTGTGCTGCCGTTTGCTTTTTGCCTTTTGGCCGTCGTCGTGGTCGGGAGCGTCGTGGTCGGGCCCGCGCACCCGCACGCGTGCTCTCTCTCGGCTGGCCCGCCCTGCGTTCCGCCCGCCGGGGCCCCTGATAATTCGAGCCAAAAGGGTCTCCGCAGCGTGTCTTGGCCGCCGGGGGAGGGCGGAAGCAGAAGCAGAAGAAGAGAAAGAAGTAGAAGCAGCGAGAGCACCACGATATCGTGTTGCCAACCTGCTGTCTGCCTGCCCTGCTGCCCGCCCTCATTCTCTCCCCAAAAGAAACACAAGCTGCTGCTGCTGCCCGCGTTCTCGTGCGGTGCTGTTATAAGGCGCCGCGTGGTCGGCTGCGATGCGCCTGTCCGGCTGCGCTCCGTGACCGTCTCTATCTATACCCGTCGTTCAGTCTGTCCATCGTTAGTTTGTGTGATACCGCTCATCCACGCCTCTGCGCGCCCGCATGCCCTCGCGGTGCATCATGGACCACGACAACCACCACCACCACCTCGTCCAGCACCACAGCCGCCCCAAGCGGGTGTCCATCCTCAACAACGACGACAACCCGTCCTTCGCCGTGCCGCGCAGTGCGCCCAAAGCCAGGCCCGCGCCCGCCATCACCACCACCACCACCACCACCACCACCACTGACGACCGCCGCCAGCATCACCACCACCAACACCCGCAGCAGCACCACCATCACCATCACCACCACGCCCGCTCGGGCTCGACATACACCGACATCGACTCCTCGCCGCGCGCCTTCTACACCGAATCCCCGCCCGCCGCCGCCGCTCAGGCCCCCGCATACGCGCAGCTGCAGCCACACCCGTCGTCGTCGCCGTCACCACCCTCGCCCTTCAGCGCCAGAGGAGCACATCACACCCGTACCAGCACCAGCACCAGCACCACCACCAGCACCACCAAGCAGCAGCAGCAGCAGCAGCAGGGTCCTCCGCCGCCGCTGCCGCCGCCCAGCAAGAAGAACAAGTACCCCTGTCCCTACGCATCCTCGCACGCGTGCGCCGCGACCTTCACCACCTCGGGCCACGCCGCGCGCCACGGCAAGACGCACACGGGCGAGAAGAGCGTGCACTGCCCGGTCTGCAACAAGGCCTTCACGCGCAAGGACAACATGAAGCAGCACCAGCGCACCCACCGCGCCCTGGACCGCGACCTCACCCCGCCGCCGCCGCCGCCGCCCTCCACCACCACCACTACCACGACGTCGTCCTGGCCCACGTCCGGCTCCACTCCCCAGCCCAGGCCCGGTGCTGCTGCTGCTGGTGGTGGGTACGGCCAGGCGGACTTGGACTCGTCACCGACGTCCCTGAGATCGAGCAGTTGGTCGAGCGCACCGAAGAACCATGCTCGCCATGCCCCGTCGTCCAACTTCGAGTTAAATTGATTGAAAGGACGGAGCGGGGGAGGGTGGTATTTGCGAACAAGCATCGTGTTTTGAGTATGATTATTATTATTTCTCTTCATTTTGTTATTATATTACCTTTTTTTTCTTTCTCTGTTTGCCCTGTTATTACGGAGTACCATTTCTCTCTCTGCCTCTCCCTCTCTCGTTCTCTTTCCACTGATCAACATTTGACAGTTGAACGCCAGGCGTGTTTCTGTGGAAGGATGGCTGTTTCAGAAGATCCCTGGCACACCCTGCCTTTGATCACCAAATGATCCACAGGACAAGCCTTGTGTCAGCCCTCAAACCGCTTGTTTTGCTGTCATCATGAACGTTGTTTTTTTTTTTTTTTTTTCAAACCCCCCCCCCCCCTTTCCCCCCCCCCCCCCCCCCCCCACACCCCCCTTCCCTTCAATCTGGGTGTGCGTGCGTGTGACTTGCTTGTGTATATCTGGGGCACGTTTTGCGTTAGACGGAACAAAATGACTGCTATTTTTCTTTTCTTTTTCTTTTTATTTTCTTTCCGGGAAGAGGGCTGCTGTGGTACACGAGCATCCCCTGCTTATACTTGATTGTTTCTTTTTCTTCTTTCCTTTATTTCTTGGTAAATACCTCTTCTTTTCTTTTTTTTCTCTCTCTCTCTCTTCTTCCCCTTCTTCATATAGAACGATTATTGGCAAGATATTACCAAATATCACGAGATGACCCCCTGACTCGCACGCCAGCTCGGTTCGGTAGACGCATGCGGCGGCCTGAATAATTTTACAGCCCTGGTCCGGGGGGCAAACTTCAGTGAGGCCCTGAAGCCGCGTGATTGGCTGCAAGCTGTTACCATGATCACAGAGGAGGCCCGACTGGCTGTCAAGACGTATTATTTATTCCAAATCCATGACGCATGCTTTCTCTTTCGCTGCCGGGATGTGTGTGTGTGTGTGTTTCTGTGTGCGCCATCCTTTCAGCTCCTGAGCAGAATCCGGCCGTCTAGAACAAAAAAAAGGTAAAATAAGAAGAAAATAAGAAAAAATACCAAGAGTCCGGGCGCCCGTCTTCCATCATCGTACCCAACGGCGACGGGGTCGCGAACATAGCTCAAGAGTTGGAAATGACGGCCGGGCCTGTCCGTTGAGCTATTAGTTAGTTAGTTAGCTCGCCCAGCTAGTTTAAATTAACTAGTTTAGTTAGAGTAGTTGACTAGGGCCTACTCCGTAGAGTGCTTTTGCACCCCCTTCCTTCGGCTAAGTGGAGGCGCGCAAACTACTACAAGATGCAGCAGAGTGATCATTTTAGGTGGATCTTCGTTCTGGATGCGTCGGGAACCGGAGAGGTTGCCCTGCCGAGGCAGACACCCATGCAGTGTGGTGATGTAGTATCCGAAGTCAGATTTATACGGAGGCATCTAGATGAGAGTGGCACTTTTCTCTTTCCGCCTCTCTCTCTCTCTCTCTCTTTTTTTTCCCTTTGCGTGTAGGAGATCCCTGGCAGGGATCCCATTTGTATTCACGCAAATTTGGGTAATAAAAAGAATCATAATTTGGGGGTCTGGAAACGCAGGGGCCAACCACTTCTGACTGACTGACTTGTCTGGGGCCGTTTGAGGGCCAACCCCTGGAAAGGGACCCCCCAGGGACGTCAGCTGGCGTAACCAAATTTTAACGACGATGTGTGCGAAGAATGTTTCAAAACAAAAGTAGTTGGCTGGGTTGGGTTGCCGGGCTCTGGACCCTGCTGGCACCGGGAGCGTCATCTCAGGGAGCGGCCCTGGTAGGGCTGGCGGGCTGCCGCGATGATTTTCTTCTCTCCAGCTTCTTTTCTTTTTCCCGCTCTGGCTGGCCGCGGGCAGGGGTGCGAAGGGTGAGAGAGCGTGGGTGAAGGAGATCACGGGCGCAGGGCAGGGTTGTGTGCGTGTGAGGCCAACGGCCCGGCAGCGTGTAATTAAACGGCCAGCCGTGCTGCGGGCAACTCGTCGCATGGCAACCTTGCAGCGCACGACCACGCATGCCGGAGACCATCCGCGGGCTGGCGTGCTGTTGCATCGGGGGGGGGCGATGAATGATGGTTGGTGATGATGGTGGTGGTGGTGGTGGTGGTGGCGAGCGGCAACACGAGACGGGCAGCGGGCGTGGGCTCGGGCCAAAGCCAGACTGAGCGTGTCGCGGGCGGCGTGAGGGCGTCAGCTGGGCCGGGCAAGGTTGCAGCCGCGAGGTTCCAGGGAATCCAGGCTGGAGAGTGAGAGAGAGGATGGTGATGGCGATGGTGGTGAAGCCGCGATGCTTCTCGAGGCTCCGCGCCAAGCAGCACAGCCAAGCGCTGCCAACTTCTCGCTCTCGCTCTCGCTCTCTCTCGCCATCGCCATCGACTCGCCCTCCATCCTCCCTCTCTCTCTCTCTCTCTCTCCCTCATGGCTGCTGCCGGCTACTACCAGGACCACGCCCACCGCGCCCGCCCCGACGATCTCCCCATGGACGCCGATCCCGCCGCCGCCCCGAAACGCTCGCGACACTCCCGCTCCCACCCCGCGCGGGCCCGCGACGACGACTACTACGACCACGACGACGATGACACCCGCTACCACCACCACCGCACCAGCGGCCGTCGCCCGCACCGCCCGCGAGGTGAGTCCTGAAACGAGCAATAATAATAAGAACAAGGACAATATGAATGACTAACCGCCCCCTGGTACCCAGACGATCGCCGCCGCCGGTCGTATTCCAGCGCCTCGTCGCGCTCGCCCTCGCCCAAGCCGCCGCGCCGCAAGTCGCTCAGCGAGCAGGCCATGGCTGCCCTGGGCCTCGGCGACCCGGCCGGCGCCTCGTCCTCGCACCGCTCCAGCCGCCACCCGCGCCGCACCCGCAGCCGCGACCGGAGCTACGACGACGACGACCACTACTACGACGCCCGCCGTCCGCGTCACCGTGACCGCGACCGCGACCGCCGTGACCGCAGCAGAAGCTACTCGCGCTCGCCTGACCGCAATCGCGCCGGCCCCGGCAAGGACGTCAAGGCCGTGCTGACTGCAGCGCTGACCGCTGGTGCCGCCGAGGCCTACCGTGCCCGCAAAGCGCCCGGTGGCTGGACCGGCGAGAAAGGCCGGCGCGTGCTGACCGCGGCTATTGGCGCCGGTGGCATTGGCAAGCTGCTCGAAAGCGGCTCCGGCAAGAACGGTAGTTATCCCTTTCAATCCCGCCCTGACTAGTTTGCATCTCCTGATTGACGGCTCGTCCCAGATTCCCGTCGCGCAAGATCCGAAAGCCGCGGCCGTGGCGGCGGTGCCGCGGGGCTGGCCGGCCTCGCAACCACGGGCATGCTCGCCGCCGCCGGCAAGAAGGCCTTTGACCACTACTCGAAAACCCGCAACCGCTCGCCCAAGTCAGGCTACTCGAGCGACGTCAGCAACCAGGCCAACCGCCGCCACAAGAAGCGCAGCCAGAGCATGTCCGCCTATGTCACCAAGGGCTTGGCCGCCCTCGGCCTGTCCGACGAGCCGTCCGACAAGCACCGCTCCAAGCGCCAGCACCAGCACCGCCGCCGCTACGACGACGACCACGACGACTATTATGACGACTATTCCGATGCGAATCGGCCTCGTCGCCACGACAAATATGATAAATACGACAAACGTGATAGATATGAGAAGTCCCATAGGTATTAATTAATATGAGGCCTTTTTTGTGTCGTTGGGCGCATCTAGGCCCCCCAAATGCCCTGTATCAAGGAAGTTAACAACCCTAATGTCTTTTGTACTTGATGTCCCTCGCCTCTGGCAACGTTTTTTTTTTTATTAATGATTTTGTGTTTCTAACGGCCTACTTATGACCTTTTGTGGACTTGCTATTTTTTGACCGCTGTCAACGACCAAGAAGTTCCCCATGATGACGCTACGATTTTCCAAGAAATAACTGCCTGAACCCCTGATGACTAAGAAACATTTTTCTCCTTTACTATCTAATCATGAGCTTATGAACCCCATCTCGGCCTTTTTGCCCTCCACTTTTGATGTGATTTTCAGAAAATAAATATCAATTCAAGCTCACCTCCACGATGCAACTGATTTCGCAAAACTCTCTACGAATCCAGTCTAGACTTACTATGCCAGTGCCAGCTACGTTGAACTACTATCAAGGCGTCGTCACGCCCGGGCCACGCATAGACTTCAGCAGATTGTCCTTGGCAATCCTGGCTTTTCAGCCACCTGCAGGTTTCCTCTATTCAAGCATTCCAAGCCACATGGGCAAATGTAACCGACCCCGTTCGCAGACAACATGAATGCTATAAAGTGTCCAAACGCCTTGGATTTCTCTCTCTGCTTTTTCAAGGGGGGGGAGCTGCAAATCAAGGCATTATATTATTATAACTGCTGGCAGCACCACCACCACTTCATGTTGGCCCGTATAAAATGAAAATCCAAGGCAGAGACGGAGGAAAAGAATACACATCGTGGCATCATGCATTCCCAACCTGTTATTTCTGTGCTCTCCGTCAGGGTATATATATCTCCCAAGGGGTACACCCGTTACTCGAGACAGGATCCTCACATTAATACATTCCCTCCCTAACACATGCACACGCCCGGGTATGTGATACTAGTCTCTTTTCACCACCATGAAGCTTCTATCACTCTCACTCACACTCTGTCTCCTCGCCGGCGTGTCCCTCTCCACCCGGGAAGCGGACGTCGAGCAGGCCATCGCGATCTGGAAGGCCAACATCAACTCCGTCAACCGCTTCGAGTCTGACGGGGAGGGTACCAGCGCCGTCCGGGCCTCCAAGGACACGCTCAAACAACTCCGCATCCTCACAGACCGCCGCCGTCTCCGCAAGGAAGGCCAGCAGGCCGCCAAGCGCCTGCGGAACAATCTCCCGATCGAGGCCGCCAAGATGGAGGTTCTGGCGGGCCGCCGCAAGAATAATAATAATAATAATAATAGCAACAGCAAGAATGGCAAGGGCAAGAAGGAAGACGATACCTTCTTGAATTCACTCAAGCAGCTCCGCTGCGATTCAATCCTCCCGGACACTCAGACCCTGTGGCGCGCGGCGTCTCGTAAGGCACCCGCCGTGCCGGTGCCTAACATGTGTCGGAAGCCGGGCAACTCCAAGGATAAGAAGAAAGGCGGCGGTAAGGAGAAGGAGAAGGAGAAGGATCGTCAGCGAGTCAAAGACGACCGACAGGATAACAGACACAATGGTAAAGACCGTGATGACGGAAAGGGTCATCGTACCTGGGACGGCAAGCATGGGACAGATCACCATAATACTAATCTTAATAACAAGCGTGGTGGTCAAGAGTACCAGACCGAGGAATGGCGCAATCAACGCTGCCGCGAGGCGAAACGTCCCCAGAACAACAATGACAAAGATCGCCAGGACAAGGAATGGTATGACCAGCACTGCCACGATGGAAAGGAACACCAGGACGAGGAATGGCATCATGATGATGATAATGGCCATCATGACGGCAATGATAATGATCACGATGACGACCATGATCATGAAGGCCAGGACCATGATGGCAAGCAGCACGATGACCATGAGAAAGGCCACCGAGACGGCGTCCACACACACCCGGATGAGAAAGGCGGTCAGGGTGAGAAGGATCAGCACGAGCGGGGCCTGCACAGAGACCGCCGCGACGATTACGGCCACGGAAAGTCGCGGTGGTCAAAGCGACCGGAAGACAGACGCTGAAATCCAGTGCACTCGCGAATGCCTGGAGGGAGGCCGTCATCTTCTCAAGGTTGCGTTGTACATAGTGATAGAGTACTGTTTTTTGTTTTTGTTTTCGGCTATGGGAGCCTCTCGAATGTCGCTTATCAAAAAAAAAAAACAAAATAGTAGCTACTATGTAATGAAAATAGCGACAGATGAGAGTCGGCATGTCTCTAGTAGGCGTTGTGGACCGGACCTAGATAATAGATAATGGAACTGATAGAGGTGGTAGTCTTGTCTTATTCCGAGCTGTTGTCAACTCGTAGTTATGTAGCAGTGGCCTCCACGCAGCCTATGTCACAGAGGGCCGTTGTGCGCAGCCCTTGGCAGCGGAAAGTCCTCCTTGTCTGTGAAGCTCTTCTTGATACAAATCGCATGGCGCAGGATCATCATCCAATGGTTGGCGCTAGCTCGGCCCGCGGGTTTAGCAGCAACTAGCGTCGTCTCCTCTTGTTAGTTAGCGACGGGGTTTCCATCTGGGCCGGACGCTGCAGGGTGATGAGGTGCTTGCCGAGGTGGCCAGCGCTGCCTCGGAAAGCAATGCATGTTGCTCTGGTCCTCTCCCTTTGTTCTGCAGGCTTTGTGCTGCATGGAAGTCGTGTTTTGCGGAGGTTTCCACCTCGCCCCCAAGGCTTCTGTGGGATCCATCCTCCTCTTGAACTGTCGTTGAAGCACCGCCTCTATATCCATCTCACACATACGAATCAGGGCACATACGGAGTAACTACATCGCAACCATGGTGAAGAAATCTCCCTTTGCACCGATTTCAATCCCATCATGCAACCTCCTCTCGTTCCTTTTCCCCCCAGGCTCACAGCTGCATTCCGCCACCGATCCTATCTGGCTTGATGCTGCCAACCCTGCCCTTCAGCTCTCCACGGCCGCGGCCCTGAGTTGGATCAGACGTCTGAGCTTGAGCTTGGAAACCCTCCGGGATCATGCAGGAGCACAGGTCGTGAAGAGGGGCGAAGTGGTACTTATCCTTACGCCTAACCAGATATTCGTACCGGTGGCATATCTAGGCATTATCGGGTCCGGGAGAATATTTAGCGGCATTAACCCGGCATATAGCGTTGATGGTGAGTCCACTCCAAGGCCCGTCTAGGCCTTGGAAGCCCGAGAAGGATTTTGTGAAGATCTTCGGCCTATTCTTATTACTATACGTATTGAGCTGTTTTGTGTCTGACCCACGCCTGCAGAAGTGGTATATCAAATGAGCAACACCGAGGCCAGACTCGTTCTCGTTCATCCTTCTTTAATTGATACGGCACTCACGGCGGCAAAGCGAGCTGGTATACCTGCCGATCGGTTGTTCCAGTTCTCAGAAACTGAGGTCAGTGCGCGAGATGGAGTCCGTGACTGGCGTGACTTGCTAGCAGATCCTGAGGAAGCGCGTAACTACCAATGGCCGGAGCTGAGTCCCACTGAAGCGGTGGAGACAATTGCAACGATCAACTATTCTTCTGGCACCACGGGCCTTCCCAAGGGCGTCTGCGTAAGTCACCGGAATTTGATTGCGAATGTCTCGCAAGCGGATTTTACACGCGATGTCTTGAAACAATATGGCCCTGAAGGGCCCCCCAGGCACAAATGGCTGGGCTTTCTGCCGCTATATCACGCATACGGGCAAATGGTAACCATTCTTCTTGCAGTTCATCTTCAATTCCCTGTATATGTGATGAAGAAATTCGTGTTTGAAGACTTCCTCCAAGCCATCCAAGATTATAAAATTACACATCTCCACCTAGTGCCGCCAATCATGGTGATGCTAAGCAAACGGCCAGAGACAGCCAAGTATGACATGAGCAGCGTGCTCGAAATATCCTGCGGGGCCGCCCCACTGTCGCGTGAGCTGCAGAATGAAGTAGCCAGGAAATATGGAGTAACCGTCAAACAAGGATGGGGCATGACGGAGGTCACCACGGGCGCCATGCGAGTCCCCGCCTGCTTGAAAGACCAGTATGGATGACCCCAAACGAAATTTGACTGTTTTAGCTCTAACTCGGTGCCTAGAACTGGCAGCGCTGGGGTGCTTGACCCAAACTGCGAGTGCAAGCTTCTAGACGACCACGGAAATGAAGTCGCCGACGGGGAGCCCGGGGAAATGTACATCCGGGCGCCTAATGTCGCCATGAGATATTGGAAAAATGAAGAAGCCACCAAAGAAACCATGCTGCCGGATGGCTGGCTTCGGACTGGAGATATTGCAGTCTCGCGCGGAGACTGGTTCTGGATTGTAGACAGGAAAAAGGCGTGTAGTCTTTCCCTGCATCCCTAGCGCCCATAGACTAACACTGTGAGAGCTAGGAGCTTATCAAGGTTAACGCGCTCCAAGTGGCGCCAGCAGAGCTGAAAGCCGTCTTACTGGAACATGATGACATTGCCGATGCTGCTGTCGTAGGATTGACACTGTAAGTCTGGCTCTTACTTAGAGTTCCGGGCATCGCCTTGGACAGCGACGAATGCTAAATTTATTGTCCACAGAAATGATGAAGAATTTCCACGTGCATACGTGGTACTCAAAGAAGCTGCGAAACAGCGCCAGAATCCTCCAACTCGAGGGCAGATTCAGGAGTGGATCAAACCCCGCGTTGCCAGACACAAGTGGCTAACGGGTGGTGTTGAGCTCATAGACGAGGTGCCCAAGCTGCCTAGTGGCAAGATTGTGCGGAAGCTGATGAGGGAATGGGCAAAAAGGGACGCATCTAAGCTTCAGGGGCTGCGTAGAGCAAAATTGTAGACGTGAAGTTGATACTCTGATGTTCTCCCAAATAGGGAGTGACGTCACCTGACTACCCGGGTAGCTTAGCCAGCATCGTCACAGCTCCATCATTTGATGAACCCCCATAATAACCGTAGAACTTCTGTTCAGAATGTATCCTACCAGCATTTTTGCGCAGTCTACTAGGAGCGGGCAACATGCTCGTTGGGCCTGCCTCTCAAATGGCGCAGCTGCGTCATGCCTCTTCAGACCCCGCCTACGACAGCAACGAGGCATCGTCGCGCCATTTGCACGCATGAATACGTCCATTATCAGCAGCTACTCTAGCATACGCAGTCTGAGACGATATCGTCATTTTCTGGATACTCCAAGCCTACCGGCAGATCACATTCATGTAAGAAGCTACTCTATCAACGAGCCCAACCAGCCCACTGCGGACGAGTACATTGTGGAACTACAGGATTTGTAAGTTCTATCAAATCAGACCCCCCCTACAAACTAGTTGAACTCTTCAGACTGAGCCCGGGCATAGATACGAGATCGCCAAAGACGAGGTACCTTTTCTCTTGGATTCCCTCCCATGTGCTGCCGAACTGACATTCGATTAGTTGGAAATCGCCGCAGAATCTACAGACGGTGCGACGATATATGCAGCCTCTGATCGGGCATCGCTGCGTGAGGCTTTCGATGATCTAGACCGTGCGTATGCACAATATACAGGTGCGGAGTCTGTGTCACCTGCCCAAGGAGGCGAATCTACAGCATCTCTCTCCAGCCACATACCTTCAGAGGTTAAAGAGGAGATTAAACGTCGGGTTGGGCAGCGAATACGGGAACTCAAAAACGCCGTAGAGGCTCTTGAGGAGAAATCACGAGCAGAATAAACCCATTTTCTTTTGAATATCAGATGGCGATATCTTTATTGCGGAGTACATATGCATGTAACATGACTGCTTGAATATCGTATCATTTCTCATATATCTGTGTTATTTACTGTTGCTGGCTTATTTTCATTGTATACAGTCATCGCTACATTATCTGAATATATTTTTGGTTGGGTTTGTGGTTAAGAATGCAATTAGCCTTCATTTAAAGATATTAAACTTGTGGGATAGACGTGTCTCGAAGAGGCGACGTTAACCGGACAGGCAATATATTCGTGTGTTTGTGGGTTCCTTTAAGATGTCGTTTTAACTGGTCTAGATGCAGCGGAGTTGTCATTAACCAGCCATCCCTTCCATGTTTTCACAGGTGACTTACCTGGCCTTGTAAAACTCTTTGAACACCCGGGGTACGGGCATTTATGTTTCCTCTCACCATGAGCTGCGCAAAGTATATTAGTCAACATTGTTGTCAAACGGGTGCACGGAACAGATGCCAGTATTGACATACTTAATTTATGGCTGGACATATTCGAAGACTAAAAATATTAGTATGGATGGGAATTAACGTATTCAAGGACCGATACATACATCTCCAGTTTCAAAGGTACAGCCCGGGTGCGTGCATTTGAACGGCTTTTCGCCCGTATGAGTGCGCATGTGCGTTTCTGTCAAGAATTAGAACCGAATAGGCACCAGTATTGTCTAGATTTAACCCACTCAGCTCGCTACTATCTGTAAATTTCTTCCCGCATTCTTTACACTTATAAGGTTTATCTCCACGATGGCTTCGCTCGTGTCGCTCCAGCGTGGCTTGTCTAGCAAACGGTTTACCGCATATAGAGCATTGAAAACTTTTATCTAGATCGGCATTATTAGTATCCACGCACAAGGCCGACGGGCTCCGCAGCGGCAGGGGATGTGGGAGGTAAGAGCGTACAATTACTGTGCGTTAAGAAATGACCCTGGAGCTTGGACTTCTGGGAAAAGGGCTCATCCGGCCGGGAACATCCGTCCCAGCAGCAATAATAGCCTTGTCCTTGACACCCCTGTCGTGGATCAGCATGGACCGACGTCAGGTGCTTCTGCAGGCTGCCCGCATCGGGAAATATTGCTCCGCAGATTGCATTGTCAGAGCTATGAGCGATCCATCGACAGATATGCAGTTCCTCTGTGCCTAAGAAGTCTGGTGAATCAAAGGGGCCGACGCTGTTTAGGTCCCGACATGATGAAGTAGGAACCGGACTTGATTGGAGACTTAAACTGGGAGTAGTCCGTGTCGATTCTGTGACAGTGGGAGTGGCATCTAGTCGTCGTCGCGAAAATTGTGATCCTAGTGTGTGAAGGGAGGAGTATCTGTGATGGTAATGATGATGTGGTGTTCGAGAAGAGTGTAGTGATGCATAAGGCGCGGAGGTCTCAGAGCAGTTTCCAAGAGTCGAAGGTGGATTTGCTGATCGGTGTGGGTATGCGCAGTTTCCGAGAGTGTGGCAAAAGTCGGTCATATTGCTCACACAGATAGCGTCGAGATTGTGATTTATACATTGCGGAGGAGGCATATGAGGTTGAGAGTTGAAAGAGTTCTGATTAGCATAAAAGTTGTGGCCCAAGTCTTTGAGGGATAACGATATGTCGGAGGGGATGGCAGTTCCTGGAGAGTGCATATGCGAAGAAAGGGCGCTCTCTAAGCCGTCGTCATGAAAGCCGCAGTTATTGGAGCGGTCGGGCACCAAGCTCAGGCAGTCCCAGCTCAGGGGCCCGCTCTGGGAGAGAAAGGCGTCGTGGTCGTAGTGAGAGCCGATGCAGTCTTTGTCGAAGCAGGCGGTTCCTTCGGTTTGGCAGTTGGAATTGTCGCAAAAGGCCTCAGAGCAGATGGTGGACTTGTCGCAGTCGACGAAACCGTCGCAGACGTCGGCACAGCCGCGAGCACAGTCGTCCATATCGCAGCAGTCGGGGCCGTCGCAGGAGGACAGATGGTTGCCCAAATCCGAGTTGTTCCAGCAGGCTATATCAAAGCATTCTGATGGCGAGAGCAGATCGCTCTCCGCCATATGATAGTTTTCCCAGTGGCATTCTAGACAGAATGGATCCGCGTCGGGCCTGGGCGACATGGATCCAAGAGGAGATCGGAGGGCCGGACAGCCTCAGCTGCTCGACCACGGACAAACGGGAGGGTTTCGTGGGATGGGCGTTGGGGCCGGGCGAGGGAGGCTGCTCGCGATATCAGGCCGGTCAGTCGGCGATGGCAGCAGATTCGGGAGCAGCCAACGGGAGACTGACAGCAGGCGGGCGGACGGCGACGGCCACAGGGACACGGAGCGGGCGTCTGACGTACGTTCGAAGGATCTGACAGGACGACACAGAGCGAGGGGCTGGGTTGCGCAAAAGCAAAACGGGCGCCGAGTTTGGCTCGCGATCGCGCGGGAAACAGCGCTGGGGACCTTGCGGGCGGCGGAGCGGCGGCGGCTGACTCAGCGCCTTAACGCGCGGCCCTTGGCGGCACGTGCGCGGCTGAGCCCTCAGGCGCCGGCGCGCTTGGCGGCCGGTAGCGCTATACCGTGCGCGGCGGGGACGGCCTCGTCAGCCCGTGTACCGCGCGTGTACGGCGGCGCCGGGCAGCAACCGTCACCGGCAGCCGTGGCCGGTCACGAGCCGCGACAAACATATTACCCTATGCGGCGACATCGCGACATGCGCATCCTCGCGCTGGCATCACCGACGCACCGCCTGGCCCTCGCCCGCCGCAGCCTCTCCCAATGCCGTCCAGCGCACGCGAGCCTGCCGCCGCCACCGCTGGGCCCTTCCCTGCCGCCACACGTCCTGCGTACCAATCACCGCCCGCCAGCCGACCGCTGCAAATGAAACATTTTCCTTGATCCGCATCAGGAACACTTAGCTTTGCCGGCCCTGTCACAGCCCTGCACCATCCCATCAAAAGGTGCGGGATGCGTCCGCCCCCCCCCAGCCGTTCCTTTGGCGTCACACCATATTCTCCGGCTGCTGTTCTGTCTCCCATCCTGCGGGCATAGCACGCCCTCTCCTGGATCCTGCCCCCTATTCCCAAACTCGAACTAGTCCGGCCGCCGAATGGACCTGCTGCCGAACCCTCTCCAGACTCCCGCCTCGAACAGGCAGGTCTTCACCGCATGGGTCGTTGGCCAACCCGGCGTCGGCAAGCGAGGCCTGATTGTGCGGGTGAGTTGCCCGTCAACCTTCCCTCCCCCCCTTTTCCCCATAAAAAGCATACTTTCTTTTGGCCCGACACGAGCTCTCCGCATGCCCCTCTCGCCTAAAAAGCTAGAAAATAGTTACTTAATGCCGCTCTTGTCTTGTTCTATTTAGCACACGGCTAGGGTTTTCGTGGAATATGACGTCTTCTGGGACGGCTCCGGGCGGAGAGACCACCACACCGGGGAAGCTTCTTTTGTCCTCGAGCTGGTCGCATCTGAGTGCATCTCCGACGCTACCACAGGCCGCCGTCCAGAGGGCCTCATCCTGCTGTACTCTGTGGCCCATCGCGCCGGGTTTGACGCCCTGAAACGCCTGCACGCAGACGTGCAGACCGAGCTGCCGCACGCGCAGGGGCTGCCTGTGCTGGTTGTTGCAACCATGACTGATCTTCCCCACAACGCCTGGCAGGTCCGGGTGGAGGAAGGCGAGGCTTTCGCGGAAAGTATCCAGGCGCCGTTTCGACAGTGTTCAGCCCTAACTGGTGCCGGGGTGGACGAGCTCATGGACGAGCTCTTTCAGGACATGGCAGCCGCCCGATCCGATGCGGAGAAGGATGACATTATTGCTACGACCCCGCCGAAGCAAGCTATGATAATGCAACACTCGGATCCGGCGGTCTTCCTGAAGATCCACAAGGAGCATCTGACTTTATTTGGAAAGGTCCGGGCCTCTCTCAACCGTGTTTTTCGATACAAATTGTCAGGGTAGGAAACAAGCTTCACGGAAGCTGTTGGGACTGCTTTTTTCTCTCCTCACCATAGTCTTAATTTCTCTAAATAGTAATACTACGCCCATACGTAGCAAGCCGCAATCCACATTGCTGGGAGCTAAGTAACTATCCTCTGTATCTGTCAGCATGCCCAATCTAGAATTTTCAGCCCTCTGTCTGGCCCCCGACCAACGTACGTAAGCCACCCGGGAGGTGGCTGTCGGGCATCCACACCTCCACAGCCACTTGCAGGCGCAACATCTTCTAAGTTCTCTGGCTGGGATCAAACCAGATAATTCCCTGGGCCGCAGACTAGGAAACGTACGACTGGCGCGCTGAGTCTTTGATCATCACACTCACGCAGCTGTCTGAGTCACTACTGCTGGGGACCCGAGTCGAGGCGGCGTGGTGCAGGCGGATTCGCGCAGGAGGAAGTTCTCCACCGCGCCCTTCATCTTCACCTACTTTTTCTTTTTATAGCCCTTTTTGTTTTAACTATCTACTATTCGGAACGATGGGGAGTCTCTGTTCCAAGTCTTCCAACTCCGATGACCACTTCGCGCAGCCAGGCCGCCCACTCGGGAACTCCGGCGCCCAACCCACTGCCGCCCGTATCCCCGTTCCCAAGAACACGACGACTCCGGCGTCGCAAGGCGGAAGAGTTTTGGGTAACAACAGCGATCAGCCGGGCGGTAGTAATGTGGAGGCGCGCAGTGCTGCTGCGCGTGCAGCAGAGGTGAGTTGCTTCCTGGAGTTGAACCAATCATCCACCCATCTAACTACTCCGTGCTAACATGTGTTACCTGGCTATAGGAACGAGCTGCAAAGCAAAACGCGGCCTCGACTAAAGGCAAATTGGGTTCGCAGCTTGCTGCGCAGAAGGCAAAGACGCAGGGAAAGACGCTGAACGATATCAGCCAGGCGGAGCGCGCCAGCAGGGCTACCGATGCTGCCGAGACGTCCAGGAGATGGGAATAAATGACGTGCTTTGTCTAGTTATCTTGTTTTGTGTGCCAAATACAGCGATGTTGGTCTAGAGGACTGATGAAATGACCTGTGAGGGCGAACCCCACTGCCCATATACTGATATTGTCTAACCTTGTAACAGCTTGCAATTGGTTATTGGTATAGTTACAGTTTTGATATTTGTTTGTGAGCGTTCTTAGGCCATGCACTTGTGATTTTGGACGGATAGTCTAGGCGCCGTAATCTGCTTTAGGCATCTGGAAACGACAAACCCCGGGAATCCCGGAAATGAGATCTCAACTATCATATTTACAAGAGAGGAAGCAAAGACAAGACATCACAACGCCAAAATGCGAACCGCCGCATACGATCTTGCATCGAGAACGCCAATATCTAATTTCCTTATAGAACATTGTATCTGCCGCTTGCTGGAGCTCTGGCTTCGCTGTCCACCGCCGCAATAGTGCCCTCTTTCAATAAGCGCATAAGCTCGCGCATGGCATTAGTTACAACAACTTCAGTGTCACCTTCGACCAAAATATATAGTTTAGGATTCTCATTGGGGCCCGGTTCTTTGCCAGTGGCATAGTAACTGCCCTTGGTTGTGATGGATGTGCCTGTTGCTTCAAGGATTTTTGCGACATTGGTGCGATTGGTGACGGCCCATCTTGCTTTTTCTATAGAAACGTTAGTAAATATTCCTAGAGAGTAAATGAAACCAGGGAGCAGGGATCGAAGAAAATGAAACTTACGGGGGAAGTCATTAATTTCGAGAGTGGCATGGAAGGCGCCGGCATCAGGGCCTTTGTTGTCAATGGGAACGCCAGACCTCATGACTCCAGCCTTGTTGAGGCGAGCATGGATATCGGCAACCGCTGACCCCACTTTATCAAGAGGATTGTTGCCTGTGGCAGTTGCAGCAGGCCGCTCGGTTTTGTGCACGGTAATCTTCCCGTCGAGATCAATGCCCTTGGGAACACCAGGAGTAGCAGTTGATGTAGCGGCTGCAGGAGTCGTAGAGGATTGTACGGCAGAAGCAGCTTTGGAGAAGAGATCCTCTCCCTTGTCTTTCTCCTTCTTATCCTTTTCCTCCTCTTCCTCACCCTCGTCGCCGGTCTTGAATGTTTTCCTTTCACGATTTCGTGCTGCATCCCGTTCTTGGTCCAGCCTCTCTAAGCCTTTGCCACCAAACCCAGATGCACTGGCCTTCTCTTTCCCGGACTTAACCTTTTCAAGGAAGGAATCAACCATTTTTTGCACGGCATCAGGGATAACCTGCCCACTTTGCTTCAGTGCCTTAGCAATGTCTACGGAATATCGCTCCTGGTCTTCTGTCAAGAACGTAACAGCAGTTCCCGTGTTCCCTGCCCGGCCCGTGCGGCCAGCTCGGTGGACATAGTCTTCAAGGTGATTGGGTGCGTCATAATTAATGACCAATTTCAGCTGCTTGACATCCAGTCCTCGCGCTGCTACCGAGGTGGCAATTAAGACAGGGAATATTCCAGCTTTGAAATCATCGATGGTAGAGTCGCGGTCAACTTGATCCTTTCCTCCGTGGATTGACATGCAGGGGTATCCTTTACGCATTAGATCCCGAAGCAGACCATCAGCGGCTTCTTGCCTATCCACAAATATCAAAGAACGCGCATCTTCGTTCGCGTCATCTGAGTATAGATTACCAAGGAGTTCGAGAAGCCGGACAAACTTCGTGTTTTCAGCTCGAACTTCCACGATTTGCGTAATTTCAGGTGCCACGACACTCCTGCCACCAACGATGATCTCCACGGGCTTCGTCAACGTTTTTCGCGCGAGTGCTTCCATGTTGCGGGGAAACGTTGCGGAAAATAGAACGGATTGCCTTGTAGGGCGGATATTGCCGCTAATCTTCATCACTTGTGGTTCGAATCCCATGTCAAACATTCGGTCAGCTTCATCCAACACTACGTATGTTACACGTCGCAGGTTAGTGACTCTCCCGGAGTTAGCCGCTAAAAGGTCAATCATCCTGCCCGGTGTGCAGACAATAATCTCCGCTCCACGCTTTAACTCCGCAATTTGATCCTTGATAGGGGCGCCTCCGTATGCACACACGGCACGAAGGTTCAAGGCTTTCAGAAATGGTTTGCATTCTTTATGAATTTGAGTTGCGAGTTCCCTAGTAGGAGTCATAATTAGCCCCATTGGGCCCTCCATACTATCAAGGGGTCTTTGATCCATAATGTGACGGAACATGGGCAATAAGAACGCAATAGTCTTTCCGGACCCAGTTTTTGCAACACCGATCACATCCCGCCCGGACATGATGGCTGGAATGGCTTGTGACTGAATCGAGGTCGGCTGCTCATATCCAAGCTTGCGAATGACATCCAAAGTTTGGACTCCTAATCCGCATTGCGACCATTTCTGCACTGGTTTGGGAACATCGACGCCCCGGACTTTGATACCATCGAGCTCTGCCCTCAAGGCAACGACCTCTTCCTCGTTGAGTCCGGCCAAATCTACGGGCTCTGAGTAGAAATTCTTCCGGAACGGCTCATAATTCATTTTTTCATGGTTGACAGCCGGTAACTCCTTTTTTTTCCTAGTCTTATTCGCAATTGCGAGAAAATCGTCGGCTTCAAGATCTATCGCCTTTAGGTTGACATCATCGCCATCCCCAAAAAGGGGCTCAGGCTCATGCTTCAATTTTGAAGTATTCAATCGGGAGGGTCTTTTCTTAACCGTTTCTTTTAAACCAGACATGAACGCATCAAGCGGATCGATGTCTCCCTCATCCACGTCCATTGCTTCAGGGATAGCATCGTCTGCGGGGACTTCTGGGCCTGTATCGGCACCTGCATTGTCTGTTTGCTCCTCGGATTTTGGAGGTACGTCTAAAGATTCGTTTTGAAGTCGTTCCTCGCGTTTTTCCGCTGCGGCTCTCGCAGCAGCAGCGTTTTCCTCTTCTGTTCCGCCGTCTTGCATATCAACATCGTCTTCGTCATCTCCTTCATCAATACCGTTATCATCTCCGTTAACAGTGTCAATGTTATCTTCAAGGGAATGATCTGGAAGCTTCATGAGTTTTTTACGACCGGAATCTTCATCCCCGAAATCGATCGCACGTTTCGACGCTTTCTCCGGTTCGGCGGCGGACTTGGTACCAAAACCAAACCCGCTGACATTACCTCGCGCCTTTAATGGAGCGGCTTCTAAGCAAAAGGGTTAAAACATCTATTACCAATACATGTAAAATTAGAACTAGGGACACATACCAGTGTGTGTATCCTTGACAGCTGTGAGTGCAACTTCACTTGGTGAGGTCGACGTAGAGCCATTGGGTGCGGTGACATCCTTTCCGAGTAACGAAACGGGTTCTGATGGATTCGGGGTCTTACTTGTAGATGGTTTTGAATTGATTGTTTTCGAGGGTGTATGTGCAGACGTCTGAGGTGTCAGAGGTGCTTCTGATACAATTGTCTGCCTCAATCCAGATCTTTTATCAATTTCGTCAAGAATACTGCGCGCACCGCCGGCGGCGGCGAGCTCCTTTTGTTTTCGCTCCTTTTCAGCGGCTTGTTTCTGTTTCCAAGCCTCCAGCTTTGCCAATCTTTCTGCTTTCTTCTCCTCGTCGGTCTGGGCTGGTGGGGTTGACGGCTTGGAGGTCTGAGAAAATTATTAGCGGAATCCATTCCCGTCATTGAGTGAGAGAAAACTGTACCTCCCGAGGCTTGGTAGCTGACGCCTTGTTGGCTGTGCGATCTCTACTTGCGTCTCGCCTAGACGCGAATCTCGAATCGGCGGAATCGTCTCTTCGTCTCCGCCCGCGGTCGCGAGACTGGTCATGTCGCCTGTCGCGACTCCGGTGGCGATAATCTCTGCCATCGTGGCGATCCCGTGAGTGATATCTAGGTCGTGACCGATCCCTCCGGCTTGGACGATATGAAGTATCATCACGTACATCATCCCTGTAGTCTTCTCGTCTCTCCATTGAGCGATCTAGCTTTCTGTAACTATCCCGGCCGCGATCACGGCCGGAACCACGATCACGCTCTCGACTCCTATCTCGATCGCGGTCTCGATCTCGGTCTCGATCTCGGTCTCGATGTCTGTCATAGTCTCTATCACGGTATTGTCTCTGCAGAAAGATAAGCATGTTAGTATAATCTCCAATGCCAGCAGCCTGCCGACTTACCGTAGGACTTCGAGACCTCCTGTTAACCTTGCCATCATCGCGACGGCTCTTATCGTAGTAGTCACCGTTCCTGCGACTTCGTTTCGACGACGAGTGAGTACTGCCTACTGGCGATGGTGAGCGAGTCTCTCTGGCCATTTCCGTAGGCCAAATCCTAACTTTTTTGTCTAGGGAATGGCTTTTGGGCGCAAATCACCAAAGCGACTGCCTTCGGTACAGTCTAGAATCAACCCATAAACTGACTCGAAAGCATGAAATAACCCGCAGAAATGAAGTAAGGTAGAGATGTAGCAAACTGCTTTGCTGCATTGACGACTTCACGCCTGGTTGCAACGCTTCAAGCGAATGACTTTGAACCCAAAGAGGCAATGCCAGATAAACTCAAATTGGATGACTAAGACGCCAAGAATACGCCATCTCAATGCAGCTTGAGCAGAACATGCACTGTATGAAAGCGACGCTGCTCGTAGACAGTGTGGGGTATTAGTAGTTCTGCCAGTGAGCAGTCGGATGCAGAGACTACACTTTCCTGCCAGCTCACCCTGAATGTAGTTAACTATGTGCATGGCTACTCCGCGCACTTGGATTCATCCACTATGCCGTCCACGTGACCCGCAGTCGCGCCTCGCTGCCCAGATCAACCAAAACAAACCAACCTCCTGTTCCGGCTGTGCTGGGATGCGTTTTGCTTTTGGTTCAAATCGAAATACCTCGTCGTGTGGGCACACTTGAGTTCTACGAATTCCCGGGATTGCCTGATATCATAAACCTTTGTCCTATGCACTCGCGGCAGTTGGAGCATCCCACAGATCAGGTATAAGCCACTGGAATTGTGGACTGTATAACGGGCTAATTGGCAGCGAAGAAGATATGGCTTACATTCTTGCGCGCCGCGCAACAACCATCTTTCGCCGGTTGACTCCCCGTGACACCCAACGACTTGCGTACCTTTCTCTGCGTACGTCTACAGGTACTCAATCAACATCATTGACCGGCAATGCGGGTATCGTGACCCTTCCCCTTCGTTTGAGAAATTCCTATGCTACTGCTGCCGCTCGACCCAAGGCCCACACAGGCCGTGCAGCTGCATCGAAAAAGCCCAGACCCCAGGGAACTGCGGCTAAAAAACCGACCAAAAAAACGACAAAGAAAACGGTATCAAAGTCGAAACCCAAGCCAAAAAGCAAAGCGAAGTCCAAGGCCACAAAGAAGCCGAAGAGAAAGGCATTGACGGATAAACAGAAGGAAACTTTGAAGAAGAAGAAGGAGAGGCAGGAAATCAAGGAGCTGAAGATTGCAGCTTTATCGCCGCCCAAGGCTCTGCCCCACAGCCCGTTCGGACTTATGCTTCAACAGATGCAACAAGGAGGCATTTCGGAAAAAACTGCGGCATATAAAAACTTGTCCGCCTCGGAGCTTGAGGTGTGTTTTATCTCACGCTACAATTAAGCGTAACTAACCGAATATAGCGCCTCCGGGCCGTCGCAAAAGACAACGTCGAGGCTAATAGAGAGGCTTTTGCGCAATGGGTGAAGAGTCATACAGCGCTACAAATCAAAGAAGCGAACACCGCACGACGAAGGCTCCGCAAACTTACTAAGCGCTCGGTTCGAGAGATCTCGGATTCAAGACAGGTCAAACGCCCAAAGACCTCATATATCATCTTCGCCCAAGAGAAGCTTCAAAGCGGCGAGTTTGACCACTTGGAATTGACGAAGAAAATGGTTCATATTGGCCAAGCCTGGCGAAACCTGTCGAGCGCTGAGCAAGAGGTGAGAATATTACTCCCAACTCCACAATAGTTCTCATTGCTAACCCAAACATCTCAGAAATATGTCAACCTAGCCAAGGAGGCGACTAGAGAGTACACGAAAGAGTATCAGTCGGTGTACGGCCAGCAGCCACCAAAGCGGCAATCGAAGAAAGCCGCAGCTACTTTGTGATTTAGTCGTTGATTCAATGGATTCCACTTGCTGAGATTCCACAACCCCAACCACTCAGAGGTTCCATGGAAGGGGTTTCTGTTTCTTATTTACTCTTTGACTTCCGAGTTTTTCGGCGCGATATGGCCTTGTATGAGTAATCTGGTGTGGTGGAAGATATCTCTTTTACGCAGCTAGTCACTACCTTACTATGTGCTTTAGCACTGGATCCTTGTTAGCTACAACCGGCCCAGGCAGTACCTCTTTCGTTATGTCAGTAGGTTTATGTATGCAGAGTATTCTTGGAATTCCATCCTTTTTTTTATTTTTTATTATGATTGAATGGTTGGCAGTGCAATGTATTGTTTATTCGCCACAGGCTGAAATGTATTCATCCAGCAAATAATAGGTGTGTGAAGGTGGTTGCCTAGCCACGGACAATCGACACCTCGCAGCTCTAGGATGGAGCACTATTTGCCATTTGGACAGCAATCTGCTCGGCCCGGGGTCTTATTACGAAGTCATTGGGCGTCAACACAGACGACGACGACCCTGCGTCTGGTGCTTGAGTCTCAAGTGTCGAATTGTGGGTTCATCCATTGGCATGCGGAACGAGCGGTGAGAGAACAACCCGGGATGCTGGCCCAGCTTTGCTTCCACCATGTCGCAAATTCAGTCGCATTGGTGATAACAACGCATTACCGCCTCCCTTCCTGCCAGCCGGTGAAGGCAAAAAAGCAGCGGACAGGCTTGGATGATAGGTGTCTGTTTTGCGTGCGCGGATCTGTTTCTGCCTCGCGTTGCTGCGATGCCACTGCGACCAGGCATACCTGCATGTTTCTGGCTGGGCGCTCAGGTGTCAACATTGAGCGTGCTGTCATTGGCACGGCGAGGAGAGTTTATTTTGAGTGTCTGCTTCCACGGAAGAGTGTGGTGGAGCCGGCAAGAGTTTGGCTGCTGGAGAGTTTGGAATGACCCGACGCAGCTAGGCCAGGTGACGGCGGGAGGCGTCCCAGCAGCAGCGGTGCCCTGTAGTGTATTAAATAATAGGCTCTGTGCTCTGTAGATGCGACGGGGTGGGAGGTGCGCCCGTCTGGACTGATAGAGAGGCAACTGTTGCCGTTGAGGCTCCCCAGAGACGAGCTGCAGCGACTCAGCGAGCTCGCCTGTCAAATCATCGAATACGAGCTGGTTGAGCAAGAGTCCATTGGCAGCCTGTCGGAGCCCCCAAGGCTGCTGTGATCGCAAATCAGCGGCAGCATTGGTGGGCGAGGCCAATCGAGCGCTGCGAAACCGCCGGACAGCTGGGCGCATGTCGAGGGAACCCAGCAACATAGAATTTTCGGCGTCATCTCAACGGGCGACACGGCTAGTTATCGATAAGCCCGTCAACAGCCAAAATAATTACAAAAAAAAAAAGAATCCTCGTTCGCTGCTCGACCTGGCCCCGGCTCGCTCTCCCCAGCACGCACAGCGCAGCGCCCGCTCGTTGAGGCCTCGCAAAGCCAACCCTCCCTGCCGATTTCCGCCTTTCTCAGTGGCTGGTCCCTGCGTGAGGTTGCCTTCCCGTCCCCAATCATCATCTCAACATCCCGCTGAGCGACCGCCGACGACGCCGCGGCCGCGCACGCGCCCTCCTCCAGCACACCCTCTTATAAAGCACCCTTTGGTCGCGGGCTTGGATGCGTCTGCGTGGCACTGCGGTTTGCATGGTGCCATGCCCGGCAGGTAAGCAGCGTGATCTTTTTTGTCCAGGTGAAACGTGCATATCATGCGGGCCAGGGAACGCGAAAAGGCAGCGCTGGGCGAAACGGCGGAACGACGAAACGACCTTCTACCTGCGGTTATCGGGGAGGCGATCGTGACGAGCTTGGAGGCGCTGTCGACACGGCCTGTTTGTCTTCGCAACGGTATCGTTTATGCCATCTGCTGCAGACTGGTGCTGTTCACCGACATGCCATGAAATCTGCGCCCCTCAGCCTCGCGCGCGACTTTCGAACAAGGCGACACCTGTCCTTTGACGAGATACCTTTCTTGCTGGCTCCCTGTCTTGCGAAGAGCTCGGGTTCGTCGTCCGTTTCGCGTTTTTGGCCGCCTTGTTTGAGTGCTACTCGACGACTTGGACACCCCGCAGTCCAGAAAGTAGCCACAAAAGTACCTTGATACTGGGTCACAAAAGTGGATGGTGAATGCCTGGACACTTCTGGGACTTTTGCTGAAGGAGTCTGAAGTTCTGCGGCTCGGACTCTACATTTACGCGCCTCCACTCCGCCCCTTGACGCCCCGCCCCGCCCCGCCGTGCCCTGAAGAGCCTCGCTACTATTTTTATGCTTCCGAACGGCCTTAGCCTTTATGGGCTTGATTGTCTGATGTTTCTATTAGGATATTAAGTTGTTTCAATAATGCAGAGTGGTAGCTGACTGTCCTTTCACTAGCTTCGAGCATTTCGTCACCATGACCTACAACATGGAGATTCGCCTTCTAGATATGGGTCCCAGGCATCGAGTAGCAGATAGAAGCAAAGCAGATTGTTCTGATAATATTGCTGGCTCAAATTCCATGTTGATCACTCCGAGCATCATCTGTGATAAGCCGTTGCCCCTGGTATGCCCACCCCCATCATTGCTGGTAGGCTGTAGCTCCCTTTTTCACTTCATCTTCTTTTCTCGATTATTTACGGACCCTCACTATCATGATGGCTCTTTTGTGTACTTTTTATAAGCTCTGTTGGCTTAGTGCTGGGCATGTTCTGACTTTGGCAGCCTTCAATATGCGACGGCCATATTTCGTTTCTAAAAGTATCTGCATTGCTTGAAGAACTTGATTCGCTCTTAAACTGGGTACCAGACCCCTATGTGACCTGCCCCCCACCTTACGATGATGCTCTGGGTGACCTGCCGCCTGAGTACATTGTAGAAGATGCTCCTTTGGCCAGAAAGGATCCACCGAGGTGCGCCTTTCTACCAAGCCCAGACCATGAGGCAAAAGGCGCCCTCAGCAAACCTGCCAATCGATTGATTGACTGGAATGACTCTTCTCGATTCAAAGGTTGCGCCGGGAAGAAGGGAAAGAAAGCCAAAGCCAACAACAAGAAATCTGGTGGTAATTCTGGTGGAGGCGGCGGGAATAACGACCCACCCCCAAATGAAAATGATGCAGCTGATGAAGGCGGCGCTGACGCGGGCGCAGGGGCCGGCGGTGATGGCGGAGACGGCGGTAATGGGGGCGACGGCGCAGGAGGTGGGGATGGAGATGGTGGCGAGGACGAATTTTGGAATGTGAGCAGTAGCAAAAAGAAAAAGAGTAAGAAGAAGAAACAGGAAGAGGAGGAAGAGGAAGAAAGGAAGCGAAAAGAAGCGGAGGAGGAGGAGGAACGGAAGAAAAAAGAGGAGGAAGAGCAAAAGGCCAAACAAGAGGAGTTGTTTAATCAGACCAACAATAATCTTAGCTGGGCAGACGATGCTGAGCAGGATGATTCATGGTTCACTCCGACCACGAAAAAGAAGAAAGGGAAGAAGGGGAAGGTAAGAAACCCATGATCGCATTTTCTGTTCATGTTTCTAAATTTGACTTGGGTTGCTTTATCAGGCTTCGGATCCAGCCCCTGCTGCAGCAGAGAATACGCAGTCGAACTCCTTTCAGGACATCAGTCTGGATGATGTACCTCAGATTGACCTTTCATTTGATAAGCCTTCTGGAGACTCCTTTGAGTTTGGCACCTGGGGCAAAAATTGGAAAAGCGGATTTCGCTCAGGAGAACATGATGGTGATAGCGCAGACAAGGGAGAGGACTCTAAAACAAAAGAGCCTGAGTCCACAAACCCTTGGTCTACTACGGGTAAAACGGGGAAGAAGTCAACGAATATATTTGACCTCGACTTTGGCACCATGGGAAATGAGGCTGACGAGTCTGCCATAAACGGCGATCCTGTAGGCGGTGGAAACGATGGGGCAGATGAATTTTCGTGGACTACTCCGGTAGGAAAGAAAGGCAAGAAGAAAAAGAAAGGAGCTTCCGATCCAGAGCCAAGCTTTGATGATAATAAAGTGGACGTGAAGGGCAGCAACGATCTGGGGGATGCCCCGGTTATTGTGGACCCTGTTCCTCAAGATAACGAGCCCAAAGAATGGGGCGGCTGGAATGTGACCAAGAGTAAGAAGAAGAAAAACAACGCCCCAGAACTGCCGGAGCCTGAACCTGAACCCCCTGTTGCCGCAGAGCCGGATCCTCCTGTTGAGGATACTTGGTCAATTACCCCAGGGAAAAAAGGCAAGAAAAAGAAGCAGATCTCAATCGTCGAAGAAATTCCGGTTGTAGAGGTGCCTGTTGAAACTATCGAGGAGGTGAAGGCAGAAACAAATGCTGATGCTGCCGCTGATGATGAATTCCTAGAGTGGGCAACTACTTCCAAAAAGTCCAAAAAGAAGAAGGGCAAAAATGCAGTCGAGGAGGCACCAGCACCTCCGCCTCCGCTCCCGGAAGTGTCAAAAAAAGATGTCGATCCGGAGCCCACTGATGATTTTACATGGGAAACCCCCAGTAGTAAAAAAGATAAAAAGAAAAAGGGAAAAAATGCACCTGTGGTTGAGGAGCCTCCGCCGCCGCCTCCCGAACCAGAGAAGGCTCCCGAAACAGCCCCTGTCGATGATTTGGACGTCTGGGGAACAGCTGTCGGCAAGAAAGGCAAAAAAAAGAAGGGAAAAAATGTAGTTGAACCTACCCCTGTCGTTTCAGATCCAGTTCCTGATCCTCCACCGGAGCCCAAGCCCGAGCCTCCTGCGCCTGCAGATGATTTGTGGTCTTGGGATAATGTTGGCTCGAACAAGAAGAACAAGGGAAAGAAGGAGAAGACTACAGAAGAAGTCAAGGAGCCTGACCCAGTGCCTGAACCAGAACCTGAAGCTCCAGCCGCTGAAGACTTCTCATTTTGGGAAACTGGAACGAAGAAGAAAAAAGGGAAAAAGGGGAAGACTACAGAAGAAGTCAAGGAGCCTGACCCAGCGCCTGAACCAGAACCTGAAGCTTCAGCCGCTGAAGACTTCTCATTTTGGGAAACTGGAACGAAGAAGAAAAAAGGGAAAAAGGGGAAGGCTGACCCTGAACCAGCCCCAGAACCTGTCGCGGATCCCGAACCCGAATCGGTACCGGTACTCGAGGCGGAGCCGCTGGTTGATGAGTGTGCGGTATCTGGAAAGAAGAAGAAAGGTAAGAAAGGAAAAGAGGTTGTTGAAGAGCCTCTAGCGACAAAGGATATAGACCAGACGCCTGCTCCTGAACCAGAACCCGAACCGGATGTAGCAAATGCTTTCAGCTGGGCTACTAGCACCACAAAAAAGAAGAAGGGCAAAAAGGGTAAAGAGGAATCTATACCCAATCCCCCGGCGCCTCGTGAACCGTCTCCAGTCCCGGAACCGGCCCCGGAATCCGAAGCCGAGCCAGTAGAAGAATGGTCGGCCTGGGGTGACGTGTCGGGCAAGAAGAAGAAAGGTAAAAAAGGAAAGGAGCCAGTAGAGGAAGCTCCATCCGAACTGAAAGAGATTGTACCAGAACCTAAACCAGAACCGCCCAAAGCAGATCCTCTTGACGATTTTTTCGGAGCTTCCGTGTCAACTAAAAAGGGCAAAAAGAAGAAAGGCAAAGATCTAGTCGAAGAGCCTCTCCCTGAACCAGTTGTGAGCCCTGAAGAAACGGAGCCTCCACCAGCAGATGACTGGGCAGAATTCCCTATCAGCAAAAAGAAAAAAGGGAAAAAGGGAGCCAGTGACCCTACGCCTCCTGTTATCGATGATATTCCCGCGCCTCCACCAGCAGAAAATGACGTAGACCTAAAATCTTCTTCCAAAAAGGATAAACGTAAGGCTGGTAAGGGTGCTACTAAGGAAGAAAATCTCGAAGGCGATGCTGCAGGTGACGGGTTTGGAGATGTGGGCTTTGGGGATCCTCTTTTGAAACTCGACTCTACACCTGAGGTTCCAAAAGAAGAGAGTGCATGGAACGACGTTGGTGTTAGTAGTAAGAAGAAAAAAGGGAAGAAGGGAGTATTATCTTCAGACAAAAAATCCGTTAGCGACGATCTTGAGAAGGATCCTCCTGAGGACACAGGTAAAACAGAAGCAATTGACCTTCTTGATGATATTGAGCCTTCCAAGTCAACTAAACCTGATAGTTCAGCTGCGGATCCATGGACTTTCTTCGGGGCATCAAAGAAAACAAAGACCAAGGCCACCAAAACCAAGGGCCCTGATGGCGAATTCCCGGTCGAAACTTCACCGCCTCTTGAAGAGCCAACCTTGAGCACCTGGGCCCAGGACTGGGGACTCTCTTCGAAGGAAAAGGCAAAGGACAGAGCCTCGAAGAATCAAGGAATTCGTGTCGACGACGTTACAGACTCCGTGGAAACTGGTTTGGTACCTAAGCCAGCGGACGGTAGCCCTTGGGATATCTGGGGAATATCGAAAACCGCAAAGAAGAAGAAAGGCAAGGATGAAAGTGAGCTCCCCCCACCTGCCCCTACCCCTCCCACCCAAGGAATAAACCCAGTTCCACCCATTCCGAATTTCGATGATGCCGTGGACATTACGTGGAACTCCTTTAGTGGCTCTGGAAGTAGAGGTCTAAAGCAAGGAAGTCTCTCTCGGATGACCACGTCGGCCTCCAAAACATCAAAATTTGAGAAATTAAGCAAGACTAAAACTCGCGGACTGGAAGTTGTTGACATTACTGATGAACCGGGAACGGAACCTGTCATAGAGACGAAATCCACGGACGCAGCCCCAGTCCCTATTAGTATCTGGGGTGGATATACGAGCACAAGCAAGTCGAAATCGAGCAAATCCAAGAAAGAAGAGCCGGCACCGTACCCAGAACCAGAACCGGAGCCTGTTCCAGAACCTGTGCCCGACGAACCGGCCGTCGTTGTCGACGAAGAGCCTCCCCCTGCCGACACCAAAACAAGCAAAAAGAGCAAACGCAAAGCAAAAGCCGCAAACGAGACAAACGCCAAGGCCGTGGTCGACACAGTGGATGACGTCAGCGGGGAGAGCCCAGATAAGGCTAGCGCCGGGCCTGCGGATGACAAAGCAGCGCCAGCGCCCAAAGCGACCACGAGTTCGTCATCAGCGCGAGTGGGTGCGAAGGCATCGGTAGCGGAGCGCATTCGCATCCTCGAGCAGAATCGAAAACAGCAGAAGGAGGCTGCGGCAGCCAAGGAAAAGGAGAAGGAAAAGGCTAAGGCGAAGGACCTCCCACCCCCGGACCCCGCCCCTGCACCCGCCCCGCCTGCAGACGAGCCAGTGGAGCCCCCGGCGCAGGAACCCCCAGAGCCCGCTGCATCGGAAAAAGAGGCGCTTCCATCAAAACAATCGAAAAAGGAAAAAAGGAAGTCAAAGAAACATGCGCCCGTCCCTGAGCCCGTGATCGACGACGCCCCCGGCCCGCAAGAATCGGCTCCTGGTAGCTTTCCGAACCTTGATGATGATTTGATTGATGTTTCGACCCCATCGCCCGACCCTCCAACCTTAAAAGCTTCATCCTCATCAGCAAAAAAAATGAAGAAGAACAAGAAAAGCTCCGCGCTGAAGAAGAGCGCCGAACCCGAAATGGCATCCCCTCCCCCCTCCCCCATTGAGCCTGACGAGGCTGAGGGTGGTGATGCTGATCCCTCCACGCCAGCTCCAAAGGCCGTGAAAAAGGAGCGCGCTAGGGTAGAGCGCACTGCGGGGGCTACGTGGGGATTTTGGGGTGCTACACCAAGGAAGTCTCCCAAAAAGGAGATGAAGGCTGCCGGTGACGATGAAGCCGCACTGAAAAAGGAGAAAGAAAGACCCACAACACTCAAGAGATCAAAATCAGCTGCAACTCGGAGAGAGAAGCCGGATGGCGGCGATAGGAGCCCTGATAAGCTGTCGATTTCTGAAAAAGAGAAGGATAGGCGTCCCCCTCTGTCCCGACAAAATAAAGGCCTGAGTTTCTCCAATTTCATGCTTGGAGGTGCGGCCCCAACAAGAACAAGGTCCATTAAACGCACCAATGGTGCTTCTCGCCCGGCGTCCCGACGACAATCTGTTGATATTGATGATTCGGGTGCTCCTCCTACGCCCCCTGAAGAGTCACCAGAGATCTCGAGCAAGGCTGCGAAGGTTATGGGAATAAGCGACTCAAAACCTTCAAGGCGAAGTTCAAAGATTAAGAAAAAGGCTGCAGGTAGGCTATTTGTTTTTCTGGATGTTTCAAAACGTTGTTTGACACGTCATCCTCTCCAGCACCCGACCCCTATCCAATCGACGATGAAGATATTGTGATGGTGAATTCACCAGAAGTCGCCGATCCGCCAGCTCCCAAAGAGCCGCGAGACTCTCGCAAGCGAAAATCTAAAAGAGAGGTATGGACAACGCAGTGAATAATGCATTTCTTACAGGGAGTCCCAGCCAAGGAACAGTCACTAATCTTGTTTTCCCCATTAACTAGTCGAGAGCCAAGGCGACGGAGCTAGCTGACGATATCGTGATGGTGGAGCCCGGATCCTCTGGCCACGGACCTGAAGTCGTGTCCGGCCCAGACGACATTGCATTCGTAGAATCCCCATCTAAAGAACGACCGCCGTTACGCCGATCTACTACGATGCCAAAGAAGCCTGAAGGCGGCCTTTTTGGCATTTTCGGTTCGTTTCGACGGCCTGCCGGCCGTTCCACTGAGCCTCGTGAGCGGGGTAAATCGAGATCTTATTATGACGAAGACACTAGGAGGCAGACAGATACAGAGAGAGAGGACGCGAGACGCCTAAGGCGAGAAGAAAAGAAAAGGCGAGCACCCAAACCAGGCACCAATGGCGAAGAGGCGGAGGCGGATGGAGCGCCAGCAGCCGGGCCTAACACCGACGCCGAAGAAATTGAAGCCCGGAAGGCCGAACGACGAGCCAGGCGAGCAGCACAGCACGTAGCAGAGCAAGAGGCTCGCGAAGCTGAAGAGAGGCGCGCCCGGCGAAAGGAAAACGAAAGGCGTGAAGCCCGCGAAAAGCGCGCAAGAGAGGAAGAAGAGCGGGAAGAGCGACGGCGTCAGGAGAAAAAAGCGAGACGGCGAGCAGCCCAAGAAGAGCCCCCTAACAATGAAGAAGAGCCTCCAGCAGATGAACCGCGAACCTCCCACCGCCGCTCGAGACACCGGGCCGCCGAAGCCGATATGAACGGCGAACCACCCCCAGACCCAAGGGCCCATCGGCGCCGATCTTATGTCGGTGAGAAACAACGAGATTACCCCGACGACTATGCAGCAGAGACCCGGCATCGCCGACATCGCCGCCCTGACGATGAAGCCTCAAAATCCAGACGCCACAAATCGCGTGATGAGCATCAGTCGTCTCGCAAATCACGATCGTCTCGCCCTCCCGCCGACCTCCCATATCCTGTTATGATCAATGGCGGTAAAGACAAGACCTCATCCTGGATCCATTCGCAATACACGGATCCTCCCGAAGTGCCGCCGATCATGCCGACCGTTGTTGATCTCCCCGCGCAGCGTGGAGACGCTAATAACCACTCCCTCTCCTCAGACGAAGAGGCTCGACGCGCAATCCACCATCGATCTCGGAACCAGGCGAAATACGATGACGCAGATAGAGAGAGGCGTCGACGACATCGCGAGTCTCGCAGGGTAGCCGAAAAGGAAGTGAGAAGCAGCGAGGGTAGCGGTGACCGCTACCTCGACCATCGCTATGAGCCTGATGGTCGCTATGCCTATGGGAACGGTTCCTCGAAAAGGACCAGCTGGTTTAAGAAGATTACAGGATTCTGACGATGATATGTCTTTGGAACGATTTTTATAGTCTTGGTTTTGTGATTCTGGCCTTTTACCAATTGGCTTACGGTTCTTACCCTGGACCTATTACTTGTACATTTTTTCCCTTTTTGTCATTTATGTTTTTGGGTTGTGCATGTTTCCAAAGGGGGATTTTTTGGGGTTTTCCGGTGTTCTTGGGGCTGAAGTCTCCCACGGGCATTGGATTATGGTCATTTCGGAGGGGCATCCCACTCAACCATTGGATATTCCTGGCTGTTCCTCCTCGATGCGCGCCGCATATACCCCCTCTTTATTAATTGAGGACCAGTGTCGTTGAGCATTGGGCTATGATATCTGTGTTTTGGTGTCTTGTATATTTTGCTGGCTAGTCTTCGTTTCATGCGTGTATGTATGTACTGTACCCTCTGTGGGTTTTTTTTTTGCTTTTCTCTTCTGGAGCTATTAGTTAGTTACTGACGGGATGACATTTTGAATATGATTTTATCCAAATTTTGGTTCGTAACCTTATCACATTCCCACTGGGCCGCTCCAATTTCGAATGAGATATAAATGTAGTATCGTCTCAATATAAACTACTTGAAAAAAACAACATTCTATTGTAACCAGTCTCGCAGGCTCTATATCAGACCAGAGAGAGCGACGGCTGCAAACAGAAAATCCAGCACATCATCTCACAGACATGAAAAAATACTCAACAACGACGAGTCGGCCATATAAAGTCCTTCCACTGCGCCATGCACTGATGCAAAATCAAAATCTCATAAAAAAAAAAGGAGCCTTCCGAGCGGTAAACCGGATCAATTCCCTTCAAGAGAACAAATCTCGCTTTTTCAAGACATGTCCGAAAAAAAGTCATGATTAAGACCGTTCCTTTTCCTCTTCCTTCTTTAACCCTGTGACTCCCCAGGCAGAAGATTGCCCCGAACGGCAAACATCTTCCCAGTAGTCGAAGAAACAAAGCCATCAATCTGTCGCGAATACTGCTCGACTTGTCTGGTATTCAGCATGCTCTCAAGCCTGCTAGGCTCCTGTGGCAGCTTGAACAAGCGCTGCCACTCGTCCTCGGCGAGCAAGGGCTGCTTGAGCTGGGTGCGGGTGGCGTTTTCGGCCTTGCGCTTGGTTTGCCAGGCGGTGATCTTTGCCTGCTCGCGGGCCAGGGAGCGCTGGTAGTACTGAAAGTTGTTGTTCTCGGTGTGGTGGGTCTCGATACTGTCGAGGAGCATGTCGCAGTTCTTCTCGAGGATGGGGTCGATGCTCAGCGAGAGGTTGTCGAAGTTCGGCGTGAGAAGGGACGAGGAGGCGAGCGGACCGTCGGTTAGGGCGGCGAGAGAGGGAGGGAAGTCCAGTTCCTCGGCAGGAGGTGGGGAGGGGAGCTGGTGAAGGTAGGATGTAAGGATGTGTGAGTTGTGGATATGGACGGGAAGCTCGATGAGAATGTCCTGGTATCTAAGGTTTGACTTTTGAAGGCTGGACGAGAGGGGAGAAATCGTTAGCACAAGGCCCAGTCTATCCATATACTCAGAGCACACATACTTCTCCGCTGTGAACTTATTCTCCTTAAACGCAGCCATAAACTGGGGCGACAAGCGGAAGGCCCGAAGACTCAAAGCGCCCTGCGAGCTTCTGCTGACATCATGCACCAGCGCCACCACCCGCTCATTAAGATCCTTCTGGTAGTGGAACTGATTCTCAATAAAATTCAGATTGATAAAATTGCCCATGTTTGCCGTGGTGTACCAGCCGACATTGTTAGCATCGATGTTAACTTCTCGCAGCATCTTGATCATTTCATTCTGATATGCGGCGTTGGCTTTGGCGCGCGGGGCCGCTGCAGCGGCGTTTGGAGGAGCTCCATCGGAATGCGAGTCGGCAGGGATATCGACGATGGGGAAAGGGAAGCAGTTTGTGACTTCGAGGGCCCCGCGAACGTCCATTCCAACGAGCGATCCGGTTGCGGGGGTGGGGAAGAGCTGAGTGCCATGTTTGATGATTTTCATCACAACCTTTTCATCACATAGTTGTTAGTCACCGTCCAAAATGTCCGATATGGTGCTGCTGTTGCTTTGTAGGGGGGATTTATTCGTACCAGGGCCTCGACCTGGACGGCCTGGAGCGGTTGTTCTCTCCTGCAAAAACGTCAGCAATGCCTCATTTTCGCTCAGAACTGGAGAAACATACTCCGCCATGATAATACTGCGAGACAATCCGGGTACAGCAAGCGTCGACGGGCGTGGGTGCGCGAGTTCGTGCTGTCGGCGTCGTTTGGTTTGTGTGATTTTCGAGCTTTTTGCGCTCGCCAGGAAGAATAGCCAGAAACGGCCTAGCGTGCATTATGCTGACATAAGCAGCCACAACCTCGGAGGAACCTTAATTGATGACGACGAATCAACAACGGCCAGAGAGGAACAACTCCCGCTCTGCGAGTCCAACTGCATTGGCTGCTTGTCCAAATATAAGCTGTGGTGCTCTCTCGTTTGATATATATCTACCTGCAGCTTACTGCTTCACTTCCTCAAAATTACGTCAATTCCTCTTACGAACGCCGTGCAATTTAACGCTATTCAACTGCTCTAAACAATCCTCCTTAAGATAGACGGCTGTATAAAAACATCATCTGGATCACTTGAATCTCCTCATATTACGAGGTCCATTATCCTCGCGTCGTATAAGCCAGCCCACCGACAAAAATCTAGCTTACTTCCCCCAAGATGTCTATGTTCAAGGAGGAGTACACCAAGTACGCCTCAGGGCATGTCCTCTACAACACTAAGGTCTACAGTCCCGAGCAGCCATGCAGCTCGGGACCCTGGATAATGTACGATCACCCTCCTTCTCCATGACCGTCTTTAACCCAATAAACCCTTCCCCCTTTACCCCTTCCTCCCACCTCCTCCATCTCTCACACCAATCGCTCACCACCGCCCCGCCGCACGCCTTCCCACCAGCTACATCCACGGCGGTGCCTGGCGCGACCCGGAAATCCTTGCATCTTCCTTTGACACGACCGTCTCGCACCTCCTAGACGACACGCCCGGCACGCCCACCGCCATCGCCGGCTTGGCCTCCATCGACTACCGCCTCACCCGGTACCACAGTTTCCCGCAGGACCCGGCTACCACGGACCCGCAAGAGCTCCGCGACGCCACGCACCCAGACCACGTGCATGATGTACTGCGTGCACTGGCGCACCTGCAGCGCACCTACGGCTTCGGCGAGCGCTACGTGCTGGTTGGGCATAGCTGCGGCGCCACATTAGCGCTGCAGACGGTGATGCAGCGCGTGGAGGGGGCGGCGGACCGAGCGGGCTACGACGTGACGCCGCCGCGCGCGATCGTGGGCGTGTCCGGGATCTACGACCTGCGGCTGCTGCGCGACGCGCACCAGCATCCGGCGTACCAAGAGTTTCTGGAGGCAGCGTTTGGGAAGGACGAGGGGGTATGGGACGGGGTGTCGCCGGGCCGCGTGGGCGAGGGAGGGATTGTGGATGGGTGGAGGGCGGGGAGGTTGTTGGTACTGGCGACGTCGGGCGCGGATGAGCTGGTTGATCCGCTGCAGGCTCAGGCGATGGCGGAGATGGGGCAGCGGTGGAAGGAGGCAGGTGGGAATGAAGGGTCGAGGCAGGTGGTCGTGATTGAGGATTTGAAGGAGTCTCATGATGGGATTTGGAGGAGTGGTGAGTTGGCGGGCGTTATCATGAAGGCGTTAGAGGGTCTGCGGCGGATAGAGGCGTGTGATTGATAGTTACTTCTGAATCTATAAATAGCTGTACAGTTCTATATAACGGTCGACTATTTACTGAGTACTGGGTTGCCGAAGTTGGTCCGACCAAAACAATACCTACTACTATGCCATCCCCATTCACATCCAACAAACCCCAAAATGCTAACCCGAAGATGACATCATCGCATCCATCACCACGGCCACAAAACATCTTCCGTATCACTAACGACCACGCCCTCTTACCACAGCCACCTCCGCCCACAGTCCCTGCAGGAAACAGGCTCGAGCGCATCTGTCAGTGTCAGCCGTAGCGTCCCTAGCGCGCGCGCGCGGCCCAGGCCCCTGCAACATGCAGACCTGTCAAACCGGACGTGCCTGGTCTCGGCCCACATTGACGTACGGAGAAAGAGGTCTGGGCCCCCAGGAGGTGGTTCACGGTCGCTGCACGGGATGTCAAAAGAGGGGAAGCGAGCGCGTTTCAGACACCGTGAAGGCGGCAGCGTGGTAACAGGCGGGCGCGGTTTCCGGATTCGGAGATGAGATGCGGGAGCGGCGAAAGGTGGCGGGCAATGGAGGAGTGCTGAGCAGGTTAGCGGGCGTTGAAGAGAAGAGGCGAGAAGCTGTTGGTGGTGCATGCAGCTGCGTTGAAACAGGGCCAGTCTGAGGTCATTCAGTCCAGACTGTGCTCGCAGGCGTTTCAGAACGGGAGATAGTGTCAGATGTGGCCAGGACGTATGCATGCTCGGTATGGAAACGGGTGGTAGTGATCTCGGCGAAGTGGCCTTATATGAGGTGGATGCTACGCAGTATGAGTACTGAGGCGGGGCCATAGGGGGGAATCTGTAGAGTTAAAAGTGTGAAGTAGACGGTGTTGCACAGGGGCGAGGCGGGGAGGGTGTATGGTGTAGTTGGTAAATGTCTGCAGGAATCCTTCTGGCATGGCTTTGTTATTTTTGGGGCACAACCACCTGGGAAAGAAGGTCATGGGTTTGAATCCTGCTATCTCCAAATGGTATTTTACCAACAGATGGAGAGATTTCTCCCTAGAAGTAAAGATTATTGACTGCTGGGAACTAGAAAAGTTTAGAGTGAGTGATGGTATGGGAATTACATAGTTAAGCATATGCTAGATTAAGTTAATAGACTGAGCTTGTCAGTCTTAGTGTGATCTTATACATCTTGTTCTGATTTTCTATTGATTCTTGTCATGTTTAGATATACAAGCTACATTCTAGGTTTTGTGAGGATTTCCCTAGGGGATATGATCTAAGAGGAGAATTTGATGTGTTTGAAAAGTCAAATAAGGGACCTTGGCCCCTCCTAAACATACTTACAGTTTGAGACTTCAACAGAATGAAGTGGTGGGAGCCCAGATATCAAGGATAACACATACTGTAACTAAGCCAGATTAGGGAGAGTGGCTCTTCATAGTCTAAGACTCCATAAGAGCCTATGAAAAATAACGAATAACACACACACACACACACATAGGGGCGAGGCCAATGGAAGATTGGCCCTTCGTATCGAAAACTCAACCCACCTAACAAACCAAAGCAAAACTCAGGCCAAAAAGCTATTCAATTTGGGAGGCCGCTAGCAAAACATACGTACAAAAGAAAAGTAGTAAGGAAAGCATACTCCGTAGTGTAAAGAAATGAGACTTCGCTGTTCGTTCATCATAATGTTCCGGAGGTTGCGCTCCGGATAAATATCGGGCCGAATATGAATACGCATTCCGGCTCTTATAAAATGGTTACCATTAGCAAACCTCTGGTCATACCATTTCCCTGCCAAATAATAACCCTAACGACTTGCTCTACCTTTCGTGGCTGTCTTTCTCCCCCAAGCTATGTTTATCAACGTCCGTCCCGAATATCGCTTACCGGGAAGGCCAGCTCTCAGAATGACGGCCTCGACTAATAGATCGGTCTCTGTATCGCTGATCATCTTGTCTTCCCTGCCGATCAAGTGGGCTGAGGCGAGACCGTTCGAAACCACGAGTTGTTCCTTCTGGGTGGTAGGTCGTTCCAAGAAGTTCTCGGCCGTGCGGGTTTTCGACGTCGAGACGAGAATGTGGTGTAAAAACCCCGCCATCTTCTCGGGAATACTGATCTTTGGGAGAGGCCCAGATCACCCTTTGAGGCCCAGGGTCATTTGGAACTCTGGCCTTTTTGTTGTCGGGGTCCATAATTCCACGACGTTCGCTTGGCGGAATCGGTCTTTGCACTTGATTCAGCGTAGAAAGTCGCTTATCAGGTTTGAAACTGTAGTCATAGGGTCCAGTGAGCGGGTACTCAGATAACTCTCGTTGTCGTGCCTCCCATTTCGGATCAAATAACTGTTTTGCATCGCCCTCGAGGCCCTCAAGGTTTCTATACGTCTTAGGAAATTTGGATGTAGTATTTTCTGGGGCATTGTAAGCAGTTTCCAAAGCTCCACGGCCAGGGATATTGCCTCTGGGAGAGTTATATTGCTGTTACAACATATTAGTTCAGTCTGATATTATCTGGGAAATATCGTGCTTTGTCAAAAGTAGCAGCAACTCTCAAAATTTAGCCCTATCAGACCCTTACCAGCCTCCTTAAGAGCCCTTAATAATTATTTCTGCAACAATTCTTGATACCAACTTTGGAGATAATATATAGAGGGAGTTGCGGAGGCGAATATAAGGATTTCTCTTGAGGTGGGTGGGGGTTCTAAGAGTTGCAGACACTTTTGACAAGCACTATGGTATGGATCATTACATACCAGAGCACTTATAGGAGCCTCTGAATTGCGTCTAACTCTTGTTTCTTCGTAGGGGCCACCAGGAATACCGTGGTACCCCTCAAAATCAATTGGTTGTTTGCCTTTATCCCTACGTTTACCTTTATCCATGGCTCAAAGACTGAGGATGATTCTTGTTAAGCTAAATATTGCAACAAAATATTGAGTAGAGTGCTTACTATGTGCGAAAGACCCTTCGAATAGTCAGGTGCAAGCAGAGTGGAACCGCCGTACCGATCTCTTGGAGACCCAGGAGCGTTGAACTGTTGCAAGAGTGCTCCTAGTTTCAACTTGAATGTGGTATATCTTTGAAATCGTGACTCTGAGTAGATAGAAGGTTGCTGAAATCAGGAGGAAAGAAAGACTCTTATATACCTGAGGGCTGTATAAATAAACACCGCGGCTGCTCCCCAAGCATAGCAAATACACACGCGCTCTGTCATTCTGTACAGTAACTGTGGCCTTGCATATACTATCATCTCCATATTTGAGCCCTCAATCATTGTTTTGGGCACGATATTGAAACAAATGGACCAGAACGACGGGTCAGAGTCTTGATGCTGATTTGAGGGCTTTGATGCTAGAAGGTGGGGTCCAAAAGCGAGAAAGATTTAGTTTCAAGTCAAGGTGAAAAAGAACTGAATGTCTGGCTTTCAGAGAGTCGATAATAATCAGCTAACACCGGTCCTGGCGCGTACTATATGTGGCTTTGAACGCGGGAAAAATGGGAGCGGGCCGAGCGGCGAGCGAGCCAAAGCAGCCAATAGGGAGGTGTAAAAAGTCAGTCGGCGCATCTTTAAGAATCAAGAAGAGTTTCAGCTAGAGTCTTTGACAGGGAATTACATGATCTCCCAATTGGGTGAACATCACTATTGTTGTGCTATTGAGCTCTGAGTGGGCAGCCTCAACCAGGGACCGTAGGTAGCTAGGCTTGCCAACCGACAATTCACTTGCGACGGCGCGAAACGAAACACCCCGCTCGGAATGAGAGTTGTTGATGCAGGAGCAACAATTTTCAAGAGGCGGACAGCCTATGAAGTGCTGTAAATTCGGCCTACGCCAAACCTAGCTGCAGTTGGCTCCTTCATTAAAACTAGCCGCTGAACCAGTGTACCCCTTAATTGCAAAGCTTATGGAGGAGCTAGCTGAACCCTGTCGAGGCGTTTTCGAGGCCCGGGCTGACTCCCTAACTACGCCGTCGCCCCTCACAGTCAACATCGCCATATTATGACTCTATTCATCTACCCGCCCCTCCTTCCTCTCCTTCTCTTGTCGGCGCCTACTGACCCATCTCACATCTTCAACACCTTACTGTCATCAATATGCCGGAGGCAACCGATCCAAAAGAGCCATGGATGACGGCGCTTTACGATCATTACATCATCTGCGAAAGCGGCAGCGCTGAGCACGACCTTGGGGTGATGGTGCAGAACCTGCTTCTATCAGACGACCCCAAGGCTCCGCACGAGACAGCACTTGCCATCACCCAATATTTCTGGGACGGCCGGGCTGACGAGAGCCGGGAATATCCGTATTTTAACTATGAGAAAGAAGGCTGGCCGCACCTCAGCGATCTTGTCGAGAAAATGATTATCGGCCTCTCCTGGTTTATTCCATTCAATGATACAAAGCAAGATAAGCTTATTCGGCTCATAGTAGAGCTGTATAATATCCCGCCGTTGGAGGAACCGATTGCAGGAGTGAGTGTTGATTTCAAGACTAGTCTTATATGTACTGAGCAGTATTTGTCAGATGGACCGCTTTGTGTACCCCGAGGACGAATCATTCTACTTAGAGATGTATGATCAATGGTATGATGATAAGAGTAAGTAATCATCTGGGTTATTTGCGAACAAATCACTGATAGATATACGCTGTCTAGCAAATATCTTTGAGGAGATTTGTTTTAGTAAAAAATCCGAGGTGAAAGAGCAGTGTTCCCAGCTGGTAAACTTCACGGCCTTTCTCGCACGCGCCACTGCAGCAGAAATCTCTCGCGAGGACAACACTTTCGGCAAGTTTGCTACGTATGACGTCAGAGATTGTTTGGAGGAGGGCATACCTCCTGGAGCAATGGACTACCAACATATCCTTCCGGAGGGTATTCGACGCGATACCAGTGTCATGATGGCCGCACAGTATTTTATACTGGCCACAGATGTCCTCGATCGCTTCATGGTTTTTGAAGGATCTGAGAGAAACCGAGCATGGGGCCGGTTCAAATGGACGTTCTGGGCGGGCACATTTGGCGATCTTGCTCGCGGGGAGCGAGGGGAACTGGGAGCAGATGCCCGGCGGGAGGCGTTTAAGGCGCACCAGAAGATGGTCGCTCTTCACCCGGAATTCTTCTCGGCTTTCGAGGTGCAGAGGGCGGCTGGCGAGCTGGTGCTGTGAGGTTTCTGACGAGTCTGTTGAAGGGTAGTTGGTTAGTTAGTTGACTAGTTCGTGAGTTGATGGGTACGGAATAGTTAGTTAGCTAGTTGACTAGTTAACGATGTAAAAGCCGAGTACTCCGTATCCTCTGCACTCCGTGCTGTGCTCTTTGTCAGCGAGTGCTGGGCGGGCGACCTTGCGGGCGGGACGGGCGCGAAGAAAGAGCAGCGGCGCGAGTCCCTGGGGGCGGTTGGGGCGGGCGAGCGGTACGCCCGGCGGTGGTGTTCTTTCATCGCGGGGGTGGGTGGCCGGCGTGCTACCGCGCGCGCCACGCTGCCCGCAAGGTCCCCGGGCGGGCGAGCCGTTAAAAGGGCGGCGGCGCGCTGTGTCGAGCAGTTAGTTGTCTGTCTGTCTGTCTGTCTGCTGTGTCTGCGTCTGCTGTGTGCTGTCTCTGTCTATCGGTAGTTGGCTGGCTGGCCAACTATTAACACCCTCTCCTCTCTTCTCTCTCTCCACCCCTGCGAGCCGGCGTGACATCGCGCTCCCCTGCCCTCCTGTGTGCCCCCCCTTGGCACCCGCACGCCGGCCTTAGCCTGCCTGGCTGCCCGCGTGTCCCCCTTCGTCGCGACGCCGCTCGCAACACCGTCGCATCGCCGGGCCCTGGTGCGACAGGGACTGCCCCCGAAACGCTGCCCCAGATCCCGCGCTGCTCAACCGCCGTGTGTCGCAGCACCTCCTGGTGGCTAGTTAGCTATACTATGCTGCTCGCAATCTCGCCCGTTGCGTCTGGGCTCTCCCCGGGCGCCACGATCCCCCGCGGTAATTAAACGGCCTGCAGATTAACTAGTCCGTGAGGGTTGCGTTTGAACTTTGCTGCTTGATTGCTGCGGATGCGCGGAGCCGAGCTGGGTGACCCATCGCATCGCGAATACGGGATCGCCCGCATTATGATTGTCGCGTTTGGTCGCCCGTCGCCTCGCCCTCGCTGAGCGGGATGGCGTTGCACGCTGGCGGTGCGCCGGTGGGCGTGCCGGGCAGAAACACAGAGGCCAGTTTCTCGGGCTTGCTGGCTGACATGACGGCTGTCTGCGCGCGCCGGCAAGGTCCCAGCGGCGACAACGGCAGCCGGTGCTAGGTAAATAACTAACTAGTTAGTTACTATAACTTCCCGGGATCAGCGGCCGGCCGGCTCCAATTTTATATTTTATGCTGCGTCGCTCCGCACGTCCTGGCCGCGGGTGACATTCCTTCGTCTTGACTACGCTCTCGACTACGACGCTGCACCGACCTCGCCGGCTCCATCGATCTCTTGGTCTGCTTCGCAATCTCTTGGGTCTCTTTTGCTCTTCCTGACTTACTTCCTGCTCGCTTTGCTCTTTCTCTCTCTTCTCTCTCTCCCCGCCTCCCGTCCTGCAATTCCTGCGTGCTCATGGCGCCGTGCTCTGGTAACCCGCGTCCCAGCGACTCTGTGGCCGCTGCGGATGCCGCCGACGCGGCCACGCCCTTCCTGGAGGACTGCTGCCAGGACGGAGGCAAAGAAGGATGCGATAGTGCGTGTCTCCGCCATCCACCGGCTTCTTCTTTTTTCCCCTCTTCTTCTTCTTCTCCTTCTCCTCTCCGTCCTCATTCCTCTTATTCCCCTTGCCCGTCTTCATCCTGCTGTGCACAGAATCCTTCGTCTCTGACTGCCCAACCTGCTACAGAAAGCTGCATCGAAAGTGCCGCTGCCTACGAATGCCAGATGGCCTGTGAGAATGAAATCAACGGTACGGCTCGCCCGGCTGATCCTCATCCTCAACTCGTCACCAGCATCACTAACCCCAGGCCCGCCCCGTAGGTGACTTCGCCGGTAACGAGAAGCACCAGCACGACCACGATGGCGACGGCAATCACCTCAACCCGTGCAGCAGCCACCTGCAGTCCGCCTTCGACCGCTACAACTCCTACCTCGAGTCCGCCCGCTGCATCTGCCGCAGCGTGCTCGTCCCCCAGAAGGAGCCCTGCTGTGCCCGTCAGCCCTCGCGTCTCTCGCTCTTCGGCAAGGCTGGCGCCCGTCCCGCCCATGACCACAAGGACAAGATGGTCTCCGTCGAGGAGACCCGGGGTTTGTTGACGTCCGGCCCCGACCACGATCATGACCACGATCACGATCACGACCATGAGCACGACCATGCCCACGGCCACAGCCACGACGACCATGGCCATGGCGAAGCTGACAGCTGCTGCGGCGGCGGCGACGACCATGGCTGCGGATCCAAGGGCGGCGCCATCATTGCCAGCGAGAAGGTCGACCTCGAGAAGTCTGCCGGCCACGAGCACATCTGTCTGTCCGTCAGCGGCATGACCTGCTCCGGCTGCGGCAACAAGATGGCCAAAACCCTGCGCGAGACCCCCGGCGTGCTCAACGTGCGCGTCAATTTCGTCATGGGCAGCGCCGACTTCGACCTCGACACCAATGTCATCGAGGTCAACGAGCTGATGCGCCAGGTCACCCGCGCCACCGGCTTCCAGTGCTCCAAGCTCTCCAGCAGCGACCAGTACATCGACGTCTTGGTGACCAAGCAGTCCATGGCCCAACTCACCAACAACTTCCCGCCCGGCGTCATCGACGTGACCCCGCTCGGCAAGAAGGCCGCCCGCGTCACCTACGACCCCATGGAGGTCGGCGCCCGCTCGCTGCTCGCCTCGCTGGGCGACTACACCAAGGGCCTGGCGCCGCCCAACTACCAGGACCCGTCCGCCACCGCCGAACGCCGCCGGCTCTACGACATGCTGATCAAGACCGTCGCCGCCGCCGTCTTCACCATCCCCGTGGCCGTGCTGGCCTGGGGCCACGACCTGGTCCACAGCGACACCAAGGCGTACATCTCGCTCGCCCTGGCGACTGTGGTGCAGGCCATTGCTATTCCGGAATTCTACATGCCCGCCATCTCCTCTCTGATCTACAGCCGCACCATTGAAATGGACATGCTTGTCGTCATCAGTATCACCGCGGCGTACTTCTACTCCGTCGTGGCCTTTGGCTTCGACATGGCCCGCAAGCCGCTAGAGACCAAGGAATTCTTCGAGACGAGCACGTTGCTCATCACGCTGGTTCTCTTTGGCCGGCTGGTGGCCGCCTACGCCCGGCGCCGAGCCGTGGCCGCGGTCTCGACCCGCTCGCTGCAGCCCGCCACTGCCAATCTGCTTGAAGGCAAGGAACACCGGGAAGTCGATGCACGGCTGCTGCAGTTCGGCGACAATTTCCTGGTCATGCCGCACTCCACCGTGCCCACGGACGGCAAGATCATCGAGGGCTCCAGCGAGCTGGACGAGTCCATGCTCACCGGCGAGAGTCTGCCCGTGCCCAAGAAGGTCGGCATGCCCGTCATCGCCGGCACGATCAACGGCTCGGGCATCCTCAAGTGCCAATTGACCCGGCTCCCCGGCAAGAACACCGTCACCGACATCGCCGGGCTGGTCGAGGAGGCCTCCAACACCAAGCCCCGAGTGCAGGGCCTGGCCGACCGCGTCGCCGGCTGGTTCGTCCCCGTCGTCTCGACCGTGGCCGTGATCGTCTTCGTCACCTGGGTCGCCGTGTGCATCAAGGTGCGCATGCAGGCGCCCGGCAACGCCGTCGGCACCGCCATCACCTACGCCATCGCCGTGTTCGCCGTCTCGTGCCCGTGCGCGCTGGGACTCGCGGTGCCCATGGTGCTGGTCGTCGCCGGCGGTGTGGCCGCGCGCGGCGGCGTGGTCATCAAGTCCGCCGACTCCACCGAGCGCGCCCACAGCCTGACCGACGTCGTCTTCGACAAGACCGGCACCATCACCACGGGCCAGCTGGACGTCGCCGCCGCCGAGGTGCTGGCCGGCGACCGCGCCGAGATCCTGTCCATCTGCAAGGCCCTCGTCTCCGACAACAAGCACCCCGTCTCCGTGTCCGTGGCCAAGTACCTTGAAAACGAGACCGCCGACCAGCGCCTCGAGAACGTCCGGTCCGTGCCCGGCGCCGGCGTCGAAGCCACGCTCAACAACGCCGCCCTGCGCGCCGGCAACCCGCGCTGGCTGCAGGTCGAAGGCCACCCGGCCGTCACCGCCGTCGTGCAGCAGTGCATGACGCCGCTGTGCATGACCATCAACGGCGAGCTCGTCGCGGTGTTCGGGCTCAAATCCAACCTCCGACCGGAAGTCAAATCGGTCATCGCGCGGCTCCAGCAGCGCAACATCACGCTGCACATCGTCAGCGGCGACGAGCGCAAGGCCGTCGAAGACGTCGCAGCGTCCGTGGGCATCCCCGCGGCCAACGTGGCGGCGCGCAAGACACCCGCTGAGAAGCGCGACTACGTCAAGGCGCTCATGGACGCGGGCCGCACCGTGCTGTTCTGCGGCGACGGCACCAACGACGCGGTGGCGATCGCGCAGGCCGACGTCGGCGTGCAGATCGGGTCGTCGTCGGACGTGACGCGCGCGACGGCTGACGTGGTGCTGCTGTCCGGGCTGGAGGGGCTGGTGTTCGTGCTGGACGTCTCCAAGGCGGCGTTCCGCCGCATCCTGTTCAATTTCGTCTGGTCCGCCGTGTACAATGTGCTGGCGATCCTGCTGGCGGGCGGTGCGTTCGTCAAGGTGCGCATTCCGCCAGCGTATGCCGGGCTGGGCGAGATTGTGAGTGTGTTGCCGGTGATTGTGGCCGCGTTGAGTATGTCTGGTATGAAGAAGTCGCAGCTGTGAAGGGGCTGTACGACAGGCTTCAAAACCATTGTGCTTGTTGGAGGGGAGATGGTTTGAGGGCGGTCGGTGGTTGCGTGTTTTTGTTTTATGAAAGAGAGATGTGTGTGTTGCCAGTGCACAATGGATAGAGTAGATATGAAGATTGCCACTCAGGAGACTAAATTACAGTAGAAAGAATAGAATTGATACCAATTCTTGAATACTTCATGACTATCTATTTACACTCTGTTGGACGGTAGGCTTCTTGTCTAGGGAAGTATGTCGGATGGCTTAAAGTGGTAGTTATGGTAGACTATACGGAGTATCAGACAATAAAGGGATCTCTTAAACAAGGGCCGCCCGTCCCCCCAATACCAACATGCATACCTTGAACAAAGGCACTGACTGTATGCAAAATGCAAGAAACAATCAATAAAAGAAAATAAAGAACAAAAAAAGAACCCCATGTACAAAAACTCCAAACGCCCATCCATATGAGAAAACCACCCCCCCTCCCAAATGCCTTTCACTCTTCGCTATAAAGCTAAGTTCAGGGGGTATGCTCCCCATTTCCCAATCTTATCCTTTCTTTCTCTTTTTTTTCTTCTTGCACCCCAAGTGTAGTTTAGTAGTAATAGCGTGTGTATGTACGAGCCACAGCGTATCCAACATCCAAGCTCCGTCCCCATCCCTCGCTCACGGCCCCACGTCCATGCGCGAACTCTCCGCCATCGCCTTCTCCATCTGCTCACTCACCGGCAACCCGAGCACCATCTCCGTGCCCACCACGGGCAGCCCCTCTTCCCCCTCCTCCTCGTCAGGCTCCTCATCACCATCCTCCACCTCATCCTCCTCGTCCTCGTCCTCCTCATCCTCCACAAACGGCGCCTCAATCCCCACCCTGGCCAGCCGCTCCCGCATCTCATCGCGCTTGCGGTCCTGCCAGCGCGCCAGCGCGGCGGCGGCGTGCACGCGGAAGCCGAACACGCGCGGCTCGTGGCGGCGCAGCGACCGCTTGGGCAGCAGGCACGGGTACACCTGGAACAGGATGTTGGGGAACGAGGTGCCGAAGTACGCGCCGTCGATGGACGCGTGCCGCGACGACTTGGGGTTGTACAGGTCCTCGCACTTGGCGCAGTACAGCTTGACCGGGTTCACGCCCGCGATGTCCGTCAGCCCCAGCGGCAGCAGCGATTGCTGCTCGCACATCACCCGTGGGCATTTGCCGAATTCTGATTGTTTGTATTTGTCGAGCTGGTTGAACAAAAGAAGGGATGTTAGCTGGTGCTTGATATTTCTTTATATATATTAAGGACGGGAAGGGGGACGCGGAGGCTTACCATCTTTGCTAGGCCTCGGGTTGTGATTATGTAGCGTGCGTGTACGAGGCCGTAGAGGTGTCTGGCAGACTTCTCGATCTGTTCTCTCATATTATCGTCGGCGTCGAGGTCGTACACGTCCGTCACCAGGTCGAGGGCATATTGGTAGTGCTTGACTTCGCTGTTCAGTCCCGTCAGGTTGAACCGGTCCGTGAGGTATTCTTCGTCGATTTCGCAGAAGTATTCATTTCCTCGCGAGGATATAAACTAAAATCGGCAGAGCCGGGTCTCGTGGTTAGCTGGGGTCTGGGAGTATCGCGTAGGGCATAGCAAAGGACAATTGAGAAAGAACAGCGTCTCCCTGGATAGTGGCTGACAGTGCCAGAGACGTATATTCAGTTCCACTGCCATTCTCTCTATAAAGCAGCCAAAACCTTAAACCCTTTTCCTCTTTGTAGCTGTCAAGAGACGGCTCCAACAAACACAAAAAAAACAACCAAATGCCTTCACTCACCCAATCTCTCCAGAAGCTAGTATAATCGCTATCCGACTCCGTGTTGAAACCATCCATGGCCACTGCCCTGCCGCGTGCCGGAAAGCGGGCGCGCGACGTCAGTCTCTCCGTGGGGAGGGTTGGAAAACACCTAACTAGTTAGCTAGGCCCGCCCGTTGCTGCGTTGTAGGGGCCCGTTCGACTCGACGGTGGTTGTCGATACGATACGGGGGCGTGCGTGGGAGTGTGGGTGCGTGTGTCTGCGAGAGTAACAAATGGCGTAAGGCTGGCTGCAGAATCTTGAGTTGCGGGTGAGTTTGAGAGAGAAAGAGCCGTGATGCTTGGCGCAAGACCGGCGGTTGGCGAGGAGAGCGAACGTTGGCGCGGGGCACGTCTTGCCACGCACCAGAACTCTTGTGACGACGGGGAGGGAGGGATTGTGAGCAGAGCAGAGTGTGAAGAAATACTATATTTGCGTTTATGGTATTTAGGTATGTACAAAGTAGAGCAGAGATGTCATGTCAAAATTACAAATTGCACGAAAAACGGCAAAATTGAAGGATGGCGGAGCATCCAGCCAACCCCGGGAGTTGGCGAAAATATCAATTAAGGAAACGCTTCAAGGGAGGGTATGCGAAACAGCAACTCGTTAAGATATCATGGTAAGGCGACTACTAGCGCCGTGCTCTATCGCACTCCTCGAGGAACTTGTAAATGCCTTCAAAGCCCCCGAAGTCTGACCCTTTGCTAGGCGTAGTGACTTCGGGGATGTCGGGGAAAAACGCCCGATCACCGAGATCGCTGATGTCCATACTCTCGTAGCCGGAGAGCGAGCGGGCCCAGGGATTCTGCTCGGCGCTGGAAACATATTGATAGTCTTTCCAGTTGGTGCTTGTCGAGCGTTGTGTTTTTTCCGAAAGCATCATCTCCCGCCAGTCAAGCTTGTCAGGCGATACAGCCGGAGGGTCATAGAAGGAAAAGAGCTCGGACTCAGACTCGTGATGGCTCGGCGCAAAGGGGAAGAGTAATGCCATCTGGGCACCGTTTCGGGACTCAAAGTCCGCATCTTGGTGGATAATGCCGCGCTGGACGCCAACCTCGATACATAACCGTTCCACAGACTCTGCATCGCATCCAGGGAAGCGAATACGGATTGTAGACTGGTCATGCAGTGCTACAGGCAAGTCTCCCAATGTGGAGAGCTTCTTCAAATCATTTACAACGGCGACAAAATCCTTCAAAGCACGGGCGAGGTCGCCAGAGAGCAAATCCATCAATGAAGGTGTATTGAGGGTGATTTGCTCACAGTTGAATGAGGACGTCGATGATGATTGCATTTCTTTAAGACAACCGAAAGCAGTGATTGTCGGAGATACCTTGAAGTCGACATAAGAACCGGCGGCACTGCAGGGAGTATCTGCCATTTTTCGGCTTGCCTCTGCCTGCAGGGCGGTTACCGTCTTGTATTGTTTGCGACCAGTCTTCTTATCAATGCCATCGAATCTAGCTCTCTGGCCAGAAAGCCAAAATGCTCGGACAGCGGCAGACACGTTTTGAACCACTTGAGCAGGGCATGCCGGGCTGTTCGAGAAATATCTTGCCCCACCTATGCGGCCTGCGCCAATGCTGTATCCACCGGCGGTCCGACAGAGGGTGCCGCCGGTGAGATTTGGTCTTAAAGTCGTGGCAAATGGTGTTCGAGTTGTCAAGCGGTTGACTGCGGTGCCAATTTTTGAAGACGGTATAGTCCTGGCAACAAGACGTCGTGAGGACGCGCGAAGGGTTGAGAAATAGCGACTCTGGCCTTGGCGAATTGCCGCTGCTCGATTGATAGGTTGACGGTGTTTGATATGGGCATATACTGGTTGAAGCTTTAAATGTGAAGGTTGGCCTGTCTCGGGCAGTCTTGCCCACAAAGCCCGGGATGCCTTCTCAAAGGCAAACCTGGAAAGGTGTCAGAAAGTGCATCTTCTTGAATAGAGGGCGGAAGACGTTACCTGGCAACCCGCCAGACCTTGGGCAGCAGCTGGTGCGCGGTCGGCGCCATGGCTGCGATTGATCTGCCTCAGTGATGCTGGGTTGTAGTTGTCGTTGGAAGAGGATAATCGTGTGGCGCACCTTGTTTAAGGCGATGACCTCAGCTGTGGCGCAGGAAATCGGACCATAATTTATCCGGGCACCAGCCCTGATGATAACATAAGCAAATACTATAGCTCTCAACATTTAATGATAATGAGACAGAAGCTGAGTACCCAATAGCGGATGTCTCCATTATTACGGAGTACTCCGTATCTCTGGGGTTTATGTGGGCTGCATTGCTCCATATCACTACTCCATATTCTATTACGTGGATTGCCACTTTTTGTAGTAGGTTTCACTCATGGAGCGTACTCCGTACTCCATAAATTACATACTTGTTACTGCGAAATACCCCCGTGGGACTCTTGTTAACATAAGGGTTTTGGAATTAGGCAAGAGAATAAAATTGAATTATCCTTGATGCTTTATTGATGAAGATGTTCTAGCCACATGCAGTTACCTTTGTTGCCAGTCGTTTTCTGGAGTTATGAAAGGGAAGATAACCATATCCTACCAATGAAATGATGAATGCTATTAGCCAGTTTGACAATACGGATTACTTGCAGCAAGAACTTCGATTCTCATCACAGCTACTGCTGTTTTTCCAGCTAGACGTTTGTTTAGCGTTCTTTGTTTCCAGAATCCTTTTAGGATATAGTGTTGGTGTTCACCTTGTGAATATCATCAGATTCAGGACTCCTATTTTCTTTGGCTACTCCATACAGGCAGTTACTAAAAATTATGTTCCCCCAAACCTGAATTCCTTGGGATCCACCAAAGTTCTTAAGCTATCCTCGGCATTAATACTCGGCAGGCGGTGGGGAAAACAAAGCAGCAAGTGATAATAACTTTCGAAGTTCGCGCTAGATATGCAAAACGGTCACCGGCGACAGCTTTATAAAGATACAAAAAGTGCCAATTTTCTGGCGCTTATAGTACCGGTATTGGGCTTCGTCTCAATACTACTTTAGTGCTACAAGTTAGAACTATATAGACCGGTCTGATATGGTAAAAGTGGCTGTTACGGGGCAGCGCTGAAGCGATCCAAAATGTTCCAGACTTCAAATCTCCTTTGGAGTTGGTTATGGATTTTTGCCTAAAAGATGCTATCTAAACTGCAGGGCCTTAGACTTAAACCTAGTATCAACGAAGAACATATAAAATCGGCCGTGCAATCGAGATATCAACATTACTTGGCCATTCAATCAGTTGTACCTTCACCGCAGAATTTCCACAGGTCGACAGGCCTAGCATGTGTCCATCCGCAATTACTCTCCCAGGATGAGACGCATGGATCTATTGCTATGACCTTCACGAACCCATAACCGCCGCTAACTAATAGAGACTCTAGCGCTTCATCGTCTACCGCGATGCAGAACTCTGGAGTAATTGGGAGTTCATGCGTGCCAGTCTCCCAGTACACTCTGGTTATCCACTTTTTAAACTTGCTTCGAACCTGGTTCAATGAAAGGCCATTGTAGTGTGCGTAATCATTAAAAACCTCGAGATGGAATTTATCTTTTACGTCCCGAACTGAGACTGTGGGGGTTCGAGGGTGTCTAGCTCCTCTCTCTTGATATTCAAAACGTACTTTTCGGTGTCTGTCCGGCATTTCATTTGCTCTTCTATTCCGAACCTCGATTGACGAGTAAACCGCATTTTGAATGATCCTTAAGGCAGTGTCCCATTTTTCTTCGGATCCTACATTGTAGGTGAGCCGATAGACAGCATAACCCCATGGGGCTAGTGAGTTGGGGTGTGTGGAGCCGAGGTAGGAAGAGGCCATGGAAGAAAAGGGGTTCAAGATTCACAAGCGTGGTGAAGGTCCTCGCAGGATAAGTTCACGTTTTCAAAAACAGAATTTTGAAGCCCACAAACGTCAAGCAGCTAAGCTGAAGGCTTGATATATCGCTGTGTACCGAGAATACAAACAATATATGGGTAACTCTGACCTCTTTCATGCTAAAAGAGGACATAGAAGGGCGATCTATTACAAAGAAAAAACAGGAGGCAATCGCCTATTCAAAAGGCGGGCCTTCTAGAAAAAGAGCCAGCATACTCTGTAGACTACTCTATAGACTTAATTGCATCGAAATATTAGGAAAATCCACGAAATGGTTTGGTTTCTCAGAGCTCATTTAGAGTAGCCATATCAGCAACGATGGTCGTTGAGAAACGATGTGTTAATCACTGTACCAAAAGGATGACCATCCTTAGGCTTCTCGGCCTGAAGTAATAATATTCGCCTTCCTGAAACTCTTCCTTCATTCAATAATATCAAGACAACAGTGATATTTTTATTACCTTTTGGTAGTTAAATCAACCAATTGAGTTAGCTATACGCCGTACTCCATACTTGGAAAAGTATCGGACGACACAGGAGCACGTGATGATCATGTGACTGAGCGTCTATAATATTGCGTCTGATCTTGCTCCTAACAAACAAGACACAGATACTTATAGACAAACATGCTATAACTGAGGCTATGGGAAAAACATATGAAAAACCTCTAGCAAATCTTCATCAGTTCAATAGACAAAGATAATGAAATCAGTATTATGATTAAGAGAAGAAGATGATGAATCTATAATTCTTCAGTTTCTTTTTTAAAGATCTGATTATCTGACAAGTCATCTGACTTCTGCTCAACACATCTTCATAGCTTTGGCAGCAGCATAGACAGTGAATTCTTCTCTATTAAATAATCAATATTCATAAGTCTCAATTGCTTAATAAATTTTTCAAATTTCTGTCTAGATAAGATCTTTGTTAAGCCATCTGCAGACATATTATTGCTTTCAATTCAGATAATATTCAATTTCTTATTAGTAACTGCTTGTCATAATCAGTGGTGATAAATATCAATATGATGAAGCTTGATAATTAGTTAAAGAGCTGCTGAAATCAGTAATCATATTATTTGCAAATTATCACATAAAATATCAAAATCTCTTTCTAATTTCAATGTAATATTTTTAAATAAGCATTTCCACCACATGATCTCTTTTGCTGTATAAAATAGTGCTAAAAGCTCAGCTTTTGTTGAAGATGTTGTAACAGTCTTTTATCTGAAGAACTTTCAATCAATTAAGTCTTTAAAAAGCTTAAATATGAAGCTCTGAAAGAAGTGTCTTGAGTTTAAATCATCTGTAAAAAAAGAATCACTGATGATTATTAAATAGATGTTAATGATATTGATATTATTATTCTCTCTCTGAGTATTCAATCTGTCATTGACATGGAATTCAAGAGTGTAGTACTTTATTGAAAAAGCATATGAGATAATTCTCTCAATTGCTGTATGATGTTCTGATTCTGAATTAACCAAAGCCTCACTTAATTTTGCAGTAGTAAATGAAATATCAGACTGTGTTATAATAGCAGCATAGAGAGTCAAATCAATCTTCTATTGATAGATATGTATTTGTTGCTTATCTTGCATTCTCATATAGAGAGCTATATTCACAGTTATCATTGATGTATGTGATGACTTCAACTCTGTAAGATTGAACTTATTAGTGATCTTCTCAATATAACTATTCTGACACAGTCAAAGCTTCTGAGCATCTCTATCACATAAGACATAGATATCTAGAAATCACTCTAGCTCTTCAATCTCTTGAAGCTTGTAACACACTCATAGATTCTTCAATAACTGCTCAAATGTTTCAACATTTTTTCTGTGATATAAAAATACTATGTTATTTATGTAAAAGAAGATAATAATATTCTTATCAACAAATAGACATGATTCTTTACAAATCTGATGAAATTCTAGTTTCTGAAGTGTTGAAGCAAGATCTTCATATCAAAGTCATGAAGATTTAGAGTGATTATATAAGATACATAGAATCTTTCAAACATCTCTTTTCTTATCATAATTCTCTGCTGATCTGTAATAAACAGATTTATCAAATGAAGCATTAATGAACATATTAACAGTGTCAATCTGAAAGATCTCCATTTCAAAATAAGCTGTTATAGTCATTAAAAGATGAAATATTCATGCAGTGAGAGTAGTGGTGTAGATGTCATGTTTATTATTGATATTCAGATCTTCACAAAAAATAAGTCTTGTCTTATAATGTTTCAAAAAACCATTAACATCAAATTTGTATGTATAAATTCACATTAAAGAGATTGAATGTATTTCTTTCAAGCTCTCTACTTTTTCAAAGCATTTTTTTGTTTGTAGCTTCTTCATTTCCACATTCATGATGATCTTAAAGTCATCAGCATGTGAATGTTGCAACATTGAAAAATAATGCTTTGAAGACTTCAGAAAATTCTCTCTGTGAAGTCTAGAATTCATAATTGTAAAAGCTGTTAAATAGTCTCTATAAAAAGAATTCAAATGTGCTGTTTACTACAGAATCACTGTATAAACTGTTCATCTGTCAATTCAATCTGCATTTTGACACTTTATTCTAGCACTTTGTCTAGAAGATTGCTTCACACTTAAGCTTGCACTGACTGAATCATTCATCACTTCTGTGACAAAATGATTGACTGTTGAAATTCCATCATTAGTGCTCATCATCTCTGTGGCAGAATGATTGACTATTAATTGTTCATCATTTATGCTCATCATCTCTGTAGAACTAGTGACAGAAAGTGTAATAGATGTTATATCTTCAGATGACTTCACTACAACATCACTCACTGTCTCTGTAGCTTTCACAGCAGAATGATTGACTGTCAATGAAAGTTGATTCAGCATTTCTATTTCAGTTGATGATGTTGTTAAATCATTTAGAAGAGATTGAGTGTAGATATCTGAAGCTAATGACTTTAATGTAGACTCTAATGTTGACAATGCATATGTCTCTTCTGATTGATCAGTTAGTGTCTTAGTCATTGTTTCTGTTGATCTTATTGACTGATTAACAGTCTTGTGATTTTCATGTGGTGTATTCTTCTCAGAGTCTTCATCTTCACTGTCATGCTCACTTAAACTTGTCTTGTTAATATCACTTACTTCAATGAAAGATATTGTATTCAGCACAATAAAGCTCTTCTGTAATAAAAGCTTGCTGCTAATCTCATTAGAATCAAATAGTGTATCTTTGTTGAATATAATGTCTCTTGTTAATATAATCTTTCATTGTACTGAAATTTAAATGTGAAAAATATTTGTTGATTTGTATTCAACAAGATATCTTACTTCTGCTCTAGAAGTCAGCTTCTGATTTCTTTCATATTGTGCATTCTTAATTAAAGAATACACTCTACAGTCAAAAACTCTTATATGTCTAATTTCAGTTAAAGAAGTTGCAGTTTGAAGATATTTCTCTAAGAATTCAAGAGAAGTGTTTCAATCAAGATCTTTAACTGAAATTCTGTTTAAAATATATGCTGCAGTCTTGACACATTCTGATCATAAATTCTCAGATAAGTTGACTTCAATTTACATTATATGTGCTGCTGTTGTTATTAAAGCTTCTGCACATTCTGCAGCTTCATTTTGAGCTGGAATGTAGAATGCTGAATGTTGAACAACTATATCATATGTTTGAGCCAAAGCTGTCAGTTCTGACTACATAGAGATTTCTTCATCAATTCAAATAGTCAAGATAGTTAATTAATATAAATGAAGAATTATTCTTATCATTTTTACTGTGCACATTAAACTTTCAGATTTTTGCTGCATTGTTTTCACATAGTGCAGATGAGTATAATCACAATATAAGTGAACTGTTCATCTATCTCCATTATAATCTGAAGTAAACTGTATGAGATCAACAGACATCTTCATAAATAAGTGTGTAGATCTTTCTGATGATGTTCTGTGTATAATTTACTTTGCTTTTGAAAGAGCACAAGATCTGCACTTCATTATTAGAGAACTCTAAGAGATCTTTTCAAATTTCATGTCAGTAGACATCTTCAGAAGATGTGTCAGAAACTCTCTGCTCAGATGACTAAGTCTCAAATGTCAAATATTCATGATTTTCAGTGAGCTGAAGATCAACACTGTGATCAGTTTATTAACTGAATCTTTGTTTAATGAGACAGTAAAAACACTCTTCATTATACTGTCTGTTGCAATGTTAATAGATCTGTATTCAATGATCATTTTTCTCTCTTTAACAGTCAAATTGAACAAGATATCTCTTGTGCTGATATAGTAAACTGTAAGAGACTCATTGTTCAAATAACAACTCTTTGCACACAGCAATTCATGCACTACTAGATTTGTATGAAAGTCAGAAATGTAGAGAATGTTCTTTAGTAATATCTTATCAGCATCTGCTGACATTTGAGTATAAACTTCAACATCACTGTATTTATGAATTTTACAATAAGTATTTTCAACAAGCACAATATCTGAAGAATCAGTGTTCTGATAGTTTTGAAATCTTGTAAAATCATTACAAATATGTGCATCTGCATCTTCATTTAATATAAAGCTGTTCTGTAATAAATAGAATTCATATTTATTGCTCATGTTAGTGAAGTTAAAAACTTTTATGAAAGTGAAGATAGTTGGATTAGAAGATGTCTTGACAATGACTTTGTTAGCATTACTGTCTGTCACATTGTCTGAAGTGCTAACTTCTTCAGTATTATTTGAATTCTTCAATTTCTTTCAATTTGCAATCTTTTTCTTTAATTTTCTTTTGTTCACTGAATTCTTCAATGCTTTCTTGATCTTATTATCAATTTTTGGATCTGGTTTTCAGTCTGTTGATTGAACAAGTGAATTAAAATATGAACAGTATGTTCAATCATGTTACTCTCTGCAAAGACATGCAGAGTTCATACTTTCATTATTCTTCTCTGATGACTTATTTTGAATGATTCTTTCAGTGAAATATGCTGACAGCTTATTACTTTAATCTGACTCAGTATCTTTCTTTAACAACTGCTGAAATATCTGAATATGTCTATAAACATTCAGCTCATGTTCTCAATTCAAATTCTTCTTGATTAGAAGCTTAGATAGATATATATAGAAGAACTTTCTATAATTTGAAGAGATAGCTCTCAAAAATTGTTTTGAGACAAAAGATTTATGAATATATTCACACATATTGTACACAGTTGTCTGATTTAATGCTTTTTTGTAGTTCAGTAAATATGCTTTGATTATTTGATTCTTTAACTCTTCTTCAAGAGTTTTGAATTTCTCTATTAGTCTAGCTTTTAATTGAGAAGCATTCATTGCATTTCTAGCATATAGAGCTTTCAGATGTTCTTTTGCAGTAGTTTCTATGTTGCTCAATTCACTTATTGTAAGAATTTTCAGAAACAGATTTATATGATCTCTTATTGTCTTCTATAGCTCTTGCATCACTAAAACTCTCTTCTTTTAAGTTCTGTATTGATTTCTTTGCATATTTCTTGCATGTTTCATATTCACAGAAGTTGCAGTTTCTTTGATTTTTTCAGAAGAAAGAAAATTCTCTATAACAGATTTTTGAAGTTTGAAATGTGTTTCTTTTGTCAGATTGATGTATGATCACAATTGATGGAGATTTATTAAATGCTTGATGTCTTCAATTCATTCTTCTCAATCATCAGAACTATTCAGCATAACAACTCTTCTAGATGATTTATTCATTTTTAATTAATTATTGAAGTGAGATGTTGATTCTAGATTATGATTTTCTGTAGACTTAGATTAATAAATATATAGATGCATTAGATCTCCACAAACTTCACAATTAAGATTTAAGCTTAAATAGAAAGTTCAATGTATGATCTCAAGATACTTAATAGTGATCTCTATTTATATGAGTAACAAAAGTAAAATAAAGTATCTTGAACATATCTTTAAATAACAATCAAATTTTTAAAAGAGTCCAGACTCATAACCATTAAATGACACAGAAGCACATGATGATCATATGACTGAGCATCTATAATATTGCATCTGATCTTGTTTTCAACAAATAAGACATAAATACTTATAGATGAACATGCTATAACTGAAACTACAGAAAAAACATATGAAAAACCCCTAGCAAACCTTCATCAGTCTGATAGACAAAGATAATGAAATTGGTACCATGGTTGAGAGGAGGAGGTGGCAAACCTATGGTTCTCCGGTTCCTCCTTTGGAGACCTGGTCACCTGACAAGTCACCTGACTCCTGCTCAACAAAAAGTACATGTTTACACGTGACTGGTAAGTTAGTCAGCTGTTAGGTAATATGGCTCGTGCTGCTCGACAGCGCCTGATACAACTGCCCCCTAAATAGACATCTGAGACTCTCCACTATTAACGGCTATGCGAACCTGACACTCAGAAGTAATGTCTTCTGGGTTTGTTGTAGGAGGTACAACAGATTATACTCCGGAAAAGAGCGACGCGGCATGGCAAAAGGTTAAGCAAGAGCTCGAAGAATCGCGGAAACGTCGAGCAGACCCAGGGACGCATGAGGGGGGGAAGAGCCTTTACGAAATCTTGCAGCAAAACAAAGGTAACTTGGCCGAGGTTTTCCTTTCCTTTGTGTTAACTTTACGGATTATTTTATCATGCAATGACAACGGACACTCCCGCTAACTGGAACGTATGCCTGTTGTGATCGTCAGCCGCGAAGCAAGAAGCGTTCGAAGAGTCCATCCGGCTGAAGAACCAATTCCGTACTCTTGACGAAGATGAAGTTGAATTCCTTGATTCTGTACTCGAGTCGACTCGTGCGAAAGAAGCGGCGGTGAAGCAGGAAACCATGGAACAATTGGAGATTTTCCATCGTCAGCGAGACGAAGCCGAGAAAAAAGCATTCTTGGAAAGTAACCCCGAAAATATGGGCACTGCTGGGTCAGCTGCGGAAGACGAACAATGGACGATCTCGACGAGCAAAAAGCGAAGACGACCGAAGGAGCATGATGCACTTCCCGGGGTTAAACTGCGAAAATCTTATAATATTAGCAGCGGGCCTCGCACTGCTAATAATGAAACACATAGCGATCTTACCGCTCGCAAAGTTGGGAACCAAGCAGATGTGCGAACAGTCTTGCCTAAGGCAGCTAGTGATCCAGAGCAGGACGAACCAAAGGAAAAGGCCATTACGTCCGTGCTGCCGACTACGGCACTAGCCAAGCCATTTCCTAAAGCATCCTCTGCACTTGGATTAGGCGCTTACAGCTCTGATGATGATGATGACTGAATCCTTAGATATCATTCTATTGTGTTCTTTCCTGCGCAGCCAGGGCGAGGAAATGAGACTGAGGATACCTTGCGCGTTGAAGAGAACCCCGTGTGTAGGTGCTTAGGCCCCCAAAACCTCTCCACATGTGGGATACGATTGTACCCCATCTCCACCTTGTGCCCGAACCAAACTTCCCAAGGTGTGGCAACCTGTTGCTCGAAGTAGGTTCTCACATGTGACGAAAATCGTTTCTTGAGAAAACTAGGATTAACATGGAAGAATGGCAATTATTGGATGGAGTCTTGAAAAGGCTGCTGGAGTTGCTGGGGTGGATTTAGTGACCCTTTGTGATGGTTGATTATTGTCCAAGACGAGACAGCAGGACCAAGGAGCTACAGTGTTGAAGGAGTGGTCTTAGATCAGTGCAGCAATATGATTGGAGAAAAACCAAAAAAAAAAAAAAAAAAAAAAAAAAAACATTCGCAAGTGAGAATAATTTCGAGTTAGAGATGTATGTACATTATTCACTAAGGCGGGGTCCTGATGGAAAGGCTGCAGATCTACCCGTGCTTAACATCTGTAACCGTCTCGGATTCATCGACGTAAACATTCAGTCTAATAGTCAGAGCATGAAGTCGTCAGCAGAGATTGATGACGTAGGATTGTTTTTAGATAGGACGAACCGATCTGGAATATAGTCCATGGTAGTAAAGTCGCCGGGTTTGAGGATGCGGTGTTGCTCTGGAAGATCCTTTTTCGCAAAGGACTGCAGTCCCGAAAAGAATGATTTAGAATGTTGCAGGAATATTCGCACCATGGGAATTGAGACATACCACATTGTCGGTAACGCCATCGGTTAGTTTCTTGCCCATCAGCTTTGCTGCCCAGGCGGCCTGGTCGTTTTCGTTGACTTCTGGGACGACAAGAGGCATATTGGTTTCGGGATAGCTGTGGTGGGTCCGTAGGATTGGTAGGTGCCTGGGTATTTTGAGGAAAGATGAGACCTTGTTGGTTGGAGCAATAATGACTGCTGACTCTGGGCCGGCGATGGATGTAGTAGTGGCGGTGGTGGACGGTTCAAAGCGGGGGTTGGAGGAAGAGAGGGACATTGCTGCAGTTTTATAGGCAATGTCGCCGAGGCGCCACCTGCAAAGGAGGGTATGATGCCAGGCTCCTTATTACTACGGATACGTTACAGGGCCCTCGGCCTGCCAGGCACCAGGATTTTCAGCAAACCAGCGCTGTTGCGACGGCGAAATTCGGGCTTTTCGCTCATGAGACGCTCGACGTCATGGCCGATGATCTCGCTAAACTCAATCGGGAGATTTCGGCTCCAGCGGCCCGATGTAAATCCGACTCCGGAATATCGTATGGCCGTTCCGCCTTTAATTCATCCACGTGCCAAGGCCGTTGATTACTAAGAAGGCGCTCACTTGCTTAGTCAGCGGGACGTTCAACTTCCGTTCAGCTCGCCCAAGGAGCGCCGCAATCATCTGCGCCATCGTTTGTGGACGAATGGCTTCAGGTGCCTTTGTGATTATAAGTATCGTTCCTGCGGCAGCTTTCCCGACTCCGCTGACAGCCCCTGGTCCTGTGCTCTGCGCGCTTGATTGGCTTTGGGAAACATCCCTTTTTGAAACACAGCCTTGATGCGCGCCCCGGAACGTTGTGGGGTCCGACCACTTGATCGCAGTGGCTGGCTCGGCACAGAGATTTGTCCGGCGTCAAACGGCTTATTCTTGGTTGGCGTTACGAAGTAAAGCGGACCATCGCCAAATAATGTTATTTCAAATTTGCTACTCTGTGGTTTCTCATGTCTCTTGGAAGTCTTGGGCGGGTCGAACGGGTTGCACTCACAAGTCACAACCCGAGCAGCCGAACCCTAAAATAGTCAATTCCTTGCGTTTCGCGTGCCTTTTAACAGGCGCCACGACAGGGATTCTCCGGATGAATCACTTGTTTGGACTTCTTAAAGCTGCCCCCTCCAGCCTTTGGGGCTGTGTCGAAATGTAATAAGCCATCCTGCAACCACAGCATGGAAGCCTCCGCACCAACTAGCACTATACAGGAAGAGACATCGAACTTTCTGATAAAAGAGTAACTAGTTAGTTAGCTACTCTGTACTGCGGCATTATATTTTCATAGGATTGGTTTCCGTTCGTTGCAGACTTTCAGGCCCGCCGTGTTTTCGCCGACTCTCTCAGCTGCAACATACATCCAACCGTCAAACGTGCAGGTTCTTCGCCAGCATTTTCTATGCAGTGCTGATCGGCTGTTGTTCGCTGCCTGTTTGCTAGCTCGTCAGGCTTGTGTGTTGTAAACGTTGTGTTGTCTCTTAGGCCGCATTGTACAGAATCACAGCCCTACTCTGTATATCTAACTCAATAGGCCATAAACGAATCATCTCCTTTTTGCTATTCTTGCTATAGCTTTTGATTCTTGGTCATCTTCCGCGACACACCTCCCTTCAACCCTTGTAAGGGAACAACGCGAATCGAACGAAGTGCCTTTCGATTGTATTATGAGACGCCGTTCCGACTCTCCCCAGAAACGGCTTCTCAGAGCTGACGTGCCGCTCTTTGATTCCCCAAGCGCAATGCGCCGATCAGTACAACTCTCAAACCGTTCTAAAGAACCACCTCTACCTGACAAAAAGGAAAAACATCACCCTTTTCGTGGCCCCATTCCTACCGACGAAGACGACGATAAGAAAAACGATAAGGAAAGGTGGAAGGACAAGAACAAGGGCAAGGACAAGGGCAAGGATGGGGATAAGGGTAAAGCTAGGAAAGACGATGATGATGATGACAGCAATAAACTACGGTCATCATCATCTAGTCTAGATTTTATCCCTAAGTCTACGGAAATGCCAATCAATGGACTCACCGAAATGCCTATTAATGGACCTACGGGATTGCCTATATCTCTCCATTCATCTCGATCTATACGTCCTCCAACTCTCATTACATCTACCACCAGCTCTCTTACCACTACATCGATCCCAAACGTCATTGCCTTTCCCCCAGGAGCACCGATATCCGTTGCCACTTCTGTTCTGGCCCCTGGCATCGGGGCTCCTGTCTCGACAACAGGCGATCCAGGCACGAACCCCTCCGCCACGGCAACGCCTCCTCCAGCACAACCGGATGGCGGTATTAGCAAAGCTGGAATTGCGGCGGGGTCCGTATTTGGGGGCTTTATTGTTATTTCCATTTCCTTCCTTGCTCTACTTTACTACAAACGGTGGCAAAAACATCGAGATGAGGAAGAAAAAAAGAAATTAAAGTATTCAGCGGTATCGGGTTCGGAGAGTGGAGACTTGCCAGACGTCGACGATACGCAGCCTCCCTTTACACCTTTGAATAATATGCAGTACCCCAATGCCTCCAGTTGGCCATCTCAGACCCCCTATGCGACTGATTTTCAAACTACATTTTTAGAGCATAAGGATGGTTCCCAGCATGAATCTAGTACAAACAATCAACCCAGGAGAAGCAGTCGCTATTATGCCTCCCTGGCAATGAGCTCCAATTCTCAAGATCACCATTCCTTTGCCAGCGACCCTCCTTCGGATAAGCTAGTCCCTCAAGCCTCTCAATTAAGGCCAATTTCCATGATGGAAGTGTCTCAAAAACAAAATAACGCTGAGCAAAACATGTCTATCCAGCGAAAATCTTTACCTGCCGGCAGGGTAATGTCCCCTCAGCTACCTATTGTCGCGGAACTAGTCGCCGGCCACCCACTCACTCCGCCCTCCATTGAATCAACACCAAGTCAGCCCTCAGCACGTTACAGCAACACTGTCGATTACAGAACTGCACGTAGCAGTATATCATCTACTAATCCTCTAGGAAACAGCAATGTATCTCAGTACTCCCCTGTCAGCAGCGTTTCTCCGATGGACCCTGTTTTAAGTAGCCCTTCAGAGACCGGACAACAACAACAACAACAACAACAACAACAACAACAACAACAACCACTACCACCTACTTCTCAAACTTATTCACACCAGTCGTTGCCGCAACATCCAGGGATAAATACTTATAGTGTACCTCCTCATAATGGGTAACAGAACTTCTCTACATTCTTTTTCATGTGACAAATGACTGTGCCCCTACTTTTCATACAACCCTGGACTGTTCGTCCTCTTTTATTTGGATTTTAATACTTTAAGCATTTATTTGAGAGCATTTCTCCTTTAATTTTTGCAACATTGCCATCGGAGCATTCATGTTTGTATCTTCGGAGAACAATAAGTTTTATGATATTCCCAATTCATGTCATTAGTATTAGGACCCTGTTGTGGGAAGTGCCTGTTTAGAATTGAATTAAATAGGGGTTTTCTTTTTCAAATCTCTTTTAATATAGTAAGATTTGCCAATTCGAAATTAATAGCACATACACACTCATTGGGCTATTAACTTATTTCCAGCCTAAAGATGCCCATACCCAGGTAATCACTACGCACAAAAGCAAGAAAATAACCCCAAAGTAAACCACAGCGAAGTGGCATAGGCGGAGTGATCGCCGACACACCCAGCGTCCCGCTAATAGATACCCATCCACTAAGTAATAAGATAAAAACCATCCACCTACATAAGTATCGTTAAAAAAATAGGAATCACTGCCCCCTCAAACCTCTCAAGCACCTCTCCATTCTTTTCGCCCTTTCCTTCTCCCTCACCAACGTCGTCTTCACAAATTCCCGGATAGCTGCCTTGCCCACTTTTCCTCGCCAATCCGTCCACCCTGCCAACTCGCCGACCACCACGTCCTTGTTCCACGCAATCTCCCTCCCCATTTGCTCGACTTCCAAATTCAGCTCCTTGATTTTTTGCTCCTGCTCGCGCATTGATCGTTGACGAGATTCTTCTAGGCCTGGGAAGTTGAATTTGCGCGGGAGCGAGTTCGATGCTAGGGAGGAGTGGGAGCGGGCAAGGGAGCGGGTGGAGCTGTTGAGGGAGGAAATAAGTGTGCCGGGGCGGGAAAGGGAATCGAGCATGGCTGCCGTGGTTGTGTGAGATGAGGTCAGGGAAGCTAGAAATTGAGTGAGAGGGGTGGAGTCGTGGGAGGAGGAGGCGTAGCTGGCGGCGAAGCGGTTCATGGCGTCGATATGCAATTGAGGAAGGATGTTGGTCGGAGGCTGGAGAGACGACATGGCATATGCACACATGGAGATCGCATCAGCGAGATCGGTGGAGGTGTTGTGCAATTTGTGTCCGCGTCGGATGATGCTCCGCGTGCCGGCGTTGACTGCGCGTACAGCTTCCTGGGCGTGACCAACAATTTGCTCAATGTCCCGAATATCATCTGCTGTTACTGGTTGGTAGTCGTCTGCTATTCGCTCTTTAAGTGCAGCGACTTTCCGTTGCGAGCGTTCATGGATCATATCAGTCTGCACCTCAGGCATGAGGAAGAATTCCCATAGTAATTCATGAGTCGAGAAAGTGGGATGTGCCAGTAGAACTTTAAGTAGCATGTCTAAACGCTCTTGGATCTCATGAAGCACAGCTCGTGATGGTTTCGAATAGATCTGCAAAGGCGAACGAAACAGGGGAACGTCGGGTATATATGAAGCAGGATGTTCTGTTTTCAGAGAATTAACGAGATTTTCGAAGTCAGTGAGACTGCGCCGGCATGTAGTAACGGTATATGTTAGCATCTTTTTCGGCTGCTCATCCCCTGAAGGAGATGTAGGGTTAGGGGCACCAGATTTGATAATGAAGCGAATGCTCGCATCCTCGGCAAAAACGGACCGGACGACGGTTGTAATACGACCCGATGGATCGAGGTGGGATGGTTGTGGATTGGAGAATAATATAAGATCGTCAATTCTATTGCGAACTTCGTCGTCTTTAGCCAGCTCCACTGCCGTCAGCCCTCGCGCCTCCCGCAGATGGGGGTCGACGCGGGCATCTGCGAACAGGATCCGAACGAGATCAATACGGCCATATTTGCTTGACACCATCAGAGGAGTGAAGCGTTTGTCATTTATCGCGTTAGGGTCGCAATCTGTTTCATGAAGAATTCTATGCAGTATTTGGGCGTCGCTGACGATATGCAGAAGTGTGTTTCCCTTCATATCTACATGGTCATCTAGTCGTAATGGGAGGTTGTCTCTCTGAGCTTCTTGAGCTATGCTCAAAGCCTCATTAACCATAAGCTTGTAATCCGGATGATCATAAGATCTGCAAAGTGCAAAAAGTGGAGTTTGACCATGTTTATCTTGTTGCCTCCAGGGAAGTGCGGTTCCAATTTGGCGTATTAGAGAGGGGACACTGAAAAGATAATGCCCGACCGTTCTCCCTCTGCTGTCTGCCTTTGCGAGATAAGAAACTAGAATATCATGTTCCTGTATTCGCGAAATGTAATCTAACATGATATCAACAATTTCGGTATGGGCTAACTGAACAGCGGCACTCAGCAATGTGGTCCCATCGCTATTGATATCTTCAAGAATGCTTTCCATTGGGTAGTATTCTTCAAGATTTAGGAGATATTTTAGGGATTCTGGTTGGGAAGCTTCAACTGCCATCATAGGTATCGAATCGCCTGTTGGATCCTGGGTCTTTGTCAAGATCTCTGCCGATATATCACCTTCAACACAACTTGCTACAGAGCCAAAGGTGGTAGAGCGAGAAATGAAAGAGAAATTCGAAGATTCGGACAGGCTGCCAACGTCCATGGAGACTCGCTTGCGAGGTTTTTTCTTCGGAGGCGAATTTTGTTGCCACGTTTGAAAGGGGAAAACGTGTGCTAGACGCGGTGTTTCCGGAATTTCCGATATATCTATAGGCTCCTGAGTGACAATTGGCAAAATAATGCCGTTGGTACTGGCACACGGGTCCAGAGAATCTTGAGCGGCCTTTTCCACTAAACCATTCGACGCAGCTAAGTCTTCTTGTCCCCCAATATCATGATTATTCTCAGAGATAGATGTGGAATCTTGGCTCCCTGGCTCCAAAATTGCTTTCATTTCAGGGACATTGCCTGCTTTAGTAGCTGACCAAAGTCGCCGATTTTTTGCGCTGGCTTTCCTCAGCCCCCCAGAATCGTTACGAAGATATGTGAGGACCGCCTCGAACGTGCTCAGAGCGTATCCAGATTCACCGCTCTCGACATCATCGGTATAAATAAAATGCTGCATATACGATAGCAGGGCCTGGAGGTGGCGAACTTGCGACCTTACGATGACAACAAGTAGCAATGAAACTAAAACATCAGCGTTGATCGTTAAAACGGAGGGCTGCTGTTTCTCAGATATGCTTTCACTGTTTGTATCGGGTCTATATTCGATGGTTATGACCTTAATTGTTGCGAGTAATATCTTCAACATGTCTTGGGGGCATTTGGCATGAGCTATTCTTCGAAATTCTTCAACGCCTCTCCCAAGACGATGGATAAGCTCTTCTTTTCCTTGTCGGCCACCGTCAATTGCGATGCCAACTTGTGATACATCGATGTGCTCCATTTGACGGATTCGCGCATCTAGATCCGCGTCTTCTAACTTTCGAAAACCGCGAACTCGAGGAAACAGAAGAGAATCATGAACTTGCTCGGTAATATAGCTTTCAATCAGTCGCTCTACCATTGGCCCAGTAAGATTAGTAGTAGCTCCAAGGAGAGACAATTGCTGTCTATCTACGAGCCGAAAAAGGTCAATCGCTGATGTCACTGCAGTCTCTAGCGCGCGTCTAATTAGGTCTTCATCACTCTCAAAGTATTCAGCGGAGTTGAATGGCAGTGTCCTTTGGGTCGACGACGCAATGCTTCGAATTGAGGCTGTTTCATCAGGTCCGCAAGACTCGTTTTCGATACTAGGCGACAAAAGTGATGGTGGAGGTGGCAACGGTTTTCCAAGCTCTTTGCCAAATTCGCGCAAAAGTCGTTCTAATCCAGATTGCATTTGCTTTGCAATCATTGGAAAGTTCGCAAGTAGTTCGCTGAAAGATTGGAGCTCTTTCCGCACAAAATTCGGCATGCTGTTGCTCCGTCCTATGGCATTTAAGTCTTCTGGGGCATGTATCAGTGTCCCAGGCACAATGGCTTGGGCAATCCCACCCGGATCATAGGTCCCAAGAAGAGGCTTAGATATGTAGTAGATTAGCCATGGTTGTGACTCTGTTCCCGTCGCATAGTAGAGGATATCGGAAAGGAGCTGTGCTTGGTTTAGGTTCTTAAATCCTAAAGTCCCAGTTAGAAATGAAGCATACTCAGTCTTGCTGGTCGCCACACCTTTGTTACTAAACACCATCGATTCTCTAATGACCACAGTGCGGCCGTTTGCGGTGGTCATCTGCCTAGCCTTACCCCTAAAATCTCGCGCTCCAGCCAATGCATCTTTCGCCGATACTGAGGTCGAGACCCGGAGAACATGGCTTCCCAGGAACTCTTCGGCGTGGATGAGGTCAACGTAGGGGGTATCGGAATCGCGGTCGCGGGCATTGACAAGAGATTCGGTGACAGGCACCAGTAATACCTTAACTAAAATTTAGCAAGGAAAAATTCTATAGTTATAGCAATGAGAAAATGGAAGGGCATACGTGATTCTGAACCGGAACGCATTGCCCTGGGAGCACGCTGCGGAAGAAAGCACGGAGAAAGGGGTTTAAAGGGGGCATTCAAACGACATTTGAAGAGCCAGCGGGCAAGCTTCGCCGCACTTAGGGCTCAGACACAGGCTTGCGACAGCAATACTCCGACGGCTACACTGTTTGGTTAGGTGTTCGATTTTAGAGCCGTTTGCGGCGCGGGAGCCTAGAAGAGCTAGGAAGCAGATAGGATGTAGCAGGCTGCGGGAGAATCGGTGGAGGATAGCAGATCTGGGGGAGATGGGATAAATTAAGAGTGATAGAAAGAGAGATACAGGTTCAAGCAAAACAATCCTGGGCCGTGCTGGTGTGCTTGTGACAGGCAGCTCTTCATCTTCTTTGATTCTGGATTTATCGATAAGCTGGCAGAGCTGCACGTGATCCGCCCACCAGTTACTCTGAGGCAGCAGGGCAGGGCAGCAGCACAGCTGAAGATATTACCGGGCATGATACAACTGGTTTATAAGTACAAGGGAATCAAACAGGTTGATTCCAGGAGCCTAACAAGGAATTGGAGAAAGAGACGTCTTAATATACAGTATACACCCATTCATGATACCATGCAGGAAACAGTGCAGTTTGGAACTGTCAAAGTTGAAATCAAAGCAGCTTAACATGACCAGAGCTATTAACCCAATCTCCGTACCTTTGGACTCCTGGTTCCACCAAACTTCAAGCGCGTTGCGTCCGTCACTCGAATGATTTTCTCACGGAGCTTTTGGCCCTCATTCCCCAGTACTAGCTTAGTGAAAGCTTCACGGCCTGGACCAAACCCTCTCAAAACAATTTCCAGGTGTTTAATATCCATCAAAAACCCGCGCTCTTGAATCTTTGCCATCATATATGAACTCAATTGATGTGCAGCGTCATATCCACTGCGGTGAGACTTTTTGAACCCAATTGACCCACAGCTGATAGACATCAAAGGGCTTCGGTTGGGACGTGTTAAGGTCAAGTGTGTGTTGTGTTTGTGGGCGTAGACGTGGAGGTGATGAGGGGGGGTGGTGCCATATGGATTTGCCAGGGCATGCGTGATATTTTGAATGGCTGCCATCGAGGTTTTTAGAGTGTTTGCCTTTGTGTCTTCGGACAGTTTTCCCAATTCCGAGGGCTGTTGAGGGGGCCTATCGGTATTGTATGCCCGGGTCGAAGAAGAGAAAGGCCTGAATATCGACGGAGATGCGGAGGATTGTAGATTAAAAATGGACTGCTTGAAGGCAGCAGGAAGCCTCTTGACCAGGCAGCTATTCATATTCAATGGCCAAAGCACGGCTTTTCGGGTATAAAACTTAATGTGGATGTACGATGAAAGGTGCAAAATCGAAGCAAAGAAGATATGATAAAAAGGAATAAACGCATCCAACTCCCGTTGCTGCCGTGCTTCTCGAGCGGAAACGATGTTTTTCGGCGGCGGGCTTGGCAGAAAAGTCAAAAAATTGTTGATTTCATCGAGAATTCGTCTTCCTTTTCGGACTTCCACCACCACATCACACGGCTTCTGAAGCCGCCAGCCCGATTCCTTCTGTGCCCTTGTGGCTGCCATTCGGCCCCGTCTTACGACTACTGAATCCTCTACTGCGTCGCGCTCCGCAAAGCTTATTTGCTCGCCTCGCCGCAATCGCATTATACAGAGCATGATTGCTGCAGGGAGAATATTGCCGCCGGGCGCTGGCCGACCAGCCTTCTCTCGACACTGCTATATCCCCCAGAGCGTTGCATATAGCATATCCCCGGTGTATCGACGGTCATTGGTTCAAACACGACTCTTGAGCCACTCCCTGTCCCTCCGATTCGGCTCTAATGGCCCGCAGTCGCGCAACCTCCTTCTTTCCTCGTCTCCCCAGGCAGCTCCCCGGCAACTTGGCTTAGCCCACGCTCTTCTTTATGATCGCCGTGGCTTTCAGACGTCAATTCCAAACACTCAACAGCAGCAACAGAAATCGGAAGGTCCTGAAGAGGGAAAAAAGGCAGACGAATCGACAGACCAGCAATCCCAGCAAGAACAAAAGGAGAATGATGGAGAGAAAAAGGATGATGCCAAACAAAAAGACGCTCCGCCGCCCCCTCCCCATGGCGATAAGACCCCCTGGCAAGTGTTCACAGAGACTCTCCGGTCAGAGTTCAAAGCATCCAAAGAGTGGAATGAGTCCACTAAGGCTCTAGCCTCATCTGCCAACCAATTTACTGAGAGTGAATCGGTCAGAAAAGCTCGTGCTGCGTATCAAGCTGCCTCCGATGCTGCGTCCTCTACAACCTCCTCGGCTTTGAAACAAACCGGGAAAGCCATTGGAAAGGGAGCCGCTTGGACTTGGGACACATCTGTTGTCAAAGGAATCAGAACTGGAGTCTCTGCTACTGGTAAGGGCATTGAGAAAGCCACTAGGCCAGTTCGTGCTACAAAGGCCTATAAAACTGCTGTTGGGGAAATGAAGGGTGTGATAGACGACGGTAGCAGCTCTCGATACGGAGGTTGGGTTGAAAAGGAAGAAAGGCGGAAACAGAGAGAATTAAGGGAGCTCAATGAGCTGAAGTCTGGCAAGCTTAACAGAGTAGAACAGATGGAAGAGGACCCAAAGTAAGTGACCATAGCACTTTGACAGAAAAATTCATAACTGACAGTTATACAGTGCTGGCACCAACGTTACTGTTCATAAAGATGCTGCCTGGAAAGAATCCTGGCGTGAGTTTAGAGACTCTAGCCGTATTATGCAAAAATATTTTAACCTCAAAAACACATATAACGAATCCGAGAATCCTTTAATCTCGACCGCGCGTGGTATATCCGATCGCGTAGCCGGTTTCTTCGCCGAAAACGAAACCGCCATGGTAATTAAAAGATTTCGCCAGATGGATCCTAATTTCCAAATCGAGCCTTTCCTGCGGGAGCTACGAGAATATATTCTTCCGGAAGTCCTAGACGCCTATGTCAAAGGAGACGCTGAAACGCTGAAGCTTTGGCTCTCAGACGCCCAGTTTCACGTATACGCTGCCCTGGCGAAACAATATACTACTGCTGGGCTAAAATCAGATGGCCGCATTCTTGATATTCGCCACGTTGACATATCCCACGCTCGCATGCTAGAACCCGGCGATATACCTGTTTTTATTATCACCTGCCGAACCCAGGAAGTACACGTATACCGTAATGCAAAGACAAATGAGCTCGCTGCTGGTATGGAAGATAGGGTCCAACTGGTTACCTATGCTATTGGTGTAACAAGGATTCCAGAGGATGTCAACAACCCGGAGACCAGAGGCTGGAGAATGATTGAACTTCAAAAGTCTGGTCGGGATTATATCTAAACACGCCTTAATCAAAATCTTCCAATATTCTTTTGATATTTTTGTCCTGCCATTACTGTCCCGATGATTTTACCAAATTTCCCATTTTTTGCTCTGCATAGCTCTGGTTTTGGTACTATTGTACTATTTTCACCAATGTACAATAGTTTGGAGTCCATATAGATCACGATCTGGTGGGTTAATTTTCAAGTTTCTGTGTGATGCTTCGCACCACATTTGCTGCTGGCGTTTTTGTGCTATTTCATGGCAAAAATCCTCTCTTCTCTTGCATGTTCACTGTAAATAGGCGTAACTTCTGGGCTCAAGCGATCAAATACTAAAATACGAGATATGTTAAGTGGCTCTTAAGTCGCCTTATACTATCATAGTTGTTGCTCTATACCATCGTAAATGCTTGCCGTAGACTGGCAGCTTTACTACGCTATATATAGTGCAGTAATGAAACCACTTCGTACCAAGCAGGTAAGGGAACTAACTGCACATAAGGAAAGGCATTAAATAAACTGTTTAAAAGTGAGAGTCGTTTTAAAATTTAACTTGCTATTCAAATCCGCCGGAAGGTTAATCTACTGAAAATTGACGCCAAAAGGGATATATCACTGTCCTCTACCAGCAGGTCCAGCACCTCGGCCACCGCCCATGAGATTACGTGCCCTATAAAATGAGAAAGTTAGCGAAAAAAAAAAATATAAAAATCCGAGAGTACAAATGACTCTTACATTTCTGCTATGCTGGGGTCATTCATTAGACCTGACATGTCTGGAAGACCACCCTGGCCACCCTGGCCACCTTGACCACCTTGACCAGTGCCGAAATTCTCAGCCATCTGTCGGAGTCGCGGATTACTCATGAGGTTATTCAGCATGTCCGGGTTGCTCATGAGATTCTGTGCCATACTGGCAAACATTGGATTGCTCATTATCGAGCTGAGATCAGGCATACCACCACCTGCGCCGCGGCCACCCCCTCCGAGCATGCCTGCAAGAGAGGATAAGTCAGGCATGCCGCCAGGACCGCCGGCGCCACGGGTTAAACCAGGTGCATCATCAACGTCTTCAGCGGGTGGTTCATTATCTTTCTTTTCCATTTCTTCAATGCGTTTCTTTGCCGTTTCCAGGCCCTTTTTCATCGCATCGCTGCCACCGTTGCCCTCAGCTTCAATGCCTTTCCTATAGGCCTCCGCAGCGCCTTTAGCATCTCCAAGAGCAAACTTTGCGAGGCCTAATCTACTCCAAGCCTTGACATATTTCGGGTCCGTAACTACAGCTACCTCAGCATCTTCAGCCGCTTTTGCGTGATTACCCGAGGCGGAGAAAGCGGCGGCACGATTCGAAAGGTAAACAGGGTTTGCTGGGGCAATTTCCAGAGCTTTAGTATAGAATGATATTGCTTCCGTGTAATCCTTGCGGCCCATAGCGGCATTGCCTTCTGACTTTAGTTTGTCGGATTCTGTAGTGGGGGCTCCGGCTTTTGGGTTGGGCGACGGCACTGGTGTCGAGTCACTTTCGGGGCTTTTGTTGGCAGAGGGCGCAGCGGTCTTTCCCTTTAGTTTTTCATATACTGTATAAATGCTCAGTAGTGATTGTCCTCCAACGGCTGCTTTCATCGCAGCAGCGTCTGAGGGGTCAACCTTGAATGCATCGGCTATGCAGGACTGCGCGACTTCGATAGATTCGGCATCATCCGCGGAAATAGTTCCATCTTTAACACTGGCATTTAAGAAATCTATTACAGCCAGTGCCAATCCTTTCTTTGATTCTAGAGTAGTCTGTTGCCTGGTCAGTGCTGCTTCTGGTAGCGCGGGGTACAAAGAAAGGGGCGGGAGAGAGAGTGAATACCATTGTGCCTGGAGCGAGGAATCTGGTCTTGGTACAGGAATGCGACCAGAGAAATTGTCGAGCAAAAAATAACGGCCGAAGGAGGGTTGTGAAGTGGTCGACAAGCAGATCCCCATTCTGCGTGGATAGGCAACCTCCTTCAGCGGCAAGGGCAAAAATCACATGACGCAACCATTCGGCGTGGTTGCTTGTAGGCGTAAGCTGGTCGCTCAACGACAGCATAAGCGGAATGCGGACGAATATCTGACGGCTTTGACTATGATTCTACGCCTCAAAAATGACCCAAGGTGATTGCTATCCAAACGTGCTTACGACCACCGCCCAGCAATGTACTGGCCAAATGGAGTTCCCAGAATCTACGCAGTCAATGGTCCAGGCATTGATCCGCCGGAGTTGGACGATGGGGCTGCAGCTAAGGACGAGAGGGGTGAAAACACCCGTCCTAAGGTAGATCGAGGAGGAGATGGCAAAGAAGAGCAAAGTGTTGATTCCTCGTCTACTGTATGGGCGAGTGAGCCCATAAAGGGGCTCCGTGTGTCTAAAAATGGGCAGCTTTTCGCGACAATGACCCAGTCCTCCCTCGCAGTCTGGCAGACCAAAGTATGTCTTGAGTTAACTTCTTTGACGATACGTATTAATTAAGTAACCTATACAGCCCACGGCGGTTATTGCTGCAGTCAAGCGCTCCCCGCGTTCCCTTAAGAACTATGGCCCAAACGTGGCCCTCCTGATGCGACCGGACGCTGCGATCATTGTTGTCCAGACCCTTCATGGGTATCTTATTACATATTCCGTTGCCGTTGCCTCAAGCTCGAACGTTTACCATCAACGGTTTTTGCATACTCAGCTAAGGCGACATCATGGCTTTGTAGCAGATGATTCGCACAGCATTCGAGAAGCCAGCATACGATTTAGAGTGGTTATAAAAGTGGATGCTGGCATAAGCAAGGCGTTGGCCCTTGACAACGAATTGATGGTAGCTACCGTCAAACCTGCAGCAATACAGTCAATCAGGTGGACTCCTGACAAATATGGCCATCAAACCACTACAGAGCTGTTGCATCATATCCCATGGTTTTCTAAGACAACGGCTGTATTGGATATGGTGTACGATCGTGCTATGAACTTGCTGCTATGGATTACAAGCGATGGACAAGTATATGCTGTACAGCATAGTATTGAAGACCCTCAAGATGGTGGATCCCCAAAATATATCTTCAAGGGCCACAAATTTCATGACCCCAGGAACAGCTACCAGAGAGCAGAACAAGTTGCTGTCAATGCGAGGTTTTCTCTTCTTGCGGTTAGCTGTGTGAACGGTGAAGTCTTTATATATTCGGCCAGGGACTACATGGGGAACATTCCTTTGTCCCATAAGCTCTCTCTCCCTGCATCTCCAACATCCATGGGGGCTATATCGTTCCTAAGCTACTCCCCGGATGGTTATTGCCTATTTGCCGGCTATAAGCATGGTTGGACGACATGGAGTGTTTTCGGAAAGGCCGGGGGGAATAGTTTTAACGTGGATTCTTCTCAGGTTCTGGGAAACGATGAGAAATGGCTCACAGGCGTTTCAGCTGGCGCCTGGATCGGGGGTGGATCTGATATTATCCTAACGGCCCCAAATGATAGACGAGTGTGGATCTTAGAATTTGCCCGAAGTGCCTTGACAGGATGCTTCTCGTCTGCCAACCTGGCTAGAGCACTTTTACAAACTGGAACTGAGTTTATTTTGTATCGTGGCCATGATTTACCTGATCTAACTACAATATCTGGAAAGGATTCACTATGGCACCATGCGCAATACCCCCCACACTACCTGCATTCACAGTGGCCAATTCGGTCTTGTTGTGTCTCTCAGGACGGAAAATATGTTGCAATATCCGGAAGACGGGGTCTGGCTCACTACAGCGTGCAAAGCCACAGATGGAAGACATTCGAAGACCAGAAGCAAGAAGACTCTTTTGCCGTACAGGGAGGGATGTGCTGGTATGGCCATATTTTAATTGCAGCCGTCGAGTGCAATGCTGCTTATGAGGTAGTCTCCTATACCATCTTTTAGCTTGCCATTTACTGATGTTTTAGCTCCGAATGTATTCGCGTGAGCTCGTGCTAAACGACTCATCAATCCTATACGCTGAACCTCTACCATCACCAGCGGTATTCATTGGACCTTCTGGAGAAGATTCCTTACTAGTGTACACCTATGAAAACATCCTTTATCACTACGTTATTAACACGACAGGAACAAAACTGAGTCTCGTGCAAGTCGGACAGATCGCTTTTCATGGGATTGTTCGAGCACCAACCCGTGTCCGTGCTATTAGCTGGGTTTTGCCAGACGATCAGCTTCGTAAGTATCTCAGCAAATCAGGTTGAATGTGCCATTACTAACGCCAGACTCTCAAGGAAACGGTGATCCATCGCAAGATGTCGCCGTGGCTTCTGTTTTATTTCTCGTTGACGGGAAGCTGGTTTTATTACAGCCCTCTATCTCTGATGCAGCAGAGTTAAAATATGACATGCGTATTGTAGCACATGATGTTGAGTATTATATATTGATGCGTGATCAATTATACTATAACTTTGCTCCACCAGGGGATGAATCGCTACCCCCGAGCCCATCCGCCGCTTCCGCATTGAACTACTTTCAATCTGACATTTCTCTTCGTGACTCACTATGGATATTTGGCGGCAAAGATTTATTGGTCTGGAGTGATGTTCATGATGTTATTCGACTTAAAAATTCTTCTATCGACATATCTAAACCGCTGCCAATACCAGTCGACTTTTATCCTTTATCTATCCTTCTTAATAAAGGTATTATTCTTGGAATAGAGCCCGAAGTTACTCAGCGACGGGACGTACCATTTACTTTGCATCGATTTGCTATCAGGGTGCGTCTCTTATATTTTCAGTATCAGTGAAACGCTGCTAACAATCCTCAGAGCCACCTTTTCCTTCCGTACATACTTCAATATAATCTTACTCAGTTTGATTCCCCTTCGGCGTTTTCAATATGTCATCACTTTTCCCATCTGTCATATTTTCCACATGCCCTAGAAATACTCCTGCATCACGTGCTGGATGAAGAAGTCGATAATCCGCACATAGAAGACCATGATTCGTCGAAGCAGGGGCCTTTACTTCCCTCCGTCCTCTCATTCTTACAAGCTGGAAACCCTCCCGAGCTATACCTCGACATACTCGTTCAATGTATTCGCAAAACGGAGTTACGGTCGTGGAAGACACTTTTCGCCTACCTACCCCCGCCTAGTGAGCTATTCGAGCAAGCATTGAAATTCAATTCGCTCAAAACTGCAGGTGGCTATTTACTTGTACTTCACGCATTTGACGATTCTGATGAGAATAATGCCGAAAAAACTGAAGAGTCTGTGGTAAGACTTCTGCTTTTAGCTTCGCACAAAGGGGATTGGGAACTGTGCGGTGAGCTCGCTCGCTTTCTTCTAGCACTGGATAGCTCAGGAGATATGCTTAGGCGTGCTGTTGTCAGGGTTGGGCTGCGGAGGGGAGATCAGTTGACACCACCTGCTTTGAATGGCTATGCAATACCTGATGGTGGCCTAAAAGCTACGGAGACCGTTCTAGGTACACAGAGCTCAGAGTCGCTGTCATAAAATGATCGTGCGAATTGACTGTTAAATTGTCATAACAGCTCTTACCTTATATGCAGTTTGCAGCTCATGAATACCTTCTTTCCTAATCGCGCCATCCAATCGTATAGGAAGACAATATAAAGTCAAACTTTCTTGTCGAGTATTTATTTGCAAAGCCATACACTAACCGATTCATGGAAAATACCTGTATGCAAGTTTAAAATGAACTCCATACGCCAAAGCCTATAAGTTGCGCACCATTCGTGTACTGAAAGAGAAAAGACTGGACAAAAAACGCTCAATCGAATTGTAACTTCCAGAGCCCGTCACCTAGGAAATGGCCCTCGTCCATGACAACTCCCTTAGCTTTTTTCTTCATCTCCTCTGTGCCAACTGTCAGTTGGCCCACCATGCAAATCTCTTCCTTCCCCTCCGCTGTGATTGCAACGACCTGACCCGCCTCCAACTCATTATCTCCTGGGTTTTTTGCCGGGTCAGGTAGTCGTCCGCCTGCGGATGTCAAGCCAGGAGCCATTAATGCTGCACCGGAGAGTACGAAACGGATTGCACCTCTGTCGATACCAATGGTAGGTAGAGCTTTGGGGAAGGCATGGAGGACACGAAGGTGGGGAATTAATGGGCTATCAAGAGATTGAAAGAAGATAGGATTTGAATCGCAAAGGTAAAGAGTTACGCGATCGGGACTGTTGGGCCAAATCAGCGATATTCTTCTCTCGCGAAAGAATAAGGAGCTGGATGGGAGAAGCGTACAGTTTCACTGCTTCTAATGACGCTTTTTTGGGCATAACTTCATCGATATAAGGCTCGAAACCAGGGTATGTCTCGAGGAATTTGCTTCGTAGTGATCTCTGTACTGAGGACTTAACTTTGGAGCGCGCCCCAGGGGATATCCTAAATAATAGGCAAAGTTAGCGTGTTATCGAAAAGAACGTATCTGGGTTGGAGTATTTAGTTGCCCTTGCTACCAACACAGAGAGTCCTAAAAGCATAGAAACGAGTGCGCATTCGTTACGGCCCGTTTCTTCTCTGCATGGGGAATAGCGGGGTAAAAATTGCGGTTGACTTGAATAGGGGCGTTGAAGCATACTCTTTTTTAAACATGTTGGCAATGATCAAAATTAGCTTAGATGCGAGTATATTAATGCAAAACAAAGTCCAAAGAAGCCTTAAGAGAGCAGGGTAAACATTGAAGCTGCCACGATGAGCTCCGGCCACCATTGCGGGGAGACTCTAGGATCCCAATTAGGGCTTGGTGCTCACATGACAAGAGAGTTTACCCGCCAAGTCTACAAAGAAGGGAGCGAGCTGGTTGTTCATAAATCGTGGGGCATAGCATTAATTTTTAAACTATGAGGAGCTATTTTTGCAATGCCAAAAAATGCGTGGAGTGTAAATAGTATCCCAGCTAACCCTTCGCAGCTCCGGCTTTAATTAGGATGATATCCCCATCCTCTAAAACATAGTCCTTGCCTTTTGTGAGAACTTTCCCGGCAGCCTTGACTGCTGCTTCATCTCCACATTCTTTCAAGACATCGTAGTTAAAGACGATGCACTGAATAAATGTCTTTTCAAAATCTACATGGCCGTCAGCATCAGGTAGACCAAGCTTAGTTTAACATAAGTATACCTGTATGAATAACACCGGCGGCTTGCGGTGCCTTTGTTCCTTTTCGAATTGTCCATTGCCTTACTTCATCAGCTCCAGTAGTAAAGAAGCTGCCAAGATTAAGAGATTGGCGCATAGTAACAATAATCTTTGGCAATGCGGACTTGGTACCCAGCTTCTTGCACTCTTCCTCGACAGCGGCATCGTCTTCAAAACGAGTCAATCGTTCTTCGAAAGCCACAGACAGGGGAATGATTGGATCCCCTTCCGAGTTGTTCTTAATCCACTCAGCAACTTTCGGAAGATACTTGTTCTTTTGTCGAATATAATCCTTCTCGCTCAAATTGATCAGATAAACAACAGGTTTCGCAGTTAGAAGGAACAAAGGATTGATGACTTCGACCTGTTCCTCAGTAAATTAGTAAAAGTAAAGTATGCTTCAATTTCAAATTTAGAGGGCGGTTGTTAGAAAAGCAAATTTCAGGTGTTGGACTTCATCTCAACATGTCCTCTACGTGAGATAAAACGAGGACATTCGACGAGCTGGGATTATATCGAGCTTATAGCTCTTGTTCATCATACTAGCCATATAAAAAAACGAAGTTAGTAGAGAATGTAAAGCGTACCTCTTTAGGGGACCAATCTCCCTTTCTAATATCTTTGCCATCTTTCAGAAATTGTAAAACCTTTGCAACAGTGGCTTCTTCTTCTTTTAACTTCTTCATCTCTAAACTCTGTCCACCTCGTCTAGTCTGTTTAGCCAGGTGTTCTACTTCTTTCTCGACAAATTCAATGTCTTTAATGCGTAGTTCCTCGCTAATAATTTCAAGATCTCGCACGGGATTAACATCTCCCTCAACGTGAATGATTTCAGCATCATCAAAGCAACGCACGACTTGGAAAATGGCATCGACTGCTCTAATGTGCGACAAGAAGGCATTGCCAAGACCAGCACCGGTGGAAGCACCACGTGTTAAGCCAGCAATGTCATATACCGTCAAGTTGGCGGGAACTTTTGACTTTGGTTTATAATGATCGCAAAGCCAGTCGTAGCGTGCGTCGGGTACAATAACACGAGCCTCTTCAGGATCAATCGTGGCATATGGAAAGTTGGCGGGGTTACCCAGAGAGCATTTTGTGATAGCCTGAAAGAGCGTCGACTTGCCGACGTTGGCTAGGCCAACCTATACGAGAACGTATGTATGTTAGTACGCATATGCTAGATTATGAGCAAGAAATGAAGGCAAAAAAGAAGACGAACAGAGTCCAAGGACAGACAATGCGATTGAGTCCGCACGTACGATACCACTTTTTAAATTGTTTCCTGGGCGACCTAAAGGGACTTTCTCCTCCTTGACTGCCTTTTTAGGAGGCATTTTCTTCTTCTTTTTGCTGGCGTAGGTGCGAAGGATTACAAAGTGGGAGGGGGTTGAGACGCGCGGGGCCTGGTTGGGCAGATGCCTTATGCAAAAAGCAGGACCAGCTGCGACCTGTGAAAAAGGTGAATTGGTAGAAAAGAAGGATATCCGCGATACCCAGAAGGACGACACAATGAAAAGACCCAATGGGCCAGGGATCTCTCTTTCGAAAGAGAGGGGGAGAAGAGGGGAGGAGTGTTTGCGAATTTCGCAGTATTTGGGTAACTAGAAAAAGAACAGAATTTGAAGGGAAAATTCAGCTGCAGGATTTTTGGTGGGCGGTCACGTGCCACACACCCCAGGACTCCAATTCCAACCTCTGCTTCAGGAGTCAACAAATGGAACAGCGCTAGAATACGAAGTAGTAGGAGAACTATATACTACAGGACGCAATAACTAGAATAGACAGCCGCCCAAACTCCGTGGTGGCCATCTCATCCACCAGAAGACCGACCACAATCCACCACCCATGTAACGCCAGAAACGAGCCAGGCCATGTCTACGGGGTAAACAAATCAAACAACCATAGCATCTTCCTTATTAGAATCAACGTCAAGAATACCAAGCAACTGGGCATATGGGACGGTAATACGCTGCAAATCTCGGTGCTTTCCTATAGGATAGTTAGCACCATGGACACCAAAAATGACAAAAAATGAAATTCACTGACCTAGAGACAAAACAACCTCCTTCAGGAGCTCGCGTCGTGGCCAGCCGCAAAGGGTATCCGATTCGCTGTCCCAAGGCCCATCTCCTATATTTTTTGCTCCGTGCTCCGTGGATGACTGTTGATTCTCACCATCCGTAGATATGCCGCCGAGAAGCCCTTCCAGCAGCTCTTCAGCTTTAATTTTTAGACCTTCAGCACCCAAACGCTTTGCATACATCGATAGATATAAGCGAAACTCATCTTTTGCCTCCAAAGATAGCGCGGCTGCAACACGGTTTTCGAGGTGAGCAATAGATGCACCCGCTTCAAAGGCTTCGAAGCCTTCCTTGGAAAGTACAACCTTGATGAGGCGTTGTAAAAGGTACCCACGGCCACGGGTGAGGATTTCATGCGTAGTATTTCTTTCTAGGAAGGGTATAATTCCGGCGGATATAGGTACCTTTGCATCTGATCCAATTTGACTGTTCGCCACCTGCAAGTCTCCCACTGAAGCATCTGTAGTATTCCAGTACTGGCTGGCAACGGCAAACCACGGTTCGGACAGCCGTTGCCATAAATATAAAGAGGGGTTGTAGCTATAACCCTCCCCGTTCGATAAAGCCATAATTATGCGACCTTGAGAGCTGATTCGAGCGGCAATAATAGAAGGTGCTGCTGTGGGGCGATCGGTCAGGGTGTGAAGTGCAGCATCAAGCACAGGCGCTAGGGAAATAGGCGGATGCGGCGACGTGAGGCTGGTTATATTCCATACATAGCACATACCAACTGCAGTGATACACATCAGCCAGGAATCTCGACACTCAAGAATCACTGGCTGCGCCTCTAACACGAGAGCATTGAGAAGGCGACGTCCTGCAGGAGTCCAGATGTATACAGACCCGTCCTCTAAAGCAGCAGCCCAGAATCGCTTATTACCAGTAACAAGCAAAACAGCCTTAGGCAGGAAATCTTGCCAAATAGGCTGGTCGCCGCGTGTAAGAGTAATTCGTGCAGGTTCTCGGTCAGCGGCCCTGCCCGTTAAGCTCGCACCAGAAGGGTTGCGAGCTTCAAATACGAGGTCCGCTTTTGATTGAGAAGAGGAATTTCCAGAACCGGTGGCCACATCAACGGGGTTCCCAGAGGCATCGGTATCTTGGAGAATATGGCTTCTCACTTTTGGCACTGCTAATCTCAATTGGCTTACGGCCATGACAGGGTTCACCACAGCAGGCCTAATGAACTCAGGCGTTTCTTGTAAGCCTATAGTGGGAACTGCGGGCAAGAGTCCATCTCGCCCGTTTGCAAGAATTGGAGTCACTCCATTTTCGTTTGCCGCAGCAACCCGTTTTTCAAGAGGATTTTCCTCGCTATCATCAAGTTGAGCAAACTTGCGTTTATTTCCAAACAGCAAGGCAGCAAGTCCGCCTTTTGGAAGACCATCAAAAGGCTTTGAGAGATCCAGAATCGTTTCTGGGCCCTCTGGCTTTCCAGCTTGGGCACTGGCCGAGGCAGCCATAAGCCTGGACTGAGGAAGAGAGGATTGTGTGCCGCCGGCGCCAGAGACCAGAAGGGGCGCGATGCGCTTTTTGCCATCTTTTGTGAATGTTGGGCGTTGTTTCAATCGTTCTAGTTTTGCAGCGTACGGGTCTGGCTTGTCTTGTTCTCCGGTAGCACCGTTTGAAAGCCCATTCTGCTGCGTTTTTGAAGTAGCCACCGGCGTTGCACTTCCTGTTGAAATAGCCCCATTCATTATCAGATCACCGGATGTTCCATTGACCCCAGGCTCAGTTGACACATGATTATCACCCATCAAAGCACCCATACGGCCCTCAACCCCTTTTATTTCACCAGCCTTACTTTTCTCCTCAAGAAGAAGTCCATTTGTAGACTCAACAATACCTGCACCTCTTCTATTTGTGCCAAATTTGGCCAGAGACTTTTCATTTTCTTCAATTGGCATAGCGTATCCAAGCTCTTTGTCTTCAAAACGAACGAGTAGTATCGTGCCATCTAGAGCCGTGGCGAACAAGCCCTTTCCATCTGGACACCAAGCAAGGTCAGATATTGCTTTCGCTGACAGGTCTTGAGCTATTACAATGGGACGTGCGTTGCTCGTAATCCAGATACTCAGAGATTTATCGCCGCCAGCACAAGCGATCACAGTGACAAGCGAATGGAGAGGATGACCCTGGTTGTCTGTAGGACATTCATTCAAAGGCTTTGCTGAATATAATCTCGGAGAAAAAGAGCACACTTCAACAGGAGCTTCATGGCCAATCAAGTTAATATCGCTATCCCAAGAGCCCCGGTTTATGATAGCAGCTGCGCTCACAGGACCATTGACGGCGTTGGCAGCAGCAATATGGTTTCCATCTGGGGACCAAGAGCAACGTCGAAAATAGGTTGTTAAGGGAGAATTCACAAAGGGAGCCTTCACTGTATGTTCCAATACAAAGTTTTGAGCCTGGTCATGCGCGGTAGAATTCGCGGCTGGAGATGTAAAGCGGAACATCCGGATAGTACGATCATCACCCGCAGTTGCAAAATATTTATTTGCAGGGTCAAACGTGATTCCCTTGACGTGGCTTTGGTGGCTTAAGATGGTCTTTAATTTCTCAAATGTATGGCCGGACCATACAACAATCTTCGAATCTAACCCCACCGAAACCAAGATGGAAGAGTCGCAAGACCAGCCCAGATCCTGGACATCATTGTCATGGCCAATCAGTCTCCGTATCGTACGCCAGTTCTCAACGGGAGGGGGTTCATTTGTTCCTATCCATATCATTCCCGTCAGCTCAAGTTGTATCTCTCACCTCCGCACTGCAGTTGGGCTTACCAAAAGTTGACGAATGTGAAGGAGGACTTGCATCCTGCACGTAAACACAGACAATCTTATCATCCGCTCCAGAGGCAAGGTATTTCCCATTAGGAGAGAATCGGACTGTATGGATGGTACCGGAGTGATTGCTTAACGATGCTAGCTGCTTAGGCTTGCTAGCGAAATCTGCATTCGAAGCATTGAAGATTGCATCTGTCGACCATATTCGTACGTGGCCATCTATACTCGGTTTAACAACTCGTCAGCCAGCGCCCGGTGCATGAAGGCCAATATGAAGAAAGGGGCGGGGAACGGCATTATCTGCTTGCACGAAAACGATCACGCTGAAAGACAGGCTCACCTCCAGCAGCCGTCACAAGCCGTTTTCCGTCAGGCGAAACATCGCAACTGTAGACCTCGTAGTCCTTTTTTTCACCTACACCAAAGATCCCATCATCTGTTAGCTTCCTATTCTGCGCTGTCGATTCTATAGTCAATGTAGCCACCCACCTCCATGCGTTAACCAAACAGGCTTGATTATATGCATTGCAGCGTCCTCTTCCGCCGGTCTTCGTCGCGCAGACCAAGATGAGACGCCGCGCGATTGGTTAACGAAGTGAAGCTCGCAAAGGAATACCGAGTGTTCACGGAGCTTGACCGTCGCTCATCGCAAAGCGGGATGCTCAGTCTCGAAATGCTTTCGCATTCGGCCAACGGTTTGCGGAGTAGCAGAATCGCAATTCTGTGGCAAAGGCGTTTCGGCGGAGGGAACTGAAAAAAGGAAGAAGAAGCAGTCGCTGGGTTGCGTCTTGGAGGTTGGACAGCCACAGTGAGAGACGATCAGCCAACGAATTAGTTAGTTTATTCTTGCTTTGGCTGCGACAAGGATCCGAAAGCTTAGGGCGAAGTATAACTACACTCGAGTCTGCACTAGAACCTTAGTAGCACGGAGTAGTTAACATCTAATACAATACGAGCCGCCTGTTGTACATTTTGATATTGGCTATGCTATTCGAATCCCGTTGCTTTACACATAAATAGACAAAATCTCTTCTTTCTCCAGTGTCCCCCGTCATAGTACAGACCAAAATCCAGGACCAAAAACGCCAGACGATAATGCTAAGGGGGGTGCAGCCAATTTGACAACCAGGAAAATGGAGATCACTGGAGAAGGCGAGTGGGAGTAAAGAACTTTGTAGGCTTTGCGCGCCCGGCGGTTATCAATCATAATGGTCTTCCGTGATTGCTGGTCTCTTCAAACGACTCCAAGACACTGTCAGTAACATCGCGTTCGCCCCCCGCTTGCTCTTGCTGCTGGGCATGACTCTGCCGTCTGCTTAGCTCTTCCTCAGCCGCGTTCTGGTTGACACTCTCATTCTGACTCGAAGATTCCTTTGGCAAAATAGCCTTTGAAGCCATTACTTTTGCCTGGCTCTCAGTAACCTTCCCATACACAGCCAGCGCACTTGCAATCATGCCACCCATATCCCCCACATTCCCTGGAACAACAACCGCCGTTCCTTCACGTGCGAGTTTGCCAAACGCATCGACGTATTTCTCAGCAACAGAAAGGCTAACTGCTGCTTGTGCATTTTGCTGGCCCTCCTCAATGGACTTTGCAATCGAATCAATGCCTCGAGCCGTAGCATCGGCTCTGAGCCGAATCGACTTAGCTTCACCCTCTGCAAGATTAATCTGCTCCATTTTCAAAGCCTCCGATGCCAAAATAACTGATTGCTTCCGACCCTCAGCTATATTGATCGCACTCTGTCTTTGCCCTTCAGACTCCAAGATCTCAGCTCTCTTAGATCTTTCTGCAGTAACTTGACGATGCATAGCCGCCACAACTCCCTCAGGCGCATGGATATCTCTAATCTCGTAACGAAGGCACACGACGCCCCAGTCCTGCGCCGCTTCATTAATAGCTTGAGAAATGTTCGCATTGAGGTTCGCACGCTCTTTAAGAACATGATCCAGAGTCAGCTGGCCGATTTCGGAACGCATCGTAGTTTGTGCAAGCTGGGAAATGGCATATTCGGCGTCTTCAACACCATAGCTATTAATTACAACAAAGATCAGCTCCATTCATAACAAGCCAATAGGTAATTGACAGGTCTTTTCATCACATACCTAGCCTTATACGCATCAAAGACTCTCGTATAGAGAACACCGTCTAGCTCTAGCGTCACGTTATCCGCCGTGATAGCATTCTGACTAGGAATCTCAATGGCTACCTCCTTCAAACTTTTTACGTATGCAATCCGATCAAGAAAAGGTATCAAAATCGCTAACCCGGGTTCCAAGATTCTATGAAATTTTCCCATGCGCTCCACAATCCATGCCGTCTGCTGTGGAACAAATCTAATGATCGTATTTGCGGGGAGAGATTGGCGGTGGGAAAAGTATGTCGGGGGGATGGAACCACCGCTGGAAGAGGGTGCAAAATTGAGGAAGGAATTATCCGCAGCGAGGGTTCGTGAGTTAGTGAACTGACGTTGCGGCGTACTTTTACGGGCAGTAGGATGGGCGAAAACGCATGAGTATGTTGGGATGAGCATAGGGGGTTGTCCCCATTGTCGGGTACGGGGGAAAATTAGCCTCCGAGATAGAATTGACCTGCAAGCCAACTCCATGCTGGGCAGAGTGGTGCTCGGCAAAAATGAACTGGAAGTGCGATCTCAAGTTAGAAAGATCGATTTCAATGAAGGTTGTTTTGAGGTCTTCTGGCCACATCACGTGATGGGTTATCGCGCAGACGAAGTCTTCACCATTCTTACTTACATAGGTGTATTAATATACATAGGTGTATTAATATATTTGAATTATTTTTTTGTATGGAAAAATTTCGATGGCCCAAAACCTGACGGGGTGTTGATATTAAATTGCCTGTCTATAAATAGTAATGACAGCGCTGGCACTCCAAAGAAAGCAGAATCTGCAGCGATGAGTTTTAAAATCAAGTACTATAAAAACCTAGGGCACATGGGTTTTGATCGATAGACAAATAAGGAAGTAGAAGTACTAGAAGAATATAGTGATACGGAAAGAGAGGCCAGAAAATGCCATTATGAGCTTTTTTCAGGGTGATACTTTGGGTAAAAGATTTTAAGACAAGGATGACAAAGAGAAGTGGAAGATAAAAGGGAAAAACAGCCTGGAACCATGCAACAAACCCATAAATCATTAGAAGAGACATTCCCAATTTTGAAGAAGAGTGTGAAAGTGCTCTGCCACCTATGCAGGCCATTAAGACTGACATGTTACTCATCCGTCCTGCGAGCCGGAGAGAACAAAGGCAATGTCGGAGGCAGACCGAAAATGATATGCAAAAAAACGTGGAAAATTGAACAAAAAGGAAAACAGGTCAGAAATATGAAAAAGTAAGACTAACCTCTCAAAGGTCAATTGAAATGTTTAAAAAGAAATGAAAGAAAAAAAGCAAACGTGATTGCAAAAAGTACCCCCAGACCTGCCTAACAAAACGTTCCATTTTATGATGCGATAATTGAGACCTTGGGTGTAATTTTTGTCCCTAGCCGAAAAGTAAATCCATCTTTCTTTTTAATGCTCCCAGGCACAGTTTTTTGAATATCACATTTCATAGAAGATAAAAAGGGGAAGAAATGAAGTTGAAAGCCGTAGAATATTGAAGTCAGAATGGGATCTATAAAAGCAGTAAACTTGAGATGGAGAAAAGAAGAAGTGAGAACGTGACAGCCGAATTAATGAATAAAGAACTTGATCGATGAGTCAACGCCGCAAAGAACTGGAATTTGGAGAGGCTGAGATGCATGGTTGCAAAACTCGCAAGGGAGGATGCCGACTACACCATATGATTTGTCCTGATGTGGTGTGATACTAAACCCTAGAGTAATGGTCGAGTTGAGACCGCAAATTTTCATCGATCAACTCATCAATTTTCTTTCTACTCTTCAGGTTAAAGGCGCCGTTTCTCCATACACTGCGAAGTCGCCGAAAAGCAGGTCGCTCTTTTGCATTAGCTTCCGATTGCACCAAATCAAGAAAGTCCTTAGCGAGGCCGTCAGCGATGATTTTGTTCCTCAAAAGAGTATTGCCGTAGAACTTTATTAGATAGTGAATACCGCTGGTAGAGTGTCTAGAGGAAACATCGTCAAACGCCAAGTTTCTAAATTCATTGTACATTCGGGAATTAAAATTTCGAACCAAGAAATGCGACCAGAATTGATAGAGCACATCCATATCCACAGGGAGTTCCCCCGAGGATTTGGAGAGCCACTTATCAAGGGCTTGTTTGCGGAATACCGTGTATGATTCGTGAATAAGATCGGTTTGGGGTGATTTTATGGGGCTATTTTTAGAATTGATCCAGAATGTAGGCGAAGGGTTTCTCGTTTTTTCGGGAAGCGTATTCGTGGAAAAGGATTTTGTCAATTTGTCGGTAACCCTTTTCAGTCGTTCAGTATCGACGCTAAATCTATTCTCAAATTAGTAAATCGGGAAATGTGGAAAGACACTTGAGGGGCAGGACAAACCTGTCGGATCTGGTCGAAGAATCCTGACGAGGGGGGGGTAATATATTGCCTGCACTTAATTGCCCGTGGGCTGCTTTACAATTGTCAACAGAGCCATTTGAGAAAGAACTAGACGAGGGACCGAGAATAGGTGACTGTGTTGGGCTGGGAGCACCTGGCTTACGCACCACAATCACCAAATTCCCAATTTGCTCGTCTGGAAATACATTCTCAGCAACGGCATCTCGTTCACTAGCTTTTTCATTTGCAGACACCACAGGGGCCTGGGGGGAGAACTCAGGCGCGGCAGAGGATAACTTGATCGAATGGGCGGAGGTATCATTGTTGACAGTATCCGATAGGGGGGCGGCGAAATGAGGTAAGGTCTCGGAGCAGGGCTGAGCGGCTCCATTTGTAATATGAGGGTATCCATCCTGTTGTGAAGTCATTCCATTCTCATTGAAGTTATCAAATTGCGGGAAAGATGACGAGGTAGCAGCCGGCGGTCCCTCAGTTTGAGCGGAGGGATCTCGCGCTTCCATACTAAGAACCCACTGTTCCCACTTTTCCTTCTTACGAATGCGGTCCAGACCATCCTCACCCGGCCTATATTCAACAGTCTTTAGTTGTCGACAAACGAGACGAAGAAGATCCATATCTTCAGTGAGCGACTTGATACGTTTGAATGCAGCAATGACAGTAAGAAGAACAAACCCCTGAGAATCCATATGTCGGCGAAGGAATAGATCCTTGCAAAGGTTGTCGACGGAAAAGTAATATTCTCTGTATATCATATTAGCACAGTGTCATCACCCAGTACACTAAGTATATCTACACATACAGCTGCATTGAAATCATGCCCATCAACGAGTATTGTTCCATGTATGGCTGGTATGGAATCGCGGTCATTGGGCCGGGATGAATTTGCGGGTAGCCATATAACGATGTTAGGTCGGTTTGAATTGGGTACGGGGCAGCTGCATAAATTGCTGGAGCTGGCATGGATGGGGAGCGCAGGCCCATTCGAGAACCGCTCTGGGCGCCATTTTGAGCACTAGCTTGTGGCATACGCTGACGTTCGCCGTTATATGCAAATGGTTTGGGTGCAGGAAATGGGTGTTGGGGAAGTGGCGCAGAATAGACAATATTCTGTGGACTCGTGTAGCTGGGGTGTCCGCCCCTTCCGCGATAACCGCCACGGCCTCTCTCAGAACGAGATTCGCCTCTGTAATTTTCTCGCTGATAATCACGGTCTCTTCCAAAGTCTCGATCACGGGAAGCAAATGAAATAGGTTCTTTGTATGGGTCGGCAGATCGAGGCCCATTTTCAAATCGCCTTTCTGCAGTCTGAGCATAGCGGGAATGACTCTGGCTTTCGCCATGAAGTTTCAACGTTGGGCTGTAAGGCAAATTTGTAGTGTCTAGCAGTTTCCCTACTGATTTGGCGTCGTAACGTTGCTGGGAGGATGACTCGAGGTTCGAGGAACGTTGAGTGTTTGCCGAGTATTGTCGGTGAATTTCTTCAACGTTCTGGGATTTCGAGTCTTGTCCTTCATCGTTATGGGAACCATCCACACCATTTGATTTCGACTTCGAATCGTTGGCAAATCTTCGTTCACCCGTTTTGGAACTAGCGTGATTTTTTTCGCCAGTGTGACTAGCGCTGTGTGCACTTGCATCACGACCACCTCTTGCAGTTCGTCCACCTCTTCGGGCAGCCGGAGGTAGAGGGGTGCTGAACACAGCGGTTGGTACATATGGTACTGGCATCCATTTCTCCTTGCCGTGGGTTCGAGAACTGAGAGGCTTTTCTTTGTCAGCTTTTTCAGTCTTTTCAACTTTTCCTTGGACTTTTCGCTGTCCCTCGTCCCGTGCGAACTCTGGAGTTGGCCATAACGCAGAGTTCGCTACTGGTGGGATCGATTCAGTAGGGTCAGCATCCGTAGTGGGACGGTGAGTGCGCGAACCAGTCTTTTTCGAGGCTATAAAAATATCAGTTCTGTCAAGTTACATATATGACAATCAGTGGGTGTAACGCACCCTCACCAGATTTCTTTTTGTCTCCCAGAGAATCCAATGGCTTTTGTCTGTTTCCACCCTTTGATCCGTCAGGACGAGAGCTAGAGCCTTGGACGGTTGGAGGTGGCTTCGGAGATGGGTCGTTTGATGAAACGCCGGGCTTTAGAGCAGCACTGGCTCTTGCTTTCGCTTCTTGGGCTTCAAGCCTTTGTTGCCAGATGTTGACCGTAGGTATAGGAGCAGGCTTTAGTTCTTTGACAGACGCAATACTTTTCTCCGTTCCTTTCTCCGAGGAATCGTCCTCAGCGCCTTCTCGAACATGCGATCTTTCAATAGTAAGAGAGGCCTGCGATTGCTTATCCCAGGTAGAGTCGGACGAGCCGTTAGGTGTCAAGGACATGTCATCTTCCTTAGGAATAGTCCCGGTAGAGGCAGTAGCGATGCTCGGGGACGATGATGCTGACAGAATATGCTTCCCTGGTGCCGGATCTGTCTGCTTTTCTATAACACTGTTCAGCCCATTGACAGAGAATGAAGCTGACATTGGCTCTCCACTGATGTCTGAACCTCCAGCAACCCCGGCACTTTGCTCATCAGCTGGGGAAGCCGATGATTTGTCGAATTTTTCGGACTGTTGCTGTGCAGACGTCGAGGAAACTAAACCCTTCGCGGCCTGCGCATAAGAAAAGGTCGGCATGTCTGCCGCCGGCTTTGCTGCTGGACTTTCCATTTGGGGTAGGTGTCACTAGATGTGAATTGAAAGCTTCGAGAGTCGCGTGTGTTCCACTGGTATACAGCACAACAGCCAGAAGAGTATCCTGCCGGATAACCAATAATACTTCCCCACCACCAGTCAACGGACAAGAAACAACCTCCACCAGCGAGCTGCCCCACTGATGGTTGGCGACCACACAATCAGGTAGCCAAGAGGATCTGGATTATGTGGCTGTAATCGGAATATCCGTTATCCCACCAAAGTGTGGAATATACGACGTGACGCTGGTCTTCGGCTGATCTTTAAATGTATAGTACGTAGACAAGACAAATAGGCATCGAAAGACGTGAGTAGGTCAAGCAGTCAACAAGGAAGTCAGATGGCAAATGATACACAGTAGATGATATTCCGACGAAGTTTCCCCACTAGCTTCAACGGCGGCGATAGTGGACGATGGTCGAAGATGCACGCGAGCTGAGGCGAGATAGCGGCGGGTAACGGAAGTGACGGTACCTGGGCTGATGAGCACTCGGCTCACAAGGGCCGAATATTAGACAGGCAAAGCCGTCAACAGAACCGAAGGGCCAGACTAGCCAAAGGAAAGAATGTCGTAGAGCCAGTCACAGCCGAGAAAATTCAAGGGAAAGGTGAGGAGCAAAACGGGGGATGTGACCCAAGGGTCAGAGTGCGCTGGTTCAGGGCAGACGAGGCAGACTAGACGCTCAGCTGGGACGAGAGGTGGATGGAATGGTCGAACGAGGCGAGTCGGAGACGGAGGGGACGGCGAGGAGGAGGACAACGGGAGTCGAGCTGCAGGCGATGCGAGGGAGGAGTGTGGGATGTTGGAGGGAAAAAAATAATAAGAGCCGGTGCTTATGTAACACTAGTTAACAGCCGAAAGGGGACTAGCAGCCCGAGGGCGTCAGCGGACGATGCCCACGAAGCAAGCCGGCGCACGACAGAGAGCGGGCTGTGGCGTGGCAGCAGAGGTACAAGGCACAAGCAGAGCAAGAGCCAGAGTCAAAAATAGCAGCAGTAGTGGCAGAGAATCCAGGCACAGAGCTGCAGAGTGGCCGTGCTCACTATGAATACGCAGCAGACAACGCGATATGGCTTCAGCGGTTAGCAAGCCCGGCCAACCAACCAGTTAACCAACTTCTCGCCAGCTCTCTTGGGCTCTTCCAAACCTGACTGTTGGCTTGCCATCGAGCAAACAGCATTACCTAAGAAACTCCCGACCAAATCCTGAAGTGTGTACTCTGTATTACGAGTGTCTGTAACACCATCAATTTCGGCTTGCTTGCCCTAGTCCTCCACATGCAAACGCACCCTTCAAGGGACGCTCACTGGTGATGGCAGTAATACTGCTTGCAACTACTACTATAGAGTGCCATTGTGCCCTGTACTTGGCTGCTGCACCTTCTGTTGCTCTATGGAATTGTGTGTGGGTGTCAGAAAAAGCTTCTTTGGAAACAGCAGACAAACCGGTTGCGGTGCCCAAGAAAAAAAAAATCGCCTGCCAAATAGCAATAATGCTGACTCGCTGGGAAACCCTAGTGGCCCAGGTGTCATCTTAATACACCCCCCTTCGTGCCCCTCACAGGCAGTCGACACTATAGATTCACGTTTGATAGGCGATAGTTACGGAGTTACGGAGTAGTTACGCAGCTAATGCCAGGGCTCACAATAACTACCAAGAGACGGAAAAAAAACTTTCATCAAAATACCGCCCACCAGAAAAGCCGAAAACAAACTTACAGCGCCGTCGAAACTTTGCGCCTGGTCTCCCACCGTGGGGCCCAGAAAAGCGCTTGCCAAAGGGTCTTATCCTCGGAAGCAGGACCTGTAGCCCCCGCCTAGTTTCCGCCTCTCCATTTTTACTTACGTCTCAACGGCAAAACGCTGAGGCATCATGTTCCTCCACTGCAGCCCGGTGCAAGCCGCGTGGTTTGATTTCTCCTTAGTTTTCGAGGTCACATCAGCCAGGACCAGGACTGGCAGCTCTTGTGCTCCAAACCCAGGACGTATTCGTATTACAGGCCCGTCACAATGCCGGCTGAAACTTATACGCCCGCATGGAGTTGGTGTGTGAAAGCTCGTTACGGTATGTGTAAATTGTTGGCGGGTGATCCGTCATTGGCCAGAGGCTGATCGAGATTCGAATTATCGATGAGATGATTTGAAATGCTGCCAATGTGTCTGGTGACGGCTTTGTGCTCCGTATAGACAGACCCGTGTTACGCAGAACCGGCGAAATACCGGCCTGTGATGCCAAGCAAACGCACCAAACAAGCCAAACACTGCTTACCAATGTCGGACGGTCAGCAAGACCTTCTCTTGTGAATTCACGTCGCCGTCTTCTGGGCTCTCGTTGATGTCGATCCGCGTCAGGAGCCTCGACGCTAGTTTGCGACTAAGTCCTTCCCGCACGGCTATCTTCTCCAGTGCATCCGTACCGTTGAAGTACTTCGTGAGAGTGCTCCAATATTTGTGAATAGGCGCTTCGCTTTCGGAGTTTTCTCCATCATTCTGGATTTCTGAGATGCAGTCGTCGGGGAACCGCGAGATAATCTCATCAAGCCACCGTCCCTCTATTGGGGACGCGCGTTGCGGCCGGAGAATTAGAGATGAAGTCCGCGGCGAGCTGCGTCTATTCAGATACCCTTCGTGGAAGTATGCATGACGTCCTGGAACAGGCGTCCCGCTACTGTTGTCGCTGTCCAAAGACGAGGACGACGAGGATGTATCGTTGCTAAGTTGAGGCCTTTTTGCCCTGACAATGGTTGCAGTAGACGAAACGAGATCTTCTTCTCGTTTTATCGCCTCATCGGCTTCTTTCTTTATCTCCGGGTCCACCTTTATCCATCCAAATGTGCGAAGCTGTGTTACCCAACCTCCCCGCATTAACCACGCAAGGATATCATAGTAAATTCCTTTATGGTCTCTGCTAGGGATGAAGCTGGAATAGGGTCGTGGTACCCCGCTTAGCATCGTTAACATCTTTGCGAGGCTCGGAAGGGTGGGAAATGCCGCTTCATATACCGTTGTCGCGACTGCTAATTTACTCAGATCACAATTTGGAGAAACAATATAGGTGTCTTGTTTGTTGAGTGGCGGCACAGCTCGAGCTCGCCGCCAGTAAATAAGGTGAGTCGCCAGGACTTGGATATCGCTCAGCGGAATAGAGGAAGTGGTAGCAATCTGTGCAAACGACTTGGTTGGCTTTGACGAGCGGATATAATGCGCCAGCGGAGGCCCCAAAGTCCCCATTGAATTCTCAATGTCCTTCAGTATAGTTGTCTCATCACTGAGCAAAAGCAATGCGAAATGTTTGGCCAGCACCTTACTTTGACCGGCATTTGCGTCATCTGCGACCTCGTCTGCGGCTGAAAGGCTGTCTGCCGTAGTGAGCCAGAGTCCTGGATAAGAAGGCTCTGTAGGACCTGGTAGGTATGGGGTCGACGTAAGCGGCGGTATCTGGAGACTCATTGTGGTCCTTGGTGTAAGAGTGATAGACGCTATCTTTGAGGTCGATATGTTATCATAGATTGTCGCAATTGCTTGTGCTAGAGAAGATTTGGACAATAGCTGATCGTATAGCTCCGACATTGACGATCCTAGTATGGTAGTTAGTCTCAAGATTTAGTATCCTACAAATCGAAAGGGACGCCTTACTATTTTCTCGAGCTCTATCTTTAATATGGGTGATAGTCTGAGCCTCCTTCCAGACATAATTCGCTGTTGCTTGCTCAAACTTGAGCCCCTTGCCAAATTTCTTAATGACATTATCGTAGTTCTCTTTGATCCGCTGATTATGCTCCAGGGTTGGCGGATTCATCACAAAGACAACGTTGAACATAGTCATAGAATCGCCATTCTCACTGAGAGACGAGTGCTCATCTCCAGTCGTGCTCTCGGTCGACGAACGACTAGGTCCATCAGGCACATCACGCGAGCTTTGGAAGTAGGCAAACCCGTCGACCTTCTTTGCACTTCCTGTACGGTCAGCCTGTGACATAGACCGTAATCCAGAAATACCCATGCCGGCATGTTCAGGAGGCATTTTCTTCTTTTTCTTCTTCTTTCTCCAGCTCCCATCATCTTTCACAAACACCGGCCATCCCACAAAGGAGAGGTCATTTACTCCGACCTCAAAACGCCTTTTATGCCAGGAGGACGCTGGACATAGTAATTTTTCCCACACATCTGTTTTGATGTCTAAAAAGACGTCCCATGGCGGAATTTGCCGCTCGCCTGGGCTTTCAGGTCGTCTGTTGGTACGGAGACCCCCATCTCCTTCCACAGCTGGGCTTCCTAGAGGTCCTTCCTGGTGTTGTGTCGACGACCTGGTAGTCTGACTACCTGACGACGGGCGGCGTATAGTTCTATCAGTAGGTCGTGTAGCACCAAGTCCTCCAGTTTGATCTTCCAGCTCGTCATCTTCTGAACTGGAGGCCTCTTCGCCGTCAGTTGAGAGATTGGAGTCGGCACCTCCAACATTCGCCCTAGCACCAGAGCTGCGCCGTGAGGAAGGGGAGTCTAGTGGGAAAGCTGGGGGGTAATGGTAGACAAATCTAGGGCCGGCTCGGGAACAAGTGATGAGGATGATGGAAAGGAGGCATGGATCGGGAGGAAGAATAACAGAAGACATAGAATATGATTATTTTAGGTGATATTGCGAGCCATTAGTCACTCTAGAAGAAGTACTGTGGAAATGATGTTAAGAGGCTTTAGCTTCGGAACTTCAACAGGATTGAGACGGGGAGTAGAGGGTCGCGCAGGTCGAAATCTAACCACAGAATCTAAACTATCACGGCTAACAAGGGGCGCTGAGTTTTACTGATAAAAATAAAATTGAAAGTAGATTCCTAACCAGTAATACCTTCATATACATACAAATATACATATGCATATTCTACATAGGAGAGGAATTGCTCAGTACTGTGCACCTATACCCAATAAACGCCGAAAACCGGGGATATGATAAAATGCCACCAACTCCATGATATGCACATCAGTACTGGAATAATTTACACAAATGTCCAAATGGGTTTGTTTCTGAGAGGTTCTTGAAAGCTCTGAAACAAACAAGCCCTTGCAGAAGAACACCATTCATTTCGTCGATGAAGTATTGTTCGTCTTCGGATTCGTTTCAGACGATTTCTCTGACTTGTTTTTGTCTTCAAATGTAAGGCCTAAATTTCTGAAGTCGTCGGGAGCCATTAAGTTGCTATTTCGAATAAACGGAATTTATTAGTATGTATATCCAAAAGAGGAAATAGAGTTCTCACTTATCCATCCGACAGCTCAGATATCCCTTTGCCAGCTTTCGACACCTCTCATCATTGACACCCCCGACTGATTTTAAGCAGTGCAAGTATGATGCAATGAGGTATTTGCAATCTCCTACATGACAGACGTGAGTATTTAATATGAAATACAATACAGCAGGATAAACGGTGCTGCGCACATAGGAGAGACAAACCATCATGATCTAGAGGGAAACTGCCACGCTCGGGACTGTGACAATATTGCATCAGTAATTGGGTGGACTGGGGGTAGGGTGTAACTTACGGCGTGGGTTTGATGCTGACTGTACGGCCACCAGGACTTCCAAATCCCATGTCTTATAAGTGTTTTACACACTGATAACTAGGACCTGATGTTTAAATTAACCGGGCGCCTGATGCTTAACAATCTGCGTATTCTTTTCATCTGAGTTTATGTCTGGATACTCGGAATTAAAAGGTGATGACTATCCATGCAAACAAAACAAACACCCACCCACACAAGCTACTCCGTACCTAGTTGACCATCGCTAAAACAATACGACATAATGGAGTACTTGTTCACCCATGAGCAGCACCAGAAGTGTGGAGAACTATAACAAAGTGATGAGAGTATATCTGAGGTGCTTGCAGTTGACAGAACCTTTGAATGGACTATGCAGAGTACTTGCTATGAATTATCGCTATTGATTGGTATTAATAATAGGGCCCATTTTTATTTGTCGAGGGCATTGTTGCTTTGATAGTTAACCAATTGGTTAGGATATGCTCACTTAACCTTCCTATTCTTACGCTTTTTCTTATGTTTCTTCCCGTTGTCTTTCCCCTTCTGCAACCTAATCTCGTCATATTTCTTTTTCTCTAAGCTGAGAGCCTCTAAAAATTCAGAGAGGTCATCCTTTGATTCCTCCTCAGGTTGCTTTTCTTGCCCGGTTGTCTCAAAATGTCCAACCGCAGGGTCCTTGACCTGCTGATTTCTAAGGCTAGACAAAGTAAGATAGTCGTCATCAGGTACATCCAGCATGAATAAGATTTTCCATCCTCTGCCGTCAACATCAATGAGTTCTCCATCTTCCCGTGTTGATAAACCCCGTTTAGACGGACTCTGAGCTATCATTGATTCAAGGTTTGATTCCGCATGGCAAAGCCTCCTCATATCTGGCCCATATCTCCCTTGAAGCTTCAAGAGATTTGATTTGCCAATGGTCAAAAATATCATAGCTCGGCCTGCATCTGAATGATAGACAGCCTTCTCCGCACAATTCCACATAAGGCCAGCGCATCGACTGTCCGTCAACTCATTCTGAATGAACTTCGCCCAAATAGCGTATGCAATTTTAAATGACAGGGCTGGTTTCTGCTGCATAATCTCTAATGAAGCCGTGATGAGGATCCGTTTACCAATAAATGCAAAGCTCTTTTCTAAGTATGGATCAGGGTACATGCAACATTTGCAGGCACACTCAAATCCAAAAATTTGCTTCATTTTCTCTTTCCTCCAGGCGGGTGGCAGGTAATTATCTGTATATGCTATAGTGATTTCTTCACCATGCCCTATCTTCCTACTTGCACGCACAATCACATAATATTCTTTAACACCATTGGCCGTGCGCTCAATAAGTGTCGGCTGAGCATTTGGGGAACAAGAATGGTTGAGATAGTGCAGCTTAGGTCCAAGTGCTCTAGCATAGGGGTTGTCACACGTCGGGCATGGGATGCAGTTTTTATCGAAATAGGCACCAAACTTTCCCTTATCTTCTTCTGAATCTTTTGGCAGGTTAAAGAATAGGTGAATAAAGTCCGGATATCTTACTTCCTTGAGTTGGTCTGCCAGCAATTTGTTATAGTCTTTGATGGAATTTCCCATTGATTCCAACGTTTCCTCCACCACCATCACCTTTTCACAGAGGATGTAGTGGCCGCGATGCATGGTCATTGCTGATATTAGCCCCATGCCTTTCGCTTTCCCCACTACTCCTATTTTCCAGCTGTGTTTTACATCCATACGTCCGTGAGTATGCGGTCTATTAGCAACATGGGTACATATTGGGTTTTTCTATTCAAGCCATAGATTAGTAGGCCATAGGGACACCATGTCAGATGCCGAATACCACATTGATAGGTGACAGTGCTCACATATCTAGCATTATTTCCATCTTCTGTAGGTATATTGGGAAAGAAAGAGTAATCTGAACGTTCACTGGAGCTGCTGCTGTTTATAAGCGGAATGGATAATTGGACCATTGTGTCAGAGTCTGAACTTTCACTTGGTGTTGGAACTACGGAATCTTCTGGATCCGTGTCCAGATCTGTGTCCATTGGTTGGTATGTTTCTGTAACAGTGGCCATAGGTATCTGCTGCAGTATGGTATCCATTGTGCAAAAAATGTATATAATGAAGCAGACGCTGGTGCATTTATTGATAGAATGAAGTAGTGATATATGTATGCTGATCAAGTCAGTAACGATAATAATATCTCTGCTGATACCAAAATAGAGAAAGATTAACAGCCAAGGGTCAAACGCTTACTGTTCATGTTAATGCTACCAAGATGAATATATAAAGAAGGAGTTGAACTGGGCGGGGGGCAAAGATGAGGAAGGAGCAAAAGAGTCTGAGAAGCACCTGCGTCCACTCTGTGTAAACTATGTAAGCCTCCCTTTTCGGTACCTACATACTTCCACAAAGGATAGTTAATGGAACTGTTAGACAATGTGCATGGTATTGAGGCTCAAGCGAAGGCTATGTGGTAATTTAAACACACAAAGAACAGCAGACCAGAAAGAAAAACCGTCTACAAGGCCTATTTTGGTTCCACAAGTAACAAATGAAGTATGAAACTGTAGAGCAGCCAATAACACCGTCATGTATCATCAATAGAGGAAAACCAGCTTAGAGAATGAATTGAAATATGGCAACAACAGAAATTGGGGAAGCATAGCTGATCAGTGAATGTGGATGGAAATTTTTTGGCTATAGACAAGAGCAAACAAGAGAAAAAGTAGACAGAAGATAGGGCCGGATTTGAATGCAAAGCGAAATCAAGTAAAAGCCAACCCGGTAGCATTGAACAATCGTAAAGTCATGATGAGGTAAGAAGAATAAAAACAAAAATGAGCTCTAGGCGACAGAGAAAAGCATAACAAGGAGGAGAGGGGAGGGGGGGGGACTCCGAAGGACGTCATGCCTTCAGGGTTTGCTCTATTGGGGTATGGGCCAAAGGAGAGGCAGAACCACGACTAGCTGGTTGAGACTCTGCGTGGCTGGACAGAATTTCCGCTGAAAAGGGATGTGTAGTTTCGTCAACTTCTTGCTCGGGTGTGGCAGGTACGATTACAACCGTGTTGCCAGAGTCGACGGGTGTTTTTTCTTTGGCGGTAGTAGTAGTAGTACTAGGGTCTGTATGCATAGCCGGACACTCAAGGCTGACCGGACTTGGCTTGGCTGATGAATGGCTGACAGCAGAAGCAGCAGCCGCCTTAGTGCCATCGTGCGGTAAGGTCAATGTCATCGGTCTGGTGGGGCACGCACTTTCGACACCCATGACTTCAGAGACACCTGGCAGCTCGGCCTGAGAATCCAGACATAATATGTCAGAAGCACGGGGGTCTTCAGTGTGAGGCGGTTTGCGTTGCTGTAGTCGTTGTTCCGGCGACATATTCTCCCATTCAGAGCCGAAGGTAACCACCGATGCCTTCTTCCCATGGAGGGTAAACCTCCCAGAACCACGAGCCAATGTCTCTGTCTCTGCAGTGGAATTCCCTTCATCTGCAAGGGATATTGTTGTACCCGAGTCTCTGCCCTTTCTGCTTCGTTGGTGGTGAGGTATGAAATGGCCTTCGCGAAGTGTTCGGTGTAAGCTTCTCCGTACCTTGCCGCGACCCTCAGCGGCTGACACTTCGGCACGGTCATCAACGTTATTGCTACTGGTTGAATCCGCTGCTTCATTTGCCGCAGACATATGCGATAGGAGTTCATTAGATAAGATCCCGGCCTCCCGAAGAAGACGCTCCTCTTCGGTATCCGCAACACTAGGAGTGGGTGTTCTTTGAAGCGAGACCTGTCTTGTGGAACTAGTGAGGTCTAATCTGCGCATGGAGCTGGTTACCGATGACTGGCGTGGTAGAGAAGTATCACTGAGCACTTTTAGTGCGTCGAACGCCGGGTCGTCTCTGTTCCTGCTACCTGATTGATCACGTTGTAGAACCGTTATTTCGTTAGACGAACAGGATTTCACAATTTCCGGTCTTCGAGAAATGATTGGTACATTTTCGAGTAAGTCGGATGGTGGATCAGCATCCACGATGGGTGTCGGAGAACGAGAGCGAATGCGTCTCGAAGACCTATTACTTTTAGGGGATGTAGGGGCAAGACTTGGAGCGGAATCGGAGATGCGCGGACTATCACCACTGACAGTCAGGGATAATTCATCCCCAGCTGCAGAACTACTCTTCGGGACCTTTTTCACCGATATATTCTTCTCTTCCTCAGCAAGGTCGGACGCTAGTACGTCACGATGACATTTAGTGCGCCATATATCCAGTCTGGCCCATTTAATTTTAGCGGCCATCCGTCCAGCAGCAAGAACAACTTGATCTCTGGCGCGTGGGTGAATGGGCGTTAAGACTTGAAGATGCCTAGCATTTCGCAAAAGGTCCTCAAGTTGTTTTTGGGCCGCGGATAGCTTTTCATTGGCTTCATGTATTCGCGTTGTGACTAATTCACGCCGGGCTGCAAATACTTCCTCCGCTAGTTGCGGGTCCATCCGTCTTGTATTAACCCCAGAGGCTTCGGAGAGCGTTGGCGATTCGGATGTGTCTGAGGCCATCGAACTCGGACGAGCGCGTTTCTGAAGCGGCCGACCTTCGTAATTAGCACCAATCATACCCCTCATACGAACGCCGGCAGTTCTAAAAGTAGCAGCATAATTAATAGTTGCCATCCAGTCGTTCATCTCCGGTTCACTATTGGCCAGAAACACTTCTTCAAGCCCCCCATGACGAACAAATAAGAAGGCATTTTTGTGCTTCTTATAACTTGGATCAATCAAGGCCACTGCATCTGCAGTCGACATAACAGCATCCGGCTTGAAATCAGTGATAGGAGGTGTGAAAGTTACCGGCTGGCGACGGCCACGTTTCTGTCTCAATTCATATTGCGCAATGAGTGTTTTTACCCAAGGCACGTCTTTGAAAAAATACAGTTGCGAGCCAGTGAGTACAGCACCCCATTCTTGCCACGGAGATCTCGTTTTCTTTTTCTTAGTGTCTTTTCTCCACAAAAGTCCAACTTTGGCAACCCTGATATCCACGAGGCCTGGCTGGGCTTCAGCAGGGTTAGCAATGGACGATTGTGTTAGAAAGGCATCTGGCCGCGACCTTTCAGATACGATTTGCAACACGCAAGGTTTGTAGAACGCTTGATGAAGGCGGTTCATATCTGGAGTATAGTTAGGGTCTGAAGAGCTGTATATATCTTCCAAATCCATAACATCTCCAAGATTGGGTCGAAGAACACCGAGCTTGCCTTCAAGTATCAGAGCATAAGGGTCGACGGGATCTCTCGATGATTTTACTGAGCGGTCGGAATTACCAACTTTGAATAATGGGCTTCTTGCTTTGGGCGCTAGTCTTCGAACGCCAAGATTGACTTCATCTTCCACATGGATAAAGGGGGTATAGGAGATGTTGTCATAGAAACATTCTAGAATCTCCTCTGCAAGACCCTCATCCCTGGTATTCCGAACATAATCAGATTTTTGCATTTTCCGCTTGTTATTTTTGTTGAAAACATCAGTATGAAGAATTAACAAGGAAAATGCAATAAAATATGCTTGGTCTAAGATTGATGTGCATTAGTTAAGTTCCCAAAACAAGAACATGAACGCGACTTACCAGTTGACGCGAAAATGCCGGGATTGCATTCATGATATCGATCTGCAAAACTTTGAAGCACGCGATCAATCTGCTGTGTTTCCTTTGGCAATTCTGCTTCCATGAGCAGCTTTCGAATTGACATATCCATTGCATCACCAAAAAAGGAAAACCCACGCATATACTTCCTCAAGGTGGTTTTATAGAACTCATCCACAGACTGTGAAAGAACAGTTGCGATGGCAGCTCTGTGAACAACGGCCTCAAGACGTGTCAAATAGGTGGCTGGAGTATCATCTGGTTCTCTAGCCGGAGAATTCGCAACCTCTCGTGCTATAGAGAAAGAATTCTGCTTGGATGTCAGAGATTGGGGGGTTCCAGGCACAATGCTTGAGTTATCCCCATCTATGTTTTGCTTTGACTTTTGAGAAGGGCTAAACAGATCGCTAAAACTCTTTCGAGGAGCCGTGAAAGTAGATGTACGACTTGACGGGTTATAATCAAGAGACGAGTGGTTGATATCATCCTGAATATCAGGAAGGGAACCGATTGTAGATGATCTTCCCCTACGGCCTGGTCGGGTTACGTGCTTGAGTGAAGAAGAAGATTTGCAGGAATGGGCAGATGTCGAGTTTTTGCGAATGAGTGTTCCATCGGGGAAACCGGAAGCTGGAGAAGCACGTCCTGGGGAGGAGTGAGATGGAGAAGGGAGAGGAGACAGCAGCTCACGATCTTGGCCAACGGCTAAGTCAGGCACAGCACGAGATCGTTGGTCTGGCCCAGGAGGTATTTTCGGAATCGGAAATAAAGGATTTCGGTTTTTCTTGAACTTTGGGATACGAAAAAATGAAGACGTGCTAGAAGAGGCATCTGTCTTGGACGTCGTGTTGTACACACCACCTAGTTCTCCAGAACTTGTCTCCGACCTTGATGATTCTGATAACCTCGCTGCGGGTAATAAGCCATGATGTAGCCCATCATGATTTCTGGCGGCTCCACTACGTAACGACGTCGTCGACAGCCTCCCTTGAGGTTCATCAAAACTGATGTGAGATGCCCTGACGCTTGATGGCGCGGTAACGGCGCCTTGAAAAGGAGTATTCGGTGCGCTCACATGGACGAATGGAGTGGAATCAGACGATTTTAATTGCTCTACGCGAGGTTTGTGAGAGAGTTTGAAGATGCTCCTGCGTCTTCCGAGTGGATCAGGTTCGCTGGTGGTTGGGGAAGTGGTGATAATTTTGGGTGCTAGTGTGCAACGATTAGCCAAGGAATTCCCGGTATGAAGTTACATCACTGAAAGACAAATGACCTACTCTTTGCAGATGAAGGAATTGAGGGGACGGGCGGAGGTTCTGCGTCTTGATAAGAAGCGGAAAGCTGAGGATCGGATGCATGTCGAAATCGCAATAAACTGAACCTGTTTCGTTTGGCATTTTGAGCGCGAAGGACACGGTCTGGTGCTCTTCTGGCGTAGCGTTCACCATCATCAAACGACGCAGATGGGAATTGGTTGGGCAGCCCCAAAGAATCCGAGCCGCGCGGCGTTGTGTGGTCGCTGGAATGCAGCGAACGAGGGGTTTGTTCGCTCAGTCGAGAAGGAGGAATACATAAAGCGGGCGGCAGTGGCTTTTGGGAGCTACCTTTCTGATTGGCACCACCGAACCTCAATCCCTTCCACGGCATGATGTAGTCGTCAGGCTGTCAGCGAGGATGATCATGGTCAAGCTCCATAGGTCATGGTACAGTTGACGGGCATCTCAGGGGCCGCGTAGGGCCAGTCTCAATTGAAGGAGCCGTGCGATGCAAAAAAAAACAACAAACACGTGGAGCAGGCAAAGAGTTGTCTCAGTGAAGGAAGCGAAGGGGCGGAGGGAGTGGATACAGCAACTGGAAATCTGCCGGGTAGAAAGCGATTGGGGTCAGTCAATGGCTGGTGGTTAGACTAACTAATGGAAGAGACTCACCTCCTGCGTTCCCAGTGACACCCGCGACTGTCGGCAGGCAGTGAAGGAATGAACAGTGGCGTCTGGGCAAGGATGCTGAGACTGAGCGAGGGCAGGCTGGACTGGGCCCCAAGGCTGACGTGGGAACAGGCGGAAAAGGTGGAGATCGCCAGCATCCAAGAACCAGAGCGTGCAGGCAGCGTGAATCAGACTGTGGACCAGTGCAAGACACGGCGGGCTTGGGTTGTTGCGATGCTTGGCCGTGAGTAGGCGAGGAGAAACAATGGGACGGAAGACCCAGGGGCAAAAGTCAGACGGCCAGCCACCGTGCTGTTTCCCGGGCGAGGAGGGCTGGCGCCTGATTGGGTTGACGGCGAGGGCTAGACTCTGCTCTGGCGCTGCGCTGGAGCCGCAGGGCTGCGTCGATGATGCTGATGACGGCGGTGCTGATCGCAGCAAGGGCGGAGAGAGAAGAGGAATTTCTGGTCCTCAGTACGGAGTATGTATGTAACTGTCTCCAGACTGCCAGACCATCCGCATAGCTAACGAACTAACTAACTGGCCTATGAATTAGCTGGCCAACTACGGAGGAGGGAACGGTTAGTTAGTTACATAACTTGTCATTAGTCCGCAGAGCCCTGTCGAGACTCCAGAATCCGGAATTCCAACAGCCAACCACTATTCCTCACCATCTAGCTATCGACAATGCGAGTGTCCTGTTCTTCTCCTCTACAGCTTCTCTCGGCCATGATATAAAGCACCTATCTGGCGCCAGAATGCACGTCCTGTCGCTCATCACCGCTGCGTCGCTGATCTCCGCTCCTCTCGTCGTCGCCGTCCCGTCATCCGGCGTCCACGAATTCCAGTCCCCCTTCGATGCCTCCCACTCGCCCCCGCCGTCCTCTCTCGACCCCTCTCCGCCCAGGGTATGGACTAAGCTACGTGATTCCATCATAGAGACCATCTGGCGAGTCCCAAACAGCCGCCGCCGGCCGTCCGGTTCAAAGTCGCCCGTTTTGTGGCCCGAGGTCCCCTCCTCCATCCGTGCACGGTATGGCGACGATATCGTACTGCGGTTCACGATCAGATCAGAAAGCGATGTCAACGCTCTGTTAGAAGCGTCCAATACTCTTTTCCTCGATGTCTGGGCATCTACGAACGAATGGGTTGATATCAGGCTGGCGAAGGATGTTGTTCGTTGCCCCCCTCCCTCCGGAATTCCTAGAGCGCTCGCTAATAAGATCTCTGATTTAGGTACCATCGCTGTTGGGGCTGCTTCCAGCCTCACTGAAATCCGCACATGTCCCCGTACTTCATGACCTGGCCCAGGCCATCTACGAGTCCTACCCTCAGACCTCCACAATCCGCGACCAAACCCGTGCCTTTTCCCCGTCGATTCAGCCCGACTCGGAGAATCAAAACATTTTTTTTCAGGATTATCAACCCCTTTCCGTAATTTTACCGTGGATGCGCTTGCTGGCGTCCATGTTCTCCTCTCATGTTCGCCTGATAAGCTTGGGAACTTCCGTCGAAGGTCGCGAGCTTATGGCCTTCCGTATTGGTGCTCATCCTTCAGACCCTAGTCGGCCGGTTAAACCACGCAAGACTATCATTGTTACTGGTGGCACGCATGCCAGAGAGTGGATCGGCGTTTCTACCGTAAACTATCTCGCATATTCTCTCATCACGGGTTATGGAAAATCAAAACCAATCACAACTTTGATCGAACAGTTTGACTGGGTTTTAATACCTACAATTAATCCCGATGGATACGTGTATACTTGGGAGACGGACCGTCTATGGCGAAAAAACCGACAAGAAAATGACCTAGCATTCTGCCCCGGTATCGATCTGGATCGAACATGGGGCTTTGAATGGAATGGCAACGATAGTAGGAGTAACCCCTGCTCCGAAGATTTTGCGGGAAATGAGCCCTTTGGCGGCCTAGAGTCAAAGAAGATTGCCCAATGGGCGCTCAACGAAACCACCGGTGGCAATTCAACACTTGTTGGCTTCCTAGACCTACACTCATATTCCCAGCAGATCTTATACCCGTATTCATATTCCTGCGCTGTTAGTCCTCCAACCTTGGAGAATCTCCAAGAGCTGGGTCTTGGGATCGCCAAGGCTATTCGCCAGACCGACAGTCAACATTACGACGTGAGCCCCGCTTGCGAGGGTCAAGTTGAGATTGGCCATTCCCAGAAGAAGGAAAAGAAGGGCGCTACTTTAAAACGTATGGAGAGTGCTGGAGGAAGTGCGTTGGACTGGTTCTATCATGAACTGCATGTTCGATACACCTATCAAATTAAACTCCGGGATAAAGGGAGCTATGGCTTCTTACTTCCCAGAGAAGAAATTATTCCTACAGGAAAAGAAGTCTACAACGCTGCACTGGTGTTTGGTAAATTTTTACTCGGCAAAGAAGCCGATACTATGGACTGGGATGCCGAGTTCCAGTTCTCTAAGCAAACTAATTCTAATGATGCGTACGTGCAAGGTGATATTCTAGAAGATGGGCAGGTTGACAGTATCCACGAAGAACAAGAGGATGCGAATAACGACTATTTACTTTGATATTTCAACTTGATGAATCTTTCTTTCTTGGCCAGGACCAGTCTTCGGCGCGCCTTACTCTACCCGCTTGCTAACTAATATTCTGGTTTGCAATGAGAAAATTCCCGCTTACAGGGGTTCCTTTGTTATATATGATTCTTTTCTTTTCTTTTCTAATACTATACTTTGAGGAACTGTATAGATTATATTCTGTTTGAATTTTTCTCCGGATATTGGCGTCTGGCTCAAATTGATTCTTTCTGATTAGCGGTTGTGCCTGCTGATTTGTTTCACATAGGCCTAGATCACTTATCACTTGGCCGCAAAACTTTGCTGTTTAATTTATCGATTGAGGAGTACAGCACTGATCTAACTGGAATCTTGTATCCGACAATTCATGACAAGAAATCCATAGGCCAAAATAAACAAAAACAATGAGTTCAACATATATGCGAGGGACATGAAGTTTTTTCCCGAGTGCTATAACTCCTCCCTTCCTCATGTTATTATCAAGTGAAAGAACACCATACTGCAATGCTAAATGGATGTACACTCCAACTACTGACCTTAGAGAAGAGAAAAAGAGGGGAAGCAAAGGTTAAGAGACTACTGATATTTATATCTTTCAACTTTAGAGCTGTTTTCATAGGCGAGTTCCGCAGGAGAAAAAGAGCTAGCGGTGAGCTCCATCAGAATAAATCTCTGTCGACCCTCGGTCATTTTCTCCCTTGCTGTTTGGTATCACATCAGACTCTTCACTTATATAGTGACGAGCCTGAAGTCCACATATCCCGCGATCAAGATGAACTCCAACCTGGATGACGAGATTACTGCTCTTGCCATGCAGCTTGAGGAGATTTACTTGATGACGGACCGCCAGAAAGGTAAATATCGTGAAAATCAACACCCAGATCCGGAACTGGCTCTTGCAACGTTTCTGGATGAGGTTCGCGGTCATGTCAGCTTCCTTGAGGACCAGAAATTTGCCCATAGTATTGCGTCGGCCGTGGCCACAGACTATCAAGCTATTGCAGATCTTGTTTCGACTGATCAACAAACCCTGGAGGATAGACGGTTTGCGGCCCAATTCAGCAATGATGAAAACGCTGAACCACAGGCCCCGCCGCCGTACGCTGAATCAATTTCCGAAACTTTCATTACAAATGAAATCCAGACTCCGGCAAGCAGCTCTCGTGACAATGGAAATACCGATGCCGCCGACGACGACGAGTTGTCTGTTCAAGCTGAGCCTCCAATGGCATATGTTGATAATCAGGAGAAAGCGCTGAAGAGGTTCTCTATGGGGGTACAATGCAGCGTTTGTTTAGATACCATGCAACTGCATCAAATTATTCGACTGGATTGTCACCACCGCTACTGCCACGATTGCCTGAAAAACCTTTTCATGCGATCTACCACCGACCAGACTCTGTTTCCTCCAAAATGCTGCCGTCAACAGATTCCACTCTCTTTCGTCCTCCACGAACTATCTGCCGGTGAACTGGAACAGTTTCAGAACGCAGAGGCTGAGTTTTCCACAAAGGATCGAACATACTGCAGCAATAGAGATTGCGGAAAATTCATACCTCCTAGCAGAATTATATCGGACAGAGCGGAGTGTGGCAACTGTGGCAGTGCAACATGCACAATGTGTAAAACTCCATACCATAGTAATGATTGTCCCGCGGACTTAGCTCTTCAAGCCATACTAGAGCTCGCTATGAGTGAGCGGTGGAAACGATGTTTTTCTTGTAAGGCTATGGTGGCTCATGAGTATGGCTGTTGGCACATGACGTAAGGTCGCCCTTCTATGTACATATAATGCGCTTTTACTGATGGAGAATCTAGTTGTACCTGCAAAGCTGAATTTTGTTACTTGTGTGGGGTGCAATGGAAAAATTGCGAATGTGATCAGTGGAGCGAACGGCATTTACTTGCACGGGCTGAGCAAGTCGTTGACAGAGAGGCCGTTCAGCCTCTGGCACCTCAAGAGCGAGAACGTCGGGTTGTCCAGATGCGCCGCGAGTTACTTGAGAACCATGAATGTGAACATTCGCGCCGGTTTGAACGAATAACGGACAGTGCAGGGAGAAGAGGTTACCGGTGCGAGATATGCTCTGCTCGACATTGGAACTACATTCTCCAATGCCGTCAGTGCCACTTGAGAGCGTGCGAGGATTGTCGTCGGCATCGAATATGATAGAGGTCGAGTTCAATACTGCCGTAAAAGTGTTTCCAGTTTCCAGATATGCACATACCCGAAGATTCACCTTGGTCGGAATAAAAATGGCTTGGAGGAAGGAGTAGGAGTGGGAGTTGTTTATCAAATTGTTCTTCCATATATTCATGTATGGTACTACACGCAAGGTAAAGACCTAGCTGAATCAGTACGCCCAAATACTGTCTTACTCTACTCATTTTTTTAAAAAAAAGGTCCCAAGATAAATCAAATCCTTACAACTCTAATGGTTCTTGGGGGGGTCTATGAACCCATGCGGGAAACATCCGGCCCGGCTGCCCTTTTCGGCATCGATTTTGGTTGAAATAGTATTTTTCATCCAGACAAGGATGGGATATTTTTATCCCTTCAAAATTGGTTGGGAACGTTAGTTAGGCTAGGTTTAGTGCTATTTACATAGCACATGACCTCTGTGAGCAGATTTTCGTCGATGGAGAGGCGTGCTTTTTTATGCCATGACCATTATTATTGAAGCCCGCTGCCTTGCAATAACCGTGCCAAGTGATAACCAGCTAGTTACTTAACTCGACATTTCATGCTGATAAACTGATAATGGCTTCTTCAGTCTTTAGTTGGAGCCATAGCAAGAGGCCCCACGTCGATCTTAACAATAACAGAGACGGGAGTGGCTCCGTACAGTTGATTAGCGTGGGTTTGGGAGTGGTGTCGGACTCGTACAGGGCAGCACTACTGCAAATCAGCGTTCAAGGACCCGGTGGGGAGAGGCCCAAGTGCTTAATTTTGCTTGAGTTCGCCTCTTGAACAGGGGGGAGGCCCAGTCGCTGGTAAAGCCGGGCGCTTGTGGGAATCCTTATACGTGGAATGTCGCTCCGTGCATGATAAGAAGTACCGGGTACCAATTAGGCGACGGCATGCAGCATGTTTTTTAGGCCTTGAGGCTTGGTACCGGGTACTTTGCTACAGCTTAATCGTGCACTCTTTCGACGGTGTCCCGTACTTATCGCAGCGAAAGTCTAACCTGCCCCGCGATAAGGATACTTTATATGCAGAGTACAGTCTGCCTAAATCACAATGGCCAGCGTCAAGAAGCTCTCCGGACAGTGTCTGTTCCACAGTTCTGGTTCATTGCCCTGCACTTCAAAATGGGCTGGACATTGTTCAATGCATCTTCCTACTCATATAGCGGTGATGGTGGCCTTTACGGGGCCACCAAAAGCCCCCTTCTTCAAAAGGCGGAACACGCGCATCGCCGAGTCCCAGGACTGAGAAACATTCCCCTCCCAGCAATAGGAATTATTGTCCTCATTGCCTTGGTGAATGCTGTGGTTTGGATGGCCGCCGGCATCGTCTTGGTATGTACAGTTTCCATTTCTCCGAGAAGATCCAGTGCAACCACCCACCTTGCTGCAGGCAGTCATCACATGCCTTGGGCGACTGATGGGATGCCTTGTTATCACGTCATTGAGGAAAGATACATTTTGCTAATGAACACTATGCTTTAGCATTACAACCCGTGAGTAATGGTTAACATACCGCCGTTGGCCCTTTGGTGCCATTTCTAGCTAACTATTGCAATTTCAACTGCCCAGATCCCTGGTATCCACTGCAGTATTGTCTTATACTCTGGGACTGAGACACGCCCTTGATGCAGATCACATATCGGTAGGTGTCTGGGAGCTTTGACAGTAGTCTGGAATCTCTACAAAAGATCAAAGGGAAGAGCTGTGCTAATGCAACGATATTTGTACCAAGGCTATTGATCTCATGACCCGTCGTCTCCTGGCAACAGGTCAGAAGGCAGTAACCGTAGGAACATTTTTCTCTCTTGGTCACTCAACGTGAGCTGCGGTCTTTCTCTCGACGTCTTTGAGTATATTAACAGCTGAATCATTGCATAGTATCGTTATTATCACGTCTATAGTTGTAGCTGCCACGGCTGCAGCTGTATCATCTAAATTTGACAAGTATGGAACGATCGGGAGTATTATTGGCAGCTCTGTTAGCTCCGCATTCCTGATTCTTCTTGGGATTATGAATGCATATATCTTATATAAATTGCTTCAGCAAATGGGCAAATCATTGAAGAGCCGGGCAACGGGAGAAGAAATATCAAAAATAGAGGGAAGTGGTGTACTGTTCAGAATTCTGAAAACAATGTTTAAATTAATAAACAGGTGTGATTTTATGACCCATCCTTTTCCTATTTCGTTTCTGACGGAGAGTTGTTTAGACCATGGAAAATGTACCCGTTAGGTGTATTGTTCGGGCTTGGATTCGACACGTCCTCTGAAATTGCTTTGCTTGGAATCTCTTCAATCCAGGCAGCCCGGGGAACCAGCATTTGGGTGATCATGATTTTCCCCTTTTTATTCACAGGTAGTTACATTTTGATTCGGTCTAAATGTGCTTTCTTCTCCATTCGGAGCTGACTCGCTGTCTAGCTGGAATGTGTCTTATTGACACGATCGATGGTGCCTTGATGCTATCGTTGTACATCCAACCAGCGTCTCACTTCCTGGCCTCACCTTCCGAGTCGTCCACGGTCACCACTTCCTTGGTAGAGAACAATACGCAGAGTCAGCCAATATCTCGCAGCCCTCGAGACCCCATTGCCTTCCTGTACTATTCGATCGTCCTCACATCCTTGACCGTCATAGTCGCGATAGTTATCGGTATCCTTCAGCTACTTACTCTCATACTCAATGCTGCAAAGCCAGAGGGGAAATTTTGGGATGGAGTAGAGATAGCGGGGGAATACTATGATGTTATCGGTGGTGCTATATGTGGGTGCTTCCTCATCTTCGGGGCTATCAGTGTTGTTCTATATCCATGCTGGAGGCGAAGGATGGACAAGAGATATGGCAGTCATAACGGCCAAGGAGAAGAAATTGATGATAGCAACACCAATAGGGAGCCCAGTGCGCAGCAAAGTCTAAGCACAGATGTGCCTAAGACAGGCGCCGAGATTAACATAATCAGAGAACCGTCAAGTTCTTGATATGATGAGGAGCGCAGCTATCAATATAAATTTTTAACTTGATTGCCTCGAAACTTTAAAGCGGGAGCTTACCTAAACAGAAAGAATAGCTAGGCTAATCCTAATTAAGACTAAACCAATCCATTTAACGGAATAAATATTTATCCGCAGATCTTCTGTGATTAGTCATCACTGTCGTCATACTTGCCTGAGGAGAAATATGGACGGAGTAACATCGACGATGTCGAGCCTATTTTCGCTTTTCATTTCTGCATAAGCGATTTCTTTTTTTACTTACTTTGTATATAGATATTCCATTCTTTTTAGCTCTTTGGCTTATATATGGCCCCAATTCATATCAACAGGGTTTCGCACGTACGTTGAACATGGATTGGCAACATGAGTGAGACGGGCCTTGTTGATAAGCATGGGGATTTGGTTGACGAGCCTACTATAATCGATCTCAAATTCTTTCCGTCGACTTTCATCTTGCCAATACACCTCACTTTAAGTGAACTGCACCGATTTGAAGAGACTGTTGTTCGTTGTGGGGCTCCTTTGACATACGATATTGCTGAGGCGCATTTGATCCTTGGTAAAGTGTCTCATAAAAAAAGGGCCGCCCTGGAGCTTCGAACGCGAGCTCTGTGGACAGAAGACTTATGTGATAATGCCGATTCTTCTCAATTACCACCCAACAAGAAGCCTCGACTCGAGAATCCTTCCGTTGTGGATGGCGAACATGCGGAGGCAATGCAAGATCAGGCTATCGCCGAACCTAAGGGTGTAGCTAGGCCTGGGGAGAGCCCAAGTGATAAACCGACATTGCACGCCGTTCAAGAGGTGCTTACTCCGCAGCATATATACTCTTCGCTATCTTCTCTGCGGGATGACGATGTCCGTGTGATAAAGTTAGATTGGCTGCATGAGTCTTTGGCTGCCGGTCATGCATTGCCCCTAGCTCCGTTCACAGTTTATCATGCACGTAAAGTTTCTCGGCCTGACACCTCTCCGTCCTTGAAAAATTTTCCAAGGGGTACTGGTTCGTTCTCGTCAACCCTTTCCCATGCACGAGAAAATAATACCCATCGAATTCTCGAGCGAGCCAAAGCGGATGCGGCAACCGCTCCTCCGCCGCGATTTACTCTTCCGTCAACAAAATATCATCGAGGAAAGCTGGGTCTGGGCGATAGCCATAGCCTGCAAAAGGCGCGATCGAAGATGTACCGAAAAACAACACCTGAACACGAACAAGTCGTTTCCATTCCTGTAGTGCCAGACTGGGTCGAAAACAATGTGCTGTATGCTTGCCTTCGATCTGCACCACTTCATCCACCGAATGAACAATTTATAAACCAGCTTCTAAAAATTAAACAGATACGAGAGCTCACTCTGGATGAAATTGGGGTTAGGGCTTATAGCACATCTATAGCATCTCTTGCCGCCTACCCATATTTACTTCAAACTCCCGAGCAGGTCTTAGCTCTCCCCGGGTGTGAATCGAGGATAGCAAACTGGTTTTCAGAATGGAAACAGAGTTCTGATGGAACTGTACAGGCAGCGAATCAGCTTGATACGGATCCTGTTCTCTCCACGTTGAAGCTATTTTCTAATATATGGGGGATTGGCGCGAAAACAGCTCGCGAATTCTATTATCACAAAAATTGGCGTAGCTTCGATGATATCATTGATAATGGGTGGAATAATCTCTCTCGAGTTCAACAAATCGGTGTCAAGTATTACGATGAGTTTTTGGAGGGAATTCCACGAGCAGAGGTAAAATCTATCGCTGACATCGTGCTTGAGCATGCTCGCAAGTCGAGGCCTGACTCCCATTACGATGGAAAAGGAATAGAGGCTATTATTGTCGGCGGGTATCGAAGAGGCAAAGAACGTTGCGGTGATGTAGATATAATTCTTACTCACCGAGATGAGAACGTCACGCATGATCTCATTTACGATGTTATATCTAGTTTAGAACAGGGGGGTTATATACCCTATACACTATCATTAAATCTAGCCAGTTCTCATCGGGATCAGCAACCTCTACCTTACCGCGGTGAAACGAGTAAGGGGAGGCTTCACTTCGATACTCTCGATAAAGCGCTGGTTGTGTGGCAGGATCCTCACTTTGAAGGCTCATCTTTAGATTTATACCCGAGCCAAGAACCAAAGGAGTTGGATAACGATCACACTTCCCAAAGCCCGCAAAGCGGAACAGACAATCACAACTCAGTCACACTAAAGCCTGTGAAGACGAATCCAAACCCTCATCGCCGGGTTGACATCATCATCTCACCCTGGCGTACAATTGGCTGCGCTGTCCTTGGCTGGTCTGGTGATACGACTTTTGAAAGGGACCTTCGTAGATATGTGAAGAAAACAAATAACTGGAAATTTGACTCAAGTGGTATTCGAGCTCGTGAAGGCAGTGGTGGACGGGTGATTGATCTAGAGAGCAATGGCAAAACATGGCAAGAAAGAGAGCGGCTGGTTATGGAGGGCTTGGGAGTGGGCTGGAGACCACCCGAAGAGCGCTGCACACGATGAGGATCCGATGGTGTATTTATGCATACAAGGTAATGATTTATGTGTTAATGAGAAGACGGTATCATGTCACCTTTTTTGTATACGTTCGAGTATTTTACAATGCATTTGGCATATAAAAAATCATACAAACGTGAGAGCATTTCCTACTACACAGTAGACAAAAGGGTTTTTAATACATACCACAAAGTCCATCCATAGAGAACGCTGCATCGTATTTCCAGCCAGCATAGAGATAAGGAAAATCATAAATCAGGGAATTATAGATACAAGATCAAGAATCGAAGGAGTATTTCAGGTGGATGAGAAAGAGACGTATTGAAATGCCGGTTACAACAAAACAAAAACTGGTTGAGAATATCGGGAGGCCTGAAGGCTCCACCAAAAAAAGTAACCTAAAATGTCGGCTTCTTTGAGCTTGTCATTTCTCCATAACGCCCTCTGCCCCTCGTGGTATCGTATGCATTCACCACTCTCATCTGTCCACCTTCATCCGCTTGACTGAACGCGTATCCGCGTTGCTTCCGCATTCTCTGCACCTGTCTGACTTTCCGAATCGCTTTTTGGAATTGCTCCATACGAGGCCGATAGTCTTGAACATTGTATTTCTGAATTTCTTGCACGTGATGATAGCTTTGAGGATAATACATCCGCTTCGCATATTTCCAGGCAAAGTCGCGGAGTAAGCAGATTGCTGGAAGGACAACCGCCATAAGCCAGAATACTGGTAAGGGGAGGAGCTGAGGAATTATCCCCAGATATTCGGTAGAAAAGCCAGATCCGATATTCGGGGCCGCATAAGCGTACGCAGGGATAAATCCCATCCAAATGAAAAAAGATCCCGGGATGGCGAGAAAAGTATATTTAGTCCAGATATTGGTGACCAGGGCGGCTTTGCCAAGGACAGTGGCCAAAACCGCGGTATATAAGGCTGTACCCCATACCCAATGCCCGACAACGATCCCATCTTTTGTAGGCAGGTCATAAAGAAAGACGGCTTGAGAAAGGAAGTAGGCGATCAGAGAATGGTAGAAACCATTTCCAACCCAAGAGAAAAAACTATGCATCTTGAAAAAAACGCCCTTCTGGCCAAGCTGATAGAGTTGTGGATAACGATCAAGAAGCCTAGCGGAGATAAATTGATCGAAAATTCCCATGGCAAAAGGAGGCAGAACGGTGAAAAAGACATTGTAAAAGGAGAGTGTCCATGATTCATATATGACTTGTCCAGAGAAGGAATTCTGAAAAGAATACTGTAAAAAGTGTTAGTAACAACATGGGTTCTTGATGAGCTAATAAAGAGACACTCACCCAAAACTGTGTCATATACAAAGCAATATTCTTATAGAAAGAATATAGAATTACTTTGCTAATACGCTGGTAACTCCACGCACCATGCACCAGAAGTAATTTTCGAAGGAAACGGAATTGGGCGATTGCGACGTCTGCACTTCGAGCAGCTTGTAGACCTTCGACCCCACTAATTCCAACGCCGACATGCGCGGCTTGTATCATGGATACATCATTTGCACCATCTCCGATCGCAAGTAGAAGAGATTTGAGATGGCGTTTGACGAGCTTAACAACCAATGCCTTTTGCAATGGCGATACACGGCTGCGAGAAATATCAGTTTTGCTATCTGAAAAATGCAATGAAGGAATTGGCCCATACCAACATATTACGGCCTTACAAGCAACAGCAAGGTCTAAGAATAATTTTTCCATGTCCCGCTCTAGAGCGAATGTCAATGATTTTCCGTCAATGACAAGAGCAAGGGTCTCGATATCCGAGCCGCTCTGACTTTGTACTGCCTGTAGTTTTTTAGATAAGCTCTCTCTAGTTGCTTCTGCGGTTTCTTCATTGATTATTAGTAAAGTCATATCCTCTGATATAAGCTTGCAACTCATGCCGATATTAATAGCAGTTTCCTGGCGATCGCCAGTTAACACCCAGATTTTGATGCCTGCCTGCTGTAGTGTGTGTATTGTGTCTGGGACACCATCTTGCAGACGATCTTCTATTGCGGTTGCACCAAGAAGGTAGAAATCTTTTTCGATGAGTTCGGCCGCTTTGTCCAACTCTTCCGCTCGGTTTCCACTAACAGTCGTGGCAGCCTTGTCGAATACTTGCCACCATTCTTTGAACTCTTCTTCTGGGATTTCTCTCATAGCAAGACACAGTGTGCGAAGTCCCTCTGAAGCATATTCTTCCAAATGTTGAAGGGTTATATCAACAGTAGTATTGTCTGGGCGAAGACGTTCAAGTATAACCGTGTCGGCACCTTTGCAATATAGCCTAATTCTCCCATCGGGACACCTGAAGATAGTTGACATGCGTTTTCTGGTTGAATTGAACTCACAGACGGCTAGCAATTCGAACTCCTGTTCTTCTCCATCAGCTGAAATTATTACGGACCTTGGTTTTCTGTTTGTGAACTGATAGCCTAGCAGGACGGCGCCGTCAACTAGGGCGCCTTCATCAGGAGACGCTGCTTGGTACTTGATTTCACCTGGTTTTTCATCCCGGCGCTCAGGTATGACCGTATGACAGGTAGCTAGGAGCGTCAAAAATTGCTTGATCGTCTCCTGGCTAGGATGGGACTGAATATTCTGTCTTAATTTTTTGAAATCGTAAATGGCTGTGTCGGAATCATCTCCATCTATCGCACGTCGGTCTTCAGGGACAACTTCCGCATATTGTATTCCAGCAATAGAGCACTGCTTGAATTCCATCATGTTGCAAGTTAATGTGCCGGTCTTGTCAGAAAATATGTACTCTATCTGGCCAAGCTCCTCCACTAGGGAAGATGTGCGACAAGTGGCCGGTGTATCTGTTTTATCGTAGTAAATATCGAGGTCCGAGTTTATCAAAAAAGCATGAGAATATTTGACGATCTCTATCGTAACAAATAGAGAAATGGGGACAAGGTTGGAGTAAAGAACCCAATAGGTGAAGATATCTGAAAAAAACTGGGCGGCAGCATTCACATTTCCATAATCTAGGTAAGAGAGGTTTTTTGATGCAGTAATTCGAACGATTAGGTCACCAATAGAACTGATTAAACTGAGAGAAATTAAGATGCCAACAAGCATCAGAATTTGTAAGTTTACCATGCGTTCTACGGCAGTCCTTTTGATAGGGGTCGCCGTGGCATTCCGCATCAGCTTGGTCTCATGGCCTGTAAAGACTACAACACCATGGATCCAAGGGGTATTGCGAAGGGTAGCTCCACGGAGAAGCAATTGATCTGGAGCAAGGGGAAGCTCCTTCTCTGCACCACTAGAATGCATAGTTAAAGTAGCTTCGTATGTGTATAGGCTGCTATTGGGCTGTTCAGATTTGAGTCGGCCAGCGACTCTACTAAGTTGGTCCGAGCTGACGAGATCAGAAGTTTCGGGAATTGCTTGCTTAATTTTCAAATTGGTTTCTCCATCCAGATTTGCCGTTTCAATATAGCAAAGACCTTCAGGTTCTGAGCTTGCCACAAGAACAAGGTCAGCGGGAAACGGCTCTTCGGATTCGACTCTAATAATATCACCGACTGAAACATCGATCCATCTGGTTTGCTCGAAAACACCCCCTCGTAACACTCTTGCTTTTGAATAGTTCAGAGATTTGTCGGAATTTTTACGCTTGAAATCTTCCACTAGCTCCTTGATAGCGGATACAAGAAGTACAATGATGAGGGGGCCAATTGTGGTATAGCGATTGGTAGGCGAGATGTTTGGAATTTGTTGTAGAGCTGCGGTGAACAAGAAAAAAAGATTGGCATATTTGGAGAATTGTTCGAAGAGGAATTTGGGGATAAATGTAAATATGTTGTATTTGGCGGTCGAGATGTGGTTGTCCACGTATTTATTCGCCTGGTTCGCGGGTCCGTTATTGAGATGTATTATCCGGGGTCCAAGGGTTGAAGGGTCAGGTTTTCTTCGCATAAAGCTAGAGAAAAGGCTTCCAGGTCGGTGTTTTTTGCTTTTTGGTCTCGCCTCGTCCTCCGTTCCCACGGTGTTCCCTCGGGTCCTTGCACCAGCTTCGGTCAAAGGTAGATCCATCTCAGAATATTTCGGACCCATTCCAAGCATAGTTTTTGCTCTTCCCACAAGCCCTCCTCCTAAGGTGAGAATGCTGTTGCGATCCCGGGCGCGTGCATCTCGTATTGGAGCAGTATCACCATCTATATCTGCTTCGGGATAGTACCCTCGCATCGACCTTTCATCAAAATCATCCATATCGGAGTACCGCTGGTAGTTATGCAAATCAGACGTCTGCGAATAGGTACGAGCAGTGTGGTCCCCGCCATAGACACGGCTACCTGCTGGAGGCGGCTGTAATGCAGCATTGTGTGAGGTACTCGATGGAGCATCGGTCGTCGCATGCGGGTGCCTGCCACCAACAAATTCATCGTAGGAAACCGAAGCGCGGGGAGACGGGAGGTCAGAATCATCGATATCGAAGCGCTCAAGAAGGTGATCGTCGTTCACTGGAGGACGCTGTCCAGTGCTGTACACCGGGCCATCGTCCAACTGAAGGAGATCGTTGTTGGCGCCGGCGGACGGATGGCTTCCAGGCGGCCTTCCGCTGGCCATATCGCTGCTTGTTGCGATGGAACTACCGCGATGCAGTTATCCAAGCAGTGCGTCGCAGCATGGAAGGCAAATAAGAAGGACCGAAGAGAGGTCTTAGCAACGAGAATGGCTCAAACCTAGTGAGTTGACAAAAGATCGCCTTGTGAGTGTGAACATCAAAGAAAGGGCGTGCAGCACGAGCCTCAAGGTCAACTAGTTTAAGCGTAAATGGTTCCTGTGAAGTTCATTGAGATATCTGGTCAAGGCGGCTGAAGGTCGTTGGCTTCTTGTTGCAGCTTGGAAGGTTGACATCCGAACCCTTGAAACACTGGCGGAATCTCGCAACGTTGACTGGCTCCCGGCTTTCACTGCCTCTTCGCCAACATCAACGAGTCTCCAGAAAAAAAAGTATTTACAGGCAGGTATATTTAGAATGGGGCTTAATAATATGTCAGATATTCGTGTAGTGAGCGCTTACCAGCCCCCTGTATTATAATTGTGAGATTGTGTTGCTACATACGTAACTCTGTTGCTACTCAGCCACCAAGATCTTGTCACGCTCTACTCCTTACATGCCCAAAAGGCTTTGGAGGCCATCGAGGAAGACCTTTCACGGCGTCTATTCTTGGCAGAGATCCCAAGACGGGGACATGAAAGCTCTGCTTCATCCTCGTCCGAATTCCAGAGTTGGAACAGTGAATCCTCCTCGTCACTGGATCTTGTATAGATGCTTCTCTGAAACACGCTTGAACCACCTTTGACGAGGTAGATTCTCATTTGAAGAGTGTATCACCTTCCTATGATGTTTGAAGGGTATCATCTTTCATTCGCAGCACTCGCTTCTGCATATAATCCTTTTTGGTCCCTCCGTTTTGAGTCTTCGTCTAATTTTTGTTGTACGAATGCATTCAGGTCTCGTATTTTAGCAAACGCGGTAGTAGAGCAAGATACCATGTTCAGCGGATCCGCAGGGGTCCCTTCAGCTTTAGAATAGAAGGCAATTTCCCCAGTTTTATCCATAGCAATAACCACAGCGCCTTCACTAACTGCCTCTTCACTCGAACTTGCGTCGAGAAGTGCAATTTTCCCTTCATCATAAAGGTGGAAGGTTATCGACAAAGGAACTTTGGTTAGGTTCAGAGGTACCGGGACCTTCTCTTCGATTGAGTAGACAGTGACTTTACCGTCACGAACAATTGATTCTGGTAAACGGAAGTGAAGCAAGCCAGCCATAACGGCAAGACAGCAGGCATCGACCAGGCCGCCATCTGCATCAATGACATGTATATCCGCACGAACATTCCAGCAGCTCAATCCCTTCGCTATACAGAGAGATTCTGTATCAAGGGCATTGGATCGGCGCACGATTTTATCCAATGTACGGGAAAGTTGAAGCTCAAGATCGGATTGCCTGGTTTACATTATGGTGTCGTTAGCAACATTAGGGTTACCAGGAGAAGTAGGTTGCAATGGAAAAGACAATCAAAGCAAAAGATTTGGGGGGCAGTATACCGTCCGGTTTCGAAGCCTGGGACGGCCATATCATTCAGCTCAATAGCTACCGTAAAAATTCCATCGCTATCTCTGTCCGGACGGGGTGCTGTGACTTCTGCCGATATGCGCACAATTACACTATGGAACTCAGATATTAGAGAGAATCTACATTCATGCTCGAATCAGGAGCTGTTACCTAGTCCTCCCAAGCTTGACATTTAGGTGCCCATATTCATCCCCAAAGGTTAAGTCAAGAGCACGAAACTGGTCGAAGGCACGGCCGTCCAGGCGAACGTTGTGATGCAGTGCCTCGACAATGAATGCTCGCTCATTTGCTGAGAGCTCTGCGTCCCTAGCCATTACCGGATAGACCTAACATCCCACGTACGCCTTCGTTTAAGGAGCCGCGCGAATCCACCTACGACCTTACTGGAAGAGATATCTCGGTATAATATTATTGCGAACCCGGCCGGCATTACGGTATAATAATATTCCGAATGTTACTAATTAATTGAAAACAGTGCAAACAATCTTTTTGTCGAAGCTTCCTAACTCGAAGTTACCGATCTCGTTATTTCGAAGCAGAGTGACCGTACAACTGGCGTTAAGATGACTACAGGTTCGCTTTAATTCCGGATAGAGCTGTTATACGTTGTACTAATTTTATCACAGCACATAGGCCAACCTTTGATCCAGTACGTTAACAGAACTGTTTTAGCATATCCTTTTCACAGCATTTACATGTATTCTAGGCCAAGGGAAAGGAAGCGTTACGAGGGCCAGCTTATCATCAACGGCTACTTCCGGCTCATACTCTTCTTAAAGTCCGGTAAGTTCTAGCAAATGACCTAGGAGAGTATAGCTTTTGACATACAGCACAGGAAGCCAGGGCAGGGAGGAGACGCAGACGATGAAGTGCGGGACCTCCGGGCTGAGCTGTTGAAAGCAGAAGCTGCTCACTTCGCAAAAAAAGCCGGTCTCACCGATGGCGAGGCTCCTTCTGCCTCAGTAGAGACGGCGACACCAAAAAGGCAGCTGGAGAATGGCCCCGATGACAGCGATGGCTCAGATATCGAAGACATAGAAGCAAAGCGTCGAAAAGTCTTAGAGGAGACTCGGGATATAGACGCAGACTCTGACGGTGATGATAGTGATAGTATCGAAGAAGAGAGGTAGGTGGTTTCTTGGGTGCCCTTTACACATTATGATATTGTGGTATACTGATAGAACCACAGTGATGATGAAGAGGATGAAACTGCAGAATTAATGAGAGAGTTAGAAAAAATCAAAAGAGAGCGCGCGGAGCAGAAAGAGCGCGAGGTACGACCTATACAACCCACGTGCAGCACATCTCCCTAACACAACAACAGGAGCAGGAAAAGGCTGCAAAAGAGCAGGAGCAACGCGAATACGACATAGCTCGCGGTAACCCTTTGCTGAACCCCCAGGATTTCAATCTCAAGCGGCGCTGGGATGATGATGTCGTGTTCAAGAACCAAGCGCGAGGCACAGAAAACAAGGGGAAAAAGGAATTCGTCAATGTACGCGTTACCGCCCTTACTGTGGCGTGTGTCCCTTGATGCTAATAGCCTTGTTCTCTAGGATCTCCTACGATCTGATTTTCACAAAAGATTTATGGTGCGTTTCACTTCGAAATTTGTTCCAACGTTCGGCTGACATGGTGGCCATTTTTAGTCGAAATATGTCCGGTAGCCTCGCCACCCCGGCGGCCCCTGTGCAGCCCGTTTGATCCCTGTTGTGGCCTGCTCGCCCTACGGTATTCGCCGATGCTGGCTAGGGCGATCGATGCGGTGTTTTCGGAGACGAGCCGGCTGCTTCTCGCGCAGTGTGGCGCTGCACAGCCACAGTTGCATGAGCCCCGGGGCAGGTGTGTGGCAAACAAACTCAATTCGTACCAGCCCGTCGCAGAGCATAGCCAACTTGCCCCTCAAGCTGGTGTCTGGTTTACGGCTCGGCCAGGAGCTTCACCTTGCTGGCGTTACAGTTCGATGGGAGTCTGGGTGTCGCGGGGCAACCTTGCGCCGTGCCTGCGGGGTCATGACGGCAGAAAGTTTATTCGCTGACGCAACTCCCCCTCCATCTGGTGATGCACGATCAACATCCAGATGGCTTGCATGCTCCTGGTATTCGCTTAGTTTTCGTGCTCTCGAACCCTGTCCCGGGCTAGTGCTTCAGCTGCGCCATTCTTATTTAGCTTTGCCATGACGCAGAATAGTGGTGCCGGGAAAGTGGGTGTGTGCTTTTGAGAGCGCGGCGGATTGGTGCTCCGCTTGTTTGTCGGGTTTGAGGCAGTTTCGCCATTGTGAATGCTGAGAACATAAAAGCGGGCACTTCCCCTCACTCCTACCGTTAATCGCCCGCCCTCTCCGATACTTATCCTGTTGACTTGCCTTTTCTGAGCTTTCTTACTACTCTCTCGACTTTCCATTCTTCCGAAATCATGTCTTACAACAACGATTCCAACCAATATGTACTTAACTCCTTTTCAAATCTATGTCGTTTTCAAGTTGACACTCTGCGTCTAGGGTCGAAACACCAGCAGTTATGGGGATAATGACAATTCCTACGGCGTAAGATTGCCCACTCTCTTTAGAACTCCCACGCGTATCCCATGAAATGACATTGCTAATGTCGGCGTAACAGTCATCCCGTCGAGATGACAATACTGTAGGTCAACCTCTTTGTTGGATAGCTTCCTTTACTTTCCAGCCCTAATTTTGGCTCTAGTCCTCTGGCCGTGGGGATTCTTATGGGGTGAGATACCTAAGTTTGACCTTCAAGTCGTGCATCCATCTGACTATTCCTCCTTATTCAGTCTTCTCGTAAAGATGATACATATGGATCCAGTGGAAACGATTCCTATGGAAGCTCTGGCCGCCAAGGCATGAGTGGAGGTTATGGATCTGGTAATAACCGTGATGACGATAACAACACTTACGGGTCATCTGGCCGGACTGGTGGTAACGATTCCTACGGTTCCAATAAGAGAGATGATAATACCTACGGATCATCTGGCCGGACTGGTGGTAATGATTCCTACGGATCCAATAAGAGAGATGATAATACATATGGATCATCCGGTCGAAGTGGAGACTCTGGCTCATATGGCTCCAGCCAGCGTGATGACAATTCCTACGGCTCCTCTGGAAACACTGGAAGCGGTAACTACTCCTCTAGCAGGAGAGATGACAACGATACATTCGGAAGCTCCGGGCGCACTTCCGGTAATGATTCGTACGGGTCCAGCGGCCGTGATAAGGATAGCTCCTATGGCTCTTCTGGCTATGGCTCTGGAAAGAAAGATACTGATTCGTACGGGTCTGGCAAGCGGGACCAAGATTCGTATGGCTCTTCTGGGATCTCAGGGACTGGCAACTATGGGTCGAATAAGAATGATGACGATGACTCCTATGGATCCAGCAAACGTGACAAGGACAATTCTTATGGCTCTTCAGGCTTTGGCTCCGGCAAGAAGGACAACGACACCTATGGATCGTCGGGCTATGGTTCGAGCAATAAGAACGATAACGACAGCTATGGCTCTTCTGGCTATGGTAATACTAAGAAGGATGATACATACGGCTCATCTGGCCTCGGCAGTGGACGCCGCGATGATGATGACAATAATGGTAGGCAATAGCCGTCCCATGCAAGTGACGGATGTCAAGCTAATAATAGTATGCCAATAGACTCAACCACAAAAAAGATTCTCAACAAAGTCGGCGGCGCAATTGCTGACCATATGAGCAGCAATAAGCGCCAGTAGGGGTGTATGTATGCACATACATAGGTCTTGCTTGTTGCCGTACTTTGTTATGACCTTTATTCTTCGTAGTTACTAGCTATTATGTAGCAGATGAAAGTGTTTGATAAGGTCTTCTTTTAAATACCTAGAATTGGCAGTCCTGGATACGTAGTTGAGTGCGGATGCTGGTCAAGGGAAAGGGGCGCCTAATAAATTAATCAATGTAGTTTATAGGCTCTAGTGGCGGTATTGGGCGAGCCAACTACATTTGAGCATTGTGCATTCAGCGCCCAGCTTTCATCGCCTTTCCCAACATAAGTTCTGGCCACCTGGTAAATATACGCCGGGATCATATGGATCCGCAACAGCCGACATCGAAAGCCCTTCATGGTCAGTTTCATTGGGTATTTCTGCGCGCGATGGAGTTAATATAATACCAGGCCGCATAACCACCGACATTGGACAGCTACTCCAACGATTCGAAAACATAATGGCTGCTGCTACGGTAAAGGATCGCTGATAATGTCCGGCAAGAGTAGAACTAACTCGATGTAGGTCGACAACTCAAGTCACACTGCTTCTGCCATAGAGACCTATCAACTTGATGTGGAATCGACGGCGCTGGTGCGTATCATGCCGATTGCCTATCTCAACTTAGCCAACTGAGTTCTTTATATTCGCATAGATTCGCGCTGCGGAAGATATTCTAAGTCTGACCAGGTCAATGAAAGAGTCCTGGCTATTTGGGAGACTTAATGTCCTGGGCGAAGACGACAAAGATATCCAGATGAGACAACAGGTTGATGCTGACGTGCAGGTGGTGAGAGAAACCCTTGAGGACCCGTTATTAGGTCTGTAATGTGTATGGTGAACTTTTCGAGTTATTTGATGATGTATTTAGCCACTTCTTTCTAGCAACTTTGGCTATATACTGGGCTGGGGTTTGGTCAAGAGGGAGTTATTGCATAGGACCCGGTGTCATAAATCCGTTTTTTCTTATATACGCATACCCAAGTTTCATCGTACAATTACATTTATAACTTATTCCTATAAGAAGAGAACTTGGGAGACTTGCATCGCGAATGTGGTTCGAGTAACAGTCCAACACGCGGCCCCGTCTATGGGGTAGTGACATACGTACATATGTACATACATAGCATCCACAGAAATCTGACTTTCAATTCTATATGTATACACCGCCTCCTCCATACTCTGTATAGCACTGCATTCTCCTACATTTATTGCTTTTGCTTTGTATAGCGGCAACCATTCTTTCCTACGAGGAAAATCCTGCAATGTCTCCTCATTACCCCTCATCAACAGCTTCAGCCCTAACCAACTCTACCAAGCTTCCTCCTCTCACCCTCGTTGTCGCAACCACCCCAATCGTTTCCCATACTCAACCTCAAAGCTCCCGCCTAGGAATTGGATATGGCGGAACTCTCCCATGGCCTCGCATCAAGGGCGACATGACCTTCTTTGCGCGTATAACGACGCGTCCACCTTCTCTTTCCCCATCGCCCCCCCAGGCCCACAGCTCCATCAACGCTGTGATAATGGGAAGGAAGACATATGATTCCCTGCCCGAGAGGTTTCGTCCGCTGCCTAAGAGGTTTAATGTCTTGATAAGCCGTGATGAGTCTGGAATAGTTTCTGAGCGGGCGGCTGCGGAATGGAAAGCTGCAAGAGAAAGAGAAAGGGCGCGAGACAGGGAGAACCAAAAGATAAATGAACCCATAAATGATACAGGCAGTATCTCTACAGAAGGGAATGAATTAGCCGAGGTTATAAGAGGGAGAGAGGCGGATATCCTTGTTTCTAATAGTATCGAGTCCGCCCTCACTTCACTCCGAAATAATTTTGAATCTCATGATGGTGTACGAAACCTTGGGAATATATTTGTGATTGGTGGGGGGGAGATTTACTCTTCTTCCCTAAGGCTCGATTCTTCTGGTTTTGGTGATAAAATGAGAATCGTAATGACAGATATACGACGGCCTACTTCTGAAGCCGAAAAGCAAGACCCATCCACTGCGAATAACGGATTTGAATGTGATACCTTTTTCCCCATCAATGAGCTGAAAGATCATAGGCAATGGAGGCAAGCTTCTACCGCGGAAGTCTCGGAATGGGTTGGTGAACAGATTCCAGAGAGCTGGGTATGGGAACGAGACTTGGCTATTCGTTTTCTAGGTTTCGAGCGCAGATAATTCAGGTTTTTCAATAAAAGGCTCAAAGTTCATTGGGAGGAAAGAAGTACGATCCTAAGGAATTTTGAATATTAAAAATGGGTGACAGATGTTGGCTTTACTGTGATGGCAAGCCCATGCAGTTACCTATATACAGGACCTACAGCTTTGAAACCCCACTTTTCTTTCCTGGTAACTAATTGTGTAAATGTCCTTTCAGACTTCTGGAACTTTTACTAGTATATAAAAAATTAGTGGTTGTGAGGTCAAAGTTATGGACCAATCAACACCCTTGTATGTATAGTAATGGTAGTGACTTCTATCAAAAATTTGTACAGCAATAATTTGAATATGAATGTAAACATGGCTCAAGCTAGCATCAACACCATTGCCAAGCTCTGCTCTGCCAAAGAGAATGAAACTTGATAGAGAGAGCAAGGATGCATAAAACCCCAAAAACATCTAACAAGCAAAGGACAGAACACAGAAAGCATCCACATCTTCTGACTCTACTATCGGCCCTCTATAGAACTGGCCCGATGCCGTGAAAAACCTAAGAACGGGCAAGGCAAAAAAGACCACAAAAACCAAAATGCCTGGGTATCAGTCTAGCCATCCCATCTCTAGAGGAACGAAAGAGAGGACAAGAGGGTATGATAATAATGGCAAGTGAATGTACAACATAAGGTAGAAAAAGCAACATGGAAAATATGTACTGAAGAGAGGGTAGACTAACATATCCTGATAGTCTGATTTGCAAGATGTGCTTCCTCTTAGCATTTGTGCGATTCTTTCATGAACTTCACAAACCATTTTTTATGTACTAGACCAGCATATTGGCCATCACGAAGCACACACATATATCGTAGGCCTAATTTTGCAAAGCATTGATATACAAGGTTGATGGGCGAATGCACATCGAGAGCCACCGGCGACTGGAATGAAATTAACGAAATTCTAGTTTGAGGCTGAAATTTGACTTACTGAATCAATATATGGTGTGAAGTCTGTAATGTCGGTATCAGAATTGTCTTCAATGCTGTTCCAACCAGAGTGTGTTGACATTAAGCACATTGCATCTTCTGATTCCAACTTATCCAGGGCGAATTCGAGTTCAGGAGCTGGAATAAAGCCAACAAGAATATTGCGGCGTAGAATGGGGAGACCGCTATCCAATTCGCCGCCTCGTAGTAGAACATCGAGTTTGGTACGTAGCTCGGATGCGGGAACAATTGGGGATTCAGTGATGTTAATAATGCGAGATTTTCGAACAGGAGGAACGATTTCACCGAGCTCGGCGTCTGTGACGGGGTTCATATTGTTATCCAGATAGGGATAAGAATTCATATCCGTCAGGAGATCCTGGTGCTTTGTTAGCATGGTATACATTATATAGCTCAATTGTTAGACCCACGTATATACTCAATGGCTCCATCGCATTTGCCGTCCACTTAGCACACAGAATGGCGAGGGAGAATGGGAGCACGTAATCCAAGCTACCAGTCAATTCGAATAGAATCACAACCAGAGTTAGAGATAATCTGGTAACGCCGCACATGGTGGATCCGGCGGCAATGAGTGCGTAGACGCCGGGGTTGACGCAGGATAAGGGTCCTCGAGTTGATGGACAACTTCCAAAGAGAAATGAATTGGGATAATGAACAACAAAGTATTGGGCGATGTGGCCAATCGCCCGACCCATTAAACCGCCGACAACCATCGAAGGCACGTAGATTCCAGCAGGCACCTTAATGCCAAATGTGATAATTGTCAGGAACGCTTTAATCACAAAGGCAATGACAAGGTAGCGAATGACTTCTGGGATTTCTTCCTTTACTGGGCACAGCCCTGTGTTGCTAGCCTGGGCGTAATCGCAAGGACTAGCAAGCTCAAGAAGAAGCTCTGATACCGCTAGTTTCGTGTAACGATTCCACCAGCTCATGATACCCGTTAGGAGTGCAACCAAAACGACCTCTAGCATTGGCCATCGCTTTATTACTGGAATCTTTCTGAACGAATGAGCCCAAATTTTTGAAGCTTTAATGAAAAGAGCCCCCGCGGCACCACCAAGAGTTCCAAGGAGCATAAATAATGCGAGCTCAAATATCTCCCAATCCGACACATAGTGAACTTGGAATAATACAATTTTTCCAGTACCGTAGGGGTTTAGAAATTTTAAAGAGAGGGCAGCAACCTAAGGCCTGTTAGCTAATGCCGTACAAATGAGGACAAGAAACCGCCTTACAATACAGCAGAAAAATGTACGAAATAGGGTTTTAGGTGGGAAGTAATAGCTAATGAAAAAAAAAAAAAAAACATCAGTTCACCTAGAGTTGAATATCATGTTGGCAGCACATACCTGACTTCCTCTAAACTGAATAAAACACCTCCAATAGGAGCACCAAAGGCGACGCCGACGCCGCTCGCAGCACTTGCGCTCAAAACCTCACGTCGTTTGCCGTCGTTATGCTGATACTTCTCAAAAATTCGACAGCAAATGTTACCAATGGCAGTAGCAATATGGACATACGGGCCCTCTTTTCCAATACTCAAGCCAGAAGCAACGCTTAGGACTAGCGCTAGAGTCTTTACGACTAAGGTCTTCATTCCGAGGTAACCGTGGATGACGAAGCCACTTAGGATGACTTTCACTTCAGCGACTCCACTGCCCGCTGCAGAGTAGTAAACCATTGGTGGAGCAGTATCTTCTGAAAAATCAGCTGTACTGGTATCGGACGGGGCCTTGCGGTCTGAACGGCCAAGTGTGTCGTCTGATATAAATTCCCCTCCGGCAGCCAGATCCTCATCTAACGTAGAGAGAGAGATTGAAGAGGGCACGACGGTTTTCGTGAATAAGGTAAGAGTACAGGATGCAGCTGCGAGGATGACGGCCCAGGCAACAAAGGCACTGAAGTCAACCCAGGTCGAGTCGGACTTGGGTACCCCAAAGATACTGGACCAAGTCCTCCAAGCAGTGCATTCATCCTTATCTAGGCAGCAATAGCGTCTGCTAGAAAACCAATTATCTGTGCAAAAGCCCTCTTTTAGATCAAAAAAGGCTCTCTCTGTAACATCGACAAAGTAAGCAAAACAGGCAGTTATAAGGCCTATGAAGGCGACGAGAACCCAGCCCTGGGCGCCATCCGCCCAGGCCAGAAACCTGCCACGAATATCCTTGCGGCTTCTCAGTTCCCGGAGCCGTATTCCATCAGCGATGGTATCGTGCACCCAATCCGTGGAGGTAAACTGGTCGTACCAGACCCGGTTATCCGAGAACCTCGCTGGTGTAGCAGGAAGCTGGTTGTCAGACCACTCAACCGTGCCTTGAGGTCCAAATTTGGTGGCCTGGGAGTTTGCACGGCTATGGTTCTTGGACATCCGAACGCTCCCAGCGGTGCTATACTGCCTGAAAAACGCATCCGGTCGTGGGGAGGACGGCATGGTTGTGTAGGCGCGCTGGTGGGCGCCATTGCCCAGGAGGCTTGCTCTCTCGCCCATCTCGGGAAATCGGCCCGAGGACTGGCCGTGATGGTCTACACCCGTGAACTGGATGTTGTTGAGACGTAGACGGGGCGTGGGAGACGGAGGGGAGGTTATAGGACGGCGGCTTGAGGACTCGTCGTCGGCATCGTCGTGAACGTGGCTTTCGGCCGCTGATCGCGAAGAAGAAACTGACCGTGCCATCGTGAAAACAGGTGTCAGAGCATCAGCATGGTTCCGTCCCAACTGCTACAATTTTTCAACAGAGTTAGAGCATACTCGAGAGCCAGCTGATGAGCAAGATATGGGATCAGGTGAGAATGCAGACAGAGGGCGGGACACCAGGCCTATTCTGGGCCAAAAGAAACCAACTTTGGAGGCCATGAACTGCAGCCAAGATGGTAGTCTTTATGGGTCCCAGGCAAGTCGCAAGCCTTTTTTGCCCAGAAACAGTTTCGAGTGTTGTGGTTCGTGCTTGTAGCAAGAAAATCAACGGGGCCACTCACCAGTGAATCACGCGGAGGAAGGCCGTTAAGTAGTTAACTGACTAGCCCAGAAGATCCAGTGACAGCGGGCGTTCCATCCGCTGCGCTCAACACCCACGCAGACCGCCGTCGCGTCCGGATCGCAGTGCTCCTGATTGTGTTCAAAAAAGACGGGAGATTCAACCGCGTTTGACAGCAGTACCGCCAAGCCGCCGCGCGCTGTGGAGATGTCAGAGCATTCACCGCACCAGCAACGGCCGCGCGCAGTCATCCTCATCTCCGGAAGATTATTTAGGCAGCGAAAGTTTCATGAAAGGATCATTTCGCCTACATATCGAAAGATAGGCCATTATCATGGGTGTGGTGAGGGCCATCGCGCTCTGGCTGCTCCATGGCGCATGTTTTGGTGCAACTGTGCACCGCTGATCCTAACCTCTAAATCCTTCTGAGCTGTCCAGGTGCTCTATATAACCTCAGCCTGTGCTCGCAACCAGACTTCCGCAGCGCATCTTCCTGCGTACAATGGCGGCGTCCCTGCCTGCTCCGCGATGCCGCCGTCTGTGTCTGCTGCTGCTATTCGGCCTGTTGTTTGCGTTGAGCTCGTTTGCACATGACCTGCGGCCTGACGTCACGCGCCCTGGCCGTATTTTTGGTATTGATCCACCCCGTTAGTTACTCCCTATTATCTCCGACTGCCGTCTGACCTGATCGCCCTCCAGCGCAGTCTCGCGGCCGTGAGCCACCCGCTGCGCGAGCCCACCCGCCGTATTCAAGATCCCTGAAAATGTCGGCGGAGGAAGTCCTCGCTCGTTCCGCCCCGCAGGTAGCGTCCCCCGCGCTCGACCAGTTTATTCTCTTCGGCGACTCCATCACCCAGTTCGCCTCGTCGCAGGAGAGGGGCTTTGCTTTTCAGCCCGCAATCCAGAATGGTATGCCATCTTCTCGGGTTGGACTCTCTTGGGACTCGGAGACTTAGACTTGCTCTGAACCTGCAGAATATATCCGGCGTCTCGATGTCATCAACCGCGGGTTTAGGTGTGTAATAATTTTGAGTCGGCCTATTCGATTGCCTCCACACACTGACCATTATTACTTCTAGCGGGTACAATACCTTTAACAGCTTAGGGCTTTTGCCCCAGTTTTTCCCGCCAGCTACGAAAGAGCGAGTGAGGCTGATGGTATGTGCTAAATCTTGGTTTTGCTGCTTCGCAAGGTCTGAAGCTCACTACACAGACTGTTTTCTTTGGCGCAAATGACGCCGTTCTACCTCCTTACGAGCAGCATGTGCCATTGGACAAGTATCGGCAGTATCTAAAAGATATTCTGACCCACGAGGCTGTGCGAGCCCAAAACACCAAACTTCTTTTGCTTACCCCGCCGCCTGTAAATGAATATAAGCTCGAACCTACCCCCGCACGGTCGGCGGCAACTACAAAGAAGTATGCAGATGCTTGCAGAGAGGTTGGGACTGCGCTCAAAGTCCCAGTGGTAGATATTTGGGCTGCATTTATGAAAGAAGCTGGATGGACGGAGGGCACTCCGCTTGCCGGATCGAAAGATGCGCCACCAAATCAGGCGCTTGAGCAATTGTTATATGACGGTATCCTCGTCCCATTCCTTCAGCGGCACTTTATAGACGGCTCGCTAAATCATTGCTCTAGGCCTCCACTTTGGTCCTGCAGGCTATCGAGTAATGTTTAATGAAGTCATGAAAGCGATTCGCGCGAATTATCCAGAGGAAGCTCCGGAAAAACTGCCCACATTGTTCGCCTCCTGGCAGCAAGCTAAAATGTACAGAGCCTGATTCGCAACAGGCAACGGCGACATTATACCATGGGTAACTCTGTACTCCGTATGGCGTGAAACAATCGAATTCACAATATAATTTCTCTAATATCTAATGCCCAATGCATATGTGTGTACATACTCTGTGTGAGATTTGAATATCTTGGGAAATCAATTTGAATATTCTTGTTCATGTTAATTTCATGTAGTTATAATTTCGCTACTCCGTATGTAACTCGCTACCTGCGCTCTTTACATATGGCAAGACAGCAGCCATGCCTTGCACTTCAGCCACTCTCACACACCGGTGCGCGCCAGGCCACAGCCAGGCTTCCGCGCTAAACCCAACTGGGGCTAATTCTCCACGGTTTCTTTTCTTCTTCCCTTATAACATCATGAGCTCTCCAAATGGTCATCCTGGAAACCACTTCTTCACTTCTCCGATCTTTTTTTCTTTCTCTTGAGATATTGAACCAAGTGCTGCTCTTGCACTTTAGTTTTGATGACGTTTATGAACAATTTGCCACGTCCTGATCTTTGATCAGACCAGTTCTCATTGTGCTCCGAAGTCTTGAGTTAGTTAGCACCTCCACAGATCCTCTCAAACTGTGCTCAAAGAAACACCAACTGCACGCCGAAACACTCCAATAACAACGATCAATTCCATCCTGCGCTCACCCATCTGCTCCTGCCACAATTCACACCCTACTCTACCCCGTGCCGAGCCAACTTTATCTGACAGCCTGTCTCAATCGCTTTACATACGGAACATCAGAGCAATAATAGCCAACCCCTCTCTACCGTCTGTCGCTTCTGCCACATCGCCTTTATCTCTACCTCTTTAATTTTTTTTCCTCTTCCTTAAAGACACGAAACTGCATTTACATGGTATATTCGGCTGTGCGGGGCGGGGAACGGCAGGCTGTCCATACTTCCAGGTCCAGTCTGGGTGGGCGGGGGCCTTCAGGCCATCTCGCAAAGGCTGGTGGAACTCGTGAAGCTACTTTCTGAGGCATCCAAATCTGTTCTTTCTATCGTCTAAGCTTTTGGGGAGAGAAACCGCAACCTGGTAGTCTGCCGATTTAATCCAACTGCATATCTGTGCTATACACGGAAACGCTTCGAATGTTCGCTGACATTGAGACTCGTCAATCACCCGATTAAGCTTTTGATATCTCACCTGGTGATTAACTTTGGTGAGGCGAATAGCTGGTTATGGATGCGCAGTATCCGTTTGCGTCAAGAGAGGATATCTGGCGTGTACACGAAGAAGTGAGGGATATCTACGCGACGCAGCTAGAACACGAAGAAAGACTTGCAAAACTGGAGCGACGAAAGGAGGACGATGCCCGTATGAGAAGCCTCTGGGGACCATTTTCTCCGTTCCCCTCAGCCTCGGGCCATCCATCAATGCAAGGTATGTCTAACCCTATCGCTGCTGGACCAGGAGATTCTGATCGTTGTGCTCTCTTATACACAGAATCCGCGTACAATTCTCCGGCGGAGCCTTTCAAGGGATTTGACCAAGGTCATCAACACAATTCAGCTCCGGGCCATCCACAGCTAGAAACCGAAGAAGAGCACAGGCGGGGCGCTTCACGAGCAAATAGTGTGCGATTCGACGAGAGTTCTATGCATGGTTACTATAGCCATGCCAACCGCTCCGCCACCGAAATCGCTCCTTTGAGAACTGGTAGTGGGCTAGGAAATCTTTCTCTTACCGAACGTTCTCTCTCTCATCGATCGGATGGTAACAAAAGCTCTTCTGGCCAATCACAGCGCACACTCAGTCTAGGACTTGATGCTTCTCGAACGGACGCACCATCGACTCCTGGACTTTTCATTCTTGGCCCCGTTCCCTGCATTATTCGATGTTGGCTCACCTCTCACTTCTCTAATGACTCCTTACTGTACGCTGCGGTGTGTAGCGGGTCGTATTCGTCTGCCATTAGCCAGAGACTGGTTCAGAAACTGGGACTCGTAGGCGAGACAAACAAGAAGGATGGGGTGCCAACCATCAGGCTCCCAGTTCATCTCCCGGAAGCAAGTGTTTATCAGTCGTCGTCTCGTGCTGGAAGCCCCGCACCACATCTTCCTGCTGTCACCGTACAATTTGTTCTTCGCGAGACCAACCCTAGTGATGAAAAAGAAATCCAAATATTCCTTGGCAGTGACTTTCTACGTCTCCACAACGCCGACATTCTGTTTTCTCAGGACAAAATGCTCATCTTAGATGATGAGCACAAAAAGATTTCAATCCCACTTGTTCGTCCAGAGAATTATGAAATGTTCAAAACTCTGTCTACTGTTTCACAACCACAATGCGTAATTACTGGAAACTCCAGGGTCAACGGTAACACTCGCCCAATTTTCGAGCATGAAAATGATGACTCCGAGGCAACAAGTAAGCCCATCAGCCCGGTGTTACGAAAAGGGAGTACTTATCAACCCCCTGGCCGGACCTCAAGCGATTCTGCTGACACCCACCCTCGACGCTCTGCTAACTTCGCGGAGCACTCAGAAGAGCAGAACAGCCCTGACCAGGCACAATCAAAGTATAACGCGAATGATAAAGACCCAGAAAAATCCCCGAGAATGGACAGTACAGGTGTTTGGCGCCCCTGGAGGCGCGAGCTTCCCGCTAGCAAGAGCGAACCAGCTCCCTACTTAGCAGCGTACCAGAGGAGTGTTCGGACTCGTAATATGAAGGTGTTGAAGCCGTCCAAACCAACATCCACATCGTCACGTCAGGTATCTGGTGTTGCCGCGCGGCCTGGTGGGGAGCCCAATCAAGGTACCGAGCAGGGCGACTCGCCAAACACGAAGCCGGATAGTCCTTGGAATACTAGGTCCCGAAGTTCGAATCCAGTTGGGGGAGCGTCAGCCTTTGGTTGGCTAAATACAAGCCAGGGTAAGCAAGGTGGTAGCGGCGCTGACTGATCTACTGGTGCTGCATGTCGGCTCTTATCGCCGCAATGCAACTAGGTAAGGGATGTTTTCACCCGTCACCCTTGTCCTCAGCTCTTCAAACCTGCCTCTTCTATGGGTGATATACCATAAACTGCTGTTGGTGAAACTACTCTTTATCAATCTTTTTGATATATTTGTTCCTACAAGAATTCTTATGCCGGTACCAACCAATCCTTTATCTCTTGATGAATGTAGTGCGTCTCTCGTGTACTCAGATGAATAGTATGATTGCCTCACAAAACACGGCATAGTGAAATGAAACACCTTAAACTCATGCCTTTTCCTTTCAAAAACAATAGGCCAATCTAAGATGCAAACCAACCAAACACCGCTTCCGTTTCCCCGCACAAAGTTCCCCACGTTCCCCAACTGCCTAGGCTGTTCTCCCGGCTGTTCATCAACTACATAGAACCCGTCAATCCCCCTTCTCTTGACACGCATCTTGCAATGCTATTTGCACGTCAATTCTACTCTCAACTACATTCGTTGCATGCTATTGCTGGCAGAAATCCTGTTTATTCCCGCAATCTAAGCTCACTTACATCCAACATCATGGCAACGTCAAAAGCTACCCGGATCAGTAAGTATTTACTTTACCCTCCAATTCGCTTTGAATTTTTCTTAGCAACACCGACTCTAGAGCTACCTCATTTTGAACATTTATAGGGTGTGAGCTAATCTCATTGTTGGCCAACAGAGAACCCTGCTCTTTTGTATGCTCTCTGCCAATACACGGCCTAGTTGTCCTGTATAATAGCCAATTTCACATCTAACTAAATCGATCCTATAAAGCATCTGTGATATCCAAGAGCGTTTTAGACCGATCATTTACGAGTTTCCAAAGATGTAAGCTCGCTCTTGCTTGGCGCTGATATGCACGTATAATTGCCGGAGAATCTACCGGACGGGAATAAACGAATATGGCTAATATATCACTGCTAGGGTCTCAACCTCCCTCAAGATCCTCCGTGCTTGCAAACCCCTTGGGATTCCTATCTACGTGACCACCCAAAATCGCGCCCGCCTTGGTAATACGGTTTCCGAATTTGCCCCGTACCTGGATTCTTCCAATCCAAATCTTCGGGCAGATTTCGACAAAACACTATTTTCAATGGTTATTCCTGAAATTAAAGCTCTTCTGCCCAACACTGCCGCTACTGGTGGTAACCAAGAGCCCCTCGACGTCATTTTGATTGGAATTGAATCCCACGTCTGCGTAACACAGACAGCTTTGGATCTGCTAGCGCTTGGGCATAGAGTGTACTTGATCTGGGACGCGGTGAGCAGCTGTAATGCTGAAGAGAGAAATGTCGCATCAGCAAGACTCAGAGATGCAGGTGTGATTGTGACCACAAGTGAAAGCATATTGTTTGAAGTCATGGGGGATGCCAAAGTACCCGGGTTCAAGGAGGTGAGTGGGTTGGTGAAGGAGACAGGGGAGGAAACAAAGAATGCCTTGGGGGTATTTTGTGCAAAGATTTAAAGTACCTGCCTGGACAAGGTGTGGATAGTTTGTATTCCATATGATTTGGGAGAATATCTACGGCAATTATTGGTACATGCAAAAAATACATTGCCGTACGTGCAATTCATTGGAATGATAGTCCCTATCTGTTGTTCGTTATCTTATTTTCTAAACATATTTTGATGCTTTGAAAGGAGGCAAAGGGAGTGCTCAAAAATCGACTTCGAGAATTTGAAGCCTCGCGCGCTCCTTAATCCAGTTCTTTTTTGGGTGTGCCTTTGTGCCCTCACGTAGAGCATATAACTCGTCAAGAAGAGCCGGCACGAAGGTTCCTGGGCCCTTGACATCTTCTCTAGAAGCAGCATTCTCCGAGGCAATTTCGAACATGATGACACCGGCAAGAACGGCAAGAAGTTTGTCAGTGCGCTCCACTGCCAGAAAAGATGCCGCAATAAGGCCCAAGACACATCCAGTCTGCAAGATGAAAGAAAAATCAGACAAATCAATCGACTTGAAAGCTTGTACGCACTTACACCAGTAACTTGTCCTAGATAGTGATGGCCATTTTTTATTGCGAGAGTACGCATGCCATCGCTAAGAATGTCAATTGGCCCCGTCATAAGGACGATATTTTCTAAAACAACAAAAAAAGTGTCCTATTAGCAGTATTCATAAGCAAAAAGGAGCAAACCCTTATGATAGGTCGAACTGCTGGCCAGTTATCTTAAAAGGACCAAAATACGCAATAGTTGATGTAAAAAATATGCTGACTTACTTTCTCTTATCGCAAGCTCCTGCACAACAGTAGCCTTTTCAATGAGATTAAGAGTGCTTGGTCCGCTATCAACTCCAATCTGTTTAGTAGGGGCGCGCCCAAGAATACCTTTAATCTCGCTCTCATTGCCTTTGATGAGAGTAAAATAACCTTCTGCTAGGAGATCTTTGACCATGTTTCGGCGAACCTGACTGGCAGCTGCTCCCACCGGGTCAAAGACAACAGGACTTCCAAGCTGGTTATACGCCTGTATCGCTTGGACATAGTTGCCAAGACTGTCCGAATTAACGGTTCCCATATTGATTAACAATGAGCCACCAGCCTGGGCAAGGTCCGCAGCTTCTGCTCCATAAGGAGACATAATGGGTGAAGCACCACTAACAAGTTATCAGATATTTCAATCAATCAGTTGACTAGGGCTTACATTTGTAAAGCAATATTGGCAGCGAAATTAGCAACGACATAATTTATCATGCTGTGGCATAGTGGAGTTTGAACTGCAACTTTATGTACCATTTTGACCGCGTTGTCCAATAGATAACCGATTTCATCTTCGCGCGGCTCCGGGGGGATTGTGGCAAAGTGTGGACTTTTCACAACCACCTTCTTAAAAGCAATAGCAGCTTTATAAGGGTCAGATGATGCGATGATAGCGCTTACAACAGCCACACCATCGAGACCCTTCATTAGAGCTTGAGATTGGTATATGACTCGCTGGACATTGCGCAAATTGATACCTCCAATGGCGACAGTTCCAATCTTTCGGGGTAAACGAGATAAATACTCCAAAATATTCCTGACACCAGCTGTTCCAATAATAGACTTAGTGTTAGTTTTGCTATAAGACGAGTTAACTAGTCGCCCTGAATATACGAGAAATTATAATTGAAGTATTGCGTACGTTGGCGTGGCAAAGACAGTGCCGATTCCAAGGTAGTCTGCACCTCCATGAAGGGCAGTTTGTGTCTCCTCGAGCGAGCACACCGTCGCGCCTATTATGGTATTTTTTGGAAGTAATTTCCGCGCGTCTTCGATGCCTGATAAACAGTAAGCCGAGGCTAGAAGCAGCTAGCAAAAAAAGATTCATACTCATGTCATCTTGTCCGAGATGAACACCTTCAGCACCGATGGCTAGAGCCACGTCAACCCGGTCATTGATGATCAATGGCACATTATGCTTTTTGGTAATGTCGTGAAGCTTGGTTGCAGTTTCAATAAGTCTTCCTGTGTCTGCATGCTTATCTCTATACTGAACAATGGTGACCCCTGGTTTTAGATAAGAATATGAGCATTTTCAAGATGTATAAGACGAAAAGTTTGATGCATTGCACCCCTTACCCCCTTTAATGGCATTCTCCACAACAGAGAATAAATCTCTTGCACCCAGGATACCAGGGGTTGAGTTGGTCACAAGGTAAAGAGAAAGATCAATGGGCATGTTTGTGATGTTATGGGGTTTTTGGCTAGAGATTGTTTAAGGGGTTGAAACTAGCAGTGACTGTAGAAAGAAGGGAGCCTGAAAATGATATTATTTTTTTTAAAAAAAAACAACAAGACTGGTCTCAGAAGAACTAAAATGTGATGTGATAGCTAAGTCAGCAAACAATGTTGCACGGGCATATATCACCACCATAATTGCATTCCAGGATGAGAGGAGGGGCAGGACGAAAGTAAATTTTTCAACGAACTGTATGCACATACCATAGTGGCTACATGAAATATTACTGGTGTTCATCAAACGAAAGCTATTGAGAATAAATCCAGTGGAGCTGGTACCACATATCTAACAAGAGTCATCTGGCTGCTCGGCCTGAGGCTTGGAGTGGCATCAAAATAATCTGATAACCAGATGATTAGTCTAGCGCATTGATTAGATAGAGTTTGTCGGATGGACATGCCGGATCATCGATGGCCCGTTCACACGTGATGCCCCCTGCTGATATAAGCACTGAGTTTTCAATACCGTTTTTCCGTGACGAAAATTACGACCGGCGACATTTCGATTCTCTTCTCTTCCTTCTTGCTTTTTCTTCCTCTCACCAACCCTCCTCTCAGCCCAACGTCTTCATCGAGAGCTTCATCACAGCAACGCCACGGCATTCGAGGTATCCTCTGCTCCACGCTCCTGACTGATATTATTTCCTTTGAGAACTTATCCCGTCGTTATCCACCCTCTTGCCTCTTTGTTGTGAGACCCTTCGGCTTTCTCTTCAACTCCCACAAGCCGCCGAGCAAAATCGAGCGACTGTCTATGTATTCGCCCTACGTCAACGCTTTCGAACACCACCTGCCGCTCAAGCTGCAACCTTTTCGCCCCGTGCGAAAACCTTGTAGTTCCCATTCCAGATCGTGTGGTTGAAATTTGCTTTCCACGTCGCCAGCCATTCCCCTTCTTTCCAGAAAAGGGTGTTATACCGTCTCCCATCGTACTCTAGTCTTCCTCGCATCTGTTCTACTACGCATGTCTTGTAGTAGCAACCCTATTTTCGTCCTTTATTCTCTCCGAGCCCCTCGCTCTTTACGTTACCAATCGATAGTTTTCTAGACTTACATACTCAACTAAATAAACATGGCTACTGTCAATATTCGCCGGGTAGGTTTCCGGATGTCATTCACGTTAATGCTTAAGCTGACTTTGACCTTTTCCATAGGATGTTTCTGATCCCTTTTACCGCTATAAAATGGAACGCCTGCAGGCCAAAATCGAAGGCAAAGGCAACGGAATCAAGACTGTTGTGGTTAACTTGAACTCCGTTGCTCAAGCACTTGGCCGTCCCCCAGCTTGTAAGTTCTCCGCCTCCCACCTACACCTCGTGATAATTTCTAATATTTCATATTAGACTTGATTAAATATTTCGGGTTCGAACTCGGTGCCCAGGCCAACCCAAAGCCCACTGATGATCGTTGGATAATCAATGGTGCTCACGATGCCAGCAAACTTCAGGACTACCTTGATGGATTTATTTCCAAATTCGTCCTCTGTAAGAAATGCAAGAACCCAGAGACGAATGTCGTTATCAAGGAGCCTCGCATTCTATTGGACTGCAAGGCTTGTGGCGAACGATCTGAAGTTGATGCCCGCCTGAAGCTCAGTGGTTTTGTTTTGAAAAACCAGCCAAAAAAAGGGAAAAAGGATAAGTCTACTAAGAAAACTCGTCGTGAGAGGAACAAGGAAAAGGTCGAAAATGGAGAGAACGGAGAGACTAATGGCAACAGTCCGGGAGATAGCCCTTCTGAAGGAGATGAAAATGGTGACGTGGCAATGGAAGCTCATAGCGATGATGAATTCACCCGCCGTATCAATGCTGAAGCCAAAGAAATCGAGCATGATGATGAGATCAACGATGACGAGTGGGCTGTTGACGTCTCCGAAGAGGCTGTCAAAGCCCGCGCAAAAGAGCTACCGGATGATCTCAAACGATCGCTCGTTTTTGATGACGAGGAAGAAGGTGAAGGCGAGAATGGCACTACCAGCGCTTATGACAATCTCGGCAGCTGGATCGTTGCGGAAGCCGAACAGAACAAAGATGGAGCCTCCGGTCTTGGCGACGTCGAAATCTATATGAAAGCTAAAGAACTTGGTATCGAGACGAAGCACAAGACTCTAACAGTACTAGCTCAAACGATCTTTGACGAAAAGATTGTCAAACAAATTTCTTCTCGTGCCGGAATGCTTAAGAAGGTATGTTAACTAATTCTTAAGTGCCAAATCTCCCTGAAAACCTCTAATAGAGAATTAGATGATTACATCCGAACGTCACATGAAAGCTTTGTTGGGAGGAACAGAACGTTTTGTCGGCAAAGAACACCCTGAGCTTATTCCACAGGTTCCGGCCATTCTTCTTGCGTATTACCAGGAGGATCTTGTTTCCGAGGAGGTCCTCAAAGCCTGGGGCTCCAAGGCCAGCAAGAAATATGTCGACTTGCCTACTAGCAAGAAGGTTCGCAAGGCCGCAGAGAAGTTCTTGGAATGGCTAGAGACCGCTGAGAGCGAAGATGAGAGCGATGAAGAGTGAAATCCATTCACTCGGTGAATAAGCTTGTTTTTTTTTCCCTATTTTTGCCAACTCAAGCTTAACCTCTTAACCCGACTGCTTATTTGTATGTTGATCACTTGATGCTTTCTGAGTTTCTCTTCTGTGGGAAATGTCCGCTCGTTTAGAATGAGTACTCTGTCTGTTAAATTCAGCTTTTATCTACAGTATAAACCAAATTGAAATATCTCCACTTTGATTGAACCATTTCAGCGGCATAATCGTAGCTTTTCAGAAAGCAGCTTCGGCAAACACAAAACGATTTGTTTCTATGTTGTTGTCCTTTTTAACTCGACACACTTTGGACAAACTCTCGTTCATCCTTTTCCTCCGTATTTCGAGTTCCTTGTCCATTGCGCCTTCGACGGTCTTTCCCCGGCCACGTACAAATATTAACCATGTTAAATCGGCATTCCACGCATTCATTGCTCTAATAGTCTCATCAACATCCATTTCATTGGTTGACGTGTCATCTATGGACCGTCTCAAACGGTTAGAATATCTCCAGCCATAGTCAAAGTAGCGGTTTGGGTAAAAACAGGAAATCCACTCCCCCAAACAATGGCAAATATCATCGCCGAGGTCAAGTGGTAGGCGGACGTGAAATGAGACTGTTGTAAAGAGATATACCAGTGCTCGCCAGATGTTATGGTGTGGAGAAAATGTTTTGCTGGCAAAATATGGTAGTAATGAACGCTGGTGGCGTTGTATAGAAGTTTGAGCTGAAAGATGTTTTGGAACGGTAGATACAGCAGCTGAAGGGTTCTGCGTTATTTCGAGTTGCTCAAGGCGAGAAATAGCTTCACAGGCACGAGTTTGCTGGTCAGTGTTCAATGACAGCTGGTGTCGCTGGTGTCTTTCGAGTGCTGCTTCGGCATCATGCTTTACATGCTCCCAACAGCGTAGATATATTCGTTTCCATTTCTGAAATTCATGCTCTACTCGAGATGACATGAAGTCTCCGGCGCCCTCACACATCGCTTCAATTGCTTTGCAAGAGGCTACAATGACGTATGTTTGCTCCTGGATGTCTTGATCATTCAGTACCTCTGACATCGGCACTGGCGAGGAATTATTTAGTGTCAACGAAGTAGAGGAGCCTGATGCAAGAGTTGGAGGTAGTGTAATGCGAGAACTGACGGATGGCCAAATATCGTTTATTAAAGGCAAAAAGCTGTTTTCATCTGCTGCGAGAACAGTCATTCCACGAGCCAGGATAGTTAGAAGAGAACGCCGTAAATGCGGGGAAGGAGAAGAGAGATGAGGCGGTATAGATTTCAGAATGCTTAAGAGAAGGTTATGTGGTTTGCTGAGTGATGTTACTTCACTCTCTGGCTGTTCACTAGAGGCATCTGCTTGATTATCTGCCGTTTCATTATGTTCATGTAGCTCGTCATCACCAACGGGAGACTTCTTCCAAGGCTCTTTTGGATGAGGTTCTATTGGCTCGCGTCGTTGTTCCTCCTCAGAATCATGCTGAAGGCGTCTTTCTCGTCGTTTTTTAAACTCAGTTGCAATCTCAGAGATGGTGGTGGCGGTATGCTGCTGTTTTCGGTGTGAAGTCGGCCTGGTCTCTGCACCGCAGATAGAGAGAGTGCTTGGTGCTTTCGCACTTTCGTCAACTATGCTTCCAAGTACTCCAAAAAGAAGCTCAACGAGCTTTGGATAACCATGATATGCATCCAGAACGGAGAATATCGATCCAATTAAGTCATCCAGGTAAGGTATCAAGCGCGCGCCGCAAAGTTTAATCAGCATGAGTAGCACTTGAGGCGCTTGAGGTGAAATATCAAAGGTATTGAATTTCATCGCAACAGAATTGATAAGGTAATCAACATTTTCAATGAGCATTGTGCTTGTATCTGAATACCCACATGCACACGTCATCAGAGTAAGACAGGTCATGGCATGATCCTGGAGTTGCGAGTTACTTGAACCCATCAATTCCAGCACGGGGTATAGTGTGTCTATCAGCTCCAGGCGAAAGTTTTCGCCTAGCTGCGCCGCTTGCAAGGCAACAGCTTCAAGAGCGAGAGCCAGAATCCGCCACTCCTCTGGGTTGGCAGTAGAAATATTCATGAGCAAGGGTAGAGAGATGGAATACAGCTCTTCAATGAATGTAGACCGAGAAACAGAAATATTTGAGGTACAGATGTCAAGAATATCCTCGAATAACTCTGTGTCGGCTTGCCTATATTTCAACAGCGATAGTGCAAGCCAAAACGGCGCAACTGCTGAGTTGCCAGATGATCCATAAAGTCTATCCATAATGGACCTAACCAGTGTTAATGAAGTATCTGTTTGGGAAAGCTTCTCGATGAGACAGTGTAGCTCCCCAAACGTGCCTTTCTGGCTTCGATGGTCAACAAGAATAGACTGAAACGAGCCTGAGCCTGGTATATCTCGCAGGATCATTTCAAAACTCGCACTGGGAGTTGACGGCAGGGGTTGGGGTGCTTTAGAGGAGAACTGAGCGGCAGCCGAAATACTTTCGCATAGACTAGAGGTCATTGTCTCGTCCAAAAGTTCAGAATTTTTCCCTGATTCTGCAAGAACTTGGAAAGCAGTAGATATGTGTTTGATGGCTATTTGTTTTGGCGCATCAGCGTTCGATCCCATGACTCTAGGCAAAGCTATAACCCAATCGTGGAGACTTGATTTGAGATTCCTCAAAACATTATCGGAAGAAAGAACTAATTGTCCCAGAGCACTTAGAGCATCATGACCATCTTCATGTCCTGCCAGTGAAACCACGGTTTCTATCATCATAGGCAGCGTGTCTTCTAGAGAAATGGAGCATTTTTCAATTACTACAAGGCATAATTCAAGCAGAGCTCGGCGAACATCCAGTTTCTCGTGGGACCTCAAGGGAATAATGTTAGCAAGTGCCAGTTTAATCTGAGATGCCGTGGCTTTCAGCCAAGAGCCGTCGAGAACGATGGCGCCGTCAGCAGGATGAGTTTTTCGATCATGTTCTAAAGATTGGATAGATGAAACAGCATCGTTGTTAAGAACTGCATGGAGAACATGAGTTAAAATATTTAAACAGCAGCTGAGTAGCTTAAACGACCTGCGAAGCTGGGTTGTCGGGCGCAATGTCTTTGTCAATGTTGAAACGGTTCTGGGAAGCAAGCTAGCCAAAACAACGCGATCCGTAACTCGGCAGTTGAGAGCTTGTAAAGCTTGCGCAGCTGACATCTGAACTGTGTCAGATGGCCCATCTAGAATTCCTTCCAGTAAAACATAGACTGCTTGATCTACAATAGTGGCAGTGCCAATCTCATTAAATATTGTCAATGCTGCCTCTCGATCCTGCAGCATGCTAGCAAGTGACCTAATACAATCAAAGGCTGCAGTGATTAGCTCCTCTGATCGGACATCACCTGGAGTCTGGCTGTGATTCTGAGAAGGAGGCCCGCCGGCAAGTATGGTCATCAAGATCATCAGCTGCTTGCCCATGGCACTCGATAATCTCTGGCGCCATCCTTTTTCGATCAATATATGTAAGCATCTTAATGCTAGCTCAACGCATCTGATAGAGAGTCGTTGGGTCTGGTTGAATATATGGGAGAGCGGAAAAAAAGTGTATTCCGCAAGCTTTTCGTCTAGCCATTCCTTGCTGCCAAGCTCCTCAAGAATGCGATAGACTGCCTCCAGTGCTTTGAGAACATCTCGCGGTTGCGCAAGATTTCCCCTGAATTTTAATGCAACAGAGCTTAGCTCAACACAGGGAGGACGAAGCTGCATCAGAAGTTAGCAAAGTTCACTCAGCGTAGCTGGGCCAGCAGAACCTTCAAAAAGGCTTCTTGCCGCGTATTTGCTTCCATTACGGACCCGCCAGTAGACCTAATATACAGAATACCGCATCACCTTAGCATACACTCTCATAGTCTCCAACAGTTGATGAACGGGTGAATACAGACGCATGGATGGGCCTTGGCGTAACATAACTATCGGCTTACGGCGAATATATCCTCCGATAGAAATCTTATGTAATATCAACCTCACTTCATCTTTTCCCAAGTTGATGTGTTGGATAGTTACACCTGTGCATGCTGTTAATTGCTGGTTGTGAAGAGTATTTATTATACGAGGCTCTATATATATGGTATAAAACCAAACCTCTTGCTCCTTGGGCCTCGATCACTATTCGACTAGTCACATTGTGATGGCCTATCGATATATGAGGCCTGCTAGGACAACCAAAGAGCCACTGCGCTTTTTACTCCGGGATTATCATGAAAGTACTAGATGTCTATACTAGTAACACTATATTTCTATGGAGTCTTTTTCCTTTTATATCTTCCACTCCTATACGGGACCTTGAACGATTTACACGTAGTGTTTAAGCAAGCCTCGAGTCCTGGCTCTCTTAATCCTCGGGTTCTGTAGAGTTACAGATATTCTCTGTACACTTCTAATACACGATGATTTAAACTCGAGGATTTTCTGTGGGATAGATACTGCGAGCTTGGACTATGCTTCCCAGGAATACTAGCAGAGACAACATCGCAGCCCCTGGCGCTTGGGGAAAGAAGATATAAATTTTATTATGACACCGCATTCTTTATACCCCGGCCGGATTTCAGAAGCCACACAGTAGGATGTCTGGTTGCAAAGCACCCCTTTGGAATGCAGGTTTCCTCCCCGCACTTGCTGCCATAATGACCCTCTTGCTCCCTTCCATTACCTCTACCGGCCCCTAGCAACAGTTTCTTTGTTGTGTGAGACTTCTCAACACTTACAGCCATATCCTGCACGTGCTGTAATAGCCAGGTTTTGGCCAGCACGTGCTGGTACACACTGCATATCAGCACGTTCTCCATCCAGAGACAATGGTCTTGTTGGGGGCAGTTTCGGCCAGACTGGCAGTTTCTTTCTCAACCGCTGCCCTGATACTGCGCTTGTAGTTGCTGGATGCTGCTAGAAGCCTCGTTTCTGGTCCGCCGCCCAACCACTGGGCGGGGTATCAGGCTGTCTGTGGGGGGCATTGCCTATTTGGGCGGCTGTCAGCTTGCTTGCCTTCCCTTTGTAGCAAAAAGATCCCAACAAGTCCATTCCTGAACCCCCAGCAAGGCAACTGTGCAGCTCACGTGCTCTCGCTTATGGGCTATAAATTCACCTCCTGTGCCCTTTCCCCTCTCCCCCTTTTCTCTTCTCCTCATCTGCCATCTCCCAAGTTCCGTGGTCTCACCATTTTTGCTTCGTCCAATTTGTTTCTGCAGGTCTCTGATCTACACATATTGTTTTCTCAACAACCATTGAGTTTGTTTGTTAAGTCTCAAAATGAAGGTTTCAACTGTGATCCCTGCATCTCTCCTTGTTGCCACTGCATTGGCACAGGATCTGGGCCCAATTTTTAGGCTTCCTGCATGTCCTGTATGTCGTTTCCATGCTTCATATAAACTTCAACTCATTGCTAAATCTTCTTTAAATAGAGAAACTGCATCTTCTCTACCCTTGGGAAGTCAGGCCAGTTTGGTTGTCGCGGCAATGATGTCCGATGCCTCTGTGCTAGTGCTGGTTATCACCAGGAGCTTCGTAGATGTGCATCTGCGTGTTCTCCTGATGAAAGAAATCTTCTGAACAATGTGGGCAGGAGACTTTGTCAAGAAGCTGGTAAATCAAGCACAGTTTACTTGGTTTCTTTTATTGCACAGCTAACTATTTCCCCCAGGTGTTCCTGTTCCCCCACATTTTCTAGCTGCTGTTGCAAATCGTGAGCTGGCGATTGATGGTCTTCTTCATGAACGATCTATTGATATTGGACCTGCTCCTACTGTGTGTGACGCGTCAATTCAGACAAACCACCCACAGGACATCCCAGTGGCTCCGTCCGCATGGGCTTCCTTGCCAGTTATTACCACCACTGTTGCTGATGCAACTTTGCCGATGGAACTGGCCTCCTCTGAAACTTTTGTCTCTCTCCCTATTGAGACTCAGACTGAAGTCACCATTGCCCATACACCTGCCAACAGTGAAGCTTTTCCTGAACTTTCTGTTTCCACCCCTATCGGAACTGATGCACCGGGCATCACTATTCCTGCCGAGCCCACCAAGGGCGAATTTTCTGTTGTTACTTCTGCCGAAGTCTCTATTGCTGCTGAACCTACCAACAGCCAGCTCCCCGTCACTGTCCCGACTCAAACTGATTCTTCCCTCACCATGTCCGCCAAGCCGACCGGGGGTGAACTTTCTGTTGTTACATCTGGTCCCGAAGTGACTGTCTCTATTGAGCCGCCGCAAACCATGTCTACCTCGATGATTGGGTCCATCACGCCCGATGTTAGTGTCCCAATTGCACCAATGGAGACAAAAACTCCCCAAGCTTTGGTATCCAACGATGCTATGGGTATTCGAACCAATTTCCCTGTCCTCGTTGCAGGTATTTTCGCTGCCTTTCTCTAATTTGTTGCTGTTGCTATGGTGAGTTGCTATCACAACACAACATGTTTTTTTGCAACCTACCTTCGCAATTTATCCTTCCATCGTCTCATTTCTACATTTCGATTCAACTCGAACACAAATCTTCGATGCAAAAGGCTGCGATAGTCTGGAGGTTATAAGGAAGTTGATAATATGCAACGAGACTTGATGATTTTATTCAGTATTTTCATTTTTCATTTTTCGGGGACGAACTGACTAAGGCGCGGCTTAAAAAAACATTACAGTAACGAAGTATCTAGTTAGCTACAAACAATAGAAAATCCGTCTTCTTGACTTCTACAACTCTATATAGTTGAGTGGCTTTTTTGACCACCGCTTCCCGCTTCCCTACCTAAGTGCCAACAAAGATCGGCGAGCTGATGCTGCATTGCTATTCATTTTCAAAGACGTAAAGTCTCTGTAGACCTAACCTACTCTGCGACACATCATTAGTAATGTCTCGGGTCACCCATGTAGCCAATGATCGAAATGATGGTATTCTTAGCGTTGAAAGAGGTCTCACCCAGGCGACATCGGCCTCCTTGCGATTGAAAACATGAATACGCACGGAAAACCAATAAATCGGCTGACAACTTTGTCTTGGTCTCCCTTTCTTACGCTTTCTGGTTTCAATATTTGAATTTTAGGCGGAACATGAATCAAGTTCACATGGCCAACATGCCAGAGATCAGGCTCCCGTGGGAGCAAAGCTTCATATACCGAGAAACCCTAGATTTCATATTTTGTTCTGTTTATTGAGATGTTCACGGAACTGTTTTTTTTTTTTTTTTCTTTTTTGAATTTGAATATGGAGTAATGTGACGCTCTTCACCTAGCACTTCCCCTTAATGTCGAGGAAACCCTAAAATGCTAAGGAAAGGAAAACGGGGGTAGATTCTTCGTCCTTCCGCAATTTTCGGGGAGAAAGGTTTATGTAGCATGGTTATCGACTAAACAGAAAAAACATAAGAACGAACGCAACCTTAGGCGATTTTAGATCATAGAGCCCCGACTAGAGTAATGAAATGAGAGCCCCCCCCCCCCCCCCCCCCCCCCCCCCCCCCCTCCCCTCCCCCCCCCCCTCTTCCTCCTTCTCTTTCCTCTCTTCACATCTTTCCCCTCTTTCACTACCCGCCCTCACCTCCTTTTTCCTCTTCCT